CATTAACTTTGTTCAGTTTTTCTTTCACAATGACTTTTAAAAATATCTCCTCGTTTTTATGGCCCCGCATACAACCTTGAACCGACAAAATTTTTATCATTCAACAAACGGATCTAAATGACATCGGACCAAGGTTTTGAGCATACCAAAGTGTTACTACAGACCAGTAGATTCAAATATATTTGTTTCGGTGTGTTTTTACGTTACCATTTTTTCTAAAAAAGTGCCCAAGAGAGGGGTGTTTTTAACAATGTCAAAATTTAAAACAACCACAACTCCCCAATTTATCTCCATTTTTTTACTACTTTTGCCTTTAAAATGATGCTGGAGACTAGCAGAATCGATTCCGTGACTCATAAATGCGCTACAATGACTTTTTTTCATGTTCGGCTTGTGCACAGTAAGAGTTCAATTTTTTTACCCCTTGAAAATTCCACTTAAACAACGTCGGAGCCCGGTTTTGATCACTCCAAAATGTTCCCACTGTTCAGGAGATTCATATATGTCAGTTTTAAGCCATTATAATTGCATTGTATTTTTGCCGAAAATTACGCAAGGGGGGACCATTGTAAATGGTGTCAAAACGGCCAAAAATCACTGAAATTTGGCTATAGTTCTTTCAATATGAATCTGTTTGGGCTTTATTTACTATTTTCGTGATGCTGGAAGCTATGTGCATTCATTCTGATGCTCATTCACGCTCTACGACAACTTTTGGGGGCGTCACCTTTGGTACCGGCGGTACCCGGTTTTAACCTCCGATAAAAGGGCCTTAATGACATCGAAATAAGGTTTTGATTATACCAGCATGCTTCCAATGACCAGAACCTTCAAATAGGTATGCTAAAATGTCTTTTTGGATCACCATTTTTTTAAAAAATTGCGCAAGGGGGGGGTATTATAGCATTTTTGGTTTTATACCCACTTTTAATCACACTACAACTCCCCCAATAAATTTGACATTCTATTATTCATATGCTTATTTTAATCCTCAGAACCAGGGCTTTCTTTTGATATTGTCATCTTTAAGTATGGATAATTATGATGTTGTTGAAAATACCCGAAAACAAATGAAAAATATCCTTTTTTAAACCGGGAAAATACCCACTTTAAAATTGAATTACATTGATGCTTTATGCTTAAATAGATACCTCTAATGATTTACTACATTTTTATATGCATATTGTTTAAATATATTGATGCTAATGCCCTAAAATTTTGATTTTCAAAAGGGGTCTTTTTCCCACAACCTTTTTCGTCTTATAACTCCAAAACTTGGGAGGCATCATACATATTTGAACACTTATTTGGAATCAGAAAATTAAATTCTATTTTTGAGCCTACCCATGTCTCCAGAAAGTTGCTGGAGACCGAGTTGGTATTTTTTTCTCGGCTTAGCTAACATTTTTTTGACGTGGAAAACATTCTAATCGTAACTCTCAACTCTGAAAAATAGAATGTAATGCTCAATTTCTTTAAAAAATGTCGATTAATGCCCGAATTTAAATAAATTTTGATTTTGGGCCCTACAAACATCCTACGGGCTTGGGACATAGCTCATCACGCTCATCTCGTCACAGCAAATACTTTAAGATTACTCTCAAAGCTCTCCGTTCACTCCCTGGCTACTTTCTTTAAACAGCCCTTTTTGCCTTTTGAATAGCTCAACAGGTGGCCCATGTTCATCCACTCACAAAATGTTATTTTCATCCCCGTAGCACTTCATTTAAGGGCGTTTTTTGAGCGTTTTTATTTTGACGGATTTTTGTCCCAAATGCCTTCTGAGGCATTTCATTCTATTCTTCACAATCCGAGCAACCCATACTTACTATTGAAATCCTCCCCATCAATCTCCATTCTTGAAATATATTCACTTTTGTATTTTTATGTGTTTTTTTCTTTTTAACATTATAACTCAATTTTTTTCCGTGGTTTGACTCCGTTATTTTACTTTCATATTAAAGATCTCGTCTTCTACATCACCTTCATATCCTTTATTTATATTTTTGGCCTTATATTCATCGAGAAAGACCCGCTTGAAAATTGCGTCCCGTAATTTTTCTGGTCAGCCATATCCTTATATCACGTGCGGGGTAAGGCTGCTTTGTTGCAGTTACACCTTTTATATACACCACTTCAACCTTTTTCTCCTCACTATCACCAACATAAATAAACCAATTCAATCTCCAAAAATAACAACTAAAATCCTCCTTTGAATACTCCATTCGCTACCTAACAACCTGCTCTTTTCAATAAATTATCTTTCCTTCTTTGACTTATAACCTACTATGATTATTTAATTTTTCTTTTTTTTCGTTTTTCTTGTTATTTTATTATTAAATTTTCTTTGCTCCTTTTTTTCATTTATTTTTGTTACATTCGGACCTTCTTCCAATGAACTCACTTTGTTTGTTTAATTAGTGGTCTCCTTTTTTCTGTATTCTTTGTAACCATTATTTGTTACATTGGTTTATGGTTATTATTTTTATTAATATTTTGTTACAAACTTTTGATATTTTTCGAGGTGTAATAATTTCGTAGTTACTCCCAACAACTTTTCCTATCCTGTTAAATTTCCGAAATTTTTGAAGAATAAATAGTACAATAATCTCGTTAAATTTTCCATGTTATTAGATTAACTTTTTTTTTGTAGATATATTTTTTTAGTTCTGAAATTTTTTAATTTATTTTTTGAAATTACCAAACTCGTAATCGTACCCTGAGAAGTTTTTATAGGCTTATTCATTATTATTTACATATATTATTGTTTTCTCTCTTTATCTTTATTTTTCTGTCAAGCAACTTTAACCAGATGTATTTTAATTTTAATTATTCTCATACTGGAACATGTTACTTACTAATATTCCTTTTGTATATTATCTTTTTTATGCAAGATGTTTAATAGTTGTGTATTTGTTGTCTACCTATTTCTTTTTCAATATATGATATATCATTTTTAATTTTTAGCTTACTCATCTAAATTAATGGTACTAGTTGGATACATTTATTCACTTGTTTTGTCGAAGATGCTTTAAAAAATTGTACGGCTTTTTTGTGTTATTGTTAATGTTATATTCAGCAACGTAACTATTTGATTAAAATCATCTTCACTTTTTTGGTACAACCTAGCACGAAAATATCTGGTTTGCAAGCCTCAACTATATTTTGATCCAAATCCACCAACTAAGCACATATATAACTATATAATTTGTTATTTTTTTAAAAAGATTTTAGTTATACTTGTAATGTATTATTTTACTATCCCTTTGTATTTCTATTTTGTACCGATGCTAGTTTAATCATAATTTTATGAAGTTTTGATATAATCTATTTATGGCTAATTATTTTACCAACCTTTTAATAAATCCTGTAGCTAAAAAATATAATATTTAATAAACATTTCTTATGATTTATTATATAATTGAAAAAGATTTGGAGATTTAATATTTTTATTTACTATATTTGATGTGTTGTTATGACCTGTGTCTTCTTGATCAGAAGACTTGTTACCAAAATATTCACCTTTATGTAACTTTACGAAACCTCATGTTACAAATTTTTTAAATAGTCCAATCGACTCCTTGTGACCTGGGCTATCTAATGAACTAACCCATATACCAAAAAACCAAAAATTCCATTTCTATCATTGTTTTTAATCAAATCCCTTTTTATTAAATAAATTTTCCCATATCTCCGTAAATAGTTAAAACCAATTTTTAATTTTTTGAATTATTTACTTTAAATTTTTTTTTCCTATTTTTTTTTTAAAACGTTTTTCATTAGTTATACTCTTTTAAAGCTACTCCATTGCTCTCCTACTTTTGTAAATCCGATGTCAACTTTATTAAGTATAAGTATAGCATAATTTTTACTTTATTGGCTTATCATATATGTTCTTGAAATAAATAATGGAATTGATGAAATAAAAAAAATGTATTATTCAAACAAACTTTTATACGTTTTTATTTTTTAATTTAATTTAATTTCTATTTTTGTAACCGTAAATACTATTTATGCTTATTGAAGAATATATCTTTTGTTTTCAATTTTGATGCTCGAAGGTACTCTTACCCTCAAATGTAAATATCACCATTAACATTAACATTAGATATATCACGTGAATTTAATATCATGTGATAATTCTTTTTATTAGATATATCAAAATATTGCAAAAGAATAGAAAAAAATTACAGAAGTAACATTGTTATTATTATGCACAATATTTATTGCATCTATATGTAAATTCTTCCATTAGCACTACCTTTCTTTATTTTTTTTTTCTAGGAACTCTTAAAATCAGCATTCAGGAGCACTTTATATCGTTATCTTCCTACCATTGCAATATTTTACTTTATAAGAGTTTAAATCTCTTTTTCATTATATTATTAATTAATGCTTGTTTCTAAACTTTTTTAATTTTTAATTTTTATTAGAAAAACATTTTGACTTTATTGAAGTTTATTTCCGTAAATTATTTTGAGAAAAATTTCAGTCTTTAATTTATTATGATATTCAGATTATTATCGATTTATATTGCCTTCTACATTTCATCAGCTTTATCATTATTTTTCATGTCATAAATATGATTTGTCAATTTGGTATTTCCTATATTGTTTTGACATGATAAATAGTCAAAAGTCAATTTCTGTTATATTTCAAATAACCAATGTTTTTTTCATCAGCATTTTTTTTTTTGTTTTTTGTTTTCAATTAGTTTTAAACCTAGATGATTATCATATTTTGCAGAAATCCATTCTTTTATGAAATATCTCTGGTAAATGCCCGACGAAATGCCTGAGGTCACTTTGTTTGACGCGCGTTTTTTTTAAAATATTGTTTGGTTTATCTTTGACGCGTTCTTTTCGTGATTCTCGCGCCACCACCACTTAATACAAAACAAAAAAAAAAAATTAACACAAACAAACCTTTTTGTGTTGTTCAACACTACTTTTTTTTTTTTTTTTCTTATAAACAACAGCCATCGCTTTGATAATTCAAAAATGTCAATTGTATCTTTGCTGAACGTCAGCATTTTAAACAATCCGGCACCATTTACTGACCCTTACAAGTTTGAAATTACTTTTGAGTGCTTGGAGCCTCTTAAGGATGGTATGTTTTATTCCTCTCTTTCTTATGCTTCACTTATCCCTTTTAAGGGTTTATGCTAACTGAAAACAACAACAAGACCTGGAATGGAAATTGACATATGTTGGATCATCTACCTCGTGAGTATTCTAAGTACGCCTTTTCGCTATATTTTTTTAAATTTTTTTTTTGATGTTATTTAATTTTATCTCCATTGACTAACCATAGATATTTTGAAAGATTTGAGCATGATCAAGAGCTCGACTCGCTGCTGGTAGGTCCTGTGCCTGTTGGCGTAAATAAGTTTGTATTTGAAGCCGATCCTCCATCTCCAGATCTGATTCCGGCATCGGAACTTGTAAGTGTGACTGTGATTTTACTTTCATGCTCATACGCGGACAGAGAGTTTGTGAGAGTTGGGTATTACGTCAATAATGAGTACGACACCGAGGAGTTACGCCAAAACCCTCCAAATAAAGTTCAAGTGGACCATATAATACGAAATGTGCTTGCGGAAAAACCCCGAGTTACGAGGTTTAACATTGTCTGGTAAGTTAAATTTTAAAATGATGAGACAAAAATTAGAATTTCATGTTGACCAAATATTTTTTTTTTTATAGGGACAGTGATGCACAAGGGGAAGAATTCCCACCAGAACAACCAGACGCTGATTTGGCAGATGATGACGAAGACTTATATGCAGCAGAAGACGAAGAATATGATGAAGATTTTGAGAATGAAGCCGAAGGTGATGCTGAGGCGTTAGTAGATGGCGATAACGAAAAGAATGAGTCTACGGAGAAAGAAGAGGGAGGACCTACAGCTGAGGGAGATGATTCCAAGGAAGAAACTAATGAAGATCTCGAGGTGGATTTAGAAGCGGAGTCTGAAGATGATGAGGGAGATGTTGAAGAGGAAGAAGAGGAGGATTTAGAAGATGATGGGGAAGCTCAAGACAAGCCCAAGCCCAAGCCCAAGCCAGAGCAAGAGCAAGAGCAAGAGCAAGAGCCTGAGCAAGAGCCTGAACCTGAGCCTGAGCCTGAACCAGAGCCAGAGCCAGAGCCCGAGTCTGAAAAATAAAATATAAAGTAAAAAAAGAAAAAAAAAAGGAAAAAAAAAAATAGAACAATTAACTATGGAATATGTTTCTAAGATTATTATACGATTAATTATAAGATTATTATTAAAGTCATAAGACATTATAGTTTATTATAAAGACCAGCTTTTTATTTTGATTTATTTCCCCTCTTCCATTAACTATTATTTCTTCTTCTTGTCAAGAACAGATGTATTTTTCAAGAAGGTATGTTTGCGGGCAGTAGACGGTGTTTCAGTACCAAGCACATAATCCCAATGTCTAAACGAAGACGAGTAGTTACCAACAAAGAATTTGTGGTGATCATCGTGATGGTCAGCACCGGCCCAAATAGGGAAGAAGTGGTGGAGAGACCAGGGGAACTCGTAGCCTGAGTGGGCATCAATGGCCTGGAAGAGACGGAGAACAACCCAAGTAATGACAGTGACTAGATGAACGTGGCCAAAGAAATATGACCAAAGAAGGGGTGAACCGACAGTACCAAGACCAGTGACAGCAACTTCAATAGGGTGGGCGTACTCTGCAGTAAGACCAAATGGTGCGGCATACTTGTGGTGCTGCTTATGGATGTGCTTGTAAAAAGGTCCGTAGTGGAGCAAGCGGTGGAACCAGTAATGCCAGGTGTCCTCCATAAAGAAAAATGCAGTGATTTGGATCAGAAAATATTTGAGGGCTGGGAAATTTGCTGAATAGTCAATGCCGACAATGTTGCAGATAGGTTGGAAGCCAAAGATAGGGATTGCCTCAATGACAAAGTGAGAAATAAGTACATCCTTGAGACATTGAAGCTGTTCCGAGTCTGGGATTTCCTTGTCTTGGATCTTGTAGTTTTTGAGAATCTTAGTGCGATCAAGAATGTACCATGGAAGAGAGCGGCCAAAATAGACGACTTCATGGATGACAAGAAAGAGGAGACCTGTAGCCAAAAAGTCACTACCAACCCAAGCATAGTAACGAGCCCAGAGACTTTCAAGGTAGAGCACAGACGCGGTGCCTACCGAATCAAGGTATCCAATAACGGGGTTTGCAGCTGCCTGCGAAACAAAAGTGGAATTCATAGTAATGATAAACGATAGTGGTAGTTGGTATATATATATATATATATATATGATAATAATGTATAAAGAAGGGAAGTGAGATGGAGGATCTGGAAGTCCTTTTATATATATATATATATATTTATCCTGAAGGTTCCGAGATTGTCAAAAGAAAAAAAAAAAAAAAAAGATCAGCCCAAGAAAAAACAAAAATAAAAAAAAAAACTCGTGACTTTTTTTTGTTTTCTTTAATTGTATGGATGGCGTGGCTCCATTTTATTTTTTGTTTATTTTTATTATTTTTGTTTTTTTTTTTTTTGTCGTTCAAGAGGCGACCAGTCGTATCGTGCTGATTAAGCAAGGGATGGAGCACGGCTATGAGAGAAGAGGAGGTTGAAGTTAATTTATTTTTATTTTTATTTTTATTTAATAATAAAAATATAATTAATTTATTTTTATTTAATAATATAATTAATTTATTTAATTACATAAGTGCGGCTTCTTTATTTTTTTTTGTTTTCGTATTCTGTCGTATTCTCGCAAAAAAAAAAAAAAAAAAAAAAAACTTAATTTTTAAATTGTAACAAAAAAAAAATTACATAATACTTACCACGTTTCTCGTTTAAGTCGTATACAACCCTAAGCAAGCCGGGTAACTAAATGGGATTTGGCTGAGGTATAAATAGCAGGTCATTCCCACTTCCTTTTGGACTTTTTTCTTCTTTTTTTCTTCATGTCGACGTACTCTATAGGATCATTTCTATAGGTCACGTCCTCATTACGCTCAGATAATGAGCCACTTTATCCAACTTGGTTGATGAGGAAGATACCTGTGTACCCTAGAGTGAGGATTATGCAAATATTTGTTTTGGATCGGTTTGGACTTGTGCCACGACCTTGACGCTTTTTGTTTTTTTTTACAAGCCCATCTGTTTACTTTGAAGAGCTCTTTTTTGAGTGATTTAAAGAGGATGTGGTGGCGATGATCTCGACCCTTTACATGAATCTCTTCGGAGGGGTTGTATTGGGTGGGCACACATGGCAGTCTGACAAGTGACTTTGTAATATTTTTATAGATATCTTTTAATAAAAGGCTTATTGTTTTAAAAAATTTCAGTTGTTAAATATATTTTTTTAAAAATTTTAAACGTAATTGTTGCAAATAAAATTTCAAGTTACCCTACTTTAAAAAAAAATACTTGCTCTTAAAACCCCATGGTGATTATGTTTATACACAGCACTAGCAAGCATAACCAAAATCCCACCTCCATTTATTTTGACCAGGTATCGCCGTCACCATTAACTTTATCTAAACAATTGCCCATTGCACCTTAGCAAGTTTTTTTTTTTTTTTTTTTTTAAGCCCAAACCAATCATGGCGGCCATTGAAGCCATTTACATAATAGATCTTAATGGGTATGCTTTGTATTTGATTACCTTGATCATTTTAAAATTTTACTTTATTTTATTTTTTATTTTTACTTCCTTTTATTCTTTCTTTCTTTCTTTCTAACTTGTTTAAAAAAGAAAGGTCGTATTGGACTACCCAACCTGTCCCTCGCCTCCTCCCATTGAAACCCTCATACCATACATCATCTCACCTGAAAATGGCCTCATTCTTTCCGCCTCAACTGATTCCATTCGCTCAGATACAACAAGTGCTCAGCTTCTCCATGAATATCAGCGGCAGCTCCGTCCACCCATAATTGAAGTTTCTTCTTCTCTTCTTCTTTTTCATCAAAAATATGGCAACATTATATTTCTTTTGCCTTGCTCCTCGACAACTCCTGCATTTTTACCTTATGAATTCATTGCACGACTCATTGAAACTTTTGAGAGCTATTTATCTGCGCCACTCCTCCCAACAAAAATTGAGTCCAACTTTGATATCATTGCAATGGTACTTGCCGAAATGATTGACGGTGGCCTTCCTGTTACTACAGAACCAGATGCTATTCATGATCTTGTCCAACCTTCCGGTGCTATTTCCAAACTTATTTCTACTGCCACTGGCAAGTAAGTGAAATTTTATTTGATTTTTTTTTTTTTTTTTCAATTTAAACTTTTCTAACCTTTCTAACTTTTTTTTTTTTTTTTTTTTTTTTTTTTTTTCAGTATGCCATCTCACACAATTACAAATCCAAGCGACATTCCTTGGCGTCGTGCAAACGTCCGGCATGCAAATAACGAACTTTTTGTTGACATTATCGAAACAATTACTTCTGTCATTCCTCCTACTCGTAAGGCCACTGCATCTTTTTCGACTGCTGCCTCTTCTGCATATAGCTCTGCAGTCCCTTCAGGTCCTACTACCTCTCGGCCCCTCATCTCCCGTGTCGATGGTAATGTTTTCATTTCATCCCACCTTTCAGGTGTCCCCGAGGTCTCACTCTCTCTCAATACTGGATCCCACAAACTTCTTTATCCAGCATTTCACCCTTGCGTCCGCTACGAGAAGTTTGAAAACTATGCACCCGACTCGGCCACCAGTCCTTCGTCAAATGGCCCCGGAGGACCTTCAGCTATCTCGAATTCCTCGGCAGGCAAACACGCAACCTTTTCTTTTATCCCGCCTGACGGGAAATTTCTTCTTGCATCCTATACCCTTGATCATGTGTCTTTAGGCCTTGTTCAGGCTGATCTACGCACAGGACTTGGTCCCAAACGTGATGAGTTCGAGGTTCGTGTGTGGACTCTCATGTCACGCGACACAAAATACATTGAGAACCTTAGCTTGTCCATAGCCTACGACTCAGATCTTATTCGTGTTCTTAAACCCCTTCGTGTTTCTACAGGTGACCTCAATGCAGTTCCTGGTGCTTCTGCAGCTGAATGGCAATTTGGAGCTAAAACGCCACTTGGCTGGAATGCCACTCTTCGTGGAACTCTAGTGAAAATTGAAGCAGAAGCAGATTCAGAGGATGAAACAAAAGATGACAATAAAGACCAAGAGGTTGTGGTTGTCTCTTCTAAACCGCGGGCCCACAAGTCAGCAACTTCGCTATTTGATCTTCAAAATACTGAAGATAATGAATCGATTGCTTCTACTGATGAAAAGAAGAAGAAGAAGAAAAAGTCTAAGAAGAAAACTAAGGATTCAGATGATTCAGTATCACCTCCTCCGTCATCGGCCCATAAAGTCTTCCAAAAGCCAGTTCCAACACCCAAGCTACTGTCTAATAAACCCATATACCCAACGCATGTCACACTTTCTTACAAAGCTATTGGCCAGGTTCCAAGTGGCACCAAGGTGCAGAGCCTTAAGATTACAAACTCAAGAGGTTCTGGCGATAGCGCAACTAAGCCTTTTAAAGGTGTACGTTATATTACACTAACAGGTGATTACGTTATTCGGTAAAAAAATTGGAGAAACATATGTCTATATAGAAAATGACATCGTGTATATTTTTTTTAAAAAAAAAAAAAAAACAATAAAAATCTACTTTTTGTTTACAAAACTGGCTCTGATGGTTTTTCTTTGGTTGTGAATCCCTTTTCCAATATTTCAATAATATCGTCAATGCTAAATTTGTTAGTTTTCCGTAATCAGCTTGCTTGGATTCATGTTTACTCACTTTTCTACAGTAACATCAGTCTCGGGTTCGCCGCTCACATGTTCGTTGACAGGCGTTCTTAGTAAGATGGTCCCGGATCCGGCCCGGTGACCAGCCATCATATCGTCAATCGAGTCGCCAACCATGACAAGTTTATGAGGGTCAACATTCTTGTTTCTTTATTAGTTTTAAAACCATAATTGCAATGTTTAGAAAGTACTCACCCAAGTTTTAGCAATAGCCAAAATACCAGCAGGACTAGGTTTGGGGGGTCTGAAGTCACGTGTGATGACAGGTTCAAATGCATGCCCAACCAAGACCTTGTCAAGTAAATGTTGCACAGGAATCTAAATTGTTTCCTTTTTGTTAGTAAATGATTTGAGTAGCCTTTTTTTTTTTTTTCCCATAGTTTGACTCACTGGAAAATTGCGCGTCAAGATAGCTTTTGGAATTCCCTGGGAGTCGACCCAATCCAACAATCGCTGAACGCCAGGTGTAGCTTCCATATCTACCATAGCTTCTCGCTCAACTGCTTGTAGTTTGAGATGTGCTGAGGCTTGTTCGTCTTCAGGAAGTCCATGAACATAGTCGAGAATATCCAGTGATTTGTCGATTCCTAGGGCGTCGCGCATCCGCTCTATTTTATTTTTTAAACGAGTATTAGAGAAAGAACCGAAGAAAAAATTGAAAAAAAATAAAAAATAAAAAATAAAAAAAAAGTGACTTATTTTTCCTTATTTTATTTTTATTTTTTACTTGGACAACTTACGAAACATCCAAGTCTTTATAACAAAATAGTTAGTTTGATAATAAGGAAATATAGGCGCTTAAAATTTAATCATACCTGGGGCTTGCACAGAGTGCCGTCCATATCAAATATAATTCCCACTATAGGGGTTTCTGCAACAGCCTTAGGGGCCAAAACAAGTCGTCGTGTAGAAAGTGCCATTCTTTGATTATTTACTTTTACAAGTTAAGTTTGATTAAGTTCAAGCTAATTAGTGCATGAATGAAGGGTCCCCAAATGCTTACGGTTGGCGTGATTGATTTTGGACTAAGAAAAAAAAAAAAAAAAAAAAAAACTCAGAATGTGGTTAGGGTTGTATGATAAAGGGATTGATTAACCGCCGTACACAAATAACGGTTAATGGACTTCAAATTAAATTTGGTCAATTTTGTCTGTTTATGATCCGTGAATACAAAACGGAGATTTTGACAATTGTATTTATTTTTAATTTAATTTTATAAAATATTTCATGTAAATGTTAATCTTGAGTCTAGAGTAAATTTGTTTTGATCTGAACAAAAAAAAAAAAAAACTCAATTGAATAAACAATCATCATCAATGACTCGCTTTGTTACTGATATTGAAAAATCATTTTCTTCTCAATTGACATATCGTTTTTTTTTTTTTTAACTCTTCCATTAGTTTATTATATTTAACTTTTGGCTTCTTCAAAACTTATACCCAAAAATTGATTCAATAAATTGTATTGAAAAAAAATTAAAAAGAAAAATCTGTATAACTGCGGATTTAAATTAAATACGTTCTCCTTTACATGATGAAATAATTTTTTTTTATTAAAAAACATTAAAAAAAACATTTAAAAAAAAAACAAAAAAATCGACATTCTTGTTTTTGTTCAAAAACTAGAAAAAGGGTGAAAGATGGTTTAGATTTTTCAAAGTAATTAGAGAGCGTTCGTTGTCTTTATTCAATAGACATAACCAGAATGTGAATATTTGTGAATGCTATTTGAGAAATCAATATTTAACAAAGATAGGTAGTTAAAAAAAATCCTTTTTTAAGACCATTCTAATATTGATTCGAACTTGTATAGATGCTGGTGTTAATAAATGGCATAAAAAGAAAAAGATTTGTTTTCTAACGAGTAAAATACAAAAAAGTGAAGATGGATCGTTTAACTCTCATTTTTGACCATTCCCCAAAAAAACCTCTCTTCTTCAACAATAACTACGTCAGTCTTTCAAATAGAAACGGAAATCAAGAGGTACGAGTGAATCATCTTCATGATCTAGACTTCTCTATTACAAGCCACAGCTCTAACTGGTATTGGACCCGTATTTTCGGTGTTTGACTTAACCACAGTTGCAACTTTTTTTTTTTTTTTTTTTTTTTTTTTCTTTCATTTCTCAAAGGCCGTGACAAACGGCTCTTCCACTAGTTTATCAACCTCCACCTTTCTAGTTTTTACTATTATTGTACTTTACGCTCGATTAAACCTTAGATTAGACTGACGTTCAGGCTTAGATTGGATGTTAAAACTTCCTCGCAAATTATGGATCCTAATATCCAGCAAATTTTCTATTCACTTTGGTTGACTACTTTATTTCGTACACAATATTTCTTTGCTTTCTTGCAGCTTACGTTGGGTTTACCTCATCTTTAACTTTTCTTAGTTGTAGAGTTCCAGGAAATGACTGTCTTTTCGCAGTTTATTGGCTCTTTGATTATCTCTACTAAAAAAGTGGTGATATCTTGCCTTTAGAATCTGTGGCTCATTGCTTTTGACCAATCAATTGTTGCTAGCATTCGGCTAAACAGTAGACAAAAATGACTTCTTCACAATGTAAAAAAAAAGTCTCGTATTAGAACAGTGCGGTTCTCTTGTAATGATGTTATATCCTTTGGTCTGGGACATTTTACAAGAGAACAATGTCTTTGCAACCAGACTGGAAAGCCATTTTTCATGGTATCATTGACTCCTGTTTTTTTTATCGTCACTGGAGTATATTTTATGCATGTCTCGAGTAAAATTAATTTTAAGAAAAAAGGTATTGCTAGACTAGATTTCAAAAGAAGGTCTTTGCTCGATCTCACGTCATTGTTTTCTGGCCTTACTTCAACGTCAGAAGTGCTGGATATTATGAATCCACGGCTGCAACTTTAACTGCAACTCCTTCGGACAAAGAAGCTCCAGCGGAATGAGAAGCAGCTATTGAAAAGCATTTTCAAACTTCGGACTCCAGTGCAGCGGTCGTATGATATTTTTTTAATATTAATATTCTGATGTAACTACCCGGCCATTAGCCCTAATCTCAAGGATAAATTTTTTTAATTATGGCTTTGAAAAGTGGTAGGAGATAGACAAAGTTGAGTTTACAAGCAAGGCTATATTAGGGCTGTAAAGTGTTACCCTACTTTTGAAAAAATTTCAAACACGTGAATTTTTTTTTAAATTAGGTCTGGCTAGGGGGAAAAGAAAAAGTATAAATAGTAGGACATTCCCACACCCTTTTGGACTTTTTTCTTCTTTTTTTCTTCATGTCGACGTACTCTATAGGATCATTTCTATAGGTCACGTCCTCATTACGCTCAGATAATGAGCCACTTTATCCAACTTGGTTGATGAGGAAGATACCTGTGTACCCTAGAGTGAGGATTATGCAAATATTTGTTTTGGATCGGTTTGGACTTGTGCCACGACCTTGACGCTTTTTGTTTTTTTTTACAAGCCCATCTGTTTACTTTGAAGAGCTCTTTTTTGAGTGATTTAAAGAGGATGTGGTGGCGATGATCTCGACCCTTTACATGAATCTCTTCGGAGGGGTTGTATTGGGTGGGCACACATGGCAGTCTGACAAGTGACTTTGTAATATTTATATAGATATATTTTAATACAAGGCTTATTGTTTAAATTTTGTTTTCCATGTTCTACATTAATTTTAATATCGGAATAACTGTATTTGTCAAATTGTTTTTTTAAAAGTAGTACCTCGGCTACAATTGTTTTTAAGGCCGAAGTTGTCCCTCATTTTCTCCCCCACACTTTGCAAATATAAATACCCTCCAAGTACTTTTTATGCTTATCTTTTTTTTTCTTTTTTTTTTTTTCACCCCACATCTTAAACATCTACCATTTTTCAACTTCATCTTCATCTTCATTTTCATTTTAATTTTTCTATAACCTTTTCATTCAATGTCTTTCCATAACGTCGAACGTCTTGAAAAGAAGACATTTGCTCAGTTAATGTCCCTGGCACCCATTGACGGACCAGTCGAAAAAAACAGCGATGAGGAAGAATATTATTTTCGATCTCTAGTTGCAGCATATAAACCCATCATCTCTCGAGGAGTTTTTGGTAAGTCGGACTGGTTTTCTTTTGAAATTTCTTTAACTGACTTTTTTTTTTTTTTTTTTTTTTTTCAGGTGGCCATGTTATGGCCCAAAGTGCTTATGCTGCTTCAAGAACAGTACCACCTGGATACATTTGCCATGTAAGTCATCAGACTTTCCCTTGTTCACAATATTAATTCTTTAGTATAGAACTTTCATTCGTACTTTCTGATGCCAGGAAATCCGGACATTCCATTTTACTATAAGGTCAATGTGGTTCGCAATGGCAAAACATACATGACACGTGAAATTCACGTTTATCAGCCCAGGGATTCCAAAGTTTTGTCACAACCACCTTTTAAACGCAAAGATCTTGTGTTTGTAGCCATTGCATCTTTCAAAACGCGCGACAAGTCCTCGGCCCCACTTCTTCATCAACGCGAACTGGCTTCACATTTTCGCGTGTCTGCAAACCGGCATCGTATTCCAGAGCTTGAATTGGCACCAGATGTAGATATTCCAATGTGGATTGAAATGGCAAAACAGCGAGGAGAACAACCAGCAGGCACTGAAGTTCATCCTCTAGAAGTACGCAAAATGGATACTACGGAATTTAACAAGGGCATTGAAAATATATCTGATCGGACACAAATTCATTTTTTCAAGTCTCACGACAAACTAAACGACGATATTAACCTTCACGTGTGAGTTTAGAATTTTTTATGCAGGTGGATTTCTTTTTTTTTTTTTTTTTAGCGTTAAACTAACTGGTTATAGGGCTGCACTTTTGTATGTTTCCGACCGAAACTCACTTTTCACTATTGCCAATTTACATGATCGCGAATACTTTTTAAAACAAGTTGCCTCGATTGATCATGCGTTTGTGATGCACAAAATGGATACTCGTGTAGATATAGATTGGATGACCATGGAGACGTATTCAAGCGCTTCTAGTGATGGACGAGGTTTATACCAGGGACATATTTATGACGAAAATGACGAACTTGTATGTTCATTTATGCAGGATGGTGTTTTAGGGCTTGTGGATGAGGCAGATAAAATGCTTCCAGGTCTTCTTCCCAAAAATGAATCAAAAGAGAAATTGTGAAATTTATATTTTTAGTGATAAAAGATGATTTAATATCTGCATCATTTAGAGTTAAAATTATTAAAATTATTATTAACAATAGATTTATTTATACGTATTATATAGTTCAATGGTACTTTAAGAACCAGCTTAAAGTAGTAAAATTTTTAGTTTTTTTTTTTTAGTTTTTTCTTTATTCAACCAAGCATTTACCAAGCGGGCTCACCGGGGAAAGGCTTCCACCAGATCCAACGGGGGGCAGCCTCAGCTTCAGGCATAGCATCACGCTTCTTCCAAGCAGGCTCACCAGGGAAAGGTTTCCACCAGATCCATCTAGGAGCAGCTTCAGCTTCAGGATTAGCAAGAGCATCACGCTTTTTCCAAGCAGGCTCACCGGGGAAAGGTTTCCACCAGATCCAACGGGGGGCAGCTTCAGCTTCAGCTTCGGCTTCAGCTTCAGGCATAGCATCACGTTTTTTCCAAGCAGGCTCACCGGGGAAAGGTTTCCACCAGATCCAGCGGGGGGCAGCCTCAGCTTCAGCAGCAGCTTCAGCAGCAGCTTCAGCAGCAGCTTCAGGAAGAGCGTCACGTTTTTTCCAAGCAGGCTCACCAGGGAAAGGCTTCCACCAGATCCAACGGGGGGCACGCTTCTCAAGGGATTCAGTAGAAGAATCGGAATCACCATCAGTAGCCAGAGAGGTAGTGTTAACTACATAAATGAAGTAGTTAGTACCATTGGAGATTCCAATGGGATATTCATCGGCACCAAGCTCAATGATGTCAACAACCTTTGCACCGGGAAGTTCAGTGGGAAGAGGACCAGTAGCAGACTCTTGAGCAAGAGCCACAGTAGCAAGAACAGCAGGGAATATGAAATTGGAAAGTTTCATTGTTATTTTTTTTTTTTAAGCTAAGAATGTCTTTAAATGATTATATTTAGAAAATGAAAGAAAGTGTTTATTATTATTATTGATGATGAGAAAAGAAGAAGAAAATAAAAAGTTGAATTGATGGAAATTCAGTGACCTTATATATTTTTTTAAAATTGAATTAAAATAATAAAAAAAAAACTAAATTTATATAATTCTCAAGATAAAAAAAAAAAAAAACGCCAATATCATTATTAATTGTGAAATATTCTTCAAAGTTTTCTTGTTGATTGAAATGCACTGCAATTTTGAAGGCTTTTTTCTTTATATCTTCAAAAAAAAAAAAAAAAAAAAGAGCCCTTGCCATAATGTTTCAAACCATTTTAGCAGATGCATGATCAAGGGTATATTTGAAATAAAAAAAAAATCCGAGATATATTTTTTTTTCTTTTGAATTGAAGGTTGTAGTAGTTTTTTTTTTTTTTTGGTTTGTGTGTAAGTGGCTAGGCATAATAATGTTGTACGCAATTCACTATAGTGCAGATCTTCAAAATTTCCTTTTTGGGACATCATTGGACACTTCCATTGCCATTTTACCAAGACCTAAAAAAAAAAAAAAAAAAAAAGAAAAAAAGCATCACTCCCCTCCAAAAACGACGCAATAAATGGCAATAAACGAAGTTTATTGTTAAAAAACTTATCAATAAAAATTAATTTTGGACTTTAAAATTGCTTACATGAAAAAGAAAAATGAAAGAGTTATGACTTTTTTTTTTTAGGAAGTTTACAGACTTTTAAAAGGTTGTATTCAATTAATTTTTTTTGCTCTTTTTTTGCTCTTTTTTTTTTATTTAATTGAACTTTTAAATATGATGGTAGATTTGCCATTTTTTTTTCCGGCATTTTAGACTTGTCATAATATTCTCTTGTATTGAAGCTTAAAATGATAAGGTTAATTCATTTTAAATCCAAAAAATGAAAATTTACCAAAAAAAAAAAAAGCTTTAAATAAATGAAAAAAAATACTTATTCTTATTCTTAAGAATAAGTTTAAAACAATATATATATTATATAAGTACTTTTTATAAACTAAAAAAAAAAAACTTGATAGTTGAAAAATAAAAGGCTGAATTTTACCAGACACATCTCGTAGCAAATTGGTTTCAAGCTATATTACATTTCAAAACTGTTCAAGTCTCTCTTAGCACGCAATTAAAAGAAAATAACTTGCATTTGTTGCCATTTTTTTTTTATTTTTTTTTATTTGGGTCTCTCTCTCCACAAAATATAATAAAGAAAAAAAAAAAAAAAAAAAAAAAAAAAGTAGTCCAGGGATTAATTTAGAAAAAAAATAAAATAAAATAAAAAAAAATTAATTAATTAATCAATGACAATATCAAGTTTCATGCTTATCAATTTTTTTTTTACCTCATCTAATCTCTAAAGTAGAAAAAAAAAAATTTATTATTCACAATACGGGGAGTTCTTTTTTTTTTCAATCTCGGTTCTGCCTTTCTTTTTTTTTTTAAACACAATTTGCTTTAGCCTCTCAATTCTGGAAGCTGCAGAAAAAAAATAAAAAAAAAATAAAAAAATAAATTCTTCCCTTTTCAAGTATTTTTTCCTCATTAAATATCTAAAATTTCATGAAACATATCCTGGAAAACGCTATATCAAAAACTTTTCAAGTTTATTTTTTTTAAAAAAAAAAAGATCTAATAGCACATCATAGAATGATTGAAAACATGTAAAAATATTTTTAAAAAAAAATATGGCTTAAAACAAAATATGGTATCAAATAACTTCTTTTATTAGCTACTAATATTAGATCTTTTTTTTTTCTCCAGTATTCTTATGGACAATTGAAAAAAAAAATATAAATAAAGACCAATTTCAACATTATTGTCTTCTTTTTTTTTTTTTTTTTTTTTTTTCTTCTCTCTTCTTTTCATTATCAACAATCATTATTACTTCACTCTTCCTATCTTTAATATTTGATTAATTAATACTTTCATCACAAAAAAAAAAATAAAAAATGAAATTTTCAACTGTCATTGTTCCTCTTGCTGCTGCTATGGCTGTTTCCGCAGCTCCTACTCCTTCAGAGTACTCTGCTTCTGCTTCCTCTTCTGACATTGCTGAAGCCACTTCTTCTTCAACTGTCCCCACTGATGGCCCTCTTCCTAACTCTCTTCCTGATGTTGATGTTACCAAGATCATCTCCATTTCCTCAGATCTCTACCCTATTGGAATCTCCAATGGAACTCACTACTTTGTGTATCTTGTGGATGCTTCCTCCATTTCCACAGAAGATACCGATGCTGAATCTGAGGCTACTGCTACTGCTTCCGCAGACTCTACTGAGATTGAAAAGCGTGCTCCTCGTTGGATCTGGTGGAAACCCTTCCCTGGTGAGCCTGCTTGGAAAAAGCGTGATGCACTTCCTGAAGCTGAAGCCTCTCCCCGCTGGATCTGGTGGAAGCCTTTCCCTGGTGAGCCTGCTTGGAAAAAACGTGATGCTATGCCTGAAGCAGAAGCTGAAGCTGAGGCTGCCCCTCGCTGGATCTGGTGGAAACCTTTCCCCGGTGAGCCTGCTTGGAAAAAGCGTGATGCTCTTGCTAATCCTGAAGCTGAAGCTGCTCCTAGATGGATCTGGTGGAAACCTTTCCCTGGTGAGCCTGCTTGGAAAAAGCGTGATGCTATGCCTGAAGCTGAGGCTGCCCCCCGTTGGATCTGGTGGAAGCCTTTCCCCGGTGAGCCCGCTTGGTAAATTTGATTTGAGTCACATGGTCCAAAATATTTCAAAAAAAAAAAAAAACACTTTAATCAATGTCTTCGAGCTGGTCTTGAAGATTAAAATAGCCAATAATATAATTTTTTTTTTTCAAAATAATTAATAGCTTACTAATTAAATTTAATCTTCTATCTTATATTTTTCTTTATTAAATGGCGGTGGTAATATTTTATTTTTTAATGACGCTCTAACCAATCCAATTCTATCAGTAAGAAGACTAAACATTACTTCAATTTCGGATTTAACACTCTTATTAACATTCTCATTAATAACATTGTCTTCAATCCAATCAGATAGTTTTTCCAAATCACGTCGGTAAATATCCTTTAGGGTATGATGGTATAGTTCTACTGTAAGATAGCTTGACGAATCCAAGATTTTGTACCTGATGATGTGTAGCAGAGAATTATAGAACGATGTAGGTAATGCTTTATCCTCTGAATAGAGCTTTATGGTATATAAGGCAAGCATAAATTGAGACTCGTTTTCATCATATAGTTGCAGTAGGTCAATACGAGAGCAATCTGTAAAATCTTGAGTTTCTATTTCAATGGGTTCAGAGCACTCTTCAAGAAATGAAAACATTTTGCGATTCAAAAATGTATTAATTTTAAGATTTAAAATTACAAAAACTCGCAATTTTTTTTTTTTTTTTTTGAGCATACAGATTTAAAAAAAATTTTTTTTTCCAAATGCACGTGACTGATAATTATATCAATGAGAAAGATGGCTGGTCAGAAATCAAAACGAGCAGATGAAGAAGCAAATAAATGGGTTCATTTGAGTTCTGTTAAGTTGTTTAGTTTTTTTTTTTTTTTTTTTTTTAAAAAATAATCTAAAACATAAAAATAAACGTGGTTAATTAATAAATTAATAAAATATATAAAATAAAATAAAATAAAATATAATCACAGTTTGGAAAATACCAAAAAGCACTTTCCCAATATGGATGTTTACAAAAAGTGGAAATAGAGACAATTCAAACAGGCTTCTTAAAAACCAGTTGTTATTTATTTTTTTTTTAAACAATACTTGCAATAAAACATTTGTAAAACTTTTTTTTTTTAAAATTATGAGTAACTTAGATTGAGTATAAAAAAATTTAAGTGTAAAAAGCATTCTACAGTCTTTTTAAAAAAAATAAACTTGTGACTTCTTTCAGGTTATTCATCTTGAAATGCTTTTCTTTCTTTACACTTTTTGAAAGAGATAAAAAAAAAAATCTCATGTTCAATGGTCAAATGCTTATACATCAAACAATTTGAATTTCAACTGTAGATTAATTTCATTCAAATAATGATTTCTGAATCAATTCAAGATTCAGAAATCAAATTGTTATAGAGTATAAATTCTTGTAATTTTCTTTGAATAAAAAAATAAAATAAAAAAAAAAAACCAACATCTCATCTTCTAATTCAATTCTAAATCAACCAAAAAAAAAAATGAAGTTTTCTGATTCTTTATTTGCACTTTCTGTTAAAATGGCTGTTTGTTCAGCCCCTACTATAAGCACAGTTTTCTTCCCTTCTTCAACTGCAAATACAATTTCTCCAACCCCTGTGTTAAATCTTCCAAGTGAATTTCCTTATACCAAATATCTTACTGGTATTAATTTAACAGAAGTTCTCCCCATCACGTGTAATCACTATCCTCTTGGAATTTCTAATGGTACACACTATTATATCTACTTGATTGATACTTCTAATTTCAGCCAAGACACCACTAATTCTGGAATAGATTCTGGGATTTCTATCTGGACTCAAGTTAATGATACTCGTTTTTTCAAAGTAAAGGAGGGGGCTCCAGCTTGGAAAAATAAAAGAGATGAACCTACTGTCAATAGTTCTCATCAATCTTTTGTGAGAACCATCTTATCTAAATGGAAACGAAAGGTTTCTGAAGAAGAGAAAATTGAGCTTAAACCTTGGTTATGGTGGAGACCCTTTCCAGGTGCTGCAATCTGGTAAAAGTTTAAGCTGGACTTGAGCTTTTGGTGACTTTTATTAATTTTTTATTTTTTTGTAAGACTTGTACAACAATAATATAATAAACCTTTCTATATGTAATTTTAGTTAAAAACAAATAAATTAAGATAAAAAAAAAAAAAAAAAAAAAAAAAATATCAGATCATTTAGAAAAAAAATAAAAAATAAAAATTATTCAATTTACACATTGAATTTATTGATTTTTGAAACAACTTTTGCTAGAATTAATTGGTAAAAAAAAAAAAAAAATTCTAATGGAGAGCAAAGCAAATTTATCTTTGGAATGAGAAATAAACTCAAAGCTTGCATTGGAAAATAAAAAAATAAAAAAATAAAAAAATAAAAAAAAATAAAAAAATAAATCTATTCAATAACTTGTATACCAGCCTAATGTTTTAAAATTTTTATGAGGATTTCAAGGATATTTTTTTATTTTTTTTATTATAGTATTTTATTTTTTTAAACAAGATTTTCTAAGAAATATTTAGAGTGGTGAGGGTGGTTCCAATGAAGTCCCAAAAAGGAAATTTACAAATGCGCACGTTTCTTGGTTTAGCTAACACAAAAAGTCAATTATTGCAGTGGTTGAAACCTCCCCCCTCCAAAATAAATTCCACCAACACTTGAGCTAATAATAATTGTTTATAAAATATATTCTACACCTTTTAAAGTATAAATAATTAAAAAAAAATTAAGCAATGACTCGTGGCTCACATATATTATTACTTTTATTTTTTTTATTACCAAAAAAAATAAAAAAAAAAAAAAAAAAATTAATTGAAAAATTAAAATTAAAAATGTTTTGAGCTGAATTTAAAACAAAAGGGACTCTCCAGCCTTTTTTTTTTTTATTTTTAAAAAAAATAAAAGTGCAATTTTTATTACCGATACTTGTTTATCAAATAATCTGTTTTAAAACAAATGTACTTTCATATAAATCAAAATGAACTTTTTTTTTTTTTTTTTTTTCAAACACTTTAGGTTGTAAAAAATCAAATATAAAATAAAGAAAATATCCTTATAGTTTCTTTTCAAAAAAAAAAAAAATTCTTTTCTTTTCTTTCTTTCTTCATTAAAAATCAAATCAATCAAATCTTTTCACTTCTTTATTAAACCCTAAACTTATCCATTCCAGTAATAATGAAACTTTCTACTTTCCTTTTCCCTGCTGCTCTTGCTACTGTTGCCCTGGCTCAAGAGTCTGCCACTGGTCCTCTTCCTACTGAACTTCCTGGTGCCAATGTCATTGACATCATTGAATTGACTTCTGAGGAGTATCCAATTGGTGTTTCTAACGGTACCAACTACTTCATCTACGTGGTTAACACTACTTCTTTGGCCCTTGATTCCAATGATACTGACTCTTCAACTGAGAGTTTGACCAAGCGCTCTCCTCGTTGGATTTGGTGGAAACCCTTCCCTGGTGAACCTGCTTGGAAGAAACGCTCAGCTCTTCCCAATGCTGAAGCTCTTGCTGAAGCTGAGGCCGAGGCTGAGGCCAATCCTCGTTGGATCTGGTGGAAGCCTTTTCCTGGTGAGCCTGCTTGGAAGAAGCGTGATGCAAATCCTGAAGCTGAAGCCAATCCTCGCTGGATTTGGTGGAAGCCTTTCCCTGGTGAGCCTGCTTGGTAATTACTTTTATATTAGAGAAAAAGAACATTTGAGCTGGCCTTAAATTTCATTTTTTTTTCTTTCTTTTTTAGTTGCTTATTATATAGAAGACATGTACTCCTAATTGATCAATAACAATAACAATAACAATAATAATATATTATATAATAATATTATTATTTTTTTAAACTTAACCTTGAAACCTTTTTTTTTTATTGTGTATTCATCAAATTTATTAAAGTTAACACATAATTTATAAAAAATTAACAAATATTCTGCATTCCGCAAAACAATAGTTGAAAACCCGTTATAATAAAACTAAAATATTTTAACAATGAAATGAAAAACAACCTTAAATCTTTTAAACATGTGCAAGTAATAGTGAAACAACTAAATAAATTAGACTACAAAGTATTGAACCTATTTGGGGAAAGATGCAATCTAATCATAAATGAAATTTAGTTTTTATTATAAAGTAAACTATTTTTTTTTTATGAAATTGAGACCAGCTCATGTGAAAAAATAAAAATAAAAAAAATTAAAATAAAAAAAAAAACGCATAGATTTACCAAGCAGGCTCACCGGGAAAAGGCTTCCACCAAATCCAGCGAGGATTGGCTTCAGCTTCAGCTTCAGCTTCAGCTTCAGCTTCAGGATTTGCATCACGCTTCTTCCAAGCAGGCTCACCAGGAAAAGGCTTCCACCAGATCCAACGAGGATTGGCCTCAGCCTCGGCCTCAGCTTCAGCAAGAGCTTCAGCATTGGGAAGAGCTGAGCGTTTCTTCCAAGCAGGTTCACCAGGGAAGGGTTTCCACCAGATCCAACGAGGGCTGCGCTTCTCAATAGATTCACCAGAAGATACAAGACTTTCGGCAGCCAAAGAAGTAGTGTTGACCACGTAAATATAGTAGTCAGTACCATTGGAAATTCCAATGGGATACTCGTCAGCGCCGAGTTCAATGATGTCAACAACACTTGCACCAGGAAGCTCAGTAGGTAAGGGGCCAGTAGCAGACTCTTGAGCAAGAGCAACAGTAGCAAGAGCAGCAGGGAGGATGAGAGCAGAGAATTTCATTATTTTAAAATAAAGAGAATGAGAGAGAAAGATGAGGATATATTTCAATTTTTTATGAAAAACTTTGAGTGATGAAAAAAAAAAAAAAAGAGTTGAAATGAAGGATTTTTTTAATCTTTTATAAAAAAAAACAAAATTTGAATTATAATTGTTGAAATATTTAAGAAATCTATTATAAGGGTAAATCAAGAATAGTTCTTTTTCAATTGATCAAACGTTGGCGACTGGGATACTTTTGTGTTTTTTTTTAAGTTACAATATTAATTGACCTCTTTTCTTTTTTTTCAACAATTTAGGGCATAAGTACCATCAGAAAAGTTTTTTTTTTTTTTTCAGGGGATATGATTATTTTTTATTCTTGAAATATTGCTTGGTATTGAAATGGTTTAATTTTTAATAAAGGAGACTACTTGAAATATTGAATGGTATTATATTTTCAAAATCTATTGAGGATTTATGATACTTTTACTATATACTATATATAGCTATTATTGCAAAAAAATTTTTTTCTATAGTAACGATAAATAAAGCAATGATGAAATTTTGAAATAAATTGAGAATTTTATCCTGGTCAACTTGACCATGGTCTTATTTTATTTTAATTTATTTTTTTTTATTTTTTTTCAAAAAAAAAAAAAAAAATTAAGAGCAATCAATTATTCAAAGTTTTGTTAAATTTCCTTTTTGGGCCAACATTGGAAAAAACACTAATTGTCTAGTTCAATTCATAAAAAAAAATATTTTTTTTTTCTTTTCTTTTTTTTTCAACCCATGTATTTTAACCAATAAACACACATCATAGTTATACAGCACCTAGTGTTAGGCAAGAGGTATTTGGAACATTGTTGGCCAGGGTATTTATATTGGTTGATAATTTAGATTGTACTAAAATTTCAAAATATATTTTTTTTTTTTTTTTTTTTTTTTTTCAAATATCATTCTTTCCAATAAAAGTTTCAAATGCCCTCCCCCCCGAAATCCAATTTTGTATAAATTTCTCTTTTGTATAGATTTTTTTTCATTGACACGTTCTCTTCATTTTATCTTTTCTCGTTACATCATATCACGTGAAATTTCCTACCATTTATTCACTTAGAATTTTGTTTTTTGTTTTTTGTTTTTTGTTTTTTTTTTTTTTTTTCTAATATAAAGTTCTCCGTCATAGGGGAAAAAAAAAGACTCGTTTGCTGGTGGAATAATCGATTCATGTAAGGCTTCAAGATCTTTTGATATTTGGTATTATAAATGAAGTTAGATATTTAGTTAAAGCTCGATGTTCATCGTAATCCTTTTCTGTCAAAATGATAAGATAAGAATAGATCTCTGCCATATCCTGTGTATCACCGAAGAACTCGGGTCGTCCTACCTATCGAAAAAGGAACCAACTCAAATAGAATGTTTATATATAAAATATAGAAGAATTTCAATGAGTGTAATAAAACATAAGGATATCTTACAAGATTAGATTTCAAATTAATTAAAATGTTTACCAAAGGCTATGATAGTCAAATCAAACTTTCGAGGTGCCTATTTGAAAGTAAAGTTGACAGATAACAAACGGATAAAGTACGGGAATCTCATTTTCCCAAACAAAATTTGTAAACTTATTTATACTCGCTGTGATCCTTTTGTCTCCCTTCAAAGAAGTTTTTTTTACCACCTACACATAGTTGAAATATTTCACCACTAATAACCAACTAAACACATCTTTACTAACTAAGCATTGCAATATGAGTTTTGACGCTGGTATGTAGATCCTTTTAAACAAAAAAAAATTTTTTTTTTTTACAAAAATTTGTTGACATATATTTAGACGTATACTTTAACGGCCAAAGAAAGGAGCTATACAGACTTCACAAAGAACTTATCGAAATCGAGTCCATCTCGGGCGATGGTACGTATCTGATTTCTTTTCTTTTTATGACACAAACTTTTAACTTTCTTCCGTGTTAATAGAAAATAGTGTGGGAATCTATTTAAAAACATACTTGGAAGGTCTCGGGTATACAGTGGAATGGCAGCCAGTTCCTGGAAAGACCAATAGAGAGCGGGCTAATGTATATGCATATAAGGGGACCGAACGCAATACACAGGTGCTACTGACTTCTCATATTGACACAGTGCCACCGTACTTTGGATATCGTGTAGAGGGTGACCGGATTTATGGACGAGGTTCAGTTGATGATAAAAACTGTGTTGCTGCCATGATAGTTGCACTAGAAGAACTTTTTGCTGAAAAAAGGGTAACCCCTGAGGATGTGGGTTTGCTCTTTGTAGTGGAAGAAGAAGTAGGAGGTCCAGGAATGCAATTTGCAAATAAAAACTTGGATATCAAGTCCTGGAAAAGCGTTATTTTTGGTGAACCGACTGAAATGAAGCTGGGTATTGGACATAAAGGTGTTGTTATGTTTGATTATGTTGCACATGGGAAAGCCGCGTAAGTAAGAGCAATGAATGGGTTTATTCTAGGCTAACTTTCTTTCTATTTTTTTTTTTTTTTTTTTTTTTTTTTGTTTTAGGCATTCGGGATATCCAGAGCTAGGAATCAACGCTACTAGCAAGCTAATTGATGCTCTGTACAAGCTTACACATTCACCACTTCCTAGATCTGATCTTTTAGGGGAATCAACAATTAACGTTGGGATTATTAATGGAGGAGTTGCAGGTAAGTTAAGTTATTCAATTGAAACTTGAAACAATTGTGCATTAATTTAATTTGACAATTTTTTTTTTTTTTTTTTTTTTTTTTTCAAATAAAAATAGGAAATGTAATTCCTGAATATGCTAAAGCCACTATCATTATTCGGGTAGCTAAAAATATTGAAAAGATTTTGGAAATAGTGAACTCCATTGCTGCAGAGTTTGATTTGGAGGTTGCCAATGTGTATTCAGTTCCTGAACAGTCTTTAGATTTCAAAGTTCCAGGGTTTGATGGAATAGCACTTTCATTTGTAACTGATGTTGCAAATCTTGATGGCAATTTTAAGCGGTTTTTGTATGGTTCTGGAAGCATTCATGTGGCACACTCTGATCATGAGTATGTTCCAATTAAAGAGCTTTATGATAGTGTGGATGGGTATAAGAAGTTGGTTCAATTTTCTTTGGAGAATCATTAGTAAATCGAGATTTTAGCAAATTATTATCAAAAAAAAAAAAAAAACAAGATTTTAACGTTGTTTAAACAAAGAGACTTAAAGTCATTAGAAGTTGCCTTTTTTGGATATGAACTAGACTTAATCTTGGGGTACTAAAGAATTGAGTACTTTTATTTGTAACAAAACATGTTTTTTTGAAATTTGCCAAAAATAAATAATAATTATTATAATAAAATTATTATAATAGAAGAAAAAAAAAATCTGTTTTAATTTTGATTATTTTATATATTTATTGAAATAAAAAAATAGTCTTTTTTTTGTAAATTGTTTCACTGGGCAATTAATGACATAAAAAACTAAAAATGGTCAAGTCCTCAATTGAGTTTGCAATTAATTTGATCGGTTAAAATAGATGAATAATTTCAAAAAAAAAAAAAAAAAAAAAAAAAAAAAACTATTTTTGAAGCCATAAAGTTATCAATATAAAAATTAGTTTGTTTGAAGGTTTTATTAGAACTGAATTGTTTTGATATGTAGAGTTTTACTTGAAGATTTTCACAATTTGAAAAGTTGTGACTAAGTCACTTTTTCACTTTTTTCAAAGGCTCAAGCTTACAGAATCTTTATTTACCATAAAAATTAATTTTTTTTCTTATATTTTTTTCAATGTTCATCAATTTGAAAGAAAAAAAAAAAGTTTCCATAGACTTTTAATGATTTTTATTCAAAACCTATTGAACTTTTCAAAATGATACTAACTCTTGTTTCTGAAAAAAAATAAATAAATAAATAAATAAATAAAAAGGACCATCTAAATATTTTTTTTTTATTTTTTGTAGATTTTTTTTATATTTTTGTCTGATAATGGCGGCTTTTTTTCATGTAACCCCGCAAAAAAAAAAATAAATAAATAAATAAAAAGCAACTTTATTCTATACGCCGCGCAATCCCCGAAGCGGTAGTTTGGCATTGGCACTATCCCTTCCCCACGTCGTCCACCCGCTAAGCTCAAAGACCCTCCAAATCTTCTTTTATAACCACCACCACCATTAGCCGCCTCTTCTTGTCCTTGTAATATATCTGACCAACACTACAATAAACACCTTATTTCGAAAAGTTTTTTTCTTAAACAATCCCATATCTTTTAGAATATCATTATCATGAGCTTTGACGCTGGTACGAAGTTTTTTTTTTTTGAAGGGAGGGAGGACTTTTTTATTTTTCTCGCTAGTATACCCAAGTAAAAGCTTAAACTGACACGGTCTCTTTTTAGACTCATATTTTAACGGTCCACGCAAAGAGCTTTACCGTCTCCATAAAGAGCTTGTTGAAATCGAATCCATCTCAGGTGATGGTACGTGATAATCCAACTGATTTATTTTGTAAATGAAGTATGAATCTAACAGATGAAATTTACTGTACATAGAAAAAAGCGTGGGGTCTTATCTTAAAACATACCTAGAGAACCTCGGGTACACAGTCGAATGGCAACCAGTCCCGGAAAAGTCAGGTCGCGAACGGGCCAATCTGTATGCATACAAGGGGGAGGAACGCAACACGCGTGTACTGCTGACATCCCACATTGACACGGTCCCTCCATACTTTGGATACAGTGTAGTAGATGATCGGATTTATGGACGTGGAACTGTTGACGATAAGAATTGTGTTGCTGCAATGATTATTGCTTTAGAAGAGCTTTTGACGGAGAAAAACTTAAAATCTTCTGATGTAGGTTTACTATTTGTTGTCGAGGAAGAAATTGGAGGACCAGGCATGCAGTTTGCCAATAAGCATCTAGGCATCAACTCATGGGAAACTGTGATTTTCGGTGAGCCTACAGAAATGAAATTAGGTGTTGGACATAAGGGAATTGTAATGTTTAATTATGTTGCCCGTGGGAAAGCTGCGTGAGTTAAAATGGAAGATTGGAGGTTTGTGATTTCCGTGCTAACTTCTACTTTAGACACTCGGGATATCCAGAACTAGGCGTTAATGCTACTGATACTCTGGTTGATGCATTGTACAAGCTTCGTCATAGTAGCTTACCCAAGTCAGATCTTTTAGGAGAATCCACTGTTAACGTTGGTATTATCAAGGGCGGTGTTGCTGGTAAGTTTTTGTTTACTTGAAAGTGTGTCAAAATTGTGTGACTAACAATATTAATTTTTTTTCTTTCTTTTTTCTTCTTCTTCTTCTTTTTCAAAGGCAATGTCATTCCTGAAAGGGCTGAAGCTTTCATTATGATTCGTGCATCTAAGGATACCAATAAGATCATTGACATTGTGAAGTCAATTGCTGCTGAGTATGAGAACCTAGAGATTGAAGAGTTACACTCTGTTCCTGAGCAACTACTGGAGTATGATGTGCCTGGGTTTGAGAGTATTGTGTTGGCTTATGCCACTGATGTACCGTATCTAGAGGGCAATTTTACGCGATTCTTGTATGGTTCTGGGTCTATTCACGTGGCCCATTCGGATCACGAGTATGTACCCATCAAGGAGCTCTATGATAGTGTGGACGGGTACAAGAAGCTTATTGAATTTTCTTTAGCGAAGTAACCAAAATAAAAAATTAAAATAAAATAAAAAGTTTTATAATAATCAATTATATCAATTATATTAGTTATTTTTAATTTTAATGTTGACAGAATGTAAGTTTGGAAATTACCCTTTTAGGACTTAAACAAAGCCCATCCTGCCACAACTCTTGTCGATAGATATATATATATATATATATATATATTTATATATACAATTATATATACAATTATATAATATTATAATATTATAATAAATAAATAAATTAGATTTACTGTTTCAAAAATAAATAAATATTGATATGTTTAGAATACTTTACCTTTTTTTCTAAAAAAAAAAGGGATGAAATGAAGTATCCATCATGGCTTTGTCTCTGTTTTATAATTTATGGCTGATCAGTACTAAAGGCAATTAATATACAAAAAAATAAAAAATAAAAAAATAATATTTAATATATTTTAAAATATTTAAAATATTAAAGTCAGGGTCCCCAAGTCATCAATTTTTTTCACAATTCTAAAAGTAGAAATAAAAAATTATTATTATTATTATTATTATTTCCCCCTCCCATTCATTTTAGAATTATCAATCAAGTGTTTCATGAAACCATTCTGTTATCATTTTTAAATCCAAAAAAAAAAAAATATATATATATAAATCAAAAGAAATCCTCAAATTTTTTCACTCTTCTTCTTCTTTTTCTTTTCTTATTATCTTCATCAAGTAATAATCATTCACTCGTTTGTAACCCAACTCTTCCAGATCATTACACTCTTTTTCTACTAATCAAGTAAAACAAAAAAAAAAAAAAATGAAATTTTCCACTGTCATTGTTCCTCTTGCTGCTGCTATGGCTGTTTCCGCAGCCCCTACTCCTTCAGAGTATTCTGCTTCTGCTTCTTCTGCTTCTGACATTGCTGAAGCTACTTCTTCTTCAACTGTCCCCACTGATGGTCCTCTTCCTAACTCTCTTCCTGATGTTGATGTTACCAAGATCATCTCCATTTCCTCAGATCTCTACCCTATTGGAATCTCCAATGGAACTCACTACTTTGTGTATCTTGTGGATGCTTCCTCCATTTCCACAGAAGATACCGATGCTGAATCTGAGGCTACTGCTACTGCTTCCGCAGACTCTACTGGGATTGAAAAGCGTGCTCCTCGTTGGATCTGGTGGAAACCTTTCCCTGGTGAGCCTGCTTGGAAAAAACGTGATGCTATGCCTGAAGCAGAAGCCAACCCTCGCTGGATTTGGTGGAAGCCTTTCCCTGGTGAGCCAGCTTGGTAAACAACTTTTTTTTATTTTTTTGACTCTAGAGATGAGCTGGTCTCTTCTCTTTCTTTTGTAACATTATATAAAAACATTTATTTTTTTTATTTAATAATAATAATACTTTTAAACCTATATCCGTTATATATATTTTATTTTTTCCTCCCCCCTTTCTTTACTTGGAGGATGTGGGAGCTGCCGGTTTGGGGACAGCACTACTGATAACAACACTTTTAGGGCTATCTGATACCTTTTTAACAATCTTTTCAAGAATAACCTTGGTTTCAACTTTCTCACCTTCCGGCTTAATGTCAGGTTCACTGATAGTACCATCACGAGTCCAGCCAGTCTGGAAAATGGAACCCATAGAGAAAATGGGGAATGGATGGGCTTCAGTGTTGAAAACAATTTTATCCAAAGCTAAATCTTCCTCATGTTCATCATCAAATAATAAATAAAGATATTTAAGAGTTTCAGAGAGCCAGAAAGACTCCATATTGTCACGGAAAGTGGGAGACTCTTTGTTGACATGATTGAGTGATGTAAAACCGGCATCTGAGTTTGGAATAAGAGCAAATTCCTTAAATGACTCAAAAATTTCCCACCCCCACTGGCGGTAAATAGGGTTTTTAGTTAATCTCCAAAGAATAAACAGCGACTCAACAGTTTCAGGGCGCTGCAGGTTGTGACCATCAAGACGCTTGACAGTAAAGTCTTTTGTACTATCGGCAGCATCATTAAAATAAACAATTTCAGGAGCAAGACCAGTAGGAGACTTGTTATAAAGCTCGTAACAAGTACGGGTCAATTCCATGGCCAAGCGGAAATCATTTTCTTGATTGGTGGTCCACTTCATTCTTCGAGCAGTATCAATATTGTGACCACCAGTTGCACCAATACCAAGCATACCACCAACAAAGCAAACCAGGTGATCCATCTTGGGAGAAAGGTTCCCCCCAATGCCATCTGGTAGTTCACCGATATAGGTAAGTTTATTTGGAACAGATTGAGCAACCATGTATTTCTTGATACCTTCAACAGCCTCGTCATACATTTCCTTGTAAATCTGTTCTTTGGAATCTGTTTGTAGGTATTGCTTAATAAGGTATTCGTAGTAAGAATCGCCACGGGAACCTAAGCGAATGAGTTGTCCCTGGTATTTGCCTGTATCAGGGTTCACATAAATGGGGACTAACCCACCCTTGGGTTTGTTTTTATCGAGAACAGCCATAATATTTTCAACTTTTTCCCAATACAAAGTTTCACCGGTAAGTTTGGAAAGATATTTGAATTCAAGCTGGAGAGTTGCAACTTCAGCGGTAGAGCTGGCGCCCATGTCGGTGTGTGATTTGATGCCAGCATGTGAGTGAAGGTTAACAGATGCATAAGGAATACCTGTAGGAGAATCAAAGGCACCCATAAGGCGGTTGGCCAGATCGGTGGCCTTGTCGAGATAGATGTCATCTTCAGTAAGGTAGTGTGCGGAGAGGAGACCACCAAGCATACGGATTGTAGTTTCAAAAGTATTGACGTTATAATCCATGTCATAATTCAGTTCATTTTTGACCCAACTGCGAGCACGTTCAAGCTCATCATCGAGGCCCATAATTTTGAGAGTGTCTAGGGAATCAACAATGATCCATCCAAGAGGTTTAGGTCCCATATTCATACCAGTACGCGATACAGGCTTGTAAATGTCTTTCCCCCATGCGTATTTCTCGTATCCTGCCCATGAGATTTTGAATGCATCACGGACTTCATCACGGCGTTTTTCCCAAGAAATAGAAGGTTTGACTGAAAAGAAAGAGGAGAAGAATCCATTATCTTCATCCTTTTTAGAGCCACGAGTATTGTTGGGGTTTTGTGCTCTGCCAAAAAGGAAGACGTAATAAAAGAAGCAAAAAAATGCAATGATCAATGCAATTAGTTTGCGTCTGCGAACAACTTTAGGAGAGCTTGAATACTCGGCACTATATGGTTTATCTTTATACAGGGGAAGTTCTTTGCTTTTTGAAGGCCAAAAGCTGTTGTCGCCGTCTAGCGATTTGCGCCCTGGCGTAGGAAAGGTCATAATTATGATATTAATGCAGATATAATTGACCTTAAAAGAGATTAATATTTTTCAACCAAGAAATATATCAAATAGAGAGAATCTTATAAAAATGGATATAGTTTATATATTGAAAAATAAAATAAAAAAAATAAAATAAAAAAAAATAAAAACCCTGCAATTCCCTTTGGCTGTGAAATTAACAGGTTTTTTATGGTTAATTTTTTTTTTTTTTTTACTTTACCTGGCAGGTTGTTTCTAAAGGGTATTTTTTTTTTGTGTGTGTGTATGTAATTGTGAAATTCCTAAAATCCAAAAAGAACAAATCATCGGCTATTTAAGTCACGTGAAAGAGTGACGTATTTATATTTAATATTTACTGGTTTGTGAACCATCACAAGTTTATTTTATTTTAAATATTTAATTAATTTAATTAATTTAATTAATTTAATTATAATAATTTCCCCCCTAATGGAGTTGCTTCGTATGGCCTCCGAACCACCCACCATTTTAATATGAAAGAAATTTTGCATTTTTCTATTTCACCACCACTAAACTTTTCTTTTTTTTTATTTTTTTTATTTTTTTAACACACCAAAACCCGCTGCAGCAGTCCCTATTTTGTCTATTCCCAATTCTATTTTAATTTTTTTTTTTTTTTTTGTTAAAAGGCAGCAGCTGCAAATTTTTTTCTTCTTCTTTTTCTTAATTTTTTTTTCTTCTTTCTTTTTCTTTCTATATATATTAAAATCCCTTTTTTTTTTTTTTTTTTTCATTGCTTTATCTTCTATCTAATTATTAACTTCTTTTCATCCTTTAATATCTTTCAATATGGGCATGCCTTCATTTCAGGCGGCCAACGCCATTGTTTATCTCACTTACGGTGCAATGCTTGCCATGGGTTTGGCAGTATCCTATTATTTCACCAAAAAAACAGGCTTCTTGTCTGGAAATGGAACTCAAAAAGCTCTTCCATTAGCATTAAACTTTGTAGCTTCTGGTATGTAAATTTGAATCAGTTTTTATTCTTTTTCTTTTTCTTTTGTGGTAGGACATATTTTGGTTATGGAAGTACACCTTTTGGTCTCTCAATCTTAGCAACATTTCTCGACACTCGATGTTTATTGGTCATGGTTTAGTCTGTTTATATATATTTTCTGTACCTCAGCAATTTCGTCTTGTTCTTTTTTTGTTTTTCACATACATTCGCCAAAGAAGGATTTCCCTTCTTTTTTTTTTTTTTTTCTTGAGTCGTTCAGCCGTCTCTGGTTTAAGAAAGTAGTTCTATAGTAACTTGGTACAGCGGGTGCTCCCCATCGCCTTTATTGTAGGTTTCCATTGTGATGGATATCCTTAAATAATAATGACTTGTGGGGTGGCTGAGATTATACCGTTTACACTCGATCAAGATAATACTTGCGTGAGAACAGTACCAAAAGACACTTCCTTAAACTTCATCTGACTACCCTCGGGCTATGTATGATATGATTTTCCATTATCATGTTGTCTCTCAGGGTTTTGTTATTTGAATCGTTGGTCACATAGGTTTATAAGCTTGACTTTTTTCTTTCTTTCTTTCTTTCTTTTTTTACCTGCATGTAATTGCTTTTCAATTCTTGTGGGTAATATTGTTATTTTTTTTTTTACATTGCTTTGTTAATTTGATTTTAATTAACTTATGCCTTGTATTTAATTGATATCTTTTTATCTTTCTGCTTACCTTTGACTTTGTTTCAATAACAAAACTCTGGACATGGCCCGTTTATGGTCTCGTTCATCTGCCTAACACTAAAGGAAAACGGCTTCGGCCTTGTCCTCTCTCTTTCTTTCTTTCTTTTCTAGCTATGGGTTGTGGTATTTTATTCACTTATCCTGAAATCGCTGCTATCGCTGGTGTCCAGGGTTTACTTGTATACGGTCTTTCGTCTGCCCTACCCATCCTTATGTTTGCTTTCCTCGGTCCCAAAATTCGTCGTGCCACCCCCCACGGTTTCGTTTTAACTGAATGGGCCCGTGAACGTTATGGCCCTATCACTGGCCTTTACCTTTCCTTTTTCACCATCGCTACAATTTTCCTTTACATTGTCTCCGAGCTTACTTCCATTCAATATTGTATCGAATCCTTAACTACTATGAACTCACTTGCAGTCATGATTGTCGAAGCCATCATCACTACCATTTATACCAGTTGGGGTGGTTTCCACACTTCCTTCATCACTGACAATATCCAAGGTGGCATGGTACTGTTGCTACTCATTATTTGCAGTATCGCTATGGGTACCCAAGTTCATATTGATACCTCTGTGATCAAGCCTAGTGGTCTTTTGGGCGCCTCTAAGCTCGGTTGGCAGCTTATTTATATCTTCCCTATTGCTATTGCTACTAACGATTGTTTCTTATCTGGATTTTGGCTTAGAACCTTTGCTTCTCGCTCCGATAAAGACTTGTTGATTGGTACTTCTATTGCTACTTTTATCATTCTGGTCTTTTTGGTTGTAACTGGTGTCACTGGTCTTCTTGCTTCCTGGTCCGGTCTTTTGTTGCCTGATAAGAGTGATGCCTCTTACTCCTTCTTTTACATTCTTCTCGAACTTCCTGCTTGGGTTGTTGGCTTTGTGCTTGTTTTCATTGTTATGCTTTCAACCGCTACTTTTGATTCTCTCGAATCTTCTATGGTTTCAACAATTTCAAACGATGTTTTCCGCAACAGACTCAAACTTATCTGGGTCCGTTTCCTTGTTGTTCTTGTCATGATTCCCTCCATTGTGGTTGCAACAAGAGCTCCTAATATTTTGACCATTTTCCTCATTAGTGATTTGATTTCTGCTGCCGTGGTGCCTTCCTTGTTGCTTGGACTTTGGAGCAAAATGTACTTCATTTCTGGTTGGGAAATTATTGTTTCGGGTCTTGGTGGTATCCTTTCAGTCTTCATCTTTGGTACTATCTACTATAACTCTGCCTTGGAAGGTGCCAAACTCATTATTCTTCAGAATGGTCTTTACGTTGATGACTGGAGTGCTTTCGGTGCTTTTGCTGTTGCTCCTGGAGGTGGCCTCATTTTTGGTGCAATCATGCTTGTTCTTCGCTTGAGTTTCCTTTACATTCGTTCTCGTGTTAAGGGCATTCCCTTCACAGCTTTGGACAAGCCTTTCCCCAAAACTACAGCTACCACTGAATTGCTTGATAATGAAGATGATGACTCTACAGATAAGTATGGTGCCACTCAAAGCACCGTACCTGTCAACAACAATCCTACAATTAGATACTTTGACAACTTTTTCGATTTTGACGAGTCTAACAAATGGAAGTCCATGTTCTTTGTCAATAACAAGGAAAGCAAAATCGACTAGTTACTTTTTAGATTATTTAGATTGATTGTTCTACGTGTTTTTTTGTTAGAAAAGTGTTTTTTTATATAGCTTAATGTTTATTGTATCTCGTCTTTTAATTTTTTTTTTATATTCCAAAAAACTTTGATCAATCGAGGAAGGCCAAAAAAAAAAAAAAAAAAAAAATGAGGGGATGCCGACGATCACCGACTCTTAGAAATGAACGGCACCAGTTAACCCCTCATTGCTTTTTTTTTTTTTTTCAATGGCTTATAAATGAATCAGACTGCAACCGTTGATATTTTTTTAAGTAGCTGGGTGAGTGAATCATCGATAAGCTTTTTTACTGTTGGAACCAAATAAAAAGTGGGGCTTTTAGTAAAAAAAAAAAAAATAGAATTATAACAGTGCAAGTATACTAATATTGGTAAACTTGTATCTTTTTCTGTTTTATAACTTTTCATTTTTTTTTATCATTTTATCTTTTTTTTTTTCAAAAATAAACCCCCGAATGTTTAAACCAACTTTTTTTTTCAACTAGTTAGATTAAGTGAAATTGTCTTTGTAATTATTTTTCAACAATACTCGATTTTTTTCACCTACTAAAAGACCAAAACACTCTTTTTTTTTTCTTTGAAATTTTTTATCCTATATTTAAAAATATTGGCTTAACATTGAAAAACTTTAACATGTAAATGTAATCAAAATAATTGGACTTTAGTTTTTTTTTTTTTTTTTTTTGAATGAATGAATGGATTTAGTGGAGATATTGACAATTATCTTCTCTCATACAAAAAGTTTCTTTTTTTTTTTATTTTACCGAAAGTTTTCTTAAAATTCAGAACATCTAAAACCGACATACTATTAACTATTAACCAAGTAAATTCTCTAACTTATTCTTTTCATATTTTTAAGTTCAATTTTTTTTTTTTTTTTTTTTTTTTTTTTTTGGGGGGGGGAGTTTGAAATAATGATTTTGCTGTCAAAAATATGCCTGTCATTCCTTTTTCTTTTTAAAAAAGGTCATGAAAGCATTAATTTAAAAACTTCAAAAGTGCATAAAACCGTTCTTTTGACCACATGGATGATGGTATTTTTAAAAGTAATTATTTTTAAAACAAGTGAGAATAAATTAAAGAATAAAGAATCTCGTTAAAAAAAAATGCATATTAGAGTTGAGCGTGTTTTTTTTGATCATTTGAATTCTTAAAGAGAACATTTTAAGTATAATCATACTTTATGAAATAAAACCCCTCCGTTTGCATATTGAAACTAGCCCAAATTGTGATAAACAATCTTAATATTTAAAAAATAACGGTTGTTTTTCTAGAAGAAAATAATGTTGGTTACGCTTGGGGGATAACATCAAACAATGCTTCTATGCAAAAAAAAAAAAAAAAAATACATAATTATGGATTTATATTTTTCGCAAATAAAAAAAAAATTCAACCAAATCCCCTTGCGGATCACTTTCCTATTTATTAATCTCAAGTCAATCATGAGTTCTTTTTTAAAAGCCTTATTTAGCGAAAGACCCTTAAATTTCAAATCATGAACTTTACAACTTTTTTATCAGTAATTCCATTCCTTTTTTATGTTGGCATTTTTTTTTACAAATCCACTGTTCTTTGACATTATTATTACTTATATCTAATTAACATCCCCACAAAATAAATACATACAAATGTTAAAATATATAGATGTTTCAGTTAGAAAGTATATTGATTCATCTTTCTTTCATTGATCCCCCTCATATTTTACTTAAAATCTGAAATTCACTTCATTATTTTCCTGTCCGTTTAGTCAGGTTCTCCCCACTATTATTTTCTGTTCTTCAGGGTTTTTTTTTTTCCTAACAATTCATGTTCTATTTTTTGCAACACTGGTATAATTTATAAATCCAACAAAAGTTTATCACTTAATTTATGCTATATACTACCGAATTTATTATTTCAACAAAGCATTAATGATGTGCATAGCTTAAAAATAGGGGGGAAGATATTCATTGAAACTAATAATAATGTTCCTTCAAAACAAATAGACTTTAGAGCAATCAAGGTTCGCTTCAAAAAAAAAATAGATTTTTTTAGAGACAAAATTTGCAGTACACCCGGCCTGTCCAACTTTGCATTATTTTCTAAGGCAGAACGAGCGAAAACAAGGGCTGGTGTGGGTAATTAAGTTTTATCTCAAGATAATTTTACTAATAAAAACAGCTTCATATTCAACCCCTCTCTCTTTCTTTTTCTGTTTTTTTTTTTACTTCGAACCCCCTCATCATTGTTCAATTTCACAGTTATACAGGTCCACATGATTGATTCATATTTTCAAATGAATATAAAAACTCCAAGAATTTCACCAAGTTTTTCTAATGGGTTTTTTTTCTTTTTTTTTTTATTATTATAAAATCCTTTTGTTCAAACTGCCCATCTTATTTTTTTTTTCATCTTTTGTAACAAATTCTATCTTGAAAAATGTTTAAGGTCTACAACCCTTACCTAATGGCTCTCATTGCCACGGTAGGTGGTATGCTATTTGGTTTTGATATTTCCTCTGTCTCTGCTTTTGTTGGCCAGGAAGAGTACCGACGTTACTTTGGGTATCCCAACAGTGTGACTCAAGGTGGTATCACAGCCTCAATGGCCGGAGGCTCTTTCCTCGGTTCCTTATTTGTTGGTCCTGTCTCAGACCGTCTGGGTCGCCGGCTGGTGATCCGAATGTCTTCTTGTATATGGATGATCGGCGCCGCAATTCAGTGTTCGTCTCAAAACAAAGGCCAGCTAATTGCTGGACGTACTATTGCCGGGGTTGGTATTGGGTTTGCCTCTTCCCAGATTCCTGTTTATGTTGCTGAACTTTCTCCTAAAAACATTCGTGGAAGACTAGTGGGATGCTTCCAATGGTCTGTCACATGGGGTATTATGATTATGTTCTACATTGGCTATGGTTGCTCGTTCATCAAAGGTCCTGCTTCATTTAGAACTGCGTGGGGTATTCAAATGGTCCCTGGGTTTATACTTCTTCTTGGAACGTATGTTTTGCCCGAATCACCCCGTTGGCTTGCATCAAAGGATAGATGGGAAGAGGCAATCGATATTATCGCACATGTTCAAGCAAAGGGAAATGACCAGAGTCCAGTAGTTCAAACTGAAATTGAAGATATCCGCGAAGAAATTGAAATTCAACGCCAGTACAGCCATTTAACTGTTTTTGATTTGTTTCGCAAAGGAAACTTGAACCGCACCATGGTGGGCATTTCTGCACAAGTTTGGCAACAAATGACAGGTATCAACGTCATGATGTATTATATTGTTATTTTGTTTGAGATGGCCGGCTACAGCGGAAATGCTAATCTTGTCTCATCTTCGATTCAATATATTATCAACGTGGTTATGACAGTGCCCGCTCTTTTGTTCATTGACACCTGGGGCCGCCGACCTTTGCTCATTGCTGGAAGTATTCTAATGATGGGCTGGTTGTTTGCCGTTGCAGGGTTAATGTCAGTATACGGCACGCCTATTAATAATTATGATGGTAATGACTTGATTCGACTTGTCGTCAACGATGGCTCTGCCTCAAAAGGTATCATTGCGTGTTCGTATCTCTTTGTCGCTACCTTTGCGCCTACCTGGGGTCCAGGAATTTGGATCTATGTCTCGGAAATTTTTCCTACGTCTCAACGCGCTCTTGGAAATGGTGTCTGTGCTTCTGCAAACTGGATTTTTAATTTTGCACTTGCCATGTTTGTTCCTTCAGCTTTTAAGAACATCACTTGGAAAACATACATTATTTTTGGTGTAATGTGTATCTGCATGTCGATCCACGTCTTTTTAATGTTCCCAGAAACAAAGGGCAAGACACTCGAAGAAATTAACTTAATGTGGGAATCAAATGTTCCAGCATGGCAGTCCCACAAGTGGCAGCCTCCCGTTCATGCAAACAATTTTTTGAGTGAGTCAGAGGAAAAGGAAGTTACAAGCCATCAAGAAACCTCAGCACCATCACCGATTGTAACAAACGAACCTACTGCTTAGAAAAAAAAATCTGGAACAAAACTAAATTAAAAAAAAATTACGAATTAATGATTTACTTTATGATTTAATGACTTTTATTCCTAAATCAAATACTTATGGATATATTTTATAAAAAAAATAATTTGTTTTATTGATGAAAATTATTACAAAAATAATGGTCTCTGGCGGGATCGAACCGCCGATCCTCGCGTTTCACAAGGAAGTTGCTTGTTTATTAGCACGATGCCTTAACCAACTGGGCCAAGAGACCAATTCAATAATTGTTGTATATAGAAGTTACTTTGGCATTATAAGGTTAATTTTTAATAAATTGTTGTAAATTAAAAAAAAAATAACTAATTTATTGTAAGCTTTATCTCTGCTTGGAGGGATTAAGAAATACAATTACAGCGTTGATGAAGACAAGTGGAGATAGGTTGGGAAGGTTTGGTTATTTTTAACCCCCTGTTCCTCGTAAGCTGGCATCAGGACTTATTTTCGGGCTGTTGGAGATGCAATGTTGAAGCCAAAATTAAAAGTTTATTATTAAAATGAAAAGATATATAGTATGGACAAGAAGGATAGCGCAGATGCTGATGTTATATAATTCTATAACCCTTGAATAAAAACAAACAAACAAACAATAACTAATTTAGGGGAAAGGGCTGGATGGTGTAAAGGGTAACACGTTCGCTCGAAAGCGGAAGATACTGGGTTCGATTCCCAGAATACCCCCTTTTCCTGAGGATGTGTACGGGAGTATACACCTAGACTGAAAACCATAGGCTACCCTGGTTACAGGAATGCCGACTCTTCCGTACAGTCTAAATAGCCTGCAGGTGATTGCGGGCCGTATCTCTGACGGAAGAGATTAAGAAATACATGGGCGTCCGTGAAGATAAGTGGAAATGGGTTGGGAAGGTTTTGGGACCGACAGACTGGTTCTCCCTGTTCCTCGTAAGCTGGCATCAGGGCCCATCTTCCGGGCTACCGGAGACGCACAGAACAGAAACCACCAGTACTAAAAAGGTACAAATGAAAACCGGCAAGTCACATAGTCAGACAATAAAAGGATAGCGCAGATGCTGATGTTATATAGTTCTATAACCCTTGAATAAAAACAAACAAACAAACAATAACTAATTTTATTAAAAACATATTAATTTTTTTATATTTAAATTAAGTTTATGAAATATATTATTTCAGACGTGTTTTTACCTAATGGATAATTTGTATACATTACAATATATTGTATATATATACAGTTTCATATTTTTCTTGTAAAGCACCTTCACTAAATATTAGAAGCCATCCCAATGTTTTTGAAAACTTTTAAAATTTTGATTGTTGAGATGATAAAATAAAACAAATTAACACTCCATCTGGAAGTTTTGATAATTTTTGTATTTACCACAATAGAAAACAATCAAGTTTGTTGAAGACAATTATCTTCAATTACTCCAAAAGTTTAAATACCAAATTTTTATTATTTTTTTTTTTTTCGTTGAAATGTGCCGGTAGTAACCAGTATAAGGTGTCTAACGTTTTGAAAATATTCAGTAATCTGACTTAAAAAAACTGACAACAACTCAAATTAAAATGAATCCTGGAGCTATTTAAAATTGATAGTACAAATTTAAAATAAAAATTAATGAATACAAGTGACCTCAAAGCTTGAAAATGCAATCATCTACCCCAATATTAACATCTTTACACCAGTCTTATCATATTGTTACGATACGATATTTTGAAAAATGATGTCTAATCAAGTGCTCATGGATTATGTAATTTCATAATATTAAATTTTTTAAACATTACTCTCACCCCAACACAACTTAAAATCAATTTCTCAAAAAACACCAAAAATCAAAGAATCCAATGAATTTAACAAAAAAAAGAGTAGTTATTTATTTGAAAACTTAAATTAGTAAATGATTTAGCTAAAGACATTTCAAGTATAAATCAGATGCCATTACTGGTTTAAAAAAATAGAAAATATATATATATATATTTTTTTTTCATTTTCCACTACTTTCAATAATCCATTTTACTTCATTCATATTTCTTAGTATAATATAAAGTCCATCATCCTTGTGATTGTTATTATGGTAAATCAACAATTAATATTTGTGTTTTTTAAATAAAAGATTTGTTTCTATAAAAGTTGTTAGATTGAGTCAATAATACATTATGTTCGTTTGTTTGTTTTTATTCAAGAGTTACAGAATTATATAACATCAGCATCTCCACTATCCTTCTAGTCCAGACTATATATCTTTTCATTTTTATAACAAACTTTTAATTCTGGCTTTAAAATTGCATTAATACATTATGTTCGTTTTGTTTTGTTTTTATAATTTCTTTGTGTCTGTTTCATTATGTTCTTGTTTGTTTGTTTGTTTTTATTCAAGGGTCATAGAATTATATGACATCAGCATCTACGCTATCCTTCTTGTCCATACTATATATCTTTTCATTTTGATAATAAACTTTTAATTTTGGCTTCAACATTGCATCTCCAACAGCCCGAAAATAAGTCCTGATGCCAGCTTACGAGGAACAGGGGGTTAAAAATAACCAAACCTTCCCAACCTATCTCCACTTGTCTTCATCAACGCTGTAATTGTATTTCTTAATCCCTCCAAGCAGAGATAAAGCTTACAATCTCTTGTAAGCCAGTTAAACTGTTTAAGAGAGTCGACATGTCCATCTCTGGAGATATCCGTTTCAGTCCTTTTCTTTCCTCTTCAAGCAAAGGACACTCAACTAAAATGTGATGAACTGTTTCCAGCTCTCCACATTTGCAGTTGTAACTATCCTTTTCAATTCCAAACTTTTTAAACCATGCGCCAAAGTCGCCATGGCCTGTGCGAAACTGAGTAATATTACTCAAGATCCTTTGACTATCTTTCTTCATGATCACTCCCGTGACCATTTTGGAATGTTTCATTATGTTCTATATTACTGTTGAATATCTTAATACTGTTAAAGTGTTTTATGGTGGACAGTATAAATAAAGTTTTCACGTGATCGGACTCCGTGGCCAAGCTGGTTAAGGCGCACGACTGTTAATCGTGAGATCGTGAGTTCAATCCTCACCGGGGTCGCTAATATTTTTTGCAGATTCATTTTTTACAGTAGACATTTCCTTTTTTTTTTTTTTTTTTTTTTCAAAAGTCAACGATAGTTTAATAATTGAATTCTCTTATAAATGTAAAACTTCAATTCTTTTTTAGAAAAAAAATTTTTAAATTAATCATCCTTTATAAAAATTATTCTTTTTTCCATTTCGTCTTAGAAAATATCTAAAAAGAAGGATGTTATAATCAAGAAGAAACAATAAAAGGAAAGAGTTACTAAATAACCTTTGATTCTCTTGAATTTATGGTCTTAGAAGTATTATGGAGTTTTTATATCAATTTTTAATGTGTGAAAAATTAAAGTAAATTGTAGAGAATGGAGATAAAAAAATGATCCTTTATTAGTAAATCACAAAAAAAAAAAGTTATAATTATAAAATAAATAAAAATGGAAAATGACTTTTTAGATGCATATTATTGAATAAAATGACACTTTCATCTTTTAAGAAATACTTTTTGGATTTAAATACTAAAAGTATTCTAAGATTTTAGAATTCATTGTATGTGTTTCTTAAACGGTCAACGAACCTTTCAAATTTTCAGAAAACAGCAAGCTTTCATGTATCTCAATGAATTTAGACCAAACCTGTATAGTTATGAATGTTCGTCAATTTAACCTGTAGACTGATGAGACATATCAATAGATTAAAACAAATAAAAATATTAAAAAGATATCTGTCATAAATAGCCAATGTTAATATTAATATGATTTTAAGAGTAATTCATGAAGTTTGGTGGTTACTACAATTTTCCAGACTAGTGTCAAATTTCTTAAAAAGATAATAGCACGTGATTATTATTACGTAATTGTGTTTTGGGTGTGATATATTACATTTCCTGTTTACTTTTTTAAGGATTAGGGTTCGATGGTCTAGTCGGTTATGGCATCTGCTTAACACGCAGAACGTCCCCAGTTCGATCCTGGGTCGAATCATTTCTTTTTGGTATTCATGTTTGTGACCGACCAGTGTATTGTTGAACCATTAACTGTCAAGGTATAACTTTTAGCGATTCTGTTTATTGGTGTCCCGAACTGTTGTGATTAATGTATTTTAGCTTTGAGAAATTGATTTAACTTCAGTTTGAAGCTCTTCCAACTAAGCTGAATCCGCTTTATTGATGACAAAAAAAATGTTTGAAAATCCAATTGTGAATAAGTGAACTAGTTTTTCATAAATTCCAGTTCAATGGAATAACCCGGTTTATGCAATTGAAAAGAATTTTGTTCTACGGCAAAAAATACAGATATTGTTTCCAAGATGTCCCCATTTTCTGCAGAGTTTACTGGAGTACCCCCTTCCACAGAAAAACCAGCGCTACCCTGGCCTATCATTAGGTTTACTTGAAACCACTTTTTGAATTTGTTGGTTTAAGAAATATTAAAATTTTTATATGAAATTAAAAAAATTGTCAATAATTAATGGACCTGTAGAAATGAAATTGATAAATTACTTAAAATATGTATTTTCATAATCATTAAATAACACTGCTAAAATGTTTAAAAACAAAAAACAAAAAACAAAAAATATTCAGAATTAGAGAATTTAAAAATAAATAATAAATTTTGAAGTTACTTAATTTTTTTATTGTGTTTCTTTCTAGACAAGTCATAGATGTCTATATTATATCTTCTTATAACTTTGAATGTTCTAAACCAACAATCTGAGAAAATCTGGATCAATCTTTAATTTAAATTTCTTTATCACTTTACACATTTCTAACTAAATTCAAATTAATTAATACTAATAATAATAATTGACATTGTTAATTGATTTTATTAAAAAAATAAACTGGTTCTTCTATTCAATTGAATAATTATCTGAGTGTTTTATCATTTCATTAATTTTTTGGCTATACACTAAAATCACTGATCGCAATTTTTTTTTTCAAAAATTTGATGTGCTTATATAATCACTTAAAGTTCAAAATCTTTCACCAAAGCGCCAAACACTAAACTTTTTTTTTTTCTCAGCATTACTCAACACCAAGTTTGCAAAAATTAGAAAAATTAGAAAAATTAGAAAAAATCTCAAAACTACAAATTTTCAACCAAATAAAAAAGAATAACAATTGATTAAAGATGTAAAAAGTGATTCGACCCAGGATCGAACTGGGGACGTTCTGCGTGTTAAGCAGATGCCATAACCGACTAGACCATCGAACCATTTTTGTTAGAAATAACATCTCTAGGTCGTATTTAAGATAATGCCATATAATGTAAAATTACATTTACCCAATTTTTTTAGCCTTTTCCTTGAATAAAAACAAACAAACAATTTTTTAGCCTTTATATTGTTAAATTATTATAATTTCTGTTAAAATTTTTGGTTGCTGAATAGATTTGTAAAAGTAAATAATTAAATTAGGTTGAAAACACCTAGCAACATGAACTTTTGATGGAGTTGCATAAAATCCAACATTTTCTATTACCTTTAGTTATTTAGAAAACTTTGTAAAAATAAATATAGAATTAATTACAGAATTTACCAATTTATTTAATAAAGTATTTTTTTTATTAATTTCTGTTATTTATACTTCTCTTAAACTTGTATTTTTTATTTGGTTCAACAATCAGAGAATTCACATATTACTTTATCCTATGTCTTTCTTAATTATTTCCCTCTTTTATAATTATTTTTAATTTTTTTTTTAAAATATATTATGATTTCATATTTAAACTAATATCTATCAAATATATAAATGTATTGGAATACTTTGACATGATTATTCGTGCTTATTTTTTTACTTACCCATATTTTTTGTTGTTCACTAAAAGTTTTTTTTTTTTTTTTTTTTTTTTTTTTTTTTTTTTTTTTTTTTTTTTTTTTTTCTATTCTCTTGAAAAATACATGCTTACGTAACATCACAAACTTTAAAACAAAATTTTCTTTTAGACATTTTCCTGACCACCACAGCTCAACATTAAGATCTAAGGAACTTGAATAATAAAAGAATCAAAAGTTCTTAGCAAATCAAAAAACATAACAATTGATTAAAGATGTAAAAAGTGATTCGACCCAGGATCGAACTGGGGACGTTCTGCGTGTTAAGCAGATGCCATGACCAACTAGACCATCGAACCGTTATTGTTAGAGCCCATAGGCAATGAGGCCCATTTGTAGTATTGCAAATATTTGCAATACATTGTAAATTTGAAATTGAATCTATTATAAATGATGTGACTATTACCAATGAAGGTAAAATTGAAGAAAATACCAAAAGCTTAAGCAACATATTAGAAAAATGTTGTAATTGGGCTAAATCAAGAATGACCAAAATTGATTTGGGTGATAAATTGGGTTTTATTCATTTTACAAAAAATGTGAAACCTAAAGATGAAAAAGTGCAACTTACTTTACCTAATGGAGAACTTCGTGAACCCCAGAAGGAAGTTAAATTGCTTGGAATTACTTTGAACAATCTGCTTGATTTTAAATCTCATATTTTGAATAAAATCAATAAAGCAAGAAAAGCTGTTGGCGCTATTTGGCATCTTGGAGGCGTGCAAAAAGGTATGCGAGGGTCTGCAGTCAGATCACTGTATATTGCTTGCGTGAGACCAATTGTTGAATATGGCTTAGAAATTTGGCATCATAAAATCTTGAAAGGAGAAATCCACAAGTTGGAAGTAATGCAGAACATGGCTTTAAGAAGAATTGTTGGTGCTTATCGCACAACTCCTATTGCGGTATTACAAAAGGAAGCTGGTATAATGCCATATAGTATTAGGCTAAAATTTATGGTGGCACGAAAAGCTATTCGTTTACACCTAAATATTAGCAAAACTAATCCTATTAATGGTCATTTGTTAACATTGATTGAGAAATCTCCAATTGCAAAGCTAACCACGCTTTACATATTGGCGAAAGATGATAGAGACTACATGATTAAAAAGGATGAAAACGAAAATGCAAGAGGGTTGAACCTCTTACACTGAAACAACAACAGAATCAGACGATTGGAATTTTGAAGAAACAAGCAATGGAAGAATGGCAGGAAATGTATTGGAACAGCAGTAAGGATCTGTGGTATCATAATATCACAGTGGAGTCGAAATGTACTGATAATCTTTCCAAAATGGTTACGGGAGTGATCATGAAGAAAGATAGTCGAAGGATCTTGAGTAATATTACTCAGTTTCGCACAGGCCATGGCAACTTTGGCGCATGGTTTAAAAAGTTTGGAATTGAAAAGGATAGTTACAACTGCAAATGTGGAGAGCTGGAAACAGTTCATCACATTTTAGTTGAGTGTCCTTTGCTTGAAGAGGAAAGAAAAGGACTGAAACGGATATCTCCAGAGATGGACATGTCGACTCTCTTAAACAGTTTAACTGGCTTACAAGAGATTGTAAGCTTTATCTCTGCTTGGAGGGATTAAGAAATACAATTACAGCGTTGATGAAGACAAGTGGAGATAGGTTGGGAAGGTTTGGTTATTTTTAACCCCCTGTTCCTCGTAAGCTGGCATCAGGACTTATTTTCGGGCTGTTGGAGATGCAATGTTGAAGCCAAAATTAAAAGTTTATTATCAGAATGAAAAAATATATAGTATGGACAAGAAGGATAGCGCAGATGCTGATGTTATATAATTCTATAACCCTTGAATAAAAACAAACAAACAAACATGAATCTATTATAAAGTATAGGAAATAATTTCCAAAAGGCTAAAGTATATTTGTTTAGTTTTAATTAATACTGAGTGCTTTTCTGAGATGTTTTCCTTTCCTGAAGCGAAGGTACGAAGGTATATACCTCAATTAAACCTTCAAGCTATCCTGTTGAGAAGAAATAACGACTCTTCAGTTTATATTAATTAACCCGCAGAGTGATTACAGTGTTTATTTTAATTGGAAAAAATATATATATGTCCGTAAAGACAAGTTGTTAGGTTTGAGACAGACAAACTGGTTTTCTTTTTTTTCTATTTTTCTCGTAAGCTGCAATTTAAACCCATCTTCCAGGATATCTGAAAGGCAAATATTAAATCTACCCGCAATAAAAAAAAAAGATACACCAGTGAGAAAAAATCACCAATGTTAAGCTTTGAATTAAAAAATCTCCATAATTTAAGCTACTTTTAAAAATATCTTAATAAAAATTGATAATTAAAAAAACGGCTATCTCAAAAAATGAGGCTTTATTCTAATTTATTGTTTTAAAAAAAAGTTAATATTATCTTTTTTAAAAAAAGTTTTGAGCGATTTGGGTTCAAAAAAAAAAAAATAACCAAGGACTGAATGTGTAAATACTAAACAATTGAAATAAGATAAAGAAAAGAGAGGCTTATTCAGATAATACAAAAGAATAAAAACCTCTAATTTTTCCGTTTTTTTAACGGCTTTTTGTGTATGTAAGAAAGAGATGAGGTAAATAAAAAAAAATTTCCGGTGAAGTTTCCCAAGTTCCGCTGATTAACGTAATCTTGGAGATTTTTGTATGGGCTTCTGGGTAAAACAAACCATTGATTTTTTTCCGGGTTCCTATTAAAAAAAAAAAAAAAAAAAAAAAAAAAGAGAAACCAGGTTTTCCAGAAAAAAAAAATTCATGATTAAAATGTCCTCTGAATATCATTTTTTTGGTCTATCGAAAATTAATTTTATTGTTCAACAGCTACTAAACCTCCTTCGAGTTTTTTTTTTTTTTTTTGACTTTATTTATATTTTTTTATTTTTTTCTAATTCGTATTGAACAATTAAAAAAAAACAAAAGAAATCACTTTATAAAAAAAAAAGTCTTCACTTCACAAAGCATTTATACATAAATAAGTCGTTATTTGTTTTTTTACAAAACCAAACTACATATTCTGTAAATCGAGATCAAGTGTAGAATAAAATATTTTTTATGAGAGCTATTTTATATATGTATACTTTTATCAAAGAAAAAAAATCCGGTAATAACCCCCATCAACCGGGCCCTCATTTTGTCATTTATCATTTACAATTCTCCAATCTTTTAATGTGCAACCTCACCAAACATCCTTTCTCTAATATTAATACCAATAAATAAATAAAATACAAAATAAGCTAACCTTTTTCTATATCCACCCACCAAATTGGCCCGTGACCCATGAGCCTTCGTTTCTGACTATGCTCTGCATGTCCTCATCAGTCAGCGGCTGGTCTTTGGCATAACAAAAGTCGTACAAAAACACGTGCGACTTTTTGCAGCTTCCGCGATACCGCTCATCCACCGTTGCCGGCGTTGCAGCACCCTGTAAGTGATACCGCCATCCGGATCGGTTGCTTGCACCAGGCGCCGGCGGTGTTGGTGGGTGATTGGGTGAGTGCGAAGGCTTACCGGGCGATTCATTAGTAATGGAGGCCGTCAATGCTGTGGTTGTTGAGGCACTAGAGATTCGCGTAGTTGTTGAAACATCTGAAGTCCGTTTAGTGCTCGAAGAACTGCGAGCGGATGAGCTGCTGGTGCTACCATTCCTGCTGGTGCTACTAACAGAGCCGTTGCTGTTACTGCTGCCAACAAACGGGCCAGGTGGGGTGCCTGCACGGACATAGTTTGTATTATTGGGGAGGATTCCGAAAAACGGACAAACTGAAAATACACCGTCATCTATTATTGGCAACGACTCGTCATAAATAGATCTGAGAACCCCATCCTTGTCGCAGAAAGTGGGGTCTGTATCAACGAAATGGAGAAGGGCTTGTTTAAGTTGTGGCGGACGATGATGAAGAAGGAAATTTGTGAGAGCCAGAGATGAGTAGAAGCAGACCTCGGAGCGTTCTAATTTAAAGTACTCCAATGCGCGGAGATCCGGGAGCACGGAGAAAAGAGCGTCGTAAAACATCATTTGAATTGCGACGCCGCATTCGTATCGGAATGTTTCAAAGATTTCAGTTTGCAGGCTATTTGAAACCTCGGTACAATGGATGAAGCTTGCGACGGGATCAAGGATTTTAGAGCTAAGAATGTCGAAATCGACGCCAAGGACTTGGCGGATTTTCCAATTGAAACTCTCAAGGTTGAGTTTGCGTTGGAGGTCGACGAGTTCAAGCTCGCAGACAAAGGTTTTGGCGTGGAACTTTTGGACAACACGGGTGCAGTAATTTTGAATGTCGTAGTTGTACATGAAGATGCGAGTTTCTTGTTGGTTGACCTTGAGTTGTTTCAAAGACTGGAGTTGTGGAATAGCTTTGATGAAGTATGCGAGAGAGAGGGTGAATTCGCAAATATGGACGTTTAATGATTGTAAGGAGGTGGACAGGGGGGTGAATCTAAATGCAGATAGATTACTGTGGAGTTCAATTGTCATACTTGTAGCTCGCGGGAAGATGCAGTGACCTGAAAGCAGGTCGTGTGTGCTTGTGACAAAGGAGGTGACTTGTGGGACAAGGAAGGATTTGAGTTCTGAGTCGTAATCACTTGGAAGCGAGGTTTCCGAAATTTTAAGGACACAAGTTTCGATATCTGGAACAATTTGAAGAAGTCCATCGTTGATTGCATCTTTCCAGTGGCTTAGAATATCCCAGCTCATGTGGATTCTCAGGTCGCGAAGCTTTTTAGAGTGGGAGATTTTCTGCATGATATCTTTGAAGTTGCGGGAATCGATGAAATGGGATATTTTGGCCACTTCGAGATTGGGGAACTCAACAGCAATGGGCTCATCGATGTTCATGTTGCGATCAAACTCCAACTTGGTGATGGAATGGGAGTACTTTATGCGGTGAATGAAGGTAAATGGTGTGACGAGTTTTGAGATTTTAAACATAATATCGAGTTCGAACGGGTGTAAATCGGTTTGCTGAGTGAGCCGTCGCTCGAGGTCACAGTAGAATGGTGAGTCCAGGAATCCCTGGACTGGCGATATACTTGCGGAGAAGGAGACTTTAGCCAGCCACCAAAACACTATGGGGTATTTTCTATGGATTCTGAAAACGTCTTGTTCGAGCAATTTTTCGTAAACATATTCGGTTCCGTCTGGGTCCAATTCGCTTTGGAACCAGAACCGGACGTCATGAACACTATTGCTAGGGAACCACGAGTACCGTTCTGGAGCCCACAGTAGCGCTGCTGGAATGAGCACGCGCTTGTTTTCGCGAGGAGAAGGTTGTCTGGTAAAGGCAATGTAGGAGGTGGCCCGGAGATTAGATTCGAGAACAACTTCACAGAACCGCCATGCGAGTCGGCGGTATTGGACCTGGAGGACGGTGCTACATTGGCTGAGGGCCTGGCGGTCGTGGCAGGAGAGGTAGTTTGCTAGTTGTTCGTGGATTTCAGTTGGTAGCAGTTCGAAGAAGGAGATGTTGAGCATGGTTGTTTGAAAGCAGCAACTGAGAGTAAATGAGGGGATGATATTTAGAAGGAAAGAATCAACATTATAGATTTAAGAAACTTTTTTTATTATAAAAAAAAATTAAAAAAAAAAAAAAAAGGGCGGGCAGGTAGTCAGAAGATGGCGCGAGGCACTTTTTTTTTAGACTTTTCAGTGCCAGTCTGTTTTGCACACAACCACCCAACCGGTCACCAGCCGCCGATAGCATGTGCGCGCAATTGCCGGCCGGCGATGGTTTTGAGCTCCACGTGAGAAAAAAAAAAAAAAAAAGAGGTGTTGAGATTTTTATTATTATAAGCTAGAACAAAGAGAATTATTAAGAGTAAATATACCTCTGAAGATCTTTTCACCCCCAAAGTACTGGGATATCTAGAAGGATCTCAATAAATCTCATATAAAAAGCCAGATGCCTGAACGAGAGGTTTCAAATGAACCTCTTCCATCACCTCCACGACCTATATTTGTGCTGCCACCTTGCTGTTGCCGCACGCGCATCCGGCCGTTGGTCACGAGCTTGAGCACCATCATGAAAGCCCCCGCAGCCTCGCGCCGCGACGTGGTGCCCACAGGGAAAAGCACATCAAACGGTACAGGGTCTTTACTGCCCACAATGTGATTTCTATTCAACACTGCCAAGTTTCTACTGCCTCCCTCTTCAAGACTTTCACCACTACTGTCACTAGTTTCCAATACACTAGGTGACGGCGACTGTGAGTGTGATCCGACCCGCAGTCTTTGACGGAATTTTGATGATGACGACGACAATGGTTGGTGATTGGTAATTTTGGATGCCATGCGTCGTGTGTAGTTAAAAAAATGACGCTCATTGTTGTACCGGTTTTTCTTTATTGGCGCACCAAAAATACCTTGGCGGTCACCACCAAACTGAATTGTATTATGACCGCCTTCTCTCTCACCATCAACTGATGAGTTGTCTTCACCACTGCTTGACTCGTAAAAGTTGTCAAGGACTACATCCAGACCCAAGTCACCATTTAGATCAAGTTCAAGATCAAAGTCAAGATTATTGTTACGACCAACGTTATGATGAATAACTGAGTTATCATGAGCGTCGTAATTATCATTATAAGGCTGCTGCTGGTCCTCGTAATCCCAGTTAAGATATGCATCTCGATTTTCGTTTTGATCAAGGTGCGGTGTCGGTAATTGTGGAGCCCGGCCTTCTCTTTGATCTTTGAGCCGTTGATATGCCATTCGCATAATCTCTGAACCATCAGCTTCATCTTCTTCAATGTCATCCAGGTTGTTAACATTGATTCCAGGTCGCTGAGAAGTTTGTCGAGGTATAATGGGCGAGGGAATATCAAAGGGCCCATTACTGAGTGATCTGTGGTGATGGTGGTGATGAGGGTTACTGGAAGAATCACTACCGATTCGAATAGGCTGGGGGGAAAGACCAAGACTAAAGTTGCGTGGAGTGGAGTCAGGACCACGCCCAATTTCAATGTCAAGGCTGGGTTGGCGGGAAGCTGGGACTAGAGGCCCAGCAACAGCAGAACGGCCTGTTTCCAATGGTGGAGACAATGATACATTTTCCAAGGGAAAAGTGGCTATTTTATTAGTCGGGAAGTTTTGATAAGAAAAAAAAAAAAAGAAAAACTTACCAAGAAATCTTCCAAAAGGATGTAACCCCATGGATTTTTGCAGCACAGATTGTACGGTGATTAGTCGATTCTGCTTTGTTTCGAGTCTTCGGCGTTTGGCTGAGTTGAGAGCAGTCATATTTGTGACATAATTTTCTCGGAATTCCCTTAAAATATCTGAAGAAAGCCCAATTTCCTCATCATAAGGGCATTTTCTAAGAACTGGACCAGTTCTAGCAGGAGCCGGAGGTTGTGTTGTTGTTGCTGCTGCCACTGCAGCTGCTCTCTCAGAGAGTGAAGAAGAATTGTTATGGGCATTTATGATGGACTCAATGTGTTCATCGAGACGTGCATTTTGTGTTTCGGTAAAAGCCGTGGATTCTTCTTCTCCCTCGGGGTTTCGTGTGGTGGGGTTGGGGACCTGTTGGAGCGGCGGGAACATGTCGTTAAGATCGGGGAGGTTGTTGTAATCAATTTGTTCTTCATCTTCTAAGTTTGCAGGAGGATTAGGATCTTCTCCACCACCTCCACCACAGCCATCATAGTCATCATTTCGATAATCTTGCTCTTCTTCTTGATTGTAAAGATCTGAAGGTCGATTAACGCGAGCTTGAGCCATAAATTCAGCTCCATCAACAATTTCGTCTTGATCATTGATTGCATCCAGCAGTCGACGGGTTTCATTCCCGTTTAAAGTACTTTGGGATGAGTTGAATGAACTTGGTCTACCTGTGTTATTATCGTAAAATTGAAGCTCACCGTCTTCTCCAAATTCAAACCCCAGATCAATAGCAAGTGCTTCATCTTCTTCATTTAGGAGGAGGTTAGTATGGACGGCCCGGAGATCAGGGTCTTCATCCATATCTTGTCCCAACACATTAGGTAAACGGTTGATGGAATGGAGTGTAATATCATTATCATCTTCTTCACCATGTGGAGCAAGAAATGCTGGGAACGGGTCCATGGGGAGTAGGACGTGGTCAATGTTAAAAGTGTTGAGGTCATTTCTCAAGACAAGAGATGATTTTTTAGCTTTTGCCATTTTGGGGTCGAGTGTGATGAGGTTGAAAATGTTTTCCATTGTGATTTTGGAGCGCATTTGTGAGACGTCTGTTAGAAGGTAAGAGATTTGCTGTTGGTAGACAAGCGATACTCCGTAGAGTAGGTTTGATGAGAGCCGTAGAGCGAGAGGCCCATCTGGGTTGATGATTATTCTACAAACACCAGAGATTTCTGTGGCCAGGATATCTTTGCGGGAAAGTTTGGCAGAGGCGGCCGAGGGTTTATTCCCAAGGGTAGCCATTAGCCAAATGGTTGACAGGCCGCTTGACCTATTAGTAAGGATTTCTGGAGAGAAAAACATTAATGGATGATAAAGAAGAAGAGGAAGAAGAAAGAAATGGGGAAATGACATGGTTTATATATGTAAAGATTTATTAAAAAGAAAACAATAGGGGGTATTTACAAAAGATTAGAGGTTTGACAAGATGAGATTTTTAACATGATGAGATTTTTGACAATATTATTAAAGCCATTAGTTTTTCTCATTTTGTTGAAGTTTGGCCCACTCATCCTCTGTTTTTGTTTTTAAAGACATTGAATGAACACCGTTAGGCATGGCCATTTCCTCTTTAAAAAGGTTATAAACTTGTCTGTGGCGGGCTGGTTGAGGTTTGCCCTTGAAAGCGTTTGAAACGATTTCAAGGCGGAAATGGGACTCGACTTTGTTTTCCGAGTTACGTCTGGCTGCATGGTGTGCATGGAAGCGAGAATCATTGTAGATGGCAAAGTAAGAGGGAGCGAAATTTTCTTGAACACGCTGGATAATTGTAGTTGTGATGGGGCCTCCATCGGTGTCGCCAATAGGTGTTGTTAGTGGTGCTGAAGATTCTGAAGTTGTTGTAGAAGTAGCGGTAGAAGAAGCTGAAGAAGAGGATGACATTCTAGAGAAGATTGGGTTGATTGAGTAATAGGAGAGTCTTGTTGGAGAAGAACGAGTCAGGCGAGAGATTTGGGTTGATGATTGTTTAAGAAAGTTCATTTGTGGTGGTGGTTGTGTAAGTTTTGTATTATTTATATAGAGAATATTTATATATTTTTGGTGATGATTGGATTTTTTTAGATTTTCAAATTTTTTAAGGTGTTGAGAAGGAAACAAAAGAAGGAAGTTTTCTGTTTTTTTTAAAAAAAAAAAAAAAAAAAAAAAAAGATAAAAAGTGAAATGACGCTTAGAAATCAAAGCACTAATAATGGTTCATGTCACTTTGTATGTAGTCACGTGAATGGATCCGAATGAAGACCCGATTAATTAAAAAATAACCCGGTGTTTGATTTAATGCGAGTCGGGACTTGATCAGTAGCCTGGCTTTGTTTATTTTAATTATTATTTTTAATTTAATTTAATAATGTGTGTAAAAAAAACTTAATAATCAGAGGGGTTTTTATGTGTGTGTGTGTGTGTGTGTGGCAAGGCCAAGAAAAGTTTTGTGCCAAGGCTGCTGCTTATGTGTGACGCTAACAGTTAAATATACAATTTATCTTAAAAGACAGGCAGCATAAAGTCAGTCAGGCAAAGCTTGGAATTTGTGTGGTGGTGGGTAATCATGACGTGGTTCTTTTTTTTTTTTTTTTTTTTTTTTTGTGAGTGTTAAATAAATAAATAAATTAAATTTAACTAAAAGTTAATTAATTAATTAATCACACACAACAAACAAAATATTATCAGTGCCACTACCACCACCAAAATAATTTTTTTTTTTTTTTTAGTTTTGGCCACCTCCACTCAAACAAACAAACAAACAAACAAACAAACAAAACACACAGCCCTTTTTTTTTTTTTTTCTTTTTTGCCTTCTTACCATCACCATCACCATCACCACCACCACCACCACTACCATCACATATATTTATATACATCTCTCTTTACAAAAATCATAAAAATGGCTTCCAGTGTTCCTTACGACCCTTATATTCCTCAGCCACAGGCACAACAGCCAACAGGCAATAACAAGACTCAGGATATCCAAAATGTATGTCTATTTTTTTTTTTTCGGTCTTTAATCAAATGAAACAAAATATTTCTCTCGTTATCTCTGATAAATATATATATCATCAGGTCACACGTCTCAGTTTAATAAATACACGCAACGACAACAACAACAACAACACCACCAACAATAACAACAACTATCAATATATTTGCTTTACGACTTTTGATATTTATAAAAAAAAAATTATTGGTATTATTGTTCAATATCATAATCTTCACCATGAAAAAAAAAATTGTCCTTATTACGAATATACCAAGTGATATCTACTACCAACTTTATTTTATTTTTTTTTATCAAATGGACCCCTTTTTTTAATATATACTACATAAATAACTGATCATGACCATTATGATATTTATCAAAAAGATTAATAACACGAGATAACGCGACCTATTTTTTTTTTCTTTTCTTTTGTTTTTTTTTATCATCTCTAACATACTCTTTAGGAAATCAACCAAACAGTCGATGTGATGCGCGCAAACATCAACCATATGGCTGATAGAGGTGGCCAGCTGGACGCACTGCAAGACAAGACAGATAACCTGGCGGTGGCAGCTCAAGACTTTCGACGAGGAGCCAATCGTGTGCGCAAGCAAATGTGGTGGAAGGATATGAAGATGAGAATGTGTTTGATTGCAGGTGTCATTATTTTGATTGTGGTTATTGTTGTTCCCATTGCTGTGCACTTTTCTTAAAAGAAAAAGAAACAATTAACAAAAAGAAGAATGAACGAAGAATGAACGAAGAATGAACGAAGAAAGAAAGAAAGAAAGAAAGGAAGGGAGGAAGGAAAGAATTAAATCAACAAATAATGATTTTGAAGTATGACGATAAGAATTCAATTAAAAAGAGAGAATGATTAAAAATCATTAGGTTTTTTTTTTTTAAAAAAAAAAAAAGAATGATGATGAAGAAGGAAGAAAAAACTATGACGAAATACTCAGATGCTACAGGCTCACATTCCCCTTTTTTTATATTTTTCAAATTTTTTTTTTATACAAGAAGCATCTTTTTTTTTTTTTTCATTTTTAATTTAAATATATTTTTAATAAACGACTGCAATGATTTGATTTGATTTGACAATATGTGAATGTGAATAGATAATATTATTTATCAGATGTAAAAAAATGAAGCCATAATTTTTTTTTTAACAAACTATATTAAATTTTCTTTTTTTTTTTCAAAGAGAGCTGGAAAATTTGAAAAAAAAAAAAATACAGATAAATTGAGCAATTATTTCCCCTTTACAATTACTAGGATTTTCGTATATAACACGGCCACCCCATTATTAAATTTTTTTATTTTTTCAAAATTAAAAAAAAAAACGCAACCAAAAAAATAAAAAATAATGCTCCAGGAGGGGTTCGAACCCACGACCATCGCGTTCCTCACACGATCGTGACATTTGCATAGAAATTCACATTTGAACGGCTATAAGCACGAAGCGCTAACCTCTGCGCCACTGGAGCCTGTTTTTAGTTTCTTCCGAGAAGAAATTCTCAATTTATTGTTACTGTTTTATTTTGGTAAATTTTTTTTTTTTAAGGTTAAAAGTTAAACCCTTGAATAAAAACAAACAAACAAACGGTTAAAAGTTATTTTGTAAATTTTTAATTATAAGGTTGGTTAGTTAGTTTTATTTATTGAAATTTTTTTTAAAAAAAAAATTAATTTTGTGGGGAAGAAAATAATAATTAATTTTCTTTAAAAGCTCTCTACCGTAATTTTTTTCCCCTTTTTTTTTTTCTTTCCAAAATCAAAAATTTTTCAAAATGTTCAGAATTGCTGATGCTTCTTTTAATCTATAAATATATTTAATAAATTATTAATAAATTATTAGTGAGTGTGAACTTGCTTTCTCACGTAAGTTCACACTAAGTTCTAGAAAACAAACAAAAAAAAAAAATAAAAACATGGGATATGACTTTAGTTTTATATTATTAATTTTTTTTTTTTTTTTGACACTCAACACACAAAACAAAACAATTCAATGTTTACAAACAAAAAAATAACACTCAATTGACAGTTAAAATAGCAAAAAAATATGCGCTAGCCCGGACTCGAACCGGGGACTTGACAATGGGAACGTCAAATTTTACCCCTAAACTACTAGTGCTCCGGTACTTTAAAATATTGTTTTAAATATATAAACTTACTCTAAGTAAGTTGATTAAATTCATAAAAATGTTGGTTTTTTTTTCAAGTTGGAAGTAATGCAGAACATGGCTTTAAGAAGAATTGTTGGTGCTTATCGCACAACTCCTATTGCGGTATTACAAAAGGAAGCTGGTATAATGCCATATAGTATTAGGCTAAAATTTATGGTGGCACGAAAAGCTATTCGTTTACACCTAAATATTAGCAAAACTAATCCTATTAATGGTCATTTGTTAACATTGATTGAGAAATCTCCAATTGCAAAGCTAACCACGCTTTACATGTTGGCGAAAGATGATAGAGACTATATGATTAAAAAGGATGAAAAACGAAAATGCAAGAGGGTTGAACCTCTTACACTGAAACAACAACAAAATCAGACGATTGGAATTTTGAAGAAACAAGCAATGGAAGAATGGCAAGAAATGTATTGGAACAGCAGTAAGGATCTGTGGTATCATAATATCACAGTGGAGTCGAAATGTACTGATAATCTTTCCAAAATGGTTACGGGAGTGATCATGAAGAAAGATAGTCGAAGGATCTTGAGTAATATTACTCAATTTCGCACAGGCCATGGAAACTTTGGCGCATGGTTTAAAAAGTTTGAATTGAAAAGGATAGTTACAACTGCAAATGTGGAGAGCTGGAAACAGTTCATCACATTTTAGTTGAGTGTCCTTTGCTTGAAGAGGAAAGAAAAGGACTGAAACGGATATCTCCAGAGATGGACATGTCGACTCTCTTAAACAGTTTAACTGGCTTACAAGAGATTGTAAGCTTTATCTCTGCTTGGAGGGATTAAGAAATACAATTACAGCGTTGATGAAGACAAGTGGAGATAGGTTGGGAAGGTTTGGTTATTTTAACCCCCTGTTCCTCGTAAGCTGGCATCAGGACTTATTTTCGGGCTGTTGGAGATGCAATGTTGAAGCCAAAATTAAAAGTTTATTATTAAAATGAAAAAATATATAGTATGGACAAGAAGGATAGCGCAGATGCTGATGTTATATAATTCTATAACCCTTGAATAAAAACAAACAAACAAACAATTGGTTTTTTTTTTTTTTTTTGGCAGGGAAAGGGCTGGATGGTGTAAAGGATAACACGTTCGCTTGAAAGCGGAAGATACTGGGTTCGGTTCCCAGAATACCCCCTTTTCCTGAGGATGTGTACGGGAGTATACACCTAGACTGAAAACCATAGGCTACCCTGGTTACAGGAATGCCGACTCTTCTGTACAGTCTAAATAGCCTGCAGGTGATTGCGGGCCGTATCTCTGACGGAAGAGATTAAGAAATACATGGGCGTCTGTGAAGATAAGTGGAAATGGGTTGGGAAGGTTTTGGGACCGACAGACTGGTTCTCCCTGTTCCTCGTAAGCTGGCATCAGGGCCCATCTTCCGGGCTACCGGAGACGCACAGAACAGAAACCACCCGTACTAAAAAGGTACAAATGAAAACCGGCAAGTCACATAGTCAGACAATAAAAAGGATAGCGCAGATGCTGATGTTATATAGTTCTATAACCCTTGAATAAAAACAAACAAACAAACAAATGCTTTTTTTTGTCATTATTTATTTATTTTCTTTCAATCATTGAATTTTATAAAATCAAAACTTTATAATTTTTAAAAGAAGATGAAGGAAAATAGCTGAAATGTGATTTTTTTTCATTTACTTTCCATTAATATTTATACAATTGACTTTACCAATTGATAGTTTGGGATAGTATTAATATATACGTCTACCCTTATTATTATACTATCTGAAAAAAAAAAATAATTCACATGGAGGTATATGACCTTGTGCCTTATTAATTTTTTTAAACAATGATATATTTTCCCATTTATTCCAGTTTCTTTTCTTTTTTATTTCTATTTTTGTCAATTGATTTTATCTACAAAATATCTGTGAACATTTAATGTTACTAAAAAAAAAAAAAAAAAAAAAAAAAAAAAAAAGGAGGGCCCACTTATTGATGATCGATCGAATATGAAAGCCAAAGAAAATAAAAAAAATGAAATGAAATGAAATAAAAAATAAAAAAAATAAAAAAAAAAATAAAAAAATAAAAAAATAAAAAAATAAAAAAATAAAAAAATAAAAAAAATAAAAAAAAGAAAGATATGGAACGTAAATTTATATCTACAAATACTCTGATTGATTAAAAGCAAAGTCGACGACGTATACTTTTTTTTTTTTTTAATTCTTTTGATATTAAAGGAGAAACCATTTCATCTCCTTGTTCCAGAAAAAAAAAAAAAAAAAGTTAACGTCAAGTATCTTAACTTAAAAAAAAAAAAAAAAATCAATGGCAAAGCCACCATCAGAAGTTGTAGGGGGGAAGTAAAAAATAAAAGGTTTTCTATGAAGTTTTTTTAACAAAACAAATCTTTCAAAGTTTTCCTTCTTTGATAAAAAAAAAAAATAAAAGGGCTCAAAGTCACCTATTGGAAACAAATAAAAAAATACCTGCAATATATATAAATACAAATATATATATATATAATTATAATAAATATAAACAACCCTTAAAACTTTACGGTCCCTTTCGTATTTCGTTAAAAAAAAATTTTTTTTTACTTTAAAAGAACAGTTGTTCATTTAAAATCGTAACTGAAATGGATTTTGAAAACCCTTTGAATTTCAATTTTTTTTTTTTTTTTTTTTGAATTTTCTTACCCATTTTTTTTTTTTTTTCAACAACAACAACCCACCGTACCTTTCATTTTGATCTTTTTATTGTAAATATAAACCCATTTTTTTCTTTTTTTTTTTCATTCTTTCTTTCAAAATTCTTCGTTTGTTAGCAGGGTTTTTTAAAAAAAAAAAAAAAACCAATCCTTCCTATAAAAAATATATATATTTGTTTTTTTTTTAGTACACTCAGCCACTAGTAAATAAATAAATCTTAATTCTTACAAAAATCAGTCGCATAAAAGAGCTCGATTGATATGTAGTTGTGCTGATTACGTATGGAACACACAAAATTGTTATTTTTTTTTTCTTTAAAAGTATTTAAATTCTCAACTTTCTCAATCCCCCCCCCCTTTTTTTTTTTTTATTCCTTCTTTTACTTTTTATTATTATTTTTTTTTTCATGTCATAAGCCACTATTTTCTATTCTATTCTATTTTTTTTTTTATTTTAAAATAATCCTCTCCAAACAATGAGCAGAGGAATCATTAGATCAGGCCGAATGGCCATCCTACTTCTAGTAGTCATTTTCATCATCTATGAGTTCTCTTACGGTCATTCACTTGCAATTCTTAGTGAATCAGACAGCTTCAAATACTTTCGACAACGAATAAAGGGTGACTCCGGTTCCCCTGCCACAAACCAATATACTGACATGACATCGCCCATTGGCAAACCATACGAACGTGCAAATGCCACGTTTGTCACTCTTGCACGTAATAGCGACCTCTATGCTTTACTTGACTCGATTCAATCTGTTGAAGACCGTTTCAATCGCAAATTCCATTATGATTGGATCTTTTTCAATGATGAAGAGTTTGATGCTAAGTTTAAGGAAGTTATTGGAGACGTTGTTTCCGGCTCAGTATCATTCCACACAATTCCAAAGGAATTCTGGGGGTACCCGGACTGGATTGACCAGGAAAAGGCGGCAGCTGGAAGAAAGGAAATGCAAGAAAAGGGAATCATTTATGCAGAATCAGAATCTTACCGTCACATGTGCCGCTTCGAATCAGGATTTTTCTGGCGCCACCCAGCCATGAATAAGTACCGCTACTACTGGCGTGTCGAACCTGATGTCAAGTACTTTTGCGACATTGATTATGACATTTTCAAGTTTATGGAAGACAAGAATATCAAGTATGGGTTTACAATTTCTCTCTACGAGTTTGTCGAAACCATTCGGACCCTATGGGATACCACCAAGAAGTTTTTGGAAACACACTCCGAGTACGTGGCCAAAAACAATCTTCTTAATTTCATTTCTGAAGACAAGGGCGAGTCTTATAACTTGTGCCACTTTTGGTCCAACTTTGAGATTGCAGACATGGATTTCTGGCGTGGAGAAGCCTACACGAAATATTTTACATACTTGGACAAGGCCGGCGGGTTTTTCTACGAGCGTTGGGGTGATGCACCTGTACATTCTATTGCTGCTTCGCTGTTTTTGGACAAGTCAGAGATTCATCATTTTGAAGATATTGGCTACCGTCATGGGCCATATACGAGTTGTCCCTCGTCATTGAGTATGCGCAAAAAGGGTCATTGTACGTGTAATCCAGATCACAACTTTTCATGGGACGGATACTCATGTTTTAAACAGTATTACCGGGCTCAAGAACAGACATTGCCCAAGATTTCTTAAATGGAGGAGGGAGAAAAGAAGAAAAAAAAAAAAAAGAAACAGGTTGACTTATTTATATCTGAGACTTGATACCATGAATTTTTTTTTCATAAAAAAAAATAAACAAGGGATAAAAAAGCATAAATTACAAGGCATATTGGATGATCCTTTTCCAGATATACTTTGAAAAGAGAAAAAAAAAAGGCGATTGATGAGAAAAAAAACATTGGAGACGGAATTTGTCTAGCGCAACTTTAAAAAAACGAGAGAGAGAGAGAGAAAAGACGAAACAAAAGGTTTTTAAAAGCAATCAAGATAAGTTTAAATTTTGCTATTAATAGTAAAGGAAAAAAAAAAACAAAGCAGGTCTTTAAATGGGGAAATTTTTTTTTTTTTTTTGTTAAAAAAAAATTATGATAGAATAAAAAAATAAAAATAAAAATAAAAATTGAAAATGAGTTTTAATGTATTTTATTATTTTGGTGTTTTTTTTAGTATTGAACAAAAAATCAATGAAGTAAGTATATATATAGCCCGAAAACGGAGGGGGTTTTTTTTTTTTTTTTTTTTATAAACAACGAAAAAAGAAAAAAAGAAAAAAAAATAATGGGCATGAAGATACAAAATGAATATAAACAAAGAAAGAATGGGGGAAAAAAAAAATAAAAAATATAAAAAAAGAAGAAGAACAAGAAGAAGAAGAAAAAACTGGATAAATATTAGAATTAACCGTTTTTTTTTTTTTAAAAAAAAAATTCTCTTTGTTTTCATTTACAACAATCTTAAAGAAAAAGGAAACAATTTGACTTCTGTAAGCTCAAAAATCGTATTCTTTAAGTTGATTATAAAGACTTATATATATATATATATAGTTTGAGAACTTAAGATACGTATCGAGTATACTCTAAGACATTTTCTTGACATGTTTTAGTATTAAAAATACAGATCCTCCCTCAATTGCTTTTAAAAGAAAAAAAAAAAAAAGTCAAAATTCACAAGCAAATTAGTCAACAATTTCAAATCAATTAGCTATTGCTAAGTTAAATACAAAGTACCCGATTGATTGATTGATTTAATAAAGTTTTTTTTTATTTTAAAGGAACTCTTGTCAGTTCAATGTGTTTATTATTATAACAAAATTTTTTTTTTTCAACCTAAAAATAACCAAAAAGCACGTGAGTATGATGTAATTTCTATTATTAATAAAGTTTCATTAAATATCTATAGACATTTACATTTCTCAGGGTTAGGGTTCGATGGTCTAGTCGGTTATGGCATCTGCTTAACACGCAGAACGTCCCCAGTTCGATCCTGGGTCGAATCATTAAACTTACATCTTTTTGTTACTATAACATCTATTTGCATATACTATCATTATTATTATTTTTTTTTTTCAGTCGTTACAAACTCACCCAGCCTCTTCCATCCTTCTTTCTTTAATTTTTTTTTTTATATATTCTCTCTTCTTCTCTCTCAAATCCATCCATCAAAAGACCCATCCGTCCAACCCCTTTTGTCTCTGTTCCCCAACACAATTGCATTCAAGTCAACAGCCCCAGGAACTGGCTGGTCTCGCGCACGCACATAGTCATACAAAAACGTGTGACTCCACTTATACTGCAAGTCGAGAGATTCCTTGTCTCCAATATCCCGTGGGACACCTCGTTTTTGGTAACACCAGTAGTTGCGCGCACCATTTTTGCCTACATTTTCATTGTTGGGAAGCACACCGAAAAATGGAGACGAATACACACCCTCACGGTCTTTAAAGGCTCGCGCGTTGCGTGCTGATATTGACTCTGTCCCATGAACCTGGGCATTAATGTCCTGGAAATACAATAGTACTTGCCTCACAGCATGAGGCGGATTGACCAGGTATTTGTACAGTGATAGACTTGCGTAAAAGTAAGTGTTTGGGAAAGTAAAGCTAAAGTATTGTAAGGTGTGGACATTTGGGAGTACTTGGAACAGGGCTTCGAAAAAACACGATGAAAAAACAAAGTTGTAAAGCGGCTCCATATGTTCCTTGCAATTGAGGGTGCCACCACCTGTAGCCTCGAGTAGCTCCGCATACAGTTTAAGGGGGTCTGTGAAGCGGGTCACAAAGTATTCACTGGTGATACCAAAAGCTTGTTGCACCCATTCGAGGTTTGCTCGTGGCTTAAAGATATCGCAGAGATCGGCAAGGCCTTGAGGGGAGTATGGTCGAGATGATGATGCGTGTCTTGAGACTACTTTTGAAAACATTTCTTGGGCCTTTTCATTGACCATTAGGATACTTTTATTGTACTCTTCAATTTCAAAGACACGTAGCCGCAGTTTGGGCAGCAACTGAAGCAATTGGTAGCTTGCAGTGCTGTATTCAATTTTGGGCAACCGCAGGACCGCCAGCGATCCTGCAATTGATGTAAATCCTAAAGGTTGCTCTGTAAATCCAACTTCTGTGGAAAGAAATGATAATCTAGGGAAACTTAGCCCAGTGGTGAAGACCCCCTGGGAATCAGGCAGCACCAGTGCTGTGACTTGTGGGATGATCAAAGATGGGTTGAATGGTGTTGGCAAGGTGCCAATGCTGCTTGTTAGAGTGATGCAACAGTATTTAATATCTGGGGGTAATTGGTTGAGCCCCGTGGTAAATATTAGCAACCATTCGTCATTTTCGTTGCGTATACTTAATTCGACTTTTTTCAGCCGATGGGATTTACTTGCAAAGCTCAGTAAGACAAGCAATGATGCTACGCAGTCATATTTACTAACTTTTAACGACTCGAGGTATGGAAGTGGGGCTATTGCTTGTTCTGCAAGATAAGAAAAGTCCTGGTCACTTCGGATGTCAATGTGTTTGATATGATGTCCATAAAAGAGAAGGTCTCTAGGTTCGTGGATGCGAAACAGTGCTTCGAGGACGTTTTTATGGCACATGCATTTTAATGAGAGATAAAACTTTGAGTGGAAAATCTTTGGTAATGACGAGATACCGCCTGAGAAGGAGATTTTTTTAAGGAGTGGGTAGAAGGTGCTTTCTGGGAAAAAGGATTCGACTAGTTCTGAGTAGACAAACTTCATTGAGCGCATACTCCATTCCCTTTCAAACCAAAAGTATATTTCTGATACTGCTGTGCTATGGAACCAACTATATCGGGCTGGTTTTCGTAGGACATTTAGCGGTACCAAAGCCATGTATCCGTGACCGACAGCACGGGGCTCGCAAAAGTCATCTAGGTACTGTTTGAGTGCCCACAATTTATCTGGGAGGACTACTATACATGCGCGGTAAGTTAGTGGTCCGTAGAAGTAGCGTAGGGTTGCTGATGTACAAGAGACGGCAAAGCAATCGCGCGAGGATAAGAATTGTGCGATTCCCTCGTGGGCTTCACGTGAGAGAGTATCGAGGCGAGCCTCGGATGCTATACTTTGTTGGCTTGAGCGGGATTTTGTTTGAAGTTTTGTTACGAAGATTGAGAATCTGCGGGCCATGAGAGAGAGAGAGAGAGAGAGAGAGAGAGAGAGAGAGGTGGGTTTTTGCGGGGAGGGGGGAGAGAGAAGGAAGAAAAGATTTTTTTTTTTTTTTTTTGAGAAATACCAAGAAGGAAGTAAAAACTGGGAAGAAAGAAAAAGTAGAAGAAGAAGAAGAAGGGGATACCAGAGACCAAAAATAAAAATAAAATAATAAAAATATATATAAAAAAAGACCTTTCTTGAGTGTTAATGACGGAATTTGTACATATATAGTTGTTGTTTATATATATGAAAATAACTTAGTTTGGTATAGTTTAGAACGCAGTGGGGCTGACGAAGAATGAGATTTTAATATTTTAATATTAATGGCAAATATGAGATTTAGAAAGTCAAGTAAGTAGGCAAATTTGCAACGTGCAGAAGCCTTTTGCTTTCATAGGCTCTGGAGATCAGAAAGCCGCATTAGAAGATGAAGAATAAAAATAAGAATATGAAGAATATGAAAAATATGAAGAATATGAAGAATAATAATATATAAGAAGAAGAAGAAAATATGAAAGAATTATAATTGAATTTTTTTTTTTTTTTGTTTTTAAAAGTCAGCAGATTTTTATTAAAAAAAAATTAAATATATATATATATAAAAGTGTGATTTTAAAAGGTTCATTCAAGTAATGGGAAAATATTTTAAAAGATTTAAATAATAAAAGAAAGAAAGTATTTTGGTTGACATTTTTTTTTTTTTTTTTTGATGATAGAAAGTAAAATTTAAATAAAAATAAATAAAAATAAATAAAAATAAATAAAAATAAATAAAAATAAATAAAAATAAATAAAAATAAATAAAAAAAAATAAAAAAATAAATAAAAATAAATAAAAATAAATAAAAATAAATAAAAATAAATAAAAATAAATAAAAATAAATAAAAATAAATAAAAATAAATAAAAATAAATAAAAATAAATAAAAATAAATAAAAATAAATAAAAATAAATAAAAATAAATAAAAATAAATAAAAATAAATAAAAATAAATAAAAATAAATTGAAAATAAAAATAAAGGAATTTCTTGAGTTTTTATATTTTAAAAAATTTATAATTATAATTAAAATTAAAATGTATTTTTTTTATTTTATTTATCATTTATTTTAAAATAAAATAAAAAAATAACTCAAAATCTTTTTCCAACATTTTTCGAGGAATTTTTTTTTTTCAAAAATTTCTTTCTTATCCATCCACAGCAAAAAAAAAAAAAAAAAAAAACAATAAGTTATCTTAGAAATTAACAATTGATAAAAAAAAAATCAATTGATTTAAATTTTATTATTATTGTTATTAAAATAAATAAATAAATAAATAAAAACATTTTAATTCAAATACAATAACAAAAAAAGTTTAAAAAAATATAAAAAGTTTAGCGTCTTCCCTGCCAGGGGTCGAACCTGGAATCTTTCGCTATGTAACCATTAATGATCGTAGGCGAACGCCTTGCCATTGGGCCACAAGGAACTGACTTGTTGTAGAAATGTAATTTTTAATTTAATTTATATAAACTAAAGTAAATATTGTAAAATATCCAAAAAGGGGTTGAGGGTTTAAGAGTTTAATCAATTTTAACATTTGAGTAGATAAAAAATCATACAATTATTTTTATTAAATTATTATTATAATTCTTTTAAATTGGAAATGAAAAAAAAAAACTTTCTTTTAAAGTTTTTAAGAGTTTAAAGCACAGGTTAATTTCAGTGTACAAAAATAAACATTAGTTGTTAGTGACATATAAATGAATAAAACTCTTTATATATATAACTTTTTATTGATTATAGCTATAATTTTGTTTCTAAACAAAGATAAATATTTGCATCTTTTTTTTATGGACTTAATAAAGAATTCATTCAGATATAAAAATTATTTTTTTATTTATTTATTTATTTTTTTGAATTTTATCAATAATCTATGATTAAATTTGTATTAAATGTTAAAAAAAAAATGAATCATTAATGATAAATGATTTTAATTACTTGACTAATTATCTTATTTTATAGTAATTTTTATATATATATATATTTTAAATAAATTGTATACTAAGCAATTAATTATTTTTTTTATTATAATATTTCTCTTATTATTATTATTATTATTACTATTATTGATATTAATAATATTGATATTGTTGATATTGTTGATATTCAAAATATTCAAAATATTCAAAAAAAACAAAATTCAAAATAATTGCATACCACTTTGCCTCTTCTCAAATTTATCCACGTGACCAATTTCTTTGTTACAAAGATATTTTTTTTAATTACAAATATTTTTTATTTATTTATTTATTTATTTATTTATTTTTCACTACCACCATTAAAATCATTAAAATTTTTTTTTTTTTATATACTAACAAAAGCAATTATTACTCATAAATATAATAATTAAAAAAAAAAATTAATAAATAAATAATAATAATTAATTAATTAATTAATTAAAAAAAAAAAGTTATCATAATTGCCCATTTCAAGTGTGCCATCCACCAATTCTGAAACTTTTCTTCTTAATTTTTTCTCTCTCTCTCTCTCTTTTTTTTTCCCCTTTACCCCCCCCCCTCCCTCTCTTCTATCCTAACAGGTATACCCATCTTGATCCCCATCATTAACGCAACAATGACCGAAGAAGAACTAGTTTTTGATCCTTCCATCAAAAAGAAGAAAAAGTCCTCCAAGTCTAAGTCTAAGACTATCGAAGCCGAACAACCCGAATCAGCATCAGCACAGGCTTCAACTGATGCAAATGGTGCCGATGAAATTACCGACCTGATGGCTAGTCTTGCCACGAAAAAGAAGAAAACTAAAAGTAAATCTTCTGCTTCTGCTTCTGCTTCTGCCGCTGATGAAGAATCAACTACTACTGAATCGCGGCCTGATTCTGCAGCCGACGGCGCTACTGCCGGTGGCGAAGATGCCCCCCTCTTTGACGCTAAAAAGAAGAAGAAGAAAAGCAAGGCTGCTGCCGCCGCTGACTTTGATGCTCTGCTGGAAAAGGCCGGTGTTTCCGAAACTAAAAAGGAAAAAAAGAGTAGTAGCAGTAGCAGCAGCAGCAATGCTGTCAAGGAAGCTACACCAGCCGTCAATGAGCGTGGTGAGCGGGACTTTACTTACCCAGAGCTTTTGACCCGTTTCTTTAAGATTCTCGCAGACAATAACCCTGAACTGGCCTCTGAACGTCCAGACCAGAAGTACAAGATTCCTCCTCCAGAGGTCAAGCGTGATGGTAAAAAGACTTTGTTTGTCAACATTAAGGAAATCTCCGACCGCCTACACAGACCCACCGATCATGTCACCTCCTTCTTGTACGCAGAGTTGGGTACTACCGGTTCCGTCGACGGTTCAAACCGTTTGGTCATTAAGGGCCGTTACCAACAAAAACAAATTGAAACCGTCTTGCGCAAGTACATTGTCGAGTATGTCACTTGCAAAACTTGCAAGTCCATCAACACCGTCCTTAAAAAGGAAAACAGACTGTTCTTTCTCGACTGTAACTCGTGCGGATCTCGCCGCTCTGTTTCCTCCATCAAGACGGGTTACCAGGCTATTATCCGCAGACAAAAGGTTTAAAACCATTATCAATTGTTTAAAACCAATTAAAATCTTATTTTTTGTAAAAAAGAAAAAAAGGAAAAAAGAAAGAAAAAAAAAATTTTTTTATTCAATGCAGTTTTTTTTTTATTTTTTTTTTTTTTTGCTAAAATATATATATCTTTCTCTCAAATCTGATCTTTGTTTTGTTTTTTTTTAAAAAAAACTATAATGTAAAATAGTCTCGTTGATAAATCTTGACAAGTGCATCACCTCCAGCACTTGCACATAACCGATCAGCAAACTCGGAACCTTCCTTGCCTGCATACCAAGTTACTTGTAAAACCCCCTCGCGTGCCTTGTCATCATGTGCCCGCTCAATCTGTTGGGTTAACGTCCATTCAGCCCGTGTACTTGTACCTCCAAGCGTCCAGAACTTAAGTGTGCCCTCGGATCCACCCGTTAGCAGCTCGCGGCCAGAAGGCGACATAGCTACACTGCACCCGTTACCCGCGTGCACCATCCACGTGCCCAGCTCCTCGCCCGACGCAAGGCTGAACGTGCGCGCCGTACCGTCCCAGTAAACAGCCACTGCCTGCCCTGTCACGTCGCTGAGTGCAATTCCGTAAACCCCGCCATGCTCAATTCCAGGACTCTTATCATCGCCCTCATCCAAGTCATCAACCTTGTCTTCTTCGCCTCGTTGTGATCCTCCAGATGCTCGCTTGCGTGCACGCTTGCGAGCCTTGCTGTCACCGCCAGGAACAAATGTACGAACCTTTTTGCCTGTGCTGACATTGTACATAATCATCTTTGAATTGTCATAGCCAACAAGAATATGGGCACCTGCATTGGCAAAAGCCACGCACAACGCAGTGGGGAATGCAAAACTCTTGTCATCATTACCAGAACTATTACTGTCATCTGCATCTTCACGAGAATCATCCTCCGAAGAAGAACTGTAGCGGATAACAGACAGGGGTGATGCACCGATATCCGAAGAAATGTCCCAAATGCACGCGCTACCAGTCTTGGACACGCTGGCAAGCCGCCGCGAACCTTCATCAAGAGCCAGAGCCCAGATCGTGTCCTGGTGGCCTGCCACCGACGCAATCTCCGTGACCTGGGAGTTTCGCCACAGTCGAATCTTTTGGTCCTCACCGCCCGAGTAAAGTGTATTAGTGATTGAGTCGTACGCAAGACATGTCACGTTGCCCTCATGGCCACGGTGCGTTTGAATTGCTGTTGTTATTGTGTTGGACTTGTCGCCAATGTTCCACAAGCGGATTGTGCCGTCGTCCGATCCTGTCACAAGTTTGTCAGCGCTGCAGAAAACAACAGCACGCACCAGATCCAGGTGGCCTGTCAGCTTTTTAGAAGGTTTCCATGGACCAAGAGCTTTAGATTTGGACTTGGGTTTGCTGGACCCATTGGTATTTTCAGTATGGGAATCCTGTAAAGGCTGGCTTTCTGTGGGGAACTGATTATTTGAAGAAGATATGTTTGAGTTGTTGTTGTTGTTGTTGTTATTATTATTAATGTTGTTGATGTTGTTGATGTTGTTGATGTTGTTGATGTTGTTACTGTTGGTATTTGAGTTGTTATTGTTGCCATCAATGGGCTGATCATTGTTTAGACCTTCAGATGTGGAGTTAATGTTCGAGGACTGCAGCAGATACTCAATTTCTTGAATACACTTGTCGAGATACTGGCGGGATTCAATTATAGGAGTAAGGTCGACTTCTGCACTTTGAATCATGGAAAGTTCTTTATCGAGCAAAGCCTTCGATTCTGTATATGGATCGTACACTTCCGGTTGTTCTTTTGATCTGTATTTCATTAATATATGAAAAGAAGAAGAAGAAAAACTTATTTCAAACTCACCTGTTGCGAATGCTGGATTCTAAAATGGCAATCTTTTTGGCATGACTTTCAACCAAAAGTTGAAGTCCACGTTTCTCGCCTTCAAGTTTTGCTATTCTAGTCTTAAACTAATGTTAAACATTTCCTTTTTTTTCTTACCCTCTCCCAAGAAAATAAATAAAAAAATAAAAAAAGACTTACCTTCATTTCTGCGCGCTCTAAATCCCAATGGATTCGATCGCGCTCATTACGCTGCCATTCGTTTTGCAAGTAGCGCATGACACCTATGAAGAAGAACCCACGTTAGTGGTTAACTTTATGATCCCCCAGTAACCCATTCCACGACTTACCTGGCAGCGAGTAGTCGGCCGGTTGAGGTTGGGGCGGGATCTGAGCACCGGCCTGGTTCGACTGAGATGCCATGATGTGTATTTATATGTATTAAGAAATGAGAAAAAAAAGACTGGACTTTATAGAATGTAGTCGTTTTAATGTATTCAACACTGCTCAAGTTTGATGTTTCTTTTTATTTTATTTTCAAATAGCAGCAGTGTTGGAAGAAAGTTTTGTTGTTTAAATATAAATTGTAGTGGTGGTGGTGCCAAAAAAAAAAAAAAAAAAAAAAGGAACTTTTGGCTGTGGAGACGTGGAAAATAATTTATTACAAAACTCCTGACTAATCATTACATCATAAACCCCGCGTAATTTTGTGCAAAAAACCCAATCTGCTCCGTCCTAAACGTGTCGCGGTCCACATACACCATAGACGGACCAACCCCTAGCATGTCACGACCAAGATCCGAGAATCGCGGCCACATCGGCAGCCCGCTCCCGATGTTGGGGTCATGGTGTGTTGCAAATGCTATAAAGTAGCGTCGGTAGACTTTTGCTTGAGTCGCAGCAGCCACTGCCGCTTTAGATGGCACCTTCAATATCCCTTGACCAGGTCTCCCGGGCCATCGCAGACTGGGATCCTCGTCCTCGCGCCATTGCCAAATCAAATCATTAGCGTGAAACGTCCCGAGAACAGGAATTATATTGTGCAGAGCTGTAGACTGGTATACATATGTAGGCACTGCAGCCACAGGAACACGTGCCAGAGCCAGTCGCCGGCCTGCTTGGAAAATGATATCTGTGAGAACCGCAGCCAAACGCTTGTACTGTGGAGTTACAGCATTGCGCAGACCTGTATCGAATGGTGCTCCAGAAAATGGGTTATCAGGGTATAGAGTTAACGCCTGGTGGATCTGCTGTGTTGATGCGCGTCCAAACATAGACTGAAACAGTTCTTCTGTTTCTTTGCCTGTTGTTGCATTAAGAACTAACGCAAATAGTGTACCTTCGTCTTGTTGATTACCTGTGATTTGTGGAATGGCACGTGGGGTCATGGAAAGCTCATGAACAGGCGCAGGCAGGAGACCGCTTTGATCGCGGTCACTACGCGGGCTCCAGCCCAGATACGCAGTGATGATTCCAGACTGCTCGTTGCGGACCAAATTGCGCTGGAAATCTATAATGGCGTCGAGAGTAGCATTATAGCGAAGACATTCAAGGGCTGCAAAGCCATCAGTTACGTCACATCCTGTGTTTTCAGCCAGTCTCCAAAACAGCTGCTCAGGGCCTTTATCGTCAACGTACCCTGTGGGAATGATACTACCACTTTGCATTATGGCAGCAGAAAACAAAGGTTTTTGTTCCTGGATATGGTGTGAGACGGTATGCATGTAGACACTTTGTGCGCCGGCGCTTTCACCGAAAATCACAATGCGGGAAGGATCGCCGCCAAAAGCTTCTATGTGCTTCGATACCCACTCCAAAGCCAATCTTTGGTCATGAAGTCCTGCATTTGCCGATTGCTGGTCTTTGAGGACTGCAGAACCGCCGAGAAATCCCAGCGCACCTAATCGGTAATTGAAAGTGACTATAATGACAGGGAGATTGAGGGCAATTCCATCACGCACAAACGGGTCTCCAGGGTACATTGAGGATCCGCCAAACTGGAACGCGCCGCCATGGATCCAAACCATGACAGGGAGAAGGGGTTTCAAAGGAGATGGGTTTTTAGCTGCTGGACAAAAGACATTGAGAGAGAGACAGTTTTCATCCATTGGGGTCATTTGTGCTCGGGCATCATGGAGAGCATCACGCATGTGTGGGGGGAGGTACTTGCCGATGCCAGCAATGTCATCGAACGCAGCTAGGGTACCGCCGGAAAGCGCAGCGGGACAGCTGGGCCCGAACTCAGTGGCAGAGAAGTTTGCATAGGACCCGGTGAAGGGGATAGGTCTGCTGAACCGTAAGGGACCCAGGGGAGGGGCTGCATATGGGATTCCTAGGTAAGACTCGACAAGACCATCTGGACTGAGGGTTCCAGTGAGCGGCTGAGACCCATTGATCCAGACGGTAGGTGGGAGATCAGCAGTAGCAGTTGGTAGGAGTTGGAAACAGATTGATAGTAAAAATGAAGCAATGAGTCTATAGCATAAGAGCATTTGTGAGATTCTTAAAATGGTTGCTACATGAAAAAAAAAAAAAAAAAAAAGAGGAAAATAATGGTATTGGAGGAGCTTTTCTTTTTTTTTTTTTAAGGTAAAGAATTTTTTTTTTTTTTTGTTATTTGCTATTTAAAAATCTCGAGATTTCTGATCAGCTGCTGACTTGAAGTTTTTTTTTTTTTTCACAAGACCTTTTCAAGGGCCTTTGCCACAGCAAGAAGTCGCTGGTCCTCAAGGTTTTGCGCCACAAGCTGGACCGCCTGAGGTTTTACGAGATCTAGAAGAATTAGTATTTTTAATGCTGGAAAGGTTTTATACATTTCTTTCTTTCTTTCTTTCTTTCTTTTTGCACTTACTATTGTAGCCAAGGGACTGACGGTTCACAGGAATAGAAATCGCGGGGTACTAAAAAATAAAATAAAAGTTAGAATCAATCAATCAATCATTTTGCTTCCAAGCATTTTACTCACGTCAACTGTGTTCCAGTTAATGGCAAATGGAGTCAAGTCAAACTTGCCATGTGCAGGAGCAAACTCGTCAATCAATGGACACATGAGTGCATCAAGCTTATGGGCTGTAAACAGGTCATCCCAGGCTTTTATAAACTCTCCCTGAAGAGTCTTGGACTTTGCCAGGTCTTCATCTGAGACTGTAAATGGAATCACTTTAGCCACAAAGACCTGTTCAGACCCGTCTTGTTCGTTTTTCTCAATGTGCGGCTCAAATAGCCCAGTGTGTCCACGAGCAGTTTCCGGGGTCAGCGGCTCGCCTCCACGACGGATAGCTTCAAGGTGAGTGCCATCAGTGTCAAGACTGATAAGTGGAACTCCGACTTGTTGAGTAAGATCAGAAATAGATGGGGCTGCTGCTTCGTCAATCCAAACAAGCTTATGGCCAGCAGCGCCAAGTTTTTCAGCAGTTAGGCGCACTGTTTCCTGGACTTGGCTAGTGATGGGTACACCAGGAGATCCTGTTAAAATACCTACGGTAAAAGTTTCAGGCAGATGATGGTCTTCCTTCCACTCAATTGGTTCAAGAGAGTTCTCCAGCTCAGGATCTTCCCATGGTCGTGCGCCTATAACAGACTTGAGGAAAAGCTCTAGGTCATCTGCAGACTGGGCAAGAGGTCCCACAGTAGCAGTGAGCCCTGGTTCACGTGGTGGTTTGCCTGCATCCTCAAAGCCCAAGTAGGGCACGATTTTGAGTGAAGGTTTGTATCCGTAAGCGCCGTTTGACCAAGCAGGAACACGGATGGATCCGGCCAGATCGGTACCCAAGCCCAAAGCAGATGCACGCTGAGAAACAAGGACACCTTCGCCACCAGAGGACCCGCCAGACCCCCATTCTTTGGGGTTTGCAGGGTTGAGTGTGCGGCCAAATACATTGTTGTGAGACTCTGGGGTGATGATGGCTTGTGGGACGTTAGTTTTGGCGATGACGATGGCACCAAGACGATCCGTGAGAAGTGCAACGGCTGGCGAGGCTTTAGAAGCAGGAGGAAGAGCAATTCGTGAGACAGTACCAAGGGTAGATTGGACTCCAGGAACATTGAAAGAGTCTTTGACAGTTATTGGCAAGCCAAAAAGTGGGAGTTTTAATTTTTCATCTTTCGGAAGTGTGTCCAATTCTCGTGCACGATTGATTGCTTCTGAGTAAAGAGGTTCCGAGACGGCATTGGTAAGTTTGGCAACAGCTGCTGTTTTTTTAGCAAAAGCAGTGACAACTTTTTCACTGGAGAGCTCACCAGATTGCATGGCTGGGATCAACTGGGATGCATTCTTGAGGGTGATTTCAAGTTGTTCCGGGGTAAGCAGTTGGTTAAGAATGAGGGCAAGGACGTTGGAAGAGGGGTCTGCCGTAGCCACGACTGAGTCAATGATTTCGGTCCATTCTACTGGGATTCTAGCAAGAACCTCTGAGCGTTTCTTAGCGACTTGATCTTGCCAGGACATGGTTATGAAATGTAGAGAAAGATATTAAAGGCTACGAGTAAAAGTGGAGAAGAAGAAGAAGAAGAAGAAGAAGAAGAAGAAGAATAATAATAATAATAATAATAATAATAATAATAATAATAATAATAATAATAATAATAATAATAATAAATTAATAACCAAAAAACAAAAGACAGAAAGCATTTATTATTTTTATTTTCAATATTTTCAATCCATCATGACAATTACGCAAAGGTCAGGTATCCGACACGTGATCGGTACTTTAAAAACAAGACCGAAAGACTTTTAACACAGTAAAGACCGATCAAAAAGATATTTGCATTTTTTTAAATTTTTTTTTAAATTTTTTTTTCTTCATTAAGAACTTTTCATTGGCACATCACTATTCAATTTTTATAATACATAAAAAACAACGGGACCAGCAATTTAGGCCTTGAAACCGTCCTTGAACTTTCTGGTGACGGTCTTGAGGTACTGCTGGCGACCAGTACCAGTGGTGTGTCTTCTCTTAGCCTTCTGGCCCCAGTTGAAGGAGCGGATCTTGGCAGAAGGGTAACCGCAGCTAGAGCAAGTCTTCTTCTGGCAGTGGAAGGATCGTCGGCCACATCTGCGGCAGAGAGTGTGCGACTTGTTGTGACGCTTACCGAATGAGGAAGTACCCTCTAAAGACTGAGTTAGCAAAGTTTCATTATTTAAAAAAGGTTTGCGACAAAAGTGTGAACAGAGAGAATAACAGAATAATGTCAAAAGAGTGGTTCGCTATTTTGTCCTCGTCGTAATCGTAATCGTCATCATTGTTGTCGTTGTCGTTGTCGTCATTATTAAAATAATGTCAAATGGAAAAGATGTTAATTGTTCAAGTCATTTCTGAGTGAAAAGAGGTATTTATTTAATGATAAAGTTCAAATCTTTTATTTAAATTTCCAAATCAAAAATTGCAATCTTCTTTGTTTTTACAACAACACTTTAATTCTTTTCAAACATTGGGTACTCTTAATATATATATATATGGATATTTTCATTTCGACTATTTCTATTAAGCTGTATTCATCTGTTCATCTTGTATAGTTCGCTTGTTCATCATGGCAGTAGTACTTACTAGTCATGTTGCCGGCTGTATTCTATCGTTCTGTGGTCGAAGAAGTGGGAAAAAATTTTTCTTGACAGAGTAAGAAAAAAAAAAGCCTGGAGGGGGGAGGGAGAGGGAACCAGACGGTGTGCGTGTGTGCGTGTGTGTGTATGTGTGTGTGTGTGTGGGAGAGTAAAAAAAAAAAAAAAAAAATATTTTGAAAGGGTTAGGGTTAATACTTAATTGGGTTGGTGGGTGTGTGTTGTTCACTACTATGGGAAATGCTGCTGGGCGGCAGCAGCTGCTCAACAGTAGGCAGGGCAGTAGGCAAGGCATTTCCTTGAGAAGAAGTAACGTTAGTTGCCATGACAGTTATTACAAGATTCAATATTTATGTAACAGATATAACCCTATGTCCTGGATATATACATAGAGTATTCAATAGGAGCCGCATCAAACCGAGAAAGTAAAGAAAAATAAGAGCATAAAAGGTGAGTGGTTATAAATTACTTTAGTCTGATATTTACGCATAACATTAAAGTTTCACAGTCACAGCCCTAATTAGGGTTTAATGTTAGAACACAATACTTGATGAAGCCAAAAACAATAAGAAGACTTAAAGGTTTCAATTGATGGCTATTCAAATTAAAAAAAATATATATAAATTATTTACCAAAAAAAAAAAAAAAAATTTTAAAGAAAATAAATGAAATATGTTAAAGAAAATAGTCATGAAAATATATTTTATCAGTCGTTGAAATGAAAATATATTAATATAATTTGCCTAGTATTAAACAGAATTCTCTTTTTTCTTTTTTTTTTTTTTTTTTTATGAAGGAAACTCGTAGATCTACATGACCGCGTCGTCGTCTAAATTAGCATAAGACCCGGTAATTCCAAATCAAATCAAATCAAATCAAATCAACATCTACACAAACTTTTATCAAAAAAGCTTCAGTGATTATATATATGTATAAAGTACATGAAATTAATAATTTAATATATAAAATCATTTAAACAAGTCTTTATTCAATTGATTTGCTTGTTTGCCAATCGGGGTATTTTTTTTTTTTATTATTATGTCTTCAATAAAAATATGGCACGGCTAAGAAACCAACTAACCATCCATCCGCGGTGTTTTCGTGTTTACGCATTTCGCATTTTACGCGTTTCTTTCGTGTTTTTGTTTACTTTTTTTATTTATTTTTTTATTTATTTATTTATTTACTTTTTCAAATCTCTTTTTTTTTTCTTAAAATATAAATTTTTTTATTTATTTATTTTTTTTTTCCTTCTTCTTCTTTATTTATTTATTTTTTAAAAAAAGTAAATAAACGTGTTTTATTTCCTTTTTCAAATATTAATAAATAAATAAATAAATAAATAATCCTCACTCACCTTTTTTTTTTTTTTTATTTCTTTCTTTCCTTCTTTCCTTCCTTCTTTCCTTTTCTCTTTTCTAATATCTCATCAATTCAAAATCCCAAAATTTCCAAATTCAAATCCAACTAATGGAATCTTCTAACCAGTACGCCTTTGCGCCTCGCTCAAAGTCGTGCGCCATGACTCCAGCCTCACCTATTCAAAGCCCTGAACGCGTTGCCGCCACCGCCACTACCATTGCTGGTCTCACGTCTCGCGCGTCTCGTGCTACTAAATCCGTTTCTTCTGTAAACTCGTCACTTCTCCCAGGCTTTGTTCCTAAATTCCCTCCACCTGATTCCACCTCTTTTGTTCCTACTACTCCAACAGCTATTACTTCCAAATCATTTGCTGCTGGTCCTCATGGCTCCAGTGTTGGTTCTACTGCCTCTGCCGCTGCCGCTGCTGTCAATGACTGCTCTTTGCACGAGTCAAAACATTTGTTTCAGCTGCCATTGACTGGATCTGTAAGGCCTTTGTCTGCCTCACGTGGATACTATCCCACTCCAGAACCATCATCATCTACAGGTGGTCCAGGTGCATTGTCTGAACCAGGCGCGTTTCATGAAGAAGAAGATGATGAAGATGACGACGCGAAATGTGTGCCACCTTCGTCGCCAACTCCTGCTTCCAATCGAATGCCCATGATGGCATCTTCTCCTCAATACGCGTCTTTATCTGACGATGAAGACCAAGACCAAGAAGAAGAAGAAGATATTGTGCCGAGACTGCCAGATACAAAGTACATGGCCGTTCCTGGCTCTCGTGCGGCGTCATCCCCCCCTCCAGCAACAGCAGACAATGACAGTTTTGGTGCACACATGGATACTGGCGTTACCAGACTGGACTTTGGAGCCGTTCAAGAAGAAGACAAGGCCGCCAAACCTTCCATACACCAACCAACCCAAATCCATAATAGTCCTAGCCTTCTTCACCTCCACCACCCCACTGTAATTCCAGTAGGCCAGGACTCAGTTGTGCAAGGCAAAACAAGTAATATCACGACTTTAGCAACCCCAGAACCCTTTACCGTCCGCTCGCCTCTTGCAGCCGTCACCGTGGCCCGTGTGCCTCGTTCCGGGCGACCCGTGACTATTGGCCGGTCATCCAAGTCGTGTGATGTTGCTCTTCCCTCTGCCAATCGGCTAGTTTCGCGTGTCCATGTTTGTTTGCGCATAGTTGAGCCGTCTCATAAAAAAAATGCCTCGTCGTCATTGTCCTCCTCATCTATTAACCCACCGCGTCTCCGAGTAACATGTCTGGGCTGGAATGGATGTACCGTTGTTGTGCCGGCATTCCGCATGATGTTTGTTGCTCCAAGACACGACGCATACGGGCCTAAACTGGAGCCCCAGCGTGTCGAGCGTGTCGAGCGTGTCCCGGATGGTGTCACAGATTACCTAGTGCCCAAGGGTCTCGAGATTGAGGTTGATTATGTGGCCGGCATTACCATAGATGTTCGCGGCGAACGCGCTCTTGTGGAACTTGTGGACGATGATGCCGAGCAAAAAGCAAAGGGCCAGTCGGTGCAACAGAAGCAACAAAAGGAAGAAGAAGAAGGAAAAGAAGGAAAGAGCAAACAACAAACTCTCAGAGAACGGCGGGCCACCAAACTTAATGTCCCGGCCCCACTGCTGGCCCCTGTAAACACGGCACCCGTTAATTCCACTGCTGCTGCTGTTTCGGGTACCAAACCCCGCCCCTCTTCTGCGTTTTTCTCAGCTCTACATAGCGGGTCATCTGTTTTCTCCAATACTTTAACTCCTACCCGGACCAATGTTGCTGCTGCTCTTGTCACGCCTACCACCCAGTCATTGGGTTCCTCTTTATCCGCATTGCCGGCCAAAACATCTGCACCTGCCACCAGCCGCACGCAGTCCACTGCTTCCTTGCAGTCCGCTGCTTCCTCGCAGTCCGCTGCTGCATCGCTGCCCCATCGACCATCAATGTCAGGCCGTGTCTTTACAGCAGCTGCATCGCAACAGCCCTTAACACCCGTGACACTTGGGATACCGCAGTCTGCGCACGGCACGCCGGCATCATCTGCACGTAAGCGCAAGAGTGATATGCTTGACGGCGCGCTTGTGGGTGCGTACCTTGCGAACAAAGGTGTAGCAGTGGGGGTTGACAATGGAGGTAACAAGCGAGAGAAGAAGAAGCAAGAAAATTTAGAAAGTAATTTTGAGAGGAAGAAGAAGAAGGAGGAGGAACAGGAGGAAAAAGAAGAAGAAGAAGAAGAAGAAGAAAAAGAAAAAGAAGAAGAAGAGAAAGAAGGAAAAGAAGGGAAAGAAAGAAGAGCTCGGGCTGTACCTGCAGTTCGCGGGCTTGCTCGGTCACAATCTCAGCGCGTGGCCCTTGGGTCGCCGTCCCGACGAGGTTTAGTAGGTCATGGAAATAGTCTGTTATCTCGGAGCCAGAGTATGGTTGCTGTACGGTTAGAAAGTGGAGCGCCTATATCTGAGCACACACCCCGAGATGTTATAGAAGATGAGTCTTTATTTACAGACAAGCCTGTTGAGGAGGAAGATGAGAATGAGAATGAGAATAGAGATGAAGATGAAGATGAAGAAGAGAATGTTTTTGATGCCCCCTCGTTCCAGCACATTCAGCAGGTAGTTTCGACACATTTGGCACTTTCAAGAGCACACTCGTCACCAGTTTCAGTATTACTACGTTCAATTCCATCGTTGGGTAATGGCCGTGTTGGTGTATCACATGTCCAAACCGTGTTGTCTGCAACACCTTGGATCGGAGTCATTACTAGACAGGGCAAGGATGCGGCAGGTAAGCCATTGGAGGAGGAGTACTATTATGTGCCGGAAAAGGATACAGATGCGGATCGGCGGGCGTTGGTTGACCAGCTCCGGGGCCGTGGAGCTACTGGGTTGCGTGCATGCCGTAAGACCCACAAGCAATATTATTGGAAGAAACCCCGGAATTGAGGAGGTATTTTGTTTGTTTGTTGGTTGGTTGTTGTTGTTATTATTATTATTATTGTTATTATATTGTTTTTATTATTATTAATATTTTTTTTTGTCATTAATTATAAATTATTATTATTATTATTATATATACTACATATTTTCACTTTTTTTTTTAAATGACTGAATTCTCAATAGAGGCAATGGCCGACTCGGCGAGAATATTTTTCGAGACAAGGTAACGGACCAAAGCAAGAGCAAGCTGAGTTTGCTGGTCGTGGGAGAGATTGACAATTGCAGATTGGAGCAGAGAGGTGATTGAGACATTGTGAGAGGCCACAAAGGTATCATAGTAGAGATAAGAGAAAAAGCCCATAAGGAACTGACAGTCCATTCGGTCGGTGATGCCTCCGTGTCCTGGAATGGTATCGCCAAAGTCTTTAACCTTGAAGGTACGTTTAAGACCAGAAGCGAAAAAGCCACCAAAGGGAGCAATGAGGGAGGCAAAAGTAGCGAGGGCAGTGACATGGATGTAAATGGTGGGGAAGACAACAGTGTCCATACCGAAAAAGAGAGGTTGGAAGAGGGAGGGGATACGGTGGGCAGATGGGAAGAAGACAGCATTTGGTGTGCAGTCAATTCCAGTAAAGGCATTGATTCCTAGGTCGGAGATTGGGCAGATAAAGTATTTGAAACGGCCGAGAATGAAGACGAGGATAAGACCCATAAAGATTGTACAGATCCATGCTCCGATAAAGCCTTCGACAGTTTTTTTGGGAGAGATTTTAATGAGTGGAGTGTGGCCAAAAGTAATTCCGCAGAGATAGGCAAAGATATCGTTTGTAATGACAAGAGCGGCAGGAACAAAGAACCAAAAGATTCCTGAAAAAATGTTTCTAACAATAAAGTGAGCTTGGATGACAACGAGAAGCAAGGTCATGTGTGTGATGCAAAACTGGGTGAATTGGAATCGGTAGTGGTTTTTTTCGAGGGAAGAGACAAAGAAGATAAAGCCAATAATGTAAAGGCAGTATGAAAAGAATCGGTGATGAGTTGCCAAGGGCAGGAGGTAAGCATCTACGAGAACAACGTGTTTGAAGTAGTAAATGACGGATTCACCTTCAAGAAAGTAGATTGTAGTTGCTAAAAAATACCAGTTTAGAGAGCGGACCCAGGGGAGTTTTTTCTCACGCGAAGGTTCTGTTGCCAGGTTGATAACTTCTTTAAAGGTAAGGACTTGGATGAGTACAATGAGGGCAATGATCCAGATATGTCCAGCAGCCAAGATAAGGAAGAATCCTGCAATCATGACAATTGTCCAGATAGTTCGTACCACAAAGTTTTGTCGTTTCTTTTCCTTTTCTGCGGCTGCTACTGTGATTGTGATGGTATCAGGGGCATCTTGGGTATTTTTTTGGTTTAATTCATTAGATTCTGTTAATTCGATTGTAGATTCTTTTGATTGTAAGTTTATCTGTGGTGATGATGATGATGATGATTCCAGAGGAATGGACTTTTCTGAGACAGAAGCATTAGCAGCTTGAGCAGAAGAAGCTGTTGTACTTTGTCTGTTTGGAATGTTGTTATTGTTATTGTTGGTATCAGACATGTTGTCCTATTGATTAAAAAAAAAAAAAAAAAAAAGTTATTTTAATATATATATATGTGAAATTAAAAAATGAAATATTAAAAATATAGAAAGAAAGAAAAAAAAAAAAAGAAAGAAAGAAAAGAAAAGATTTTTTTTTTTTTTTTTTAAAATAAAAATAATAAAAATAATAAAAATGGCGGTGGTAGTGAAAAAAAAAAAAAAAAAAAAAAAAAAAAATTCCAAAATAGTTAAAAATTGACGTAATATATTACAAATCAACGTATCACCACTCTACATTCTATGCTTCACCCCGTGGTAGACCAAAAAAAAAATAAAAATAAAAATAAAAATTCTGGGGAGCCAAAAAAAAAAAAAACTCAGCCATAATAATAAAATAATAATAATAAAATAATAATAATAAAATAATAATAATAAAATGATTTTTAAATAAATATTTTTGAGTTTTTTTTTTTTTTTTTTTTTTTTTTTTAAAAAGTAAAAAAAAAGTTTATAATTATTATTAATTCAATCTATATATTAAAAGTTTTTATCAAAATAAATAAATAAATAAAAAAACCCCCCCAATTAACAAAATATTTAAAACTTTTTATTTTTTTTTTTTTTTTTTTTTTTTTAAAGATTAAATTTTCACATGAATTTATTTATTTTTTTATTTATTTATTTTTTTTTGTTTGGTCTTCCTTAATCACACTATTGTTGGGGGGGGGAAATTTTTCATATATAAAAAAAAAAAAAAAATTTTTTTGGTCAACAGAAATTTTTAAAAAATAAAAAAAATAAATAAAAAGAAAATAATTTTTTGGAATTTTCACATGTCAAATATAAATAAATGAAGATTACACGGCTGTGCAGGATTTTTTCAAATAATAATAAAAAAATATATATATATATATATATATATTTGAATACTTTTTTTTTTTGAATACTTTTTTTTTTGAATACTTTTTTTTTTTGAATACGTTATTTTTTGAATACTTTTTTTTTTAAATCTAAAAAAAAAAAAAATTTTAAATAAATAGATTTTTTTTTTTTCTCTTCTCCAGTATTTATTTATTTATTTATTTTTTAATTCAGACCACCAGTCATTTTTAATCTAAATATTATTGTTGCATAATCAGTTTTTTTTTAATTTTTTTTTAATTTTTTTTTTTATTTATTTATTTCATGATGATAAATATTTTTGGCATGTGAGTTGTTGTTGGTCTTATCATAATATAATAAAATATCATAAAAAACAAAATAAAAAAAAAAAATTAATTTAATTCATTTATTTATATTTTTATGATGGCTATTTAACTGGTATATTTTGTTTAATTATTTTTTTTTTTTTTTTTAATTTTTTTTTATTTTTTAAAGCACCAATGAAGAATTTTATCCCAACAACCTCCGGATAAATTTTAAAAAAAAAAAAAAAATTATATATATATAAATATATATATGAAAAGTTAAAAAAAAAAAAATAAATAAAATAAAAGGGGGGGAGGCAAAGATTGTTTATTATAATTATTCTATCCCTTTATTTTTTTTTATTTTATTTTTATTTATCATCTCAATCATAAATCCAACAAAAAGTTTTAAATTTTAAAAAAAAAATTAAAAAAAAAAAAAACTCCAATTAACTCAAATCAAGTCTTTTCAATCCTTCCTTAAATTTTTTTTTTTTTTTTTTTTTTTTTTTTTAAATTTAAAATTTAAAATTTAAAACATATATATAAACAAATAAAATTTATTTCTAATTGATACTCTGTTTACCTTAAAAAAAATATATAATACAAAATAAATATAATCCAAAAAAAATGCTCCAGGAGGGGTTCGAACCCACGACCATCGCGTTCCTCACACGATCGTGACATTTGCATAGAAATTCACTTGTGAACGGCTATAAGCACGAAGCGCTAACCACTGCGCCACTAGAGCTGATTGTTAAAAGTTAATCTAAATGTACATACATAAAGATTAACTACTTTGAAATGTAAAAATAGTAATCCCTGGTCAAGTGATTTTAAAAATTCTATTTTATAAACATTAATTGACTAGAAAATAATATATTATTTAATAAAATAGTTTAGTTATACATTTAAATTTTAATATAACCAAGATTTTACTAAAAAAATCTCTTGGATTTGAGGCCTCTACACCTAAAAACATTATCTTTATTCAAAAATTCATAAAAAAAATCCAAACTTATTTTTAAAATACTTTTTTAAAAAATTTAATACTTTTGATATTTAATTTTTAAAAGCTAATAAAAAAAAATAATAAAATAAAAAAAAAGATAACAATTATTAAAGAAAAAAAAACAAATTATTCTTAAATAAGAGGAAAAAAAAAGAAACTCTCCCGAGCGTGAGTCGAACACGCGGCCTCAGGATTACAATGAGCTATTACAGTCCCGCGCTCTACCAACTGAGCTATCGAGAGTCTTCAAATTGTTAAAGACATGACATTTTGGACCACCAAAAGAAATGCCAATGAGTTGCATTATGCATTAATTCCTAATAATTGAGTATTAGTTGTATATTTTTTTAACATAAATTTAAAAAATTTGCAAAAACTATTGATTTCTGCATTTTTGCATTAAAATAATATACTTCTACCCCGCTTTTAACATTCTCCTTTTATTGAAGAGTAAAAAAAAAACAATTTAAAGATGAAAGCTGGGGAAAATATATATATATATATATATATATATATATATATATAAGAAGAATAAAATTCAATTTAATTAAACTACTATTTTATTTTTTTCACTCAAAAAAAAAAAAAAAAAAAAAAGTAAATCATTAAATAACTACAAAATGATCAACTTACTTTCAAGCGAAACTCCTCTCATTTATAGTGCTATACCCAACGACAGCCCAGACTCATTTGATAGAACAATTTTTTTGTACTTTCATTTGTTTTCTAACGATTTAATGATTGCAGTCCACCCTGAAAACTTTGAAGAGTTTTCCAAATGTATTCATCAAGGAAACCTAATGACTAGTCTCATTGACACAAATCTCATTGCCTCTATGGTTACCGGAGATTTCAAATCTCCAAGTGTTTTTTTTACAAAATCCTTTTTCTTGGATGAGGATTATATAAAAAACTTCACCCCACGTTCAATTGATAATATGAATATCAACAATAGCCCTGCCTCTCTTTCCCATCTTGCCCATGTCAAAACTAATAATGTCGAGTCCCGTGCATTTTACCAAAATAAATGTATGCCTCCCTTTTGCCATTTCTCTTATGACTCTCAAGAAATTAGACCCCGTTGCAAAAACTGCAAACCTATTGTTCTCTACGACTTTGTCCGCAAGGTTAAAAACCAAGACGTATCGGATGTGTACTGGAACGTTCAAGACTTGGCTGTGGTCGATCATTGTTTGATGCCAAAACTTGATAAACTCACCACTTTTATGTACCATTACATTCGCAACAATGTTTTTGCCCGTAGCTGTGATGGAGATCTCGCTCTTCAAATGCCGGGCAAAACCGTCATTGAGATTTACAACAAGTTTTCTTCTCCATCAATCTGAGCCGCATGTGCGTCTGTGTAGATCTTAAGTACTTGCACGTGACCGAAAGTACTTTTTAACATTAAAAAATTTTTAATTTTTTTTTTTATTTTTTGTTTTTTATTTATTTTTTTTTTTGGCGCCACCACAAACCGCCATTACTGACACTTCTCGTTTCATTTCCATAACCTCGAGACTCCCTGGATTTCATCCTTAGATCTCCTTTATAAAGACTTTGATTTCCCATATATTTTTTTTTCTTATTTCTCTCTTTTTATGTAGCCAAAATATAATGATTTCTAGCGTATCCCCGCGATGGCGTCTTTGTCGACGCTTATTTTCAACTTGCAAAACTCTACCGCAATCAACAACTTTGACTCAAATCCCTTCAAAGGATGAACCCCCACGCATCAATGCCGTTGGAATCCAATACCTCCCCTCTAAACTCCATAAAAAGATCTTTGGAAGCCCTGTGCCTGAACTTAAAACTATTGTCGACCATGATGACTACATCACTCGTCTTTCTGTTCGACACCTTAAAAACAATGGCCTTTATGGCAAAAAAACTACCACCTACCCCGCCCTTGATATCGACATCCCTTCCATCTCGGGGAAAACCCTCGACGAACATTTTTACAAAATTGGTCTCAATGCTGCTGAACCATACCTTTCAAAGGCTAAAAAATTTGCTGCAGGTGACATCCCTCCCATGCCTAAACAACAAGATTGGGTTAAAAAATCCGGATGGACAAAGTACACCAAGAATGCCTTGCCAGTCTCGGTAGATTACCCAGATGACCCAGACGCCCTCGTGTTTGACGTCGAAGTTCTCTATAAAATCCATGACTTTGCTGTCATTGCAGTCGCGGCTTCTCCCACTGCATGGTATTGCTGGCTGTCTCCATGGCTCCTTGGAGAGTCGGAAAACCAGCGCCAACTTATCCCACTTGGCTCAAAAGAAGAAAAACTCATCATTGGCCATAACGTTTCTTACGACCGCAAACGTATCAAGGATGAGTACTCCATCAACCTCACAAACTCTATGTTTATCGATACCATGTCGCTTCACATTGCTGTTAACGGAATGTGCTCTCGTCAACGTATGAGTTGGATGAAGGTTCGCAAAGTCAAAAACCAAATCGATGGTGGTGAGACGTCTGAGGAATCTGCTTTCGAACTTTCGGCAGAGATTGAAGATAACCCATGGGTCAATGTCAGTACCCTCAATAGCCTAGCCGATGTGGGGTATCTCCACTGCGGCATCCAACACGACAAGTCTGCTCGCGACTATTTCGGAACCTACTCACGCGAGCAGGTTTTAGAAGAACTTAACATGCTTATTGATTACTGTGCCCGCGACGTGGAAGTCACTTATAAAATATACAAGGTCCTCTTGCCCCGTTTCATTGATGTTGTCCCTCATCCAGTCAGTTTTGCTGCCCTTCGTCATATGGGGTCTCTTTTCCTTCCAATTAATGATTCTTGGGAAAAGTATCTTAAGGACACTGAGGAATGCTACAATTCTGCCAATGACGAACTATTAGCCAGTCTCATAAACCTGGCCGAAGAAGCTGTTGCTTTAAAAGATACCCCTGAAAAATGGCAAGCTGACCCATGGCTTTCCCAATTTGACTGGACTATTACCCCAATTAAAATGGTCAAGCCCAAGAAAAAGGGCGAGGAACCCCGACCAGCAAAGCGCCAAAAGTTACCAGGATTCCCCAAGTGGTACAAGGATCTGTTCCCCTCTATAGGATCGCCAATGAGCATCTCTGTACGCTCTCGTACAGCTTTAATCCTCCTGCGTCTACGTTGGGACGGCTATCCCATTATTTGGTCCGACGTCCATGGCTTTGTTTTCCGTGTTCCTATAACTCAAAAACAACGTTGTCTCGACAAAAAATACCCTTTTGCCGACATGAATACCGAAACCAATATGTCTCTTAAAGATGACCCCAATGTCACGTACTTCAAGGTCCCACACAAGGATGGGCCTAAGGCACGCTGCGTGTCACCTATGGCATCTTCCTACCGAAAATACTTTGACAAAGGCATTTTGTCCTCCGAGCTGGACTTGGCGGCAAAGGCCATCGAGGTCAGCGCAGCATGCTCTTACTGGACCTCCAACCGTGAACGTGTTCTTAGCCAAATGACTGTTTGGTCTGACGACGTTGACATGGGAATCCCCACACAAAACGGCAAAGACTTTGGCATGATTTTGCCATCACTCGTCCCCATGGGTACCATCACGCGACGTGCGGTCGAGAAAACATGGCTCACGGCTAGTAACGCAAAGAAAAATAGAATCGGGTCTGAACAAAAGGCTATGGTACGCACCCCACCTGGATACAAGTTTGTTGGTGCTGATGTTGACTCTGAGGAACTATGGATTGCTAGTCTTGTTGGTGATTCTATGTTTAAGATGCACGGTGGCACTGCCTTGGGTTGGATGACTTTGGAGGGAAGCAAAAATGAGGGCACAGATCTTCACTCCAAAACAGCTTCTATTTTGGGTATTTCTCGTAACGATGCCAAAGTTTTCAACTATGGCAGAATTTATGGTGCCGGTCTTGCTTTTGCACAACAACTGCTCAAGCAATTTAACCCCACACTAACAGAAAAAGAGGTCCAAGATACAGCAATTCGTTTGTACGCTGCAACAAAGGGTACAAAGACAAAATCTAAGGCTTTAGGCTTTGATGGATCCGGTGGGTTTTGGCGCAATGGCTCTGAAAGTTTAATTTTCAACCGTTTGGAAGAAATGGCCAACCAAGATGCTCCCCGTACACCTGTTCTTGGTGCTGCAATTACTGAGGCGCTCAAGCGTCAGCATCTCAAGGCATCTCCATTTTTACCTTCCCGCATCAACTGGAACATTCAATCTTCTGGTGTTGATTATCTTCATCTTCTCATCACTTCCATGGCTCATTTGACCAAAAAGTACGATATTAACGCGCGCTTGTTTATTACTGTGCACGATGAAATACGTTACATGGTAAAAGACGAGGACGTTGACCGTGCAGCACTTGCTCTTCAAATTAGTAACATGTGGACCCGTGCCATGTTTTCACTACAGCTGGGAATTAAGGAGCTCCCTTATGGTGTTGCCTTCTTTTCAGCAGTTGATGTGGATCACGTCTTGCGCAAGGAAGTTAACCTGGATTGCATCACTCCCTCTCATCCTAATCCTATTGAGTCTGGCTACTCAATGGATATTTATGAGCTGGTTAAAAAGTGCACGAGCCTGGCCAAAGATGGTGTGGACCCAGCAGACAGTTCCAGTTTAGACAAGATTGAGTATACCCCAGAGCTGAGTGTCACTGAGGAGATTGAAGAAGGCCATGGCCCTATGGTTCCATACATTGCTGCCCAGATTGCAGCCAACCCAAAGGAATTGTCGTTGGTGGAGAAGCTTGCACAGGAAAAGAACCCTGATTGGGACTTGTTTTTGGGCTCTTCTGAGGATGACATTGCTACGGAATCTGGAAATGGCGGAGCTAATGTTAAGGAAACGGAAGAGTTGATGCGCGGATTGGAGATGCTTACAACGGCTCCGGAGCCTGTCAAGACGCCCAAGAAGCAACGGCCCAAGTCCAAGACGGCGGCGGCCTCTACAACCAAAAAGAGTAGCCGAAAGGGGAAGAAGGCAGCAGCAGAAGAGGAACAAAGTCAAGCTGTTAAAGCTGAAGAATCAACTTCAGTTTCAAAAGATGCTATCCTAACTGATGTACCAAAGCGACGATATACACGGCGTACCACATCCAATTTGCATCCATTGTTTGTGCTACCCCCAGAACTTGCTTCGTTAACTTCGCCCGAAACTCCAGAAGGCCGGTCGCGGCTGGACAAGTGGCGTCGTGAACGTGCGCAAGAGAGCCGGGCTCGAATGGAAAGCAACTATTCAAATAAGCCGAGTAACCCAAAGTCCAATATTGATGAATTATTGATGCAGTACGAGTGCCAGTCACCTAAAGTGACTTTAGCACCTGAAGAGTTTTTCTCTCCTGAGGAAATGTATAGCATTTTCCAAAATGACTTGTCGGTGGTGCACAAGAATCAACCGGGCGAGAATCGCCGGCGTAGAGCTTATTAATTATAGAGATTTAGAATTATTGTAATTTAGTTTTTTTTTTTCAATTTAATGGTGTTAAATAAATTGTGTTTAATTGTAATCTTGATTAAAATGATTAATTGAGTTTAAATATATATACTCAAATTGGCATTTATCTTTTAAACCGTATATCATTTAATGAAATTTCTTCGAGGAATTCACTTTTTTTTTTCTTTTTTGATTTTTCATTGTTTTCCTCGAGCTTTGTAAAATGCATGAGTAATATTATCTACCACGTGACTAAAATCAAATTTACTAAGACGTTACTAAAAATTTTGGATTACTACGGCCTTACCAATCTTACAAACAAATTAGAAAAAACCTCCATTGGATAAACGCGCGATATCACCAATGTAGGCTTGACATTTGTAAGGGTTTAATAATGCTGTGTTTATCTATTTCCAGAGTATTCCTCTAGGGGGGTACCTAAAAAACTATAAAAGGACATTAATTCTCCTTTTTTTTTTTTAGAATAATTTTTTTTTTAAACTAATTAATCCCTAAAATTAAAATCAAAACAACTACAAACAAAAGAATAAATAAACATGCCAGCATTTACTCCAAGATCAATACTGAGATCATCACCAGCACTTGAACAATCTGAGGGTGTTGGTGCTAGAGTTCGAAGATCTATCGGAACTTCAGCAGTCCGCAATTATACACCTTTCCTTATGCTAGATCACTTCAAGGTATCTCCTGAAGCTGGGTTCCCCGATCACCCTCACCGAGGTCAGGAAACTATCACTTACATGATCAAAGGTCGTATTGACCATGAAGATTTCACTGGTTCTGCAGGTACCCTGGGTCCTGGTGACTTGCAGTTCATGACAGCTGGCCGAGGAATTGTGCACGCTGAAATGCCTCGGATAGATAAGGACGAGGACGGGAATATTGAAGTGGTAGAAGGACTCCAGCTATGGGTGGATCTCCCTAAAGAACTTAAAAATTGTGAACCACGATACCGTGATTTGCGGGCCAAAGAAATACCCATTGCCAAGCCAAGTGACAAGGTTGAGATTAAGGTGATTTCCGGAGAGTCTTATGGAGTTGACTCGGTCAAAGACCTGGCCTATACACCAGTCTGGTTTCTAGATAACAAGGTTCATCCTGGAGGGAAAGTCGAGCAGCCATTGCCTATTGGGTTCAATGCGTTTCTTTACATTTTGGAAGGCGAGGTGATGGTAAATGGGCAACGCTTTAAGCAGTTTACTAATGTTTTTTTCAACGATGACGGAACCGGAGTTGAAGTTCGGGTTTCTGATACTGCCAGTGGTCCGGCTCGATTCGCAATTATTGCAGGCGCAAAGCTGGACCAACCAATTGTTCAACACGGTCCCTTTGTCGAAACATCACGCGAAAAAATTATGCATGCATTTTTCGATTACCAAACGGGGTCAAATGGATTTGAGCGAGCAGTAGGATGGGAAAGTGAAATTGGTAAAAGAATGCTTAGAAATTTTTAAATGAGATTATAGTAATAATTATATTGTATTTTTAGTTAAATTTTAATTTTTATATGAGTTAAACAAAATTCTTGCCAAGTTATGATCAATTATTATATAGATTGTGTACCTTCTAATCTATCCTTTTATGATAATCAAAAAAAAAAAAAAAAAGATTTTTGAAAAAGATCAAATTTCTTAAATTTTTCGTTTTGTACAATGCAACCAGCCTTTTTTATCCAGTCTTTGTTTCTGGTAAGGGGATTTTAAACTGATAAACTATAAAACAGCTAAATAGCTCTCATAATAATGTCTTTTTTATTTTTGGACCATATTAGTTACAATTTACATAACAGTCCTGATTTGCCTTTAAAAAAGTTCAAGTTGAATTGACCATTTTTAAAGAAAGGTCTAAAAAAAAAATAAAAATATTCTATTAGAGAGAATATGTAGAACGTTTATATCAAAAAAATCCTTAATTGTTACTCTATTGAAATTTTAGTTGATTGTGAGCTTTGCAAAGCTACCTTTTTTACAGACCTTTTAATAATTTTTAACCCACCATCATGCTAATATATAGGAGTCTTTTTAATTGTCAATAAAGTATTATAGTATTGTTTATGAAATGTTTATTATCTAAATAATACATTAAAAACTAAAAGTTAAGCATTCAGGACATTTTTTCCTTTATTAAGGGCTGTGAAAATTCTTATTAACTACTTGTGTTTTGGTAATTAACATGTTGAAAATGAAGAAGAAATAGCTATTAAGAGTTTGTGAAATGCTTAATTAGAATTTCATTTTGTTAAGGTAGTAATAATAAACCCTTACCCTTTTGGGATCTTGAAAACTTTTGAGATATTTTCAATTTTTGTTATTTTTCAGTGGATTATTAACAAAATTTCAGTGGGTTTATTAACAGATTTTCAATAGCTTATTTAACACGTCCTTAAAATATTTAAGAAATACGCAAGGGTAAGGGCTTTTTAATTTCTTAATAATAAAAATAAGAATGTGTAACCAGCACATTTCAATTGAAAAAATTTGGGACAATTAAATTGGAACAGATTAATTGCAATCAAAATAATTATTTTAAACAAAAATAAGAATTTTTATTTCATTGAAGTAAGGATTGATAATAATATCTAGAATATGTATATTAATAAAATTATAAATTTATTATTCATTTTTCTATCTTGAGTTAAAAAAAAAACGTAGAACAGATTTAGTCATGTGAGCATATTAGCTTCAAATTACCAATATGACTAAGCTCATTAAGTTGTAGCCATTTGATCATGTGCCATTACTACTGCCTTATCAATTTCATATTTGACAAATCCATCTCAACCTCATAATAAACTCCATTAGAAATCAAGCTAAATCACCAACTAAGGCTTTAAATTTGTAAAGGTTTAATAATGAGGGTTCGCTTACTTCCAGAGGGTTCTTTTGACAGCATCCAAAAACTATAAAAAGACCCCAATATTCCTATCACTTTCATTTTTCCTTTTTTTTTCTTTACCAATAAAACAAACAAAATCAATTCTTTTTTACTTTAATCTCTTCAATCAACACATAACAATCACAATCACAATCACAATCACAATCATAAACAAAAACAAAATATTATCTATGCCAGCTTTCACCCCAAGATCAATTTTCAAATCATCTCCTGCTCTTGAGCAGTCCGAAGGTGTTGGCGCTCGTGTCCGCAGATCAATTGGCACTGGAGCTGTCCGCAACTTCACTCCTTTCCTTATGCTTGATCACTTCAAAGTATCTCCTGAAGCTGGGTTCCCTGACCATCCTCACCGTGGTCAGGAAACTATCACTTACATGATTAAAGGTCATGTTGATCATGAAGATTTCACTGGTTCTGCTGGTACCCTGGGTCCTGGTGACTTGCAGTTCATGACTGCTGGTCGAGGAATTGTCCATGCTGAAATGCCCCGCATTGATAAGGATGCAGATGGGAACATTGAAGCTGTTGAAGGACTTCAATTGTGGGTAGATCTTCCCAAGGAACTTAAAAACTGTGAACCAAGATACCGTGATTTGCGATCCAATGAGATCCCCATTGCCAAACCAAACGACAAAGTTGAAATCAAAGTCATTTCTGGTGAATCTTACGGTATCGATTCCGTTAAAGATCTTGCATACACGCCTGTGTGGCTGCTAGATAATAAGGTCCAACCAGGTGGTAAGGTTGAGCAACCTTTGCCTATTGGGTTCAATGCGTTTCTTTATATTTTGGAAGGGGAAGTGATGGTCAATGGCCGTCAGTTTAAACAATTCACTAATGTTTTTTTCAACGATGATGGCACAGGGGTAGAAGTTCGAGTTCCTGATAGTGCCAGTGGACCGGCACGATTTGCAATTGTTGCAGGGGCCAAGCTTGACCAGCCTATTGTACAGCATGGACCGTTTGTTGAAACATCACGCGAAAATATTATGAATGCTTTTATCGATTACCAAACAGGGTCAAATGGATTTGAACGAGCAGTGGGATGGGAAAGTGAAATTGGTAAAAGAATGCTTAGACACTTTTAAATGAGATAATAGTAATAAATATGTTGTATTTTTAGTTAAATTTTAATTTTACATAAGTTTAAACAAAACTTTTCTAAGATTATGTTTAAAATATATATATTTAATAACATATAAGGTATATGTTTATCCTATAAAGGATTGCTGCGGCTTTTATGACATTTGCCTATTTAATGATGGGGGATTTGTTGTAATACTTTTTTTCTAAATAATATTATGTTTAAAATATATATATTTAATTAATAATTAATTAATAATTTGTTATGCTTAGTCGACCTCCTCGACAGTAGGACCACTGCCCTCACCTGAAGTACCGCCAGGAGCTGAGCCAGGGGCTGCGCCAGGGAATCCTCCAGGCATACCACCACCAGGAGCACCACCGGCACCTTGGTAGAAGCCAGTCATGATAGGATTAGCCACTCCTTCCAGCTCCTTTTGTCTGTCTGTGAACTCTTCAGTCGTAGCAGTCTGGTTGCTATCAAGCCACTCAATAGTCTCTGTAATTTGCTTCTCAAGCTTCTCACGGTCACTTTCAGAAACCTTCTCCTTGAACTTTTCCTCAGAAATTGTATTCTTAAGCGAGTAAGCATAGCTTTCAAGACTATTCTTGGCTGCAATGCGCTTTGATTCCTTCTCGTCCTCATCCTTGTACTTTTCAGCTTCAGAGACCATCCGCTCAATGTCTTCCTTGGACAGACGGCCCTTGTCGTTGGTAATCGTAATTTTGCTGCTCTTACCGGTACCCTTCTCAACTGCAGAAACGTTCAAGATACCATTGGCATCAATGTCGAACGTCACTTCAATCTGAGGAACACCACGAGGAGCAGGAGGAATACCGGAAAGCTCGAACTTGCCGAGAAGGTTATTATCCTTAGTCTTGGTACGCTCACCTTCATAAACCTGGATAAGAACACCAGGCTGATTGTCAGCATATGTAGAAAAGGTTTCAGACTTCTTGGTAGGAATGGTAGAGTTGCGGGGGATCAGTTTGGTCATGACACCGCCAGCAGTCTCAATACCAAGGGAAAGGGGTGCAACATCAAGCAGCAACAAGTCCTGGGTCTTTGAAGAAGAAGTGTCACCAGAAAGAATTGCAGCTTGGACTGCAGCACCATAGGCAACGGCCTCGTCAGGATTGATAGACTTGGAAGGCTCCTTGCCATTGAAGAAATCAGAAACAAGTTTCTGGACCTTGGGGATACGTGTGGAACCACCAACAAGGACGATATCGTGAACTTGTGACTTGTCAATCTTAGCATCACGGAGGACCTTTTCGACAGGCTCTAAAGTGGATCTGAAAAGATCACCACAGAGCTCCTCAAATCTGGCACGAGTGATGGAAGTGTAGAAGTCAATTCCCTCGTAAAGAGAATCAATCTCAATTGTGGTTTGTGCAGAAGATGAAAGAGTACGCTTGGCACGTTCACATGCGGTTCTCAAACGTCTAAGAGCACGTTGGTTTGAAGAAAGATCCTTTTTGTTCTTGCGCTTAAACTCTTCAATGAAGTGGTTTACCAGTCTGTTATCGAAATCTTCACCACCAAGATGGGTATCACCTGCAGTAGCATTGACTTCAAAAATTCCGTCTTCAATGGTAAGAAGAGAAACATCAAAAGTACCACCACCAAGATCGAAAATTAGAACCTTGCGCTCTTCCTTTGCTCCCTTGTCAAGACCATAAGCAATGGCAGCAGCTGTAGGTTCATTGATGATACGCAGAACATTGAGACCAGCAATTAATCCTGCATCCTTAGTAGCCTGTCTTTGAGAGTCGTTGAAATAAGCGGGGACAGTAATGACAGCATCTGAAACTTTACTACCTAAGAAACTTTCTGCGGTTTCCTTCATCTTTGTGAGGACCATGGAGGAGATTTCTTCAGGTTGGAAAACTTTAGTTTCACCTTTGAACTGGACTTGAATGGCAGGTTTGCCATTCTTGTCAATGACCTTAAAGGGGAAATGTTTAAGATCAGTTTGAACCTCAGGATCGTTGAACTTTCGGCCAATTAATCGCTTGGCGTCAAAGACAGTATTTTCTGGGTTCATAGCAGCCTGGTTTTTGGCAGCATCACCAATCAGGCGCTCAGTGTCTGTAAATGCCACGAAGGAAGGTGTTGTGCGGTTACCTTGATCGTTGGCAATGATTTCGACACGGTCGTTTGTAAAATGGGCCACACAAGAGTATGTGGTACCGAGATCAATTCCAATAGCTTTGCTCATTGTTGTTGCTAAGTTATGATTTGATTTAGAATAGATATTTGTAAAATTGTTGTGAGAATAGATTTTTTTGTTTTTATTTGATGAAGATAAAAAAAAAAAACTTTGAATGATGGGATATTTGTCTTCTTTTTATACTTGGAAGGTTGGTTTGTTTAGACATCCTTGAGATGCTTCGAAAGCCGCACAGAATCCACTAGACGTTTCTGGAAATTTATATTTCACGTGATTTAACATTCCCCCATAATCCCATAATCCCATAACCCCATAACCCCATAACCCCATTTCAACAATGAAGGATTTTTAGAAATTTCTCAATCTGATCGTGATGAATCTTAATTAAACAAAAATAAACTCGAGAGTTCTAGTAACTAGAAGATTGTTCTTCATATTTTTTTTTTTTTTAAAAAAAAAAAAAGAAACTAATATCGTGGGGAAAGTAGTTTACTTTTTTTTTTTCTAGAAAAATTAAACACTCTACAAACTACCATTCGAGCGCAATTATCATTGAGATGCTTTAATGCAATTTTATTTATGATGACTAGATAGTATTATATATTGAATATTGATATTAATATTAATTAAGCTATTATTTCCCAATTCTTATTGGATTATTCTCAAGGTAGAAAAAAAAAGGCTTGTTTTAGTTTCATTTTCAAAAGTCATCATCTTCACCGATGAATCCATTTCTGGAGAAAGCGCTATCTTGATCAGAAGCACTAGGGATAGTCCCCCAACGAGCCACTTTACGTTCAGCATCAATAACACCACGTTCACGCTCAAGACGTTGCTCAACTGCACTTCGTGCTTGTTCCTTAACTTCGCGACGAATAGTGTCACGACTTACTGATTCATCCGTTTTACGTGACCCTGGCAAAACAAACACCTCGGCACCTGAATTAACAGCAGTAACAGAATGTGTGGCACTTGCACGGCGCGCAGAAATACCTCCACGAAGTGGCTCCCCTGAAGATAAAACAGGACCACGGCTTGGTGACAACGAGCGAGGAGCTGAGCTACCACTCACAGAGGGAACACGAGGTGCTGCAAGTACTGGAATCGAGCCTGAGTTAAGAGACATGTTTGAAGGTCTTTTGCGGAGTGGTGGTGGACCTCCAGCAGGAAACCCTCCAGATTGAACAATATTGTTACTATAAGAGGCAGTACGAGAAGCTGAACGAGAGGCGGAGCGAGATGGGGAACGACTCGGGCTTGCTTGACGTGATGATGAAGATGGTGCACGGGGCTTATTGGTAGACCCGTGAGCATGTTTGGGCAATGATATGGGTCCATTGTGAGGAGTTTGATGCAAAGGAATGACGTGAGTAGGTGATACACGACCTGGATTAACTCCTGAAGCATGGCGATGGTGGTCGTAGGGAATATCAACTTCTTTTGGGTTTTTGAAATAGTATTTACCCTCGGTTGGTTTAACCGTTGCACTGACGCCTACGCCATTAGCAGAAGTTGCAACCACAAAGGGCAACTTTGGAGTTGCAGCTCTAGGTGGAGGAGAAGTGCTTCGTGACCAAGGATCATCATTTGAACCAACAGAAGCGATAGCAGCGGTGTAGGATGCAATAACACTAGCACTGGTTGAGCTTGCTGAAGTCGGGATACTGATTTGAGTTCCAGAAGAACTTGACAAGCGAACCCCTGAAGAACGACTTGGCTGTTTTTCTGGCTGCCTTTGTGGTTGCTTTTTAAATAGATTTTCCTCGAGCTTTTTAATACGCTCACTATACAATGCACGATATAATCTATCGACTTGGACCTCGTAAGCCAATTTATGTAGGTATTCATTAATGACCACTGCACGGTCATTTTTATCAAATGACAAGGTTGACATTGCTTCTATAGCAGCCTTTCCATTTTTTGAAGGAATCCGGGAAGAATTGCGAGTTTGTGCCTGTGTTTGAGCTTGATAATAGTTGCCGATACTAGGTATTTTGGAACCAGAGTTTGCAGATGATGATGGGTGGTTGCGTTCCCATTTGCGGCACTTGGCCAGATTGATTGCCTCTTTAACCATTCGACGGCGAGCTTCTGGGGCCACATAATGTTCTGAATAGATGCCTGATTCCGAGAGTGTTTTAATATACACTAATTCTGATGCATTTGAGTTCAAAACCATGAGCGCATATCCCGGTGCAAGTTGCTTGAGAATGGCTCCACCTGAAGCCAATGCGACTGGTCCTGAGGAAGCGGCCAACCGGCGAGCAGCTAAAATAGCGGCAGGGATTTTTTTTGTCGAAGATATAGGGGGTTCAGGGGCCACGGTCATAGGCATAGTCACAGGCTGCTTTTTGGCTAAAGACGAAGGGGTACTAGAAAGAATGCACAAAGAGCGAAACTTGTTTTTACGCCAATCAACAAGAATGCGAAACTTGTCGTTGGCCAATGCACGTTCAAACGCGGTACGATTGTATTTTTTATCTGTCTCTTCGTTAAGTTCTTCTTCAGGAGCATCTGTAATGGTTTCTGTGTTAAATTCTTCTTCAATGAGGGTTTCTGAATCATCTAGTTTATGGGATTCCGAACGGGCTCTGGCTGCAGGGCCTTCACAAAAGGCTTCTGAACGCGCAATGGCACATCGTCGAAACATGTACTGTAGAGAAATTGATTGTAATTCAAGATCATCTTCTGCTTCTCCTTGTCGATACAATGGAAGAGCAAAAGAATGGGCTCCTAGGAGTGACCCAGAATCTCCAGGTGTTGTTTCTTCGGAGCCAAATGGAATGAATGCCTTCAATAGGCTTTGCATTATTATTATTTTTTTTTATTTATTTATTTATTTTTTTTTTTGGTAGTTGTGTGTTGAAATAGAAGTAGTGGAGATTTTTATTATTATTTATTTTTCTTTATTTATTTATATTTGGGAGGTTTTTCTAAAGTAAACAAAACGCTCACATAATCAGGTGAGATGACATGTGACAAGCCGCACAAATTATTAATTTACACGGCTCGTACAAAATTTCTTCATCTTCTTTAGCAAATAAGACGAGACTTTCCAAGTCTTTTTTTTTTTTTTTTTTTTTTTTTTTTTTTTTTTTTGAATTGGTTCATTGAATTGATGATATGCTGTTCTATCTATCTACCTTGAAAGTACTTGGTAGCAATGTCCATGCCATTTGGCGCTCCCTCACTACTACTTTTCATCATATACTGACTACCACCACCACCGCCACCACCACCATAAATTGGGCCTTGATTGATTGCTAACGGGGAAGGCGAATATTGTTGAGCAATTCCCATCTGGTTCATGTTTCCCATGGGCTGCTGCTGTGGAGGCTGCGAAGGCATGCCGTATGGCCCCAAAATATTGCTTGGACCACTGGTGGCACTAATACTCATGTTTTGCATTCCAGATACAAGATTTGGTACAGAGTTAGAGCGCCCACCATCGTTATATAACTGAGATTGCATATGAGGGGGAAGTGCTGATACATAATTATGCTGTTGTTGCGATTGCTGCTGCTGCTGCTGCTGTTGTTGTTGCTGTTGCTGTTGCGATTGTTGTTGCGATTGCTGTTGCTGTTGCGGTTGCTGTTGTAAATGCTGTTGCAAGTTTGTCATACTTGCACTAGGATGAAGAGACATTCCAAGTGGTATCTGTGGAGGTAAAGGGGGAGGAATTGCGTTAGATCCTTGAGAAAACTGAGGGTTGAATTGCTGGGAGGTTTCGTAAGAAGAAAACTGGGATACAGAGGAGTTAGGAGATGGTAAATTACCACTGATGCTTCCATTAACCTCAACAGTACTTCCTAACGGACCTGGCCGTCTTCTTGGAGGAGGTGGAGGAGGCATTAAAAGACCATTTGACACCATGGGTTGAGAAGAACTAATAGAGCTACCGGGATTTAAAGGAGATGAGACAATTGATCCAGAAAATGATCTAAGTCTAGACGCTGGAGGTGCTGGTGTTTGGGTATGTTCTAAGCTAGAATTGCTTCCATTATTTCCAGCCATAAGATAGGGGATGGGGGAGGTTGACCCAGTTTGAGAGTGTTGTTGAGGGACTGACAGAAATGAAGATGTGGAAGATGTCGAACTATTATTAGAAGGAGCAGGAGCTTTAGGAGGCGCACCTGGACCATGGAAAATTGACTTGAAATCGTCCAAGGTTTGAGGAACTGCTGAGTGAGTATGTGGAGATGCAGTTGAAGATGAAAATGGTGGCTGATGTAGGTTACTACCACTATTGGAATAGGTAGGCTGGCTATACAATGGGTTAAACACAACACCATTATTTGTATTTACATTATTATTCAGTGGGTTATGAGATGATTGTTGTTGTTGTTGTTGTTGTTGTTGTTGCTGCTGCTGTAAATTATTATTATTATTATTATTATTATTATTATTATTATTATTATTATTACCACCACCTGTAACCTGAGTCTGAAGTGGTCCAATGGCCAACGATCCATTACGTGGCTGAGAAAATGATGATGAACCAGTGATCTGGGACTGAAGAGGTAGTGTAGACTGGCCTGTAGCCTGAGGAGATAAACCAAATAGAGGCGAAGAAGCTTTACGTGGTTGTGGGACTACAGGTGGTGCAAGACTGGCACTACCTGTATGGGTGGGTTGAAGACTAGGAAGAGATCCTGTATGAGTGGGTTGAAGACTAGGAAGAGATCCTGTATGAGTGGATTGAAGACTAGGAAGAGATCCTGTATGAGTGGGTTGAAGACTAGGAAGAGATCCTGTATGATTGGGTTGTATGCCTGTAATTGAACCGGTATGACTAGGCTGAATAGTTGGCAGAGATCCAGTGTGATTGGACTGGATATTTGATAGAGACACTGTAGGGTTATTTTGAAGAGTGGGAAGAGTTACACCAGTATGGTGGAAAGATGAACCTGTATGGGTTGGTTTAAGTGGAGCTGGACCAGTGCTGTTAGGTATCAGAGGCTGTTGGGTATATGAGTTCATGTTATGAATATCAATACCGCCAGTGCTCAGTGTACGGACTTTAGGAGGCAATGGCGGTGCAGGGACAGAAATGCTGCCGTTACGAATATCTCCCACTGGTGGGGATGGAGAAGGTGAATCAACATTGGCGGAAAATCCTGGGAATGGGAAATTGGGCATGTTTACTGCTGGAGCTGAGGGTAAGTTGGAAACACCATTATGAAGTACAGTATCGATTTGAATGTTTTTGAAATGTGTGCGGTCGATTTCAACATCTTCATCAGCACCCCCAGTATTTTGGGCCACGAGAGCCCCCCTAATATTGAAAAGATCGCCCACGTCGTAGTTTGCAGAGGTAGATGCCGAAAGAGGAGAGGGACGGGGTGGTGCATTTTTAGGAACAAGACGAGGCATGTTGTTACGGGCCTGGCGAATTAGCTCTTCCATACTGCGGGCAGCTGCTTCTGCTACTTGAGGTGGACCCATATCGAAGGTAACATGCTTTTTGGGACGGGATGAAGTAGTAGTAGCAACTTGAGTTGGAGATGCTGGAGCAGCGGGTCTTTCGCCAGTCAGCATAAAAGATGTGAATGAGTTGATATCAAACTTTGGGGGTTCTGCAGAGGAAGGTGCTGGCATGATGGAAGGTTTGCGGAAGGGATTTCCGCCAGTGGGCTGGGACTGGAGTGGTTCCTGTTGATTCAGCTGTTGCAGGTTAGGTGGGTTATCTGCCGGGTCTTGTTTTTTAGTTTTGGACACGATAGACCTTGGTTTTGGGACAGGTGCTTTTAAGAGAGAGAGAGAGAGAGAGAGCAAAAGTGTTAGTAGAATAACAATAACAATAACAACCGGGTACATAAAAACTTACCAGGCTGGAAAATCAGGGCGTATGAAGGTGACATTCCAGTTTTTGCATGGGACACGAGCCTCAGACAAGCGTAAAAGACTGGCGGGTCAATAGTTGAAAGCTGTGGTGGGAACATTACAGAGATCTAATAGAAACAAAATGTCAAAAAGAATGTTTGAGTTAGCTTTAAGGATTCCAAATATATATATATATATATATATATATATTGGTCTCGTGTGAGTTATTTCAAACTCTTAAACTCACCTTAGACTTATCGTCTGGCGACAAACCAAAGTTTGCAATGTAGGCCAAAACATCGGCAGCACCAATGGTTGGTGTACGCTTGCGAAGCAGTAAATCTGTGTACCAGCGTGGATATGTTGCCACTTCTTCAGGGGTCAAATTCATGTCATCGACAGTGAATTTCGCGGGCAAAGACCCTGGCTCGGCAGTAAAGCCCGCGATAGGTGTCTCCATTGGCAAGCGAAAGATTAGGAGATAATAAAGAAAGGCAAAAAAAAAAAAAAGAAGGGAGAAAAGTTACTGCTTCACAAAAGCGCAGGCTGATGATTTAAAATAATATATAAATATATATAAATATATATAAATATATGAAATTTTTTTTTTTTTTTTTGATTTTTTTGATTTTTTTTTTAAAGAATTGGGTCTGTAGTAGTGGATTTTTTTTTTTTTTGGGGGGGGGAGAGAGGAAAGACTCAATACAGGCGGTGGTGTTGACAGACTGGTGGGAACAAAAATAAAAATAAAAAAATGCGGGTTTCGTCGGCAGGTAGGCAGGCAGGTAGGCAAGTAGGCAGCGATTACAGCAGCGGTTTTGTTGTTTTTGTTATATTGTAGGGGAGAAAAAAAAAAAAAAAAAAAAAAAGTGGCCAGCATTAAGAGAGAGAAAGTGTGTGTGTGATGAATAAGTGCTTAGTTAATGAGGGATTTGGAAGTTACCCGGCTGCTCAGCCTTTTTTTTTTATTTTATTTTTATTTTTATTTTTATTTTTAAACCCAACAACAAACAGCCTTTTAAAACTATTATCATCATCATCATCATCATCATCATCATCATCATCAACTTTTCAAGCCTTAAATGAAAATATATCAACTAAATACCAACAAGTAAAAAAAAAAATACCTAAAAAGCATTATAGAACAATTTATATTATAATTAAAAAAAATACCCAATGTCTGAAGACATCCCTTCTCCTCCTAAACGTGGATTCAGTGACTCTGCAGCTGCAACTGAAATTGCACACTGGATCGAAGCCATTATAGGTGACAAAGTTCCTACATCTTCTTCAGAAGCTCTCATCAATGCACTCAAAGATGGGACTGTACTATGTCGCTTAGCCAATACAGTGGAACCTGGTGCAGTGCCTCGTTTTAAAACATCCTCAATGCCCTTTGTTCAAATGGAAAATATTGCTGCATTTTTGCGTGCTGCATCCCACTTGGGTGTGCCAGATGATGAACTCTTTGAAACAGTGGACCTTTTCGAAGCTCGTGACCCAGTCCAAGTTTTTACAACTATTCGATCTTATTCAAGATGTGCAAATAAACGTCATCCTAATATACCCGTACTTGGACCTCAGCTCGCAGTTAAAAATACAACTCCACGTGTTTTCAAACCAGTTGATATTCCAGCATGGAATACACATCAGTATGGATTCATGAATGGTGCAAACCAAAGCACTGAAGGTGTTGTTGTTGGCCGCCGTAGAGATATCACTCTTCCAGAAACAATAACCAAGCCTAAACCACCACCACGTCCTCACAACATTCTTGTTCCAAGTAGACCCCCCAAACCTGCCAGTCTTAACAGCATAAAAAAGAAAGAACACAGAACCAATGTCTTTGGTGATGAGGATGAGGATGAGGATGAAAAAAAAAAAAATAGTGATGAAAGCACAAATAAAGTTCCATCGGGTAAGCTCAAGTCCAGAATTGGTACAGTGAATGCGCAACTGATGGCTTATAGTTTACAGAGCCGGAGCCAGGTAGAAAAACTTTCTTCTGAGCAAGACGCATCAATTTATGCGTACGACGAAGTATACGATTCAATTCAAGCTGCGAGAGAAAAAAAGAAGGAAAAAATACAAACAGAAGAGGTAAGCATTTGTTTGATTTAAACTATTAATATCTTTTTTTTTTTTTTTTTTTTTTTTTAACAACAAAACATAGCCAGTATATATGGAGAAGTTATTAGAATCAAAAAAACAGCGCGAACGAGATCGCCAACGTGCAATGGATGTTAAGCTGCGACGCGAAAGAGAAAATAATGTTGAAGAATTTGCAGACAAGGAGAGCTTTGTAACTGCTGCATATAAAAAACAACAAGAAGAAATTGCACAACAATTACTAGAAGATGAAAAAAATGGTAAGTTTATTTTAATTTTATTTTTCAATTTTATTTTTCAAAAAAATTTTTTTTTTTTGATTTACCTTTTTTTTCTATTTAATTAACAATTATTTTTTTAGAAAAGAAAATTGATCGACGCGCTGGATTAAAATCAATGTACAAAACATATCTTAATAGTAGAGATGATGAATTAATACCTGAAAAACATGAATTTCAAGAATCAACAGATGACTGTAAAGATAAGTCTACAGATGTGCCGTTGGCAGCTGGCCTCAATGTGATTAAAAAATCATCTGGAAAACCCACATCAAACACGACTCGGAAACGCAGTAGCCCTGATGATAATTTTAATTACCAAGATAATGACAATCACTATAATCGTAACAGAAACCGAAGGCATAAAAGTTCATATGAAAATGATGATCGTTCAGCTGAAACTCGAGATTTTGAACGAATGCTTGAAAAACGAGCAGAAGATGTAAATATTAAAGCAACTCAAGCTGCAGATGAAAAACGTGAACAAGCCTTGGCTATTTATAAATCTGGAAGTAGCTCCTCAGCAGTAGCAGCAAAAATAGAAGCTGCCAGACAACGGTTATTGGAGCGCAAAAAAAAATAGAAAAACAATGTGATTTCGCGGGTAGTTATATATTTTTGTTAAGAAAAAAAAAATTTTTTTTTGTATAGTATACAATGTTTGTATACTGCTCAAATTAATATATATATATATAATAAGTTCGGTGGATTGGAAATAGGATCCCCACAGATTGACTGAATTTTCTTCATTCTAATGCTCATACAAATAGAGAAGGGAGAAAAAAAAAACAAGTGACTTTTATTTGCCATTCTTTGTTATTCATAAATAGCACAGCACTACCCTGGTCAACAGAAACCCCGACTCTTTTGTTAAGTTAAAATTAGTGTTGTTAATTCTTTAAGAAACATTTTAATTTTAAATAAAAAGTTGTTATTTAAAAAAAAAAAATAAATAAATAAATGAATTGTCAATAATTAATGGACTTGTAAAAATGAAATTGATAAATTACGTAAAATATGAATTTTCATAATCATTAAATAATACTGATAAAATGTTTAAAAAAAACAAAAAAAACAAAAAAAACAAAAAAAAAAAATTATTCAGAATTAGAGAATTTAAAAATAAATAATCAATTTCAAGTTACTTAATTTTTTTATTGTGTTTCTTTCTAGACAAGTCTTAGATGTCTATATCATAACTTCTTATAACTTTGAATGTTCTAAACCAACAATCTGAGAAAATCTGGATCAATCTTTAATTTAAATTTCTTTATCACTTTACACATTTCTAACTAAATTCAAATTAATTAATACTAATAATAATAATTGACTTTGTTAATTGATTTTATTAAAAAAATAAACTGGTTCTTCTATTCAATTGAATAATTATCTGAGCGTTTTATCATTTCATTAATTTTTTGGCTATACACTAAAATCACAGATCGCATTTTTTTTTTTTTTTTTTCAAAAATTTGATGTGCTTATATAATCACTTAAAGTTCAAAATCTTTCACCAAAGCGCCAAACACTAAACTTTTTTTTTTTTTCTCAGCATTACTCAACACCAAGTTTGCAAAAATTAGAAAAATTAGAAAAATTAGAAAAAATCTCAAAACTACAAATTTTCAACCAAATAAAAAAAAATAACAATTGATTAAAGATGCAAAAAGTGATTCGACCCAGGATCGAACTGGGGACGTTCTGCGTGTTAAGCAGATGCCATAACCGACTAGACCATCGAACCATTTTTGTTAGAAAAAACATCTCTAGGTCGTATTTAAACTAATGCCATATAATGTAAAATTAAATTTACCCAATTTTTTTAGCCTTTATATTGTTAAATTATTATAATTTCTGTTAAAATTTTTTGTTGCTGAATAGATTTGTAAAAGTAAATAATTAAATTAGGTTGAAAACACCTAGCAACATGAACTTTTGATGGAGTTGCATAAAATCCAACATTTTCTATTACCTTTAGTTATTTAGAAAACTTTGTAAAAATAAATATAGAATTAATTACAGAATTTACCAATTTATTTAATAAAGTATTTTTTTTTATTAATTTCTGTTATTTATACTTCTCTTAAACTTGTATTTTTTATTTGGTTCAACAATCAGAGAATTCACATATTACTTTATCCTATGTCTTTCTTAATTATTTCCCTCTTTTATAATTATTTTTAATTTTTTTTAAAGTATATTATGATTTCATATTTAAACTAATATCTATCAAATATATAAATGTATTGGAATACTTTGACATGATTATTCGTGCTTATTTTTTCACTTACCCATATTTTTTGTTGTTCACTAAAAGTTTTTTTTTTTTTTTCTATTCTCTTGAAAAATACATGCTTACGTAACATCACAAACTTTAAAACAAAATTTTCTTTTAGACATTTTCCTGACCACCACAGCTCAACATTAAGATCTAAGGAACTTGAATAATAAAAGAATCAAAAGTTCTTAGCAAATCAAAAAACATAACAATTGATTAAAGATGTAAAAAGTGATTCGACCCAGGATCGAACTGGGGACGTTCTGCGTGTTAAGCAGATGCCATGACCAACTAGACCATCGAACCGTTATTATTAGAGCCCATTGCCAATGAGGCCCATTTTTAGTATTGCAAACATTTGCAATACGTTGTAAATTTGAAATTAAACCTATTATAAAGTATAGGGAATAATTTTCAAAAATTTTGAAGCATATTTGTTTAGTCGTAAATAATACTGAGTGCTTTTTCGAGATGTTTTCCTTTCCTGAAGCGAAGGTAGGAATGAATATACCTCAATTAAACCTTCAGGCTATCCTAATGAGAAGAAACACCAATTCTTCAGTTTATTTTAATTATCCCAAAAAGTGAATACGGTGTTTACCTTTATAGGAGGAAAAATTTGTGTGTCCGTAAAGACAAGTGGATATTGTTCAGGTAGATCTGGGACCGACCAACTGGGTTTCCTTTTTTTTTCCCCCCGGTAAAATGTCGTTTAAATCTATCTTCCAGGATATCCAAGATGCAAAGATTGACACCACCCGTATTAAAAAAAATTGAATAAGTTAAAAGTCACCAAAGTTAGGCAATTCAAATAGAAAGTGTTGATGCTGATGTAATTTAGTTCCATAACTCATGAATTAAAATGGTTGAAAAAACAAATTTGAAAAATTTTTTGGTAAATATTTGAATTTATTAAGATTGATAGAAAAAAACAGTTATGAAACCGGTTTAATCTTTATCAGTCATTTATTAGATGTGATGGTGTTAGGTATGAGATAAATTTTTAATGGAATTTGGTAAAATCTACAATTTTCTATCTTTTTAAGTTAGGTACAAAACTAATATATTTTAGACAATATAAATAATTTAACTATAATACGGAATTTTAGATTATTAGAGGAATCGCAATAACCCTATTGGTTAAAAATTTAATTTAGTATAAAATTAATAAAATAAAAAAAATGGCTATTTTGGAATGATTAAATTAATTATTAATGAATTAAAAAAATATTATTAAAGAGTTAATGATGCTGTAGTATTTATGACTTTAAACATTTAAAGCTATGATTTTAAAGAATCTTGTTAAGGTCGCCAATGATATTGCTAAGGAGGCCATCAACACCAGAGCTAAGACCATCAGACTTAAGAGTAGTCTGAAGAGAAGTGATAGTAGAAAGAATAGCAGTGAACTGAGCCTTAACTGATGAATCAATGTCCTTTCCGGTAAGAAGTCTAGAGACAAGGTTGGAAATGATAACAGAGAGGTTCAGAACAAGTGTCTGAAGACCAGTCTTAATAAGAAGATTTTGAACAAGAGAACCGACACCAGAAGTAAGATCAGTGCTCTTAAGGTTGTTCTCAAGCTCAAGAAGAACGGAGTTGACCTGGGCCAAAAAAGTAGCAAGAGAAGTAGGCTCAAGGGAGAGGTTTCCAGAAAGAACGTTGGTCAAAGTCTCCTGAAGGAATGTACCAACATTGGCCAAAAGAGTAGCAACAGCAGAAAGATCAACATTGGAACGCTTGTTAATTTCAGCGTAAGGAGCAAGAATCTCAGCGGCAGAAAGTTCTGAGCGACGAGCAACTTCATTGGAAGCAGCAGCAGTAGGAGCAGCTGAAGCAATAGCAGCAACGGCAGAGAAAAAGGCAATGTTCTTGATGGCAACCATTTTTAATTGTGATAAAATTATAATTTAAAAAGACGAAATTTGATCTGGATCTAGTAGATTGAATGATGTGAGAGTGTTGATAGAGAAGAGAGAAAAAAAAAATATAATTCACAAGGAATTTGATCTCTATTTATACTTGTTTTTTTGAAAAGATATATTTTGATTATTTTAGTTATTTTGGTTGTAATTCGTATGAATTTAATATAATAAGATATTATAGAGGTTTATCTCATTTCTGAGAAAAAAATATTTATGAAAGAATTCATAGAAAACTATAGTGTTGAAGAAAACCCTCAACTTGGAAGTGAAGCTGCTCATCTCGTTAATCAAATTTCTTTTTTTTTTTTTTTTTTTGGTACCTGATTAACTTAAAACCCTTAATCCAAAATTGAAAAATAGATATTTTAATACTATAATAAATTTAAACAAAAATGTGGATATAAATTTCCCCTGACTACTACTTAATGTGAAAATGTGGTACCTTAAATAACGAAAAATTCTATATCTTAATTAATTATTTATATACTAAAAAAAACTTAGTTTACTGATATTTTAATAGAAAGTTGTTTATATACTTAATTGAAGAATATGTAATTATATATATATATATTCAATTTAGTATAATCATACTTTTGCCTTAAAACTGATTCAAACCGTTTATAGATTCAATAACAAATACCTTAAAAGAATGACCAATAAATATTGAATTTCAATTAATTGAAGATCTTTTTTTTTTTTTTCAATTAACATGATATAATTATTTATTTTGATTCAGTTGTTATAATTTTTGGATGGAATATTAAAAATCCATTTCAAAATTTATTGGATCTATCGCCTCCTTTTTGTTTACAAATGGAAAAAGCTTTTAAATAGTTACACCTATTACTGTAAATTTATAATTATGAATGGAGCAATAAATCAAAAAAAAATTACGTTAAAGCTTCTAAGTAAATGTTCACATCTCATATTATTCAGACCTATTCTATCAGTTTCATATTTCCTTTTTTTTTATTTTTAAAAACTAATTTAAGATTGGAATGCCCCTTATTGAAATAGTGTGCCTTAAATAACTAGTTATGAACAGTATCCAGGCTTACCGCTTAGGTAAAATGATCCTAAAATGGAATATCCACAGATGTGGTAACCATGCTATAGTTAACATGAGTAACAAATTTTACTTTGAAAAAATAAATAGAGAAATTACTTAAACACAAGAGATAGAATGTATGCTAGTATGTCTACTAGTCTACCAGCCTAACAGCCTCGATCTGTCTCAATTGAGATCTCATCTTTTTACGGCTATTATTAATTTTTTTAAAGCAGATACAAAACTTTCATAACTTTTTAAAATCTGGTAAAAAAAAATTTAAATATCTACTTAATGCTTAAATAATTTTAATTGCTAAAGTTTATGTTACTTAGCGTCCTCCTTAATAAATGTTCCGTGATGAAATATGTTTAAATTGATTAAAAAGATTCACAATTTTTTTTTTCAATGAACTATGTAGCATCCATATTCCAAATAGTTAACTTCAACTTCTTTTTTTTTTATTATTATTAGCAGCCACCATGATGGCATAACTGCCTTATAGCAATTACTACACGCCTTGATCCAAACTTCATAAGCCTTTAGTTAAAAGAAATATAGAGAAATTGATGCCAGAAAAGTGTTATTTTTGTTTTACTAAAGGTATCTAACCATTTTGTAAATTTTGTTGCATAGAATAGAATAATAACTTTAAAGATTCCAATACTGACATTTTCTTATCACTGTTGTTTATGGTTGCAATATTAATAACATATTTTTAAATTTGAAAAAAATACATTTGAATCTATTCAAATTTCATTCATATGTTCATTTTTATTAAAAATAATGTTTAAGAAGTTGTTGGTATTCAGTAAATCAAAACATACCATTTAGGTAACCGTTTACTTCTTTAACCCTCGCAAAAAATATTTAATGCTTTAATGAGCTTGGCTTATTGTAATAAACATTTTTATAGTATCCATTAGCTCTTGTAGTTTATCATGTTTAGCGTGTATTCTAAATATCTGGTTATTCATACTAAAAATATGACTATATCAATGGAATTTTCAAGTAAATCGAACAAAGCAATTCAAAACAAAGATGGCTAGTTTCTCTTTCTTTTTATGCTAATGCCATTTTCAAGGATATTTTCATGACAGTTACTTGTTTTCATGTTTTAAACATCTGTGTTAAACTAAACGTATTTGAAAGAAGAAAATGAAAACAATTGTATTCGGCGGAAAACAATCCGTTGCATTAATTTGCTGGAAGCATATAAGGTTTAATTTTGGTATCTGTTGAATTTTATTTTTGTTTATTTTTAGTTTTAGTTTTAGTTTTACAGAGTGAGCTTTTCTTTCCTAGCATTATTGTTTGATTATTAAGGTTATTTGTTTTAGTTGAACATGTCAACATCGACAAAAAAGATTCAAAACAGGGTTTCGGACCTGACTTTCTACGTACTATCCATTTCAAAGTTTTGAAATATCCGCGACATTTGCGGCACGAGCCTGGAAGTTTTCTTCTGGTAAACCTGATTTAATTTTTTTTCGATAAGATGTTAAATCAAAAACATCTAGCATAGCCTAAGCCAAGTGAACCCTATGGAACAAAGGTTTAGAAATCACGGCCACGCCTGTTCGTTGTTTCCGACGGTTAACTCAGACCATTGCATGAATTTTTTCAGCAGATTGATTCAACCTTTTAGAATCTATATTCTTATAATCCTTACTTGTAAAAAAACTTGATTTCAAAAAAAAAAATTCTATAAAATCCAGCGGTTTTTTCAGAAATATTGAAATTTTTTTTTTCATCATCAACTATTTTCAGCTTGAAAATCCTATCTTATTATCTCATTATTATTACCTTTTTTTTCATCAAATTTATTATTCCTTTTTTTTTCTTCAAAAATGAAGTTTTCAATTGTTAATGTCTTGTTTATTGCTGCTACTGTTGCAGTCGCTGCCCCTGTTGCTGAAGCCAATCCTGAGGCATTTGCTGCTCCCATTGCAGAAGCTGAAGCCGAGGCCAATCCTGGACTTTGGCTTTTAAAGAAGAAGCTTGCTTTCTTATTTAGCCTCAAGTGTGGTGGCGGTTATTATAACAACCAAAACCAGGGGTCATCTTCAGGATCATCTAATGGCTCTAGTTCTTCAGGAGGCTCTGGTGGCTCTGGTGGCTCTGGAGGTGCTGGAGGTGCTGGAGGTGCAGGTGGTGCAGGTGGTGCTGGGGGCTCAGGTAGCTCTGGATCTTCTGCTACTAACAACAATAACAACAACTCAAACACTGGTAGTAACACTAATAACAATACGAACAACAACACTAACAACAATAAAAATGAGATTATCATTTACGTTATGCCCAGCGGTTATTTGTCTCCCAATACTACTTCTAGTTCTTCAGTTCCATTCACCGGAACTCTTATCAATGGTTCTCTTTATGCCAACACACCCACTAATACTGGTCTCGGCAATGTTGTTATTAATAACAATGGTCAACTCCAAGTTGTCAGTGGAAAAACTTCATCTTCCTCAACATCGCCTTACTGGACTGTTGAAAATGGGACCCTTGTACCCAACGGACAAACAGTTGTTTCTTGCCCTGATGGCAATGGTAATTACATCCTTTACTGTGCCAGTACTTGCCCTACTGGCCATGAGCCACAAACTATCAGCCTTAAAACTGGCTCTCTTTAAATCATAAAATGTTGGCCGCTGGCAGTAATAACAAACAAATTTTCATATTTTTATTGAAAACATCACATATCTATTACATATAAAGAAAGAATATATAACTACAATTGTCTTAAATAAAGAAAATAAACATGGCCATGATACTAAATTAAAATTAATTCTTTACTAAAAGATTTACTTTATAAAGTACTATATTTAATTGAATAGTTAAAAAAAATATAAAAAATTATACTTAAAAAATATCGACACCAGCAGGACTCGAACCTGCGCGGGAAATCCCAAAAGATTTCTAATCTTTCGCCTTAACCGCTCGGCCATAGTGCCTAAATCATTAGTATATAGAGATGCTATTGGCTAAATAAAGTGATTTGACAAAATATACAGCTTATTGTTTTTTTAAGCATTTTTTGAAACAAACAAACAAACAAACAAGCATTTTTTGATATGCGATTAAATAATGGGATGGAACTCCTTTTGGCTTTATTGATGATGTAACTATTACCGTTGAAGGTAAAATTGAAGAAAATACCAAAAGCTTAAGCAACATATTAGAAAAATGTTGTAATTGGGCTAAATCAAGAATGACCAAAATTGATTTGGGTGATAAATTGGGTTTTATTCATTTTACAAAAAATGTGAAACCTAAAGATGAAAAAGTGCAACTTACTTTACCCAATGGAGAACTTCGTGAACCCCAGAAGGAAGTTAAATTGCTTGGAATTACTTTGAACAATCTGCTTGATTTTAAATCTCATATTTTGAATAAAATCAATAAAGCAAGAAAAGCTGTTGGTGCTATTTGGCATCTTGGTGGCGTGCAAAAAGGTATGCGAGGGTCTGCAGTCAGATCACTGTATATTGCTTGCGTGAGACCAATTGTCGAATATGGTTTAGAAATTTGGCATCATAAAATCTTGAAAGGAGAAATCCACAAGTTGGAAGTGATGCAGAACATGGCTTTAAGAAGAATTGTTGGTGCTTATCGCACAACTCCTATTGCGGTACTACAAAAGGAAGCTGGTATTATGCCATATAGTATTAGGCTAAAATTTATGGTGGCACGAAAAGCTATTCGTTTACACCTAAATATTAGCAAAACTAATCCTATTAATGGTCATTTGTTAACATTGATTGAGAAATCTCCAATTGCAAAGCTAACCACGCTTTACATTTTGGCGAAAGATGATAGAGACTACATGATTAAGAAGGATGAAAAACGAAAATGCAAGAGAGTTGAACCTCCTACACTGAAACAACAACAAAATCAGACGATTGGAATTTTGAAGAAACAAGCAATGGAAGAATGGCAAGAAATGTATTGGAACAGCAGTAAGGATCTGTGGTATCATAATATCACAGTGGAGTCGAAATGTACTGATAATCTTTCCAAAATGGTTACGGGAGTGATCATGAAGAAAGATAGTCGAAGGATCTTGAGTAATATTACTCAATTTCGCACAGGCCATGGCAACTTTGGCGCATGGTTTAAAAAGTTTGGAATTGAAAAGGATAGTTACAACTGCAAATGTGGAGAGCTGGAAACAGTTCATCACATTTTAGTTGAGTGTCCTTTGCTTGAAGAGGAAAGAAAAGGACTGAAACAGATATCTCCAGAGATGGACATGTCGACTCTCTTAAACAGTTTAACTGGCTTACAAGAGATTGTAAGCTTTATCTCTGCTTGGAGGGATTAAGAAATACAATTACAACGTTGATGAAGACAAGTGGAGATAAGTTGGGAAGGTTTGGTTATTTTTAACCCCCTGTTCCTCGTAAGCTGGCATCAGGACTTATTTTCGGGCTGTTGGAGATGCAATGTTGAAGGCAAAATTAAAAGTTTAGAGAAAAAATGAAAAATAAACAAAGATGCAAGAACATTAACTTTTATTCTGAAGCAGCAACAGAGTCAGTTAATTGGAATTTTGAAAAAAAAAAACAAGAAATGGAAGAATGGCAAGAAATGTACTACAATAGTGATAAATATTTGTGGTTACTGACAATTTTTTTAAAATGGTCACAGGAGTGATTATGAAAAGGGGTGGTTAAGGGATCTTGCGTAATCGTGCTCACTTTTTCACAGACTATGAAAAATTTGGTGCATAGTTTCAAAAGTTTCGAATTAAAAAGAATAGTTACAACTACAAATATGGATAGATGAAAACAGTTAAACATATTTTGATTGATTGTCCATTACAGAAAGAAAAAAAAAAAAAAAAAAGAAAAGGGGATATCTCCTGAGATAGACATGTCGATTTTCTTAGACAGTTCAATTGGCTTATAAGCCTGTAGTTACAACAAATCTGGTTCCCAGGACTTATTTTCGGGCTGTCAAAGATGCAACGTTGAAGTCAAATTAAAAACTTATTGTGAAAACAAATATATATATATATATATATATATAGTAATATTCAAGATCTAGAAGGATAAAACAGGTGCTGATATTATATAATTCTATAACCGTTGAATAAAAACAGATAGTAGTTTTTGATATTTTATTCACTTAAATTAATATTCAATTGAACTTGTTTTTTCTTTTTTTTAAAAAAAAGAGTACTGTAGATCCTGAAGTTTACACAGTTGGTTTAAATTTACCAAATTTAATAATGGAATGTTTAAAATATCATAAAAATTTAAAATTGTAGATATCAAACTATAATTGTTATGTTTTTTTTCTTGGTTAATTGTATGTTTTTATTTAAAGGTTATAAAATTATACAGCATTAGAATTTGTGCGATTCATTTTGTTTTTTTCCCCAAAATGCTTAAAATTATATATTTTTAGATCATTTATGAATACATTCTCTTTATCGTTACTTTTCCAACAATTTACTTGGCTCGATGGTTTAGTGGTATAATTCTCGCTTAGGGTTAACTAAGCAATTTGCGAGAGGTCCCGGGTTCAATTCCCGGTTGAGCCCTGTTTTTATTTGATATTTTTTTACTTTTCACCAAAAAAATTATTTCTTCAAAGGATTTTAAAAGATTTTTGTTGAGGGAATAAAGGATGTGTCATGATTAAATGGTTATTTTTTTTTTTTTGAAGTGAAATTTAAATGTAAGAATTCTAGTGTGAAGGGTGGAAGAAAAAAAAAAATTTTAAAACCCTTGCCCTAGCGTATACTGTTGGAATTGGAACCATTTTTTAAAATTTTGTCCGGATTTTGTGTGCAAATGTGCTGCTTGCTAGTAGTTTGTACAATTAGCACACAAAATCCGAACAAAATTTTGGATCCCCTTATTCAAGCACCCATAAGACGTTCACAACACCGGAACAAAAATGAAAAAAAAAATTCATATAATTTCAATGTGTTGGATATTTTAGTGAAAAATTCATTTATATTTAGTTCAGATTGTAAGGAGTTGATTGTTGAAAGAGAAAGTGCAAAGATTGGTTTGCTGTAAGTAGGAGATTTCCAATCAACATAGTGAATAAAAATTGCACAAACAAACAAACAAACAGGTTGGTCACTGAATTGAGTTGAAAAATAATTAAAAAAACAAAAATAGCTAACTTTTGAATTTATTTTTTCATTTCTGTTTATTTAAGAAAAAAAAGTGTACCAAATTGTTTATACTTTATCTGAACTCCCGGGCTACTCTGGTGAATAGGACAGTAGACTTTTTCGCTCAGTCTAATAAGTTTTTCTAAATTTTAAATAAGATGTTAACAATTGCATAGTTTACTGCACTTGATATGGTGATAAAAAAAAAAAAAGCTAATAATAATTAATTACTCATTTTCAGTGTCATGTAAAATTTCAAAATTCTAGTATTATTTCTTTTTGTTATTAAAGAAGCACTAAATCACAAATTTGACCAAAAAGTATTAATTAGACATCTGCTTGTACAAGTTTTCATTATTTCCAAAGTTGTTTTTTTTTTCTTCTACAAACTTTGTTTGACTACAGTCTTTTATTTTCGAAATTGCTCAAGATTGACTTATAAGGCTAGTGTGCCAAAACTATCATTTAGTTTTTTAGTTTCTTATAATTATATCTTTTTTTTTTTTTTTTGTCTTTGTTGATATTTTTGTTTTCATTCTTCAATACATTGACAAAAAAAAGAAATCGTTTAACACTTTAAAAAAAAATTTCGCATTTTTATTCCAGAAAATAAGATCATTATTTAATAATAAAAGGATATTTTTTTTATTGAAACAAAAAAACAAAAAAACAAAAAAAAAACAATTCCATTCTAATATTAGAATATAAAATAAAAACTGGGCTCCAGTTTTCCACATACGATCATAGCGTAATTTTGTAAAGCCAAGCACGAAAGACACTAACATTTTGACATACTAAAGATGTGTACTCAAATAAATTATTTTATTTTGCTTTAAAAATTTCCTTTTAAAATTTGAATTCAAAAAGCCTTTAAATTAAGTGTGTTTAATTTCAATATAAGTCATTTAATTTGACTTGAAATAAAAGATTTAATGTGTTCATGAATAATATATACTTCAGTAAATTTAAGGTTTTCACGTGACAGACTCCGTGGCCAAGCTGGTTAAGGCGCACGACTGTTAATCGTGAGATCGTGAGTTCAATCCTCACCGGGGTCGTTAATATTTCTATTTTTTTTTGTAAAAGTTGCTTTTTATTTAAATTGATCATTCTTTTTACAAGTTATTTTCTTTCAAATTTGTCTTAGAGAAGATCTAAAAAATATAGAATAACCTTAAGAATTGAAAAAGGGTTTTTTTTTTTTTTTTTTAGTAAATCACAAAAAAAAAAAAATTATAATTATAATTATAAAATGAATAAAAATGGAGAATGACTTCTTTAAGATATATATATTTTTCAAACAAAACCACTCTTCCTTTATTTAAGAAATGTTTTTTTTTTTGTATTAAATACTAAAAGTTTTTTAATAATTTACAATTCATTAGATCTATTTTTCAAACTACCGACGAACCTTTACAATTTTCAGAAAATAACAAACTTTCTTAGTTTTCAGTGACTTTAAACCAAACTTATAGTTATGAATATCTGTCAATTTAATTTGTAAACTGAAGAGATATATATCAATAAATTAAAATAAGACAAAGCATTATATAAAGAGATTGGTAATAAATAGCTAATAATAATAATAACAATAATAATATTAATATTAGTATGATTTTAAGAGTAATTCATAAAGGTTGGTGTTTAGTACAATTTTCCAGATCAGTGACAAAATTCATAAAAATAACTAGAACACGTGATTATTATTACGTAATTAAATTTCATTTATATAAAATGTATGATATTTTTACTTTTTTAAGTATTAGGGTTCGATGGTCTAGTCGGTTATGGCATCTGCTTAACACGCAGAACGTCCCCAGTTCGATCCTGGGTCGAATCATATAAATTAATATTTTTTAACAAATTTTTTTTATTTTTATATTATTCTTTGGCTTAGCCATCAATCTTTGAAATAGGTAAAAAAAAAAAATTGTTTGTTTAATAATTGATTGTGAATATTTATTTCTTCATTTATTATTATTATTATTATTATTATTATTATCATCATCTTCATATATATAATTAAGATTCATTGTGGCTCAATTGAATTTTCAAAGCGGCTGATCTCTTAGAAATTGCCACTGAAAGGATTACCCACCTTCTTTAAACTTCCTCCCCCCTGTGTTTACATAGTTGTGTAGCAAAAAAAAAAAAAACCCCTTGGTTTTCCATAATAACCAGGCTAATTATAGTGTGTGGAGTTAAAAAAAAATAAATAAATAAATAAATAAATAAAGAATGGGAGGGTAAAGCAGAAACTTTTTTTTTTATTTTTTATTTTTTTATTTCCCCTTTCTTTCTTTCTTTCTTTCTTTCCTTTCTTCTTTTTTTTTTTTTTTTTTTTTTTTTAAAATACTTTTAACAAATTCAATTCGCCACCAATAGTTTATAGAAAAAAAAAAAACATACAAATATTAATAAAACATATATACTAAATACAGGCCAGCAACTCAAAAAGTAACCACTACTTATATTCAATTATTCCCACCCCTTACTTAATATTACCACAAAATATATCATGTCCAAACAGCCAGAAATTGATCAAGAGCTAGTGGCTGAAGATACCGCTGGCTACAAAGTCACAGATAAGAAAACCATTGCCGAATACGCAAACCTGGACGCAGAAGATGACTCTCTTAAAAAATGGAAGGAATCTCTTGGTCTCAGCACAGGTGCATTAATTGGAGACCCCAATGACAAACGTCGAGTAGTGGTATTGGAGTTGCGCGTTGATGTGGAAGGTGCTGATCCCATTATTATCAATCTAGAAACCCCTGGCGCTCTTCAAAGCCTTCGCAAATCTCCCATTGTCATTCGTGAACGCTCCCGGTACCAACGCCGTCTTAGATTCCGGGTGCAACATGAGATCATTACAGGTCTCAAATACCTGCAGTCGCTTAAGCGCTCAGGCATTCGTGTCGATAAATCACAAGAGGTCTGCGGGTCATATCCTCCCAATACTGTCGACAAGCCCTACTATGAAAAGACCTTTGCCGAGGAAGAGGCTCCTCATGGAATGTTGGCACGAGGAACCTATGACGTTACATCCAAGTTTGTCGATGACGATGGCGTCACACATTTGGAATTTGCATGGCAGATCGAGATTAAGAAATAATAATAAGTAGGAACATTTTCTTTGAAAAAAAAAAAAAAAAAAAAAAAAAAGTTTAATAGGTGTTTATGAAAATAGTGTAATATTTGTTTTATTTATTTATTTTTATTTATTTTTATTTATTTATATTTATTTATATTTATTTATATTTATTTATATATATATATATATATTGGTTATTATTGCTACACTCTTTTAAGGCACCGAAGCCTCCCGATTTTACAAAAGGAACCCGGACCGACCGACCCACTTGACTGGACAGTAAAGAAATGCCAACGCATAATCACATGTGGATCACGTGACCATGTGTATATATATATATACATATATATATATAATTGAAGGTTAGCATTTCTTCCGTTCTGGAAAAAAAAAAAAAAAAAAAAATTTCAAAACTGTCAAGTAAAAGAAATTGAATTTTTTTTTTTTTGCCATTTCCATTTAATATTCTTCGGACATTCTTCTAAATACCAATCCTTAATATACTTAAAACCCCCACTGGAAATATCATTGAAAAAGAAAAGGAAAAAGAAAAAAAAAATTACTCCTAGTGAAACTTCATTTTGCTTCTTTTTCTTTTTTTTCTTGTATATTAATTAAGTTACCCCCCTCACTCTCGCCTATCCCTTATCCTTATAATTATCACCATATTTATCATGCCATCTTCTCGAGACTCGTGGATATACTCGTTCCCAGGTTCACAATATGTACAACATCTAGGCAAAGAGGCTATGGCCAATATTCTAAAAGCAGGCCGTGTGCCACGGCATATAGCTTTTGTGATGGATGGCAACAGGCGTTACGCAAAACTACACAACCAAGAAACACGAGAAGGTCACAATGCTGGATTCGAAAGTTTGTCACAGATCTTAGAACTATGTTATAACCTAGGAGTCGAATGTGTCACAATCTTTGCATTTTCCATTGAAAATTTTAAACGATCACCTTACGAAGTTAACAACCTTATGGAACTTACAAAAGCTCGTCTCGAACAAATCTGCGAACGAGGCGATCTAGCAGAGCAATATGGAATCCGTGTCAAGATTTTGGGAGATACAAAACTTTTACGACCAGATGTGCTCGAAGTTATCGAACGAACAACAAAAATTACAGAAAACAATTCAAAGTACGTATACATCATGGTTAACTTGTTTCAAAAAAAAAAATCATACATAAATACACGTAAACATATACTAACATGCATTCTCCCATTTATAGAGCTGTACTTAATGTCTGCTTCCCATACACAGCAAGAAACGATATAGCCATGGCCGTTCAACGGACCGTGAGCCTTGCAGAGCGTGGTAAGCTCGATCCTAATGATATCTCTGAGGAAACTCTCGAAGATAATATGTACATGGCAGGAACACCTAAACTTGATATTTTAGTGCGTACCAGTGGTGTTGCGCGACTAAGTGACTTTATGCTGTGGCAGGCTCATGAAAGCGGGACAATGATTGATTTTATACCGACGTTATGGCCAGAGTTTAGTCCGTGGGATATGTTTTGGATTATCATCAAATGGGGATACATGTATAACCAATACCACAAACAATAACATGTAAATAATGACAAAAAAAAAAAAGACAAATTGATAAAGGGAACATGCATTTTATTTTTATTATTTATTATTATTATTACAAATCTTCCTTTGGCAATGCTATCTTGGTGGTAGTCTCCTGTAGATGCAAAGATGTTGGTTCTTTTGCCAAAGAAATGGACGATTCTGAATTGGTGGATTCCACTATAGAGCTTGCAGATTCCACAGCTATGCTTGGAGATTCAACTGATGAACTTGATTGCACCTCTACCACAGGTATGACAGGTTCTAAAGAAGAACCAAGTGTTTCCGTTGAAGAATTAAGTGTTTCTGTTGAAGAACTAAGTGTTTCTGTTGAAGAACTGACAGGTTCCGTTGCAGGTATAACAGATTCTGTTGAAGAACTAACAGATTCTGTTGAAGAACTAACAGATTCTGTTGAAGAACTAACAGATTCTGTTGAAGAACTAACAGATTCTGTTGAAGAACTAACAGATTCTGTTGAAGAACTAACAGATTCTGTTGAAGAACTAACAGATTCTGTTGAAGAACTAAAAGATTCTGTTGCGGGTATAACTGATTTAGTTGAAGAGTTCACTGACTTCAGCGATGGTATAACTGATTCAACAAAAGAACTGACAGTTTCCACAGGTGGTATAACAGATTTAACTGAAGAGCCCACAATCTCCACAGCTGGAATAACAGGCTCTACCACAGAACTAACAGATACAGTTGCCAAACTTATTACCGATTCAATCACTGAAACCACTGATTCTGTTGCAGATGCTATTAAATCAGAAGTCTGAACAGATGTTACTGCCTTCACCACTTGAACATTCTTTTTCCCAGAAACTGCTCCTCCTGCTTTACCACCGACACGAACCACAAATTTTGCAGTGGAAAAAAGAAGATAAACTGGGGCCTTAAGAATGCGGCGCCAAATAATCCATGCAAGAACAAGGAAAAGAAATCCAAGCGATGCAAGCATGTAAATACGATCCCACTTGTCTGCCTGCTCAAGATGACGAATTAACTGTCGAGATCCTGTAAGCAGAAGATTGAATCCTGAATAACGCATTTGCAATTGTTGTAACGAAATTGTTGATTGTTCGAGTTCTTCTAAATTTATGGAAGACACAATGGCTTCTGTCTGGGCCATTTTGTGTAGTTGGCGCATCACAGCCGTGACATCCTCGGCTTTGCTTACTAGTTGTGATCTAATTTAAGTTAGAAAAAAAAAAAAAAAAAAAAAAAACATATTTAAATTTGTTAATCAAGACTTACTTTTGTGAATTGGTTTTGTTTTTTCGGTTGATTTGATCATTTATATTTCCGAGAAGCTCGCGACGCATTTCAGTAGTCGATTTTTGTCCTTCGATCTGTGACTTTCTAAAAGAAAACCGAGCAGTGCGAAACTCTTCTTGTAAACCTGCATATTTGTTTTGATAATATTGTTTTTGTTCTTGTTGTAACACATCATCGATCTCATACTTGAGGTATCCAAACTCGGCTTCTGTAGTTTGAAATTTAAACTGGATCGCGCTCACAAGCTCTTTGGCTGACCCATCTATGCTCTTAGATGAATTTTTAAATTTGACTATCAAATCTACCAGCTCCTCAATCTGGTTGGCTAAGCTGGTAAGTTTAGTATCAAGAGATGACATTGTTGTCAATGATAAATATATATATATATTTATACTTTTGATATTTGTGCAAGTGTAAATGTTTGGCCAACGTGTCGTGTGTAAACCAACTCTTTTTTTTTATTTTATTTCCATGTGGAGAAGTTACCCGGTCTGAAAAACTTTATCAAAAGTATTTTTTTTTTCTCTTTTATCTACTGTGGACTTGACATCACTGATCAATCAAGATTGTTAACTCTGACTATATAACAAAAACAAAATAAAATAAAATTAAACCTCCCATGGATTTCGACAAGTATATCAATCCCGGACGGGACTACTATGTTGCCTTGGGTCTTGAAGGCTCTGCAAATAAACTTGCCGTGGGCATCATTCGGCATCCTATCGGTGCACCTTCGCCCACAAACCGTGGCACGGTGCTCTCCAACATTCGCGATACTTACATTTCACCGCCCGGTGAAGGGTTTCTTCCACGAGATACCGCTCGACACCACCGGAATTGGATCACACGTTTAATCAAACGCGCAATGAATGAGGCAAAAGTCTCTTCAGCAGACCTCGACTGTATCTGTTTCACCAAGGGCCCTGGTATGGGCGCACCACTACACACCGTGTCGCTCGTGGCACGAGCAATTAGCGTCATGTGGGATGTTCCACTTGTGGGTGTTAACCACTGCATCGGTCATATTGAGATGGGTCGTGAGATTACAAATGCAGACAACCCAGTTGTTCTTTATGTTTCCGGTGGTAATACCCAGGTGATTGCATACTCGCACCAGCGGTACCGAATTTTTGGCGAGACACTTGATATTGCGATTGGCAACTGTCTTGACCGATTTGCACGAACACTACGAATTTCAAATGACCCGAGTCCTGGATACAACATTGAGCAGCTTGCCAAGCGTGGATCGAATTTGATTCCATTACCCTACACTGTTAAGGGCATGGATCTGTCCATGTCAGGGATTTTGGCCAACATTGACGAGTTGGCCAAAGCCATGAAGGCAAAAACAGGTAAAGCAGCTGAGTATACCCCTGAAGACCTTTGTTTCTCGCTTCAAGAAACGCTCTTTGCCATGCTGGTTGAGGTTACGGAGCGCGCCATGGCTCATGTTGGCAGTAAAGAGGTGCTTATTGTAGGTGGTGTAGGATGCAATGAACGTTTGCAAGAAATGATGGGAATTATGGCTAATGAGCGTGGAGGAAGTGTTTTTGCTACAGATGAGCGTTTCTGTATCGATAATGGACTCATGATTGCCCAGGCCGGTCTGCTGGCATACCGTAGAGGGGCCCGTACATCTTTGGAAGAATCCACAACTACTCAACGTTTCAGAACAGATGAAGTTTTAGTGAACTGGAGAGATTGAAATTTTTAAAGATAACATAGAAATATACAAATAATAATAGAATCATTTAAACTATGAAGTATCTTTAGGTCTAGAACAATAGAAAAAAAAAAAAAAACTTTTTCTTCATCAAAAAGTTAAATGATTCGACCCAGGATCGAACTGGGGACGTTCTGCGTGTTAAGCAGATGCCATCTATAAACTTGGCCATCAAGTCTCACTTTTTTGGAAAAAAAAAAACGACTTCACCCAGGTGATATTTTCCTGTTCGACAATTTTTTTTTTTTTTAAAAAAAAAAAAAGTCACCCCACATATAAAATCACATGCTCTAATTATTCTTTTATATTCTTTACATTGAAATCATCAATTTGTCAAAACTAGATTATCCATAAACAAAAATTATCACACCCTTAGAAAATATATATATATATCCATATATCAAAATCTATATTATCATTGTTTTTGAATTTATCAATTAAATATAAAATGGTATTCAGTTTATAAATAAAAAAAATCCAAAAACAAAAACAAATAAAAGCCGCAAATATACTAATTAGGAATGTATATACATTAAATCAAACAGTTTATAAAAATGAAAATATCAACACAAATTATATATCCATTTATTTTATGTTTACTAAAAAATCAAAAAATCAAAAAATCAAAAAATCTTAAATGAAAATGAAAATGTAAATGGAAAATTAAATCAGAATTGAAAATGAAAATAAAAATAAAAAATTAAATCAGAATTGAAAAAAAAAAAAATAAAAAAAAAAATAAAAGTCAGGGAGTTACCCTACCTGCCCATTTAATTATATTGTGATAAAATTGATTAAAAACATTAGAGAATTGCAAAATTGGTATCAATGTTAAAGTTTTTGATGAAAACTCAATCAATTCATTTTTCTTGATTCATCAATAAATTATGGAATTACTTTATTTAAACCATGTCAAAACTGATGAAACTATTAATAATTTCTACATTAATTATCATCAAGTATCTGTAACATTATTTCAAAATGAAAATTAAACCTTTAAAAAGATATATATTTTTTATTCGGTGATAAATAATTACCACGAATTATCTTGAATGTTTTTCAATTTTTGAAATTTTTGAAATTTCTGAAATCTCTGAAATTTTTAAAGCACAACATAATTCATTTCCAAGATCTGTCCATATTATATGCAAATATTTTGTGCAAAATTAAAAATATAAATAAAAAAAAAATAAAAAAACCTATACTATTCTATTCATCTTATTAATTTCTGACAAGATTGAAAACATTAAGGAATCGCAAAATTTACATCAGGGTTAGGGTTTCGATAAAAACTTTATCAATTCATTTTTCTTTGATTCATCAATAAATTATTCTACCATTCAATTTCAACCATTTGAATTTGACCAAAATATTAATAATATATATATTAATAACCGTCAGATAAATATAATAAGATTAAAAAGTAAAAAACAAACATCAAAAAGGATATATATTCTTATTTAATAATAAATGTAGTTACAACAATAATTGTTTTAAATGTCTTTCATATTATGAAAATTTCAAAATACAAAATATTTCAACTCCACGCTTATATCACCTTAAATCATATTAAAAATATTGACAACTTTGACAACTTTGACAACTTTGACAACTTTGACAACTTAACCATGAATATTCTAATCCAAAGAAATTTTACCTTTTGAAATATCGTAAATACCAAGCTATTTTGTTTTTTACATCTTTTAACTTCATAATCTACTTTATAAACAGTGCTATATACTTAATATTTTAGACGTAATATCTAACTTTTCTTGCTACCCGTTTAAAATTTCTAATTCTACTTTTTGCGGGTCCGCGAGGAGCGAAGCGACGAGCGCCAAAACCGCTTGTAACCTACTAGACCATCGAACCCTAATCCTTAAAAATGTAAAATGAACAAACATTTTATCAAATTTGAAAATTACTTACGTAATATTAATCACGTGCCAAATCTAATTGTTTAAAGAAGGAAAGAACCAAGCTAATAGTTTAACATAAAACTTATTGTATTGAAGTAAATATTTTTTTTTGATACTGATAAAACTATGGAAATATATAACTATATATGTTCATTCAATTCTCTTTAATAATTCATTCGTAATTAACTCATTCATAAATCACTTCATACTTAATTGTTAAATCCTTTTATGTCTTATCTTGTAATCGCTTAATCCTTTAATTGTTGTGTGATTAATTAAATAAATCACTTAATCGTGTGACTTCATATTCAAATGTTTGCATGTTGATCATTCATTTAAAAAAATAAAAAAGATACACATTTTATCGAAATTGAAACTTAATTACGATAATAGTCACATGCCCTTATAAAAATAAGGTTTCTTTAATTAATTTGTTTAATTATTTCCTTGAACAATCAACTCTTATCATTTACTATTCATACGATAAACTTGTTATATTTTGGCAGCAACACTTATATTTTGATACTAATAGCGATTTGAAATTTTATTAGTTATCCTATTTTAATTTATTTGGTGTGATATATATTCTTTTTATTTTTAGTTGAATTTTTCTTTCATTTATTCAAATTTCACTTTATTCAGTTTCTTTATCAAAAATGGCTACTACTAGCAATCTTCTTTTGGCTTTAAAAAACTATAGTTTTGTTGATGAATCAGATGATGTCCCTTTTAAATCTAAAGGGTCTTCTTTCTATGCTGGTTTTGAAGGCTCTATTGATGGTCTTGACCAACGTTATTTTGCTATCCAATTTTTAAATGATTTTGAAATTTACATGGAGATTTGCAATGTTGATCCTCACGATTGGCCTCTTAATATCAGTTATTTTTTTGAGGGTGAAGTCTATTGGTACGCTAAAGCTTGGAATTCAAATCCTGAAAATTTTGACAAAACCTGGAGTCAGTTCAAGAAAGAGTTTTTGTCTCATGAACATTCTTATGAATTTCTTTATGAGGTTTCTCAACACCTTCGTAAGGCTTCAATGGAGTCAGTTTCTATTAAGGAATTTAATGCCTATGTTAAAACCTTCCGTGCCTGTTATTCAGTTCTGAAGGCAAATAATAGATATTTTGTTGACAACAGCCCTGAGAATACTGTCAATGAGTTTGTTCTGGGTCTTCACCCATCTATCTATCTGGAATGGAACATAGCTCGTATGCGTGATCATTCCAACGAATCTCACATCAGGGATAATCTTGAAACTACTATTGATCTTTGTCGTGCTCTCACTTTAAAATCAACAACTTTTATGAAACAATTTGCTAAAGATAATCGCTTTTGAATTCTATATTAACCTTTTTTTTTTGTTCAACCTGCAACAGCTCAGTTCGTTACTGCTTCTGTATCAGTGTCTAATTAGAGATAACTCTAAAATTTATTTGTAAAGATTACATAAAGATTACATCCTTTAGTTATTTTTTTTTAATTGCGATAAAAATACAAACCTTTGTGAATTAAGGTTCTTTCCATCAATAAGATCTTTTTTTTTTTTTAAAAAAAAATTTAAAACATCACCTTTAACATTTTTTACTGGATTACTTTTGAAAAAGACAAAGAAGTTAATGCTCACCCTTTGAATTTCTTTTCAAATATTATGAGTTTTTTTATTAGTCATTTCCTATTTTTGGAAAGATCTTTAAAGATATATCTTTCAAGCCTTGTAGTAAAACACTATATTTTTCTGCTATTGTATATTATCACAACGAAATTAATTAAATAAGTGATTTACCATAACTTAACATTCAAAAGAAACTTGGGAAAATTAATTGGGGAATAGGTCTTTGTAGGAAGAATAATAACGCCAATCACATAATGTATACCTGACCATTTTAGATTTTACCCACATTAAATCGATTTACCATCTTGTCTAAATCCTTGAAAATATCCGAGATACGATCCTATACTGCAAAATTGGTCCTTACTTAATGACATTTCCTGTTTCTCGTAAGCATTGTATGGTAGTGTTAGTTGCGGGATAATAAAAGGTTTCCCATTTACAATTGCGTTTTGAAACCAAACTATGTCTGAAGAGGAAGAATTAGAAAAAGACGAGGATGGCTTGTTCATTGGTTGAAACCCGATGAGCTTACTGAACTGACCAGCAGAAGATAAAGACAAATTCGAATCTTTTTGTGTAAGAGTGTAGGAACGGAACTGGGGCAAATCCGACGACATAATAGAGGGCTGAGAGATAATCATGCCATGAATTCGAGGCACATACAAAACATTCTTTAGTACAGCGCCTAGCTCTTTGTTGATACACACATCGCCCAAAAGATGAACAGGCAGGTACACCTCTTTGTCTGGAATGAAAGCCATGATCTTGGTCTGCCGAATTGATCGGGGCTCAAACATGGTAATGTCGCCGCACATATGTCTCGGACATGTTTTACTTACAGCCATAAGTGAGCGGTTCAAAATGTTACACTCCTTGTTACTGTGGAGGGAATTGAGTGTGTTCACAAACATACTATCCATGTACTCGTCTTTGATATCAGCCGGCAAGCTCTGTGACTCAATTGGAAGCATTGTAATCGAGTCATAGAAAAGAAGTTGTTCCGTAGTAGAAGCTGTAGCTGAAGCCGTATTGACGTGCTCTATATACCGCTGAATTTCCGAGGGAGTTAAAACGATACGGTTTTGAGGTCGGTTAGCTGGCCGGTTTTGTAGCATTTCGTGGAACTTGGCAATGGAATTTTCAGCCTCGCTGACAAGCAGATCGTAGATCGGGTAACTGGCCATAGCCTCGCTTTGAGGCCGTGAGGGCAAAGTCTTTAGAGGTTTTTCAAGACGAGAGCGCTTAAAAGGTCGTCTAAATATCTCAGAACTAGCTGACTGACTTAGAAGGTCATCAATGTCACCAATATCAGAGAGTTCAGAATTATTATCTTTCTTGTTGTCGTCATTGTCTTTATTTTCATCATCACTGACATCATCATTTCCTAAGTTTTTCAATTTTTTAGGATAAGGGGGAAGAATGTTATAACCAGTGAAAAAATTCCCCTTTGTTTTACTGGCAAAATTGGTGGAAACGCCTTTGCTTTTATTTTTGCCCTCTACTATGTCGTCCTGATTCTTTTGTCGCATCTTTGTTTGATTAACTTCCAAACCCACGCTTTTGGTAGCTTGATTTGTTGCTTTCTTAAGTTGGTAGCCAGATTTGCTAGTGGGTTTAGTTTCAGTGATTTCAGTACTAGTAACTTTAGTGTCTGGTGTTGCCTTTGAATAAGCCACTGATCTGGAATTAGGTCCACTATCCAGATTCTTCTCAATCTCCATCTCGCAATGACTTAATGAGATTGGAGGTCCACCATTGACTTTTTCAGATCCACCAGCCTTATTGTCAAACTTGTTGTCCTCAAATTCCTGATCCTCATCATCCTCATTTTTATTATCTTCTTGTTCGTTATCAGCACAATCCATACCATCCATAATCGTAAACCGGTTTAATTTGACTGAAGTGGAGTGATCCGAGGTAACTGGTTTAAAAGATGTCCTGTTAAGCATGAGCCTATAGTGCGGCAATTTTTTATAATACTGTGCTGCCTGGAGCTCATGGTAATACGGATTACTAAACCTAAACAAATCATTAACTAGGAAATTGGCAAACCGGGAAATCACAGGATCACTTGACAACAAGTTCTTGATCAAAAACTCATGCTGGTTCTTGAATAAATGAATTTTGTTTGACCGGGTAGGGTGGGGGGTCAGTGCAAGAAGAATTTTAAAACTTTCAATGTAGTTTTCATGAGTCCAAGTGTACCAATCGCGGGAAAGTGTAGGGAAATGGGGATGACAACGGAACTCAGGCTGTGAGGACGTAGATACAAGGTCTTTAGATGAACCCTTTGGTATGCTTAATTTTTTAAATGATTTCGATTTTTCAACCGCTGGTACACTTTCAGGTGTTTCAATTGCTGTTTCAGAATTTTCGTTGGACGATGGAGTGTTGATTTCAGATTTTTCGGAAAGTTCTTCGTCATCTGAAACAAATTTTGCAAGTGGGGTACTAATTTCATGCTGAACAGAGGGTCTATTTCGTGGGCCTATTGGAAGAGACTTTGGTAATTGTTTTTTAGCAAGTAACTTGACGGAGGAATTTGAAACAGTTCCAGTAGACGATTTTTCTTCTTCGTCTTTTTCGTCTTCATTATCTTCTTCTTCTTCTTCTTCAGATTGCGAAGTGGTATTCTCATCGTCAGCCAAAAACTCGGATTGAGATTCTGAGGCTTTTTTCGCATAGTGACTACTGCTGCCTAAAGTGTCGGAAAGATTCAACTGTTGTAGCTTTTGCTCTAGAGACAAGCTGCGGGAAATATCAGTAGTTGAAGAATCCGCTGATGTTGATTCAATTTTTTGTAAAGGTATTTTAGTTTTTTTTCCCTTATTACTATCTTCATAACTTGCTTGAGGTTTTGTTTCAGCAATTGCTTTATCCTTTAATTGCTTCTTTCCTTCAATATTTGCTTCAACGTTTGATGTAACGTTTTTCCGGTCTTCAGCACTATCCTCGACACCATCCTTGGCATCAGCCTTTTTATTAACTTTTGCTGGGTCCTTGGTGTCAGTCTTTGCATCAAAATTTTCACCGACCTCTGCATCAACATCCGCATCATTTTTTGACTGGCCCTTTTTATTATTTTTGTTTTCTTCTTCATGTTCCTTCTGTTCCTTCTGTTCCTTCTGTTCCTTCTGTTCCTTCTGTTCCTTCTGTTCCTTCTGTTCCTTCTGTTCCTTCTTTTTCTCTTCATTTTTTTCTTCTGCTTCTTCTTGAGGTATCAAAAAACTCCCGAGATCCAGCTCGGTATAATTAAAAGGCTCGCTCTTATCTTCAATTTTTACATCATCCAGCCACGCATTAAGCCGGTACAAATAATTATTTCTAATATTTTCTTTTTCAGCATTTGCAAAATCTCGTAGTGATCCTATATTTAACCAAAGTTCCCTGTACCCTGGAGTTTTGTTAACATAAGGCTCTAGTGCAAACAACAGCTGTCTGTATACTAATGCCAGAGCGTAAGTAGGAAGCAGCTGAACGGACAAAAAGGGAAAAGAGGCGGTCAACAAAATTATATCATTTCTCAATGATGTATTGAACATACTAAACGCATCTCCCACAGTCTGGGCACTCTTTAAAAGACATTGTTTTTTTGAAAGTATATCAGCAGTATCAATCGTCAAACCAAACTTTCGAAGTAGGTGAGCATTAAGCTCTGTTTTGGAATCAAGCCCAAGCCGCCAACTTAACACATCAATCATCTTGCAAAATGACATGTTTGCAATATCATCTGCTGTGCAACCTGTGCGCTCAAACACAGTGTGGTAGGTGCGCAGCACCTCATCGGTAAGAATCTCGAGTGCGCGTGCAATACAAAGTTGTTCGTAGAACCACACTAAAAGGTTAGTAAACCCGGGCCATAGAGTATTATTAGAGTTTATGTGATTTGTTGTTCGTTGGAGTCCACGCAAGGTGGCTTGAGAGACACCTATAGAACTCATGAGGACGAGAATTTTTTGATTTTTTTCGCGAATGTTATCGATTAGTTTACAGCGGACTGAAGACAGTGGGAAAGCCTTGAGAATTGTATTTTCAGCACTAGAGTTTTGATACAAACCAGAATGAAGTTTAATTTGGTGTTCGATAGATTCCGGAATCCACTCTGGCAGAGTTATGTCTTCCCAAATGCCATCACCACCAGCATCGATGATGGAAAACCCGACATCAAAAGATTGATTTGCCAAAAACCTTTGTACAGAACGAGATGAAGCAACAGTATGGGAGTGGAGCAAAGATGAATTATGGCTGACGATTTCGCATGCTCGGTTGACTAGGATTTGGGCGCGTTCGAAAGGAGTTATATTAGAGTATTGCGTTGCGAGGTCTTTGATAAGAGAACGAGCTGCAGTCACTTGTTTTGAAGATTCAAAAGCCGTAGAAGTTTTGATATCAGGCGACGTTTGGTGAGATCGTGAATAGTTCCTAAACTCTGCATATGATATAGTGGAGGGATAATTGATGACCTTGGAGTGCTGGAAGATGTAAACTTTGTGCCGACTGCTATAGTGGAAACCGTTAAGCGTTGAAGTTTCTTTGTTTTCCATTTTAAAGCAAAGTAAAACAAGTCCTTTTTTTGTTTGTTTTGTTTTTAGTGAATGATTCTAACGGAGGGTATTAAATTATGGTAAAAGCAATCAAATTAAAAAAAAAAAAAAAAAAAAAAAAAAAGGCCTGATATGAGTGATTTGAAAAAGGTTACTGTAGGGTAAATTTCAGTAAGTGTTTGTGTCAGATTTTAGAGATTTCAAAAACCCCCCAAGATTTCTATATTTGAAAATTGAAAAATTGATTTCAGTTTCTACGTCTATCTTATTTTTTTTTCAAAAAAAATTATTAAAACTCAAGTTTATTTATTGATTAAAGATTCAAAAATAAAAAAAATAAAAAAAGCAATTTCTTTAGACAATTTATATAACAATAAAAGGTACAAGTCTTTTAAAATTTATCAAGTTAATCTGTCAACACCCCAAGGTTCTGTAGAAACTCTGGCACAGGATCCATTGCAGTTTCCATGCCTGCCATCGAAATAGGTTCCACTACCATCCCTGTAGTTGCAAATCCTGTGGACCCGTTGCCCATTACTGTGGCTGTTGAAGGTATAACCATACTCTTTGAGACTGCTGTGGTAGACATGTGTAGCGTATCGACTGCATTTGATGATGATGTTGTCGTTGTTGTTAGATGCTGTGGTGGTTGATATGGGCCTGGAGGTAGTGCACTTGTAGCAGCAAACGCATGTACCATGGGGTTCTGGGATGTGCTGGTTACTGGGTAAACAGTGTTGAGCTTTTGAAGTGTAGGGGCTGGACCACTACCACCAGTGATTGTATTAGTAGTAGTGGTAGAAGAAGAAGAAGTGGTGGTGTTTGGGTTACTGGTAGATGTGGTAGTGGTAGCAGGATAAAGAAACTGTGAAGTAGAAGATGGGTTTGGTTGTTGCAGTTGAGGTTGAGGTTGAGGTTGTTGCATCAAAAAAGATTGCTGAGCAGATTGGGATAGAGGGAATTGGTACGGTTGCTGTGCACCCAATTGATTGTATGGTGATGGTGAAGACATCATAGAGACATTTAACAGTTTAGGATCAAGTTTAGGAGGTTGTAGAAATTGTTTTTGCTGCTGCTGCTGCTGCTGCTGCTGCTGTTGGAAATCCTCCATCCCATACATCACTCTATTGATATTCTTTTCAGGCTCCAAAACGCCTATAGCCCTATTTAGTTCCTCTCCTCGTGTTAGCCCCATGACTTTAGCATCAATAGCATCCAGTCGTGTTTTGAGCATGTTAAGGAGTTGTGGTTCAACACGCTGCGGTGCATCGAGCAATACTGTTGCTGTTTGGAACTCTAATATGCGATGCAAGAAAGCAACACGTTTCGAAAGCTGGAGAGATTTTTTCTCCTGGGAATAGTATAAGTCATGGCCAAAGACTCCATAACTCAAAGGCATTATACTGGTGAGCTCATTTTCAATATCTGTGAGACTGCTCTGTGTGATTTTGAAAAGATAAAACCCTAAAAAGGGGACTGTAGAGGCGTGTGCATCATCAAAGGCAGTGATTTGAGCCAAGATGTATTCTTCGATGCTGTCAAAGTGGAGGTAGGTGTGAGTGTGAAGAACGTTACCTAGAAGCTCAAAGTTGACGACGAAAACAAGGCGGAGTTGGAAAAGCAGGCTTGGGTAGTCACTTGTAGTGTCCTTTGTAAGGAGTGAGCCATAGCTTTCAATCCATGCGGGTATCATAGCGAGGGCAAATGTTTCTGTGGTTTTGCCATTTGTTGTTGAGTTTTTAAGAAAGAGGATATTGTTGAGAATGCGAATAAGCGAGAAGAGGGCATTGTAAGTTGATGTGTCTGGAGCTTGAGTATCTTGGAAGCCCCCATCGTCGTCGGGTTTAATAAGTAGGGAGACTCCAAACCCAGAGTCAGATATATGTGGAATGCGGCCACAAGCAGCTGCCAGTAAGGTATCAATGATACAGATGGCATACCAAGTGCGTTTTTCAATGTAGGATCCAGGGTAAGAATTTAATCCCAAGACATATGTGGCACGCACAGCGAGTCCACAAATGGCCCAGGCGTCATCAAAAAGGCCTCGGGCAACAAGGCCTAAGGTAAAGATAATGTGTGAGTGAATATTAGAGAGTTGTGCAGCGCGGGTGAGAGCAGATGAGTCTCCTATGGCCAGAGGTGAAGCAATTATTGAGAGGACTTGAAGGAATGACGGGATTTTGTCATTATTATTATTATTGTCATTATTATTATTATTATTATTATTGCTGTTGCTATTATTGTTATTATTGCTATTATTGCTATTATTGCTATTATCATTATTATTATTATTTGCAGAAGACCCCTGGTGAAAAGCCAAAATAGCGGCAAGTAAGAATAAATCTGATGGAGAAGCTTGAGCCAAATGTTCTTCTTTTAGTGATTTTTGTCGTTGTTGAGAAGAAGTGATGCGAGTTAATAGAAAAAGTGTTTGTGGGTCACAAAGAGGTAACCAAGAGTGAATGGCTCGAATATAAGTATTGACAGCAGTCATTTTTATTTCAAAGGGGGTATTTCGAATCCAGATATTAATAAGTTGTAAAGGACTATGTGGGGAAAGTGCTTGAACTGCACGCGGGAAGGCCAAAAGAGTTCCTGCAAGAAAGCCTGTTGAGCCAGGGGTTGGGGAGTTTTCGTGAACAGGGTAGATGGAAACTTCTGAGAGAAATGGAGCAGAAGAAGTTGAAAGAACGACATGTTTTAGAAGAGAAGAATCTGATGATGATGATGATAATAATGGCGGTGGGGGTTGTGGGTTTGGAGTTGGAGAAACAGTTCCTGAAGTTGGTGTTGTTGCGGCTGTAGCAGCAGCTGTTGAAGAATTTGATAGAGTTGTTGCTATTATAGCAGCAGTAGCAACAGAAACAGCAGCAGGTGTGGTTACAGGTGTGGTTACAGGTGGAGATGCAAGGAAGGAATGAGACCCAATGTTTGAAGTTCCTGGGAAAGCTGGAAGTGAAGCAGCAAATGCTTTAATTTCTGAATGAAGCTGTGACTGGTGCCATTTATTTTTGTAAGCATCTAGGTCGGAAGAACTCGAAGAAGAAGAAGAAGAAGAAGAAGAAGAAGAAGAAGAAGAAGAAGAAGATGGTTTATCATCATTATTAATAATGTCGCCATTTTGGTCACCAATGTTGGTTAAAGTATTTCCACCACCACCAATCCTAGAGTCTTCGTTAAGGGTATCTGTAGATTCATTTAATGTTGAAGAAGAAGAAGAAGACACTCGTGCATTTGTCAGTTTTTTCACAAGAGAAGAAAGAGCAAGAGCTACATCTGGAGTTTCTTGAAGAGAGGACCCGAGAAGAATTTCTAAAGCGCGAATATATGTTTCTAGTTGCATAACATATCCTGGAGGAAGTCCACGACGTTTGGATTCAGTATAAGTACATGTTTGACCTGAGGCCGCACAGTTTGCACAGGCAGGTTCTTTTCCATTACACTTAATTTTGCGGGTACGACATTGGAGACAAGCTCTGGAAATACGGCGTCGTTTAGGAGCTGGAGGTGATGATGTTGAAGCCGAAGAAGAAGCAGCGAGAGGAGAAGGGTTTTGAAGTTGGTGAGAGTCTCTAAAGGTTGTTGATGAAGAGGGTCGAGACGCGTCCCTTATGGGATCGGCCATTATTTCTGATATTTATATATATATATATATATATAAAATTAATAAAGAAAGAGAAATAAATAAATAAATAAATAAAAAAATAAATAAAAAAATAAAAAAAGAAATATGATTATCGGGATTAATAAAAGTCTTAATTTGTGTATATATATTTAATAATGATTAGTAGTAGTGATGGTACTGCATAATAATTTATATAGTATGGGCAGAATGTTTTGTATTACTTCAATCTGATCTTTCTGTTTGATATTTATCTCGGGTATACATTCAAGAGAAGGATTTAAAAAAAAAAAAAAAAAAAATTATTAAAAAAATTAAAAATTAAAAATTAAAAATTTAAAAATTTAAAAATTAAAAAATTAAAAAATTAAAAAATTAAAAAAAAAATAAATAAATAAATAAAAAAATAATTTAAAATAAAATTTTTTTTTTTTTTTTAAAATATTTTAAATAAATCTTTTCTTTGTGTGTACGGGATTTTTTTTAAATTTTGAATTTTGAAATTATAGTGGTGGTGGTGATAATATTTTATTTCTTACCATCGATGGTAGAAACAAAAGATTGGCGGCTTTCTAATGGCACTGAATTTTACCGGTTCTACAAAGAAAAAAAAAAAAAAAAAAAAAGAAAAAAAAAATTTTTTTTTTTTTTTTTATATGGCAAAAGTCATGTGGCCTAAGAATTTTAAGGATTTTAAGAATTTTAAGAATTTTAAGAAATTTAAGAAATTTTTTTTTTTTTTTTTAAAATAAATTTTTGCCGAGGTTTTTATTTTATTTTATTTTTTCAAAAAAAAAAAAAAAAAAAAAAATTTTTTTTTGAATACAAAATTAATAAAATTAATAATAAAATATTCACACACACACACTATATATATATTTTATTATTATTATTATTATTATATTATATAATTAATTAATATATATTAATTTATATATTAGTTAGACTATTCAACAAAAATCTAATCATTTTTATTTTTTCTCTTTCTTTCTCTCCATACTTTATATATATATATATATATTATATCCAAAAAAAAAAAAATATATATATATATATATATATTAAATTGAATTAAAAATAAAAATAAAAATAAAAATAAAAATAAAAATAAAAATAGAGCTATGCCACTGCCGCCGCTCAAAAATTTACCATCCGCAAGACCTCCTAAAACTATTGCGGATCGGGACCCTGGACTTAGTATTGATAGAAGAAAAGATATTGGTGTTTCGGGATTCGAAATTTCTTCATCAACAACAAATATAACACCTAAAACAACAACTACCACTAGTGCTTCCTCGACTAACACAAAGACAAGTCACTTTACAGATATGCTAGACCCGCCACTACCATCATCAAAAACAACAACAACAACAACAACAACAACAACAACATCATCATCATCATCATCATCATCGCAACAGCAAACTCCAACTAATCAACTATCACTGCCTTTGCCATCTACAAACCCTTCCTCTTATCCTCCACAAGCTACTCTCATCCTGATTGGTGCTCGTGGAACCGGGAAATCAACTCTGGCCGTGGTCGGTGCCATTGCCTTGAGAAGACGCTTTGTCGATACTACCGCAATCCTCGAAGCTTCGTTGGGTCTCCCCACTTCTCAGATCATTGCTCGTCATGGACTTCCGGCTTTTTGTCGACTTGAACACGACGTTTTGGCTGCAGTTTTGGACCAGTACCCAACAAACTGTGTGGTTTCATGCTCTGCATATTGTATCTATGAACCTACATGTTTGTTACTAGCTGCAAAACGTGACGACTTGCCAATAGTTCACGTTGTCAGGTCCTTTGTGGAAACTGGAGATTTGTCTACCACGGCTCCTGTTGTTGCTTCTTCTCCTAATGAATCTTGTTCCAACGGTATTAGAACTCCTCAGGGTCTTTCTACTCCAGTCTCTTGTACACCCTCTTCTAACGGTGATATTTCCAATCTTCAAAATTCTGGCAACTCTTTAAATTCATTAAATTCATTAAATTCATCCATTCAACATCTCTCTAATGTTGAGAATCTTCATCAAAGCCCGCAGTTTCAACAGCCACTACATCAGCAGTCTCAACCCCAACAACTACAACTACAACAGCCTATGCAGACATCGGCAATGGCATCCAACCCTAACCCTTCATTCGGCGAAACTCCTAACCGATACCTCCGTAACAGTAACAATAATAATAAAAATAATAATAATAATAATAATAATGTCAGCAACCACAACACTAATAGCAGCAACAATAGTAACAACAATAGTAACAACAATAGTAACAACAATAGTAACAACAATAGTAACAACAATAGTAACAGCCACAGTAACAGTAACAGCAACAACTCTTCCTCCTCCTCATCCTCGGCGCCGGTCGGAATAAATACTGGTTCATTCACCGAGATGTTAAATGGTGCCAACAACAACAACAACAAAACATCCACTTCAACTACTCCAACAACTATAAACACCAACACTCCTATCAACCAACCTCATCAGTTGGATATTACCGCCCTATTTAATGAAACATTTGCCAGTCTGCCTTTATACCGAAGGTACTCCTCTTTTGAAATCGCCAATCTTGGCACTCTTTTCCTGGATAACCACTCGGCCGCGTTTGATTTTGAGGTAGGCGTCACTCTCGAAAATGACTCGTGTAAATGGCCTCCAGACCAACCTCCATTCCCCAACCCGGCTTTCCATTTTAACCCGGATTCAATTTCTCAAATTCCTCCTCAAAAAGATCGCATCTCTTTAGGATTGAGATCTTTGGAAAAAAATTTTGCCCATTTTTTGAGATACATTTTTGGTGATTCCTCACGTCTTGATCGCAGACCTAACCCAATCACAACTGGAACTCCTGCTAAGCAGCAGCCACTGCAGCCACAACACCAACACCAACACCAACACCAACAGCAGCCCCACAGCCCCACCTTGATACCCCAACAACCAACCCCCACTACTCAAATCCCACGACGTCCTTGGAAATGCGTTGAACATAAAACAAACCCTTATTCACATGCTTTGGTTCTCCCATTCTGCGATATCACGACTTCCAACATCCACTTTGACATACACGCTGGAGGTATTGATGCCGTCATTCTTCGGGTTGACCTCCTTGCTGCATATGCTATAACCTCTGGAATTGAGCCTGAATTCTATATTGCCTCCCAAATCGCTTTTATCCGTACTCACACTACTCTCCCCATCATTTATGACTTTGACTCGTCCTACTTTGACTACCCTCCCCCAGTCCATCAATCCTCTGGTACTCCATTCACTGTCCCTCCTCCAAATATTGCCCCCATCACAACTTACTTCAACTTCCTTCTTCTCGGCCTCCGTCTTTGTGTCGAATATCTTGTCGTGTGCCCGGCACTGCTGGCAGCTGACCCGAGCCTCCTGCGCACTCTTGTCAAACGCAAACACTTTACCCGGATAATTACAAATTATTCAATCAGCCCAGACCACTGGAGCGCCTCAGTTTTGCGTGATTTACGAGATCAAACCGCCCAAGCCGGCTGTGATATTGTCAGAGTTACCTCTTACGCCCGAAACAGAACAGATAACTTTACTCTCTTTTGCGCAATCCTTCAAATTGAACAAGATGGTGGAAGTGATGGTGGTAGTGGTGGTGGCAATAACGAAACTCATCAAAAACAACCTTCTTCAACTTCTTCTTTAGAATCTTCTCCAGAAATTGCTCCCTCCTCCTATGTCCCCATCATAGCCTACAATAAAGGCCCTAGAGGTCGCATTTCTCTCGCCCTCAATAAACTTTTCACACCCATTGAGCATGAATACTTTCTTAAACACCCTACCTCTCTATACTCAAGGGGCAACTGGATCAAGGACCCCCGGCTGCGGGCCTTTTGTGCTCAGGCTGCGCCGGCACCCAATGAAACACCGGTCTCTGCTTATACTCCGGCGTCCTACTTATTCACACTCAAGGACCGCAACTCGGCCATTTACTCGCTGGGTCTCCAACCGCGCCTCCAGTTCTATCATTTTGGCAGTCATGTTGATGAACGCTTGTCTCACGTCATTCACCAAGCAGCTTTCGACTATGTCCATATTCCTCACAAGTACGTCAAACGTACTACTAAAACGGTCCAGGAAATGGCTCCAATCTTGGAAGATAGACCCCCTCAAACTGTCCCCTCTGCCTCTCTAGAGTTGGACATTAGCTCTAATTCTCCATTTGAACCAGATTACCCCTTTGGTGGAGGATCTCTTTCTCATCCTCTCAAAATCGCTGCACTCCAAGTTTGCGATACAATCTCGGCTCATGCCCGTTTCATTGGATCTGTCAACACAATTACATCAGTACGCAAAGAGGACCGCAGCGCAGTCTTGGGACAACTTTCGCGTCGTGCATCCGTCTCACGTATCAGCTCGTTGGTCTCAACATCTTCTCCAGGACTTAAAACTTCAGCTAGTCCAAACACTGCAGCAGCAAATGTGCACATTCATGGTGAAAATGTCGACTGGATCGGCATCCACGCCTCGCTCTCCAAGCACTTGCGTGCCCGTAATGCTGTAACACCGCAAACAAAGGTTGTTATTTTAGGAGCTGGAGGATTTGCGCACGCTGCCATCTATGCAATGGTTCGACTTGGTGCTCGCAAGTTTTACATTTACAATAGAACACGACAACATGCAGAAGCTATGATTACCCATTTCAAAACCATGTTTGCGCAGCTTGAAAATGCTACCCAAAATGCGGTTGGGCTTAATCGTGATAATGAGCCAGTGTTTTGCACAGAGGACATTTTAAAGACGGGTGATATTTCTGCCCCAAGAAGCGAGTATGACTTTGCAACTTCTATGCAGAGCCAAAAGCCTTACCACAACAATAAGCGACCTCGCCAGCTTCTTCTTGCAAGTATTTTAAATAATGACGAGGAGGAAGACGAATATTCCGACAAGAAGAAGGTCAAGGTGGAGGAAGAGGTTGAAGAGAGAAATGCACCTTCAAAAGTGATGCCTGCTCCTCAACAACCACTACCCCCTCCCAAGCGTGTCGACATTGCAACAATGCTCTCTGCTCAAGGTGAAGTTGCTCATAACTTGTGGTCCGAAATCATCACGGACATGGGGCTTCCAGGCCGGCGCGGGCGCTACGGATCTATTTCCTTTGAACACAAGGCAGAAGACGTGAATGAGATTCAGTTTACCATTCTTGAGAATGTTACAACAGAGCCATGGCCTCTCAAAGATGAGTATCCAGCCTTGTTGTTGCATCTAACTGCAGATGCACATTTGACTCTGCACCCTTCGTACTTTGGTAACCCGGCTGGTGGTATTTGCCTTGAAAACAATTACATGCCTCGGCCAGTGACTGGGTTTGTATCACAGGCATTGCAGCCAGAGCACGCAGCCAAAGGATGGAAAGTTGTTGGTGGCGCAGATTTTATGCTTGAACAGGCATACTCGCATTTTGAGCTTCTCACAGAGAAAAAGGCACCGAGAGGAATCATGGTGCGGACTCTCAAGCAGTGCATGTCGCGGCGACGACAGCAACTTGAAAGTGAGCTTGGTGGCACAATAGCCAAGTGAAAAAAAAAAATTAAAAATTAAAATTAAAAAAAAAATACAACTTCATATAATGATTATACAGTTTCTTTTACGGTTTTTAATATTTATACATATTTTTTTTTTTGATCTTTAAAATCTTTTTTTTTTTTTGAAAATATTTTACATTGATGAAAATTAATGTTGAATCCTCTACGTCAAGCAGATTCTATCTGTTCACAGACAAAATGCTCCGGCTTATTTGGAATTCATAAACTCAATTATTAAAAAAAAAAGTTGCTCTTCTCTCGAGATCACCGAAATGATCTGGTGCCTTAAGCTATACCGGACAAGTATTAATAACAAGCCCAGTTACGTGGTCCACAAAGTACCGCCGTGAAGGGAGAGTTGGTTGAAGAGAAAAAAAAAAAAAAAAAAAAGGGAAAAAAAAAAATTTGAAATGAAAAAAAAATTTGACGAGTTTATATAGCTGCCATTCTAGGATATTCGCAAGGATAAAAAGTACGGTATTTTTTTTTTTTAGTATTGATAGGATGCCAATATTTTTGGATTCTCTATCATCATCATTATTTGGTCATACAGCCCTAAAAAACAATAACAAAGTCTGTTGTTGGAAGTTACAATTCAAACATTCAGATATATATTCAGATATAATAATACCCTAGACAGATATCTTTTCTTAAGAAATGCCTAGTGGAATTCCCAAGAAACGGAAAAGTGATATCACGCCTGGATTCCAGTTCCCACCCTCAAAAAAGCAAACCACCAGTACGGGGTCAGGACCGTCTTCGCGCAAGGGCTCGCTGGCCGAGGGCGCATTCGACGATCTGGGACGTTCGGACGATGATGAAAATGAATATCTTGACGATGATGATGCGGATCTTAAAGGTATTGGTGGAGGTGGTACTTTAGGAAGCGGTGGCGGGAGTGGTCACAAGAAAACCGGAAGCACAACAGGTGGGACGAAAAAAAAGGGGAGTACGAAAAAGGCTGATGCAGAAGAAGAAGAAGATGATGATGACGATGATGATGACGATTATGGAGCATCAGCAGCAGAGGCTGGTGGTGCTGGAGGTGGTAGCACTGGCCCCACAGATGAAGAGCGACAAGCACAGGAACGGTTGCGGGTACTAATGAGTAATTTTGACGATACACAAATGTCACGATACGAAGCGTTTCGCCGTGCAAATGTGTCAAAAAACAGTGTCAAAAAGTTGGCAAATGCTGTTCTTGGTCAATCGATTCCAGGACCTGTAGCTGTTGCATTGTCCGGGTTGTCTAAAGTTTTTGTGGGTGAGCTGGTGGAAATGGCTAAAGATGTGCAACATCAGTTGAACCAAAAAGCATACAGAGAAATGCATCAACAAGTGCAAAGGGATCTGGATAAAGAAAATGGGAAAACTGGAGATGATACTAAGACAAATAAAGATAAACTACCGACCGGACTGGCAACAGCAATCCCAGTGCCTGGTGCACTAACAGACCCACTACTTGCTTTTACAAGTACCACTTCCACCGCTGCTACAACCACAAGCACATCTTCTACGACTACTACAACTGCTGTCAATGTTACCAATGTTGCTCCTACGGCCCCGCTTCTTGCTGCGTTAGATTCTGCTTCTACGTTCCCGTTTCTCCCCACAGGCGCTGGCCTTGACCCGCTTTTTGTACTTCCCCCTGATTCTGCAACAGCTGCAGCTGTTACAACATCGTCGACTATAACTTTAAGTGATGACGATCCAGCTGCAATAGCTGCAGCAGAAGCAGCAAAGGAAAAGGCAGCAAGGGAGGCCGAGGAAGAGGAAGAAGCTGCTGTTGAGATGCTGGACAGACAACCGCTGCGAGCGTGGCACTTGCGTGAAGCATGGAGGTTGTACCGACAAGAGCATGGAGCAGTTCCCCAAGCACACTGGCGGCGACAGGGTGGTGAGGGTGATGGACGAATGTTTCGGTAATGATATATTAAAAGTCAGTTTTTTTTTTTTTTTTTTTTTTTTTTTTCTTTCTTAAAAATATATTATTAAAGAATTGTAATGAGGTAATGACTTAAAATAAAAAAAAAAATAAAAAAAATAAAAAAAAATAGTTAATGAGTATAAAAAAAAAAATTTATAATGATTTAAGTGGTATTTTCTTCACTTCAAAACAGAAATGCATAAAAATAATAATGTTTTTTTTGGTGTTTTATTTAACTGCAAAATGTCTATATTAACATCATTTATAACTAACAAATAATCTAGTTGCTGTGATTAGATCCATCCATTAAAATTAGGTTCCAGTGTCGTAGTAAATGGTGGAAATGACAATTGCTTTTTAAACAATGCATTTCCAGTAAAGTTTCGTTTTTTCGCCAAATCGAAAAGAAACTCAACTCCATGTTTGTTATTTTTATCTCGATTAAAATATGTTTGAATAACATGTGGCTTATTTACAAGTTCATAGTATGTATTCAAAAATGTTTTTTCAGCAACTGATTGTTGTAAAGTTCTTTGGGTGGGCAAAAAGTCAATATTAGAAAATGGGGTGGGGAAGGGAAGACGATGAAAAGGGATGGAAAAGTCAATATAAGGATTTTCTAAAGAAGAATCTTTTTCAGTATCATTCATTAACAATCTATCCATTATTAACAATCTATCATTATTTTCATTAGTAAAAAAAGTATCAGGAAGTTTTGTTGGTATGATGAAAAGAAATTGTTCGATTGTCTCGGAGGTCATTAATTTTGCAAAATCTTTAGAGTATTGGTTATATTGTTTTTTTATGAAGTTCTAAAGAAACATACTTTAGAGAGGTAATAGAAAAAAATTAAAAAAGAACGATTAAATAAAGAATTGTCAAATTCATTTTCGTCACTTTGATCTTCTTCTAATTCCAAATTCCAAAGTTCTTCTTCCACAATAAGATACTTCAAGTTTTCAAAATTTTTAAAATGAATTTCTTTTTTGACCAATATTTCAATCTGTGAAACCATAATTTTTAAACAAGTTATTTTTTCCATAGAATAAAATGTTTTAAACTTTTCTTTTGGCATAATTACTTGGACCTGTGTCAACTTTGGTAAGTTAAAATGGTTTAGAAATTTTTCTATCTCAAACTCGTTATCGTTATCGTTATCGTTATCGTTATAGCTAATAGTCGTAACATCTGGGAGTGTAATTTTTTTAAAGTAATTATCAGAATTAACAAAAAAAAATCATTGATAGAAGTAAATAAAATTTTTGAAAAAGCTAATTAAAGAGTAAGTTATTTAATGGACGATGGGAATGGTAAAGTTAACAGATGGATTAATGTATCTGCAAACCAGACTGAGCTTTCACAAAAATCAATGCCAATATTTAAGCATTCAAGATTACTGAAATCAGATAAGTGATCAGGAATTAAAAAGGCATTCATGGATTCAATTTTTATAAACATTTTTTTTATTAGCAATGGATAGGTTAACAGGTTTTTTGACCAAGGGAAAAAATCAATAGCGGACACAAAGGCACTAGGAGGATTCTCATGATCACTATCAAATAACTCAAAGGGGTCTGAATTGTCCTCAGAAGATTGGGAAATATGAAAATAGTAGAGCCAATTTGGGGGGAATTCTATTGATTTTAGATTTGGGTAAAATGTTTGAACAAAGCGATTAGAGTTCCAAGCAACAATTATATCATGGTAAATATAAGCGATAGTGTCTTGATCAAAACGAATATGTTTGACCATTTTGTTTTTGAACCAGCTATATTTAGATGGAGTAAGCACAATTTTTATTGAAAGGTTAAAGTAGCGTGTTACTATAATGATGAACGATAATTATATATCGATTTAGATCGAGATGATTAAGAATAATTAGGCATTGATTGAGATTAAGAAGGAATTATTAAAGAGAATTGAATGAATATATATAGTCATATATTTCCATAGTTTTATCAGTATCGAAAAAGATATTTACATCAATACAATAAGTTCTATATTAAACTGTTTGTTTGTTTGTTTTTATTCAAAGGTTATAGAATTATATAACATCAGCATCTGCGCTATCCTTCTTGTCCATACTATATATCTTTTCATTTTCATAATAAACTTTTAATTTTGGCCTCAGCATTGCATCTCCAACAGCCCGAAAATAAGTCCTGATGCCAGCTTACGAGGAACAGGGGGTTAACAATAACCAAACCTTCCCAACTGATCTCCACTTGTCTTCATCAATGCTGTAATTGTTTTTCTTAATCCCTCCAAGCAGAGATAAAGCTTTTTATATATTAAACGTTTGTTTGTTTGTTTGTTTTTATTCAAGGGTTATAGAATTATATAACATCAGCATCTGCGCTATCCTTCTTGTCCATACTATATATCTTTTCATTTTCATAATAAACTTTTAATTTTGGCTTCAACATTGCATCTCCAACAGCCCGAAAATAAGTCCTGATGCCAGCTTACGAGGAACAGGGGGTTAAAAATAACCAAACCTTCCCAACCTATCTCCACTTGTCTTCATCAACGCTGTAATTGTATTTCTTAATCCCTCCAAGCAGAGATAAAGCTTACAATCTCTTGTAAGCCAGTTAAACTGTTTAAGAGAGTCGACATGTCCATCTCTGGAGATATCCGTTTCAGTCCTTTTCTTTCCTCTTCAAGCAAAGGACACTCAACTAAAATGTGATGAACTGTTTCCAGCTCTCCACATTTGCAGTTGTAACTATCCTTTTCAATTCCAAACTTTTTAAACCATTTATATATTAAACTGTTTGTTTGTTTGTTTTTATTCAAGGGTTATAGAACTATATAACATCAGCATCTGCGCTATCCTTTTTATTGTCTGACTATGTGACTTGCCGGTTTTCATTTGTACCTTTTTAGTACGGGTGGTTTCTGTTCTGTGCGTCTCCGGTAGCCCGGAAGATGGGCCCTGATGCCAGCTTACGAGGAACAGGGAGAACCAGTCTGTCGGTCCCAAAACCTTCCCAACCCATTTCCACTTATCTTCACGGACGCCCATGTATTTCTTAATCTCTTCCGCCAGAGATACGGCCCGCAATCACCTGCAGGCTATTTAGACTGTACGGAAGAGTCGGCATTCCTGTAACCAGGGTAGCCTATGGTTTTCAGTCTAGGTGTATACTCCCGTACACATCCTCAGGAAAAGGGGGTATTCTGGGAATCGAACCCAGTATCTTCCGCTATCGAGCGAACGTGTTACCCTTTACACCATCCAGCCCTTTCCCCTTTATATATTAAACTATTAGCTTGGTTCTTTCTTTGGACAATCCGACTTTTGTCTTATACGATAACTCCATTACAAATTCAAAATCATTGGTTCGATGGTCTAGTCGGTTATGGCATCTGCTTAACACGCAGAACGTCCCCAGTTCGATCCTGGGTCGAATCATTTTTTGCATCTTCTACGTTTACCCTTTTTTATTTTTGATAAATATACTTGATTCTTGGATTTTTTTTATGTTTTTTGAGAACTTGATTTTGAGTTGTGTTGGGAAGAGAGCAATGTTTTTAAAGACTAAAAAAAAAATCAATTTTTATTAAAATATAATTTACGTAATTGATGATTAATTGATTGAACATTACTCTTCAAGTTTATCGTATTGTAATAATAATAACGATAAAGTTGGTATAAAATACCTTTGGAGTTATTTTTATTTAGGGCAAATTCTACAAGATTACCAATTATTAATTTCACCTGTCTTTTCTCTTTTTCTTCAGTTTTATTCAACCTGTATAAATTGTACATTTTTTAGGGTGAACCCCCAAAAAATTCATGGAAATTATCACAGGAAAGCATATAGTTCTCTTTTAGCTCTCATAAATGCAATCATCGTTCTAACCCATAATTAAACAACAGAGCCTAGATGTGAGCGTAGCGAGCCACCATTTTTTAAAAACAAATGTCAACACCAATACTAACATCATTCTTGAATAACTGAGCCTGAGCCTGAGCTTGAGCTTAATCACTTTGATGGCTTAGATTCCTACTTATCTTAGCTTTCTTTTATATATATATATATATTGCCAACAGCACTATTACATAATTGCGAATAGCAGTAATATTTGATTGTGAATAGCAGTAATACCTAATTACAAATAGCAGTTACGAATAGCAGTAATATTTAATTACAAAAAGCAGTAACACTTGATTACAAATTATAGTAGCACGGGTATAACTTGTATCTCATAATCTCAAAAAGGCTGTTTTTTTTTTAAACAAAACCAGTTTCAAAATTTAGTAATAATTTGGGGTATTTCCAAAAAATTTTTCAATCAGATTACCTAATATTTACTAAATGTTAGACATCTTATATACTGGTTATAACTTCTTCAGTCTCTAATTTAGACCATTGAAAATCATGATCATCAATCTCAAATTTCATATGAAGTCCATACCTAATTTCAGGTAATACCATTTTTCATATTTATTCTTTTTTTTTTATATATTAGTGGCAAAAACTCGTTTTTATTTTCAAATTTGTAGTATAATGACATTGATGCCTTTTGGATCAATTTATACTTAAAAAATACACCAAAAATCGTCTCCTTCCAAACCAGACAAATATTTATTCAGCTGCTTAGTATTCAGTTTGCACATACTATTTTCTAAATCATTATTTTTGACTTTTGTAATTTTTTTTCCGTTTAATGGGTAAAATAAGTTGACTTAAACAAGTTTTAAAATTTATATTTGCTTAGTCATTATAAAATAAAGACATTAAATTAAAGTTATAATTTTAATATTATAAGTCACGTGGGCGTCTGGTGTAGTTGGCTATCACGTTCGCTTAGCATGCGAAAGGTCCCCGGTTCAACTCCGGTGTCGTCCATTATCTTTTTTTTTTTTGTTTGGTAAAAAAGTCAAGAAGTTTCACTACCACCACCAGTACAGCACAGTAGAATAGATATTCCAGAAAAGGAAACCAAGTCTACTTTAAGATCAAAAATAAGAACGATTTGATACAAGTAGTGCCAATGGGGCAGGGGAAAATAGTTATATCGTTAGATTTAAATTATTTTTGAAATAAGTGCAGAGAAAATGTGGACTGTTTAAAAATTGGTAATAAGAATTTTTTAAAAAGCTTTCAGTAGTAGATGAGAGCAAGATTTTTTCTGTGGGTAAATAATCGATGATAATGAATTTGAAAAGAAAAGGATACTGATGAAGGGTCATGGAATTTTTGATTTAAAGAGGTGAAGAAGTGATATTTTTGAAATAATCTTGGGATGAGTTTTGGGCATCAAATATATACATATATGTAAAGTGAAAAAAAAAACTTGCTTAATTGTACCAAAGTTTGTATTAAAGATTCTAAGTAGGCGTTGAATTGACCATCTTTTAATTCTAAAGAAATGTAGTTGAGAGTTTGGTTAGAGAAAATTGACATAAGGGGGGTCAGTAAGATCAACTTTTTTTATGAGAAAATATTGCAATTGTGGTAAGATTTTCAAAGGTATTTTTCCTAAAAGATTTTGAATGTATAAGTTTAATTATTAAATCAATAATGTTATCCATATTTTTAATTAAAAATGATTCTATTTAAAATCTAAAAAGTTCGATTTAGGTTAAATTAGGGAAAGAGATATGAGAAATATGTGTATTAAAGATTTCATTGTGAAAAAAGAAATTTATTGTTGATACCTCAAATAAAATAGTTTTTTAAATTTTGGGAAGTTTTCAAATTTTCTAGACAAATGAATTTTGTATTAATAGCTTTTAATCTTGGTGATGGTTTGCAAACTGTAAAATAAATTGTTTGATTGATGATGGAAAGGGTGATTTAAGAACATTTAAGTAAGGAATAAAAAGAAAGCAGGTTTCCATAGGATCAAAAAAAAAAAAAAAAAAAAAAAAAATAGGGACTATAACGTTTAAAGATTTGAGAATGATGAAACATAAAATATGAATGGATTTTGATTCTAGTTTTAATAACATTCTTGTAATCAATGATAGAGTGTAAAATAAGTTTTCTGAAAATAAAACCAAATGATGGATTGGATAATGTTCTCTATTTGGGTCTGATAATAAAATGCTTTGGTCAAATATGTCATCCCTGTCTTCAATGGTTAAGCAGAAATGAGGAATTTTAAACCAATGATAGGGAATATTGATATATTTAAGGTTGGGGTAATATTTTTGGATCAAAGTATTTTTCATCCCAAGCATTTGTAATGTGTGAGTGAAAATAAGCATATAGCTTCTTTATCTACTCAAATATGTTTAATAAACTCATTAACCAATTACATTTTGATGGGTTCAAGAAAGTGAGGATAATAAGGTTATGGTAGTTCGTAACGACAGAGTCTTTCAAAGTCTTTTAAATGACATAAATGTATTCCCAATTAGTAAGTGTAAATGTTGCGTAGATCCTGGGAGGTTTTTGAGAGAACATCAATAGCTATAGAAGGTAAATATCTTGTAAATTTTAAGCGAAAATATGTTTCAAGAGATTGTAAAGTTTAATGTCATTTGAGAAAACGAAATAGTAGAATAATAAGTGAGTTCAAGTAAAAGGATAAATAAGTTTGAAGGGAGAAAAAAAAAATATTAAACAATGATTAAGAATATTTATAAGTTTACAGTAGTCTAACTTTGTTTAGTAGCTTTTAAGCAAATATTGATAGAGTTTATATGGTCATTATAAATTTATTTTTATGAACAAAGCCAGGAGTTTCTTGGCGTGATTGTTTGTTAGATTGTCTAAATAGATATCTATCAATCGATTGATATATATTTGAGCGGTCTAAGTATTTTTATAAGTATGTTTGTAAGTATGGAGAGGAAAGAAAGGATTAGGTAATACAGGAAATACAGGTAAATTTAAAGTGATTTTAAAGTTTTAGATAATCAACATGCCATCAATTAGGTTGAATGAAATAATTGAGAGACTCAGAAAGTGTTTCGGGACTTGAAGGAAGTAAAAAAGGTGCCGTAGGAGAGAAAATTAAAAAAAAAAAGGAATTGAGATGAATAAATGGATGGTAAAAATGTTTGGAAATAGTAATAGTTTAATTGAATTATTTTAATTAATCAAAATCAATATATTAATATATTTAAAATGGAATAATATTTGTTTTAAAATTCAACTAGATAGTTGATTTTAAAGAAACAGTATTATTTATTTACATTTTAAACTTTTTTTTTTGTTTTCTTATTATGGTAGATATCATTTGTAAATAGATATAAAAACAAAATTTTTATAATAAATTCTATATAATTTTTTTTTAATACTCAGATGAGCAATGTTTTAAGTTTAAATTTTGTTGTTTTATGGAAGAGAACAGAAGAGAGATGAGTTAAGACGCGTCTTAACATAATGTCGACATTATGTAAAGGGAGTTTATTTTTTTATTTTAATTTTTTTTAAAAAAAAGAGATCAAAGTATTGATGATAAAAGATAAATATGGATCTAAACAGTTTTAAAATAAAAGTAAAACTTTGTTTTAAAAGCTAGCTTTAAAAAAAAAAAAAAAATTAGAATTGGGGAGAGATTAGTACTGGATAATTTAAAGTAGAAGATGAATTGAATTTTTACAAAAAAATATAACTATAATTTTAAAAAATAATTTTTTTTATTTTTACAAAAAATACTTTTATAAGTAATTTTGAAAAAAAATCAAACTTCAATTGTTTTTATTTTTTAATTATTTAAAGAATATAATTCAAACTTCAAAAAAAATAATTTTGTGTAATTTTAAAATGTTATTTTAATATGTTTTTATAGGCCTTTTTTGTCTTAATAACATAAAAACAGGACTCCGTGGCCAAGCTGGTTAAGGCGCACGACTGTTAATCGTGAGATCGTGAGTTCAATCCTCACCGGGGTCGTTAATCTTTATAATTATTATTTAATAATAACATTGATTTTTTAAATATATTTTTTATTTTATTTTTTTTTTAAAATAGATTTGGTGGGGGGAAGAATGGTAGGTTTTGTTTTTTTTTTAATTTCAAAGAGGCCAAAAAAAAAAAAATAAAAATAAATTTTTTTTTTTTCTTTTGTGTTTATTATATAATATATTTTCTTTTTGTAATTATTATTGCGTAATATATACATATATATATATATATATATATATTGCCAGGGGAACAGACAAAACAGGGCTGATTCTTTTTAGTGGTGGAAAATTTCCAAAAATAGTAACCGTTTAATATTATGACTAAGCGTTTAAATAGTTTTGAAATTTTGTCAAGTCAAAAATATAAAAATAAAAAATACAAAAGTTTTTTCTATATTCTATAATAAAATAAAAAATAAAAAATAAAAAATAAAGATAAATTCATTTGATGCTGCTTTTTATATTGAAGTTTACGTGATATTTTATATTTATTTGCTAAGAAGAAAGAATGAAAGAATGAAATAGTTTTTTTTTTGTTTGTTAAGAATAGTAAAGAATAAAAAAGAATATATATATATATATATATTTTAAAAAAAAAAAAAAAAAAAAAAAGAAGAGCCTTCTCCCCATTGTATAAAAAAGTTTTTATATGTATATTTATATAGAATTTTTATTATGGATGTTTTTAGCAATTCACCATTTGGGATAATAATAATAATAATAATAATTATTATGTCCATACCTTTGAAATGGCGTTTCTCAAGGGAGGAATCATTATTAACATAAATAATAATAATAATAATAATAATAATAATAATAATAATAATAATAATAATAATAATAATAATAATAATAATAATAATAATAATAATAATAATAATAATAATAATAATAATAATAATAAAATTGAAATGCTTTTGAATATGATTTTTTATTTTTTTATTTTATTTTATTTAATTTTTTTTTTTTTTACAATTCGTCATGAAAATGGATTTCTCCGTCATATTAAAAAAAATTTTTTTTTTTTATTTTAATGTGCTAGAGAGAGAGAAAAAAAAAAAAAAAAAAAAAAAAAAAAAAAAGCGTGAGATGAAAATATTAAATTTGATTGGTTTAATTAATTTTTTTTAAAAAAAAAAAAAAAAAGTGGTAAGGTATGTTTATTTTTTTTTTTGTATATATGAGAGAAAAAAAAAAAGGAAAAACTTTTAATGATCTTAGAATTTATTTCAATTCAATTCAATTCAATTATAATTTTATTATACTTATAATTATATATTTAAATGATTGAGAAATCCTTGGATCTTAAAAAAAGGAGTTCAAAGGGATATGATAATCAAGGACTTAAGGGGTCTTTTAAAAAAAAACTCTTTTTTTTAGAAAACCTTCTTTTAAACTAATATCGTCGTCAATCTTGTTTTTTTTTTTTTTTTCAAAATTAAAATCAAAATCAAAATAAATAAAATATTAAAAAAATAAATAAACAAGATTTCCTCTTTGGAATTTTATTTTTTTTATATATATATAAATTGTATTCCCAAATAAAAGAATTGTTTTCATTATCCCCCACATTTCTAAGCCACCAATAATTAGTCTATTAAAAACGGGCTAAAGTAAAAAGAAGAAGAAAAAAAAATTTTTATTAAATTTTTTTTTATTATCATTATAAATTAGTATTAAAAATAAATAAATAAGTGTATAGAAAACAAAAAAAACTGTTTATATATGGTTTAATATACTCTGTATATGGGGTGATTTATTTTATTTTTTTTTTTAAAAAAACGTCGTTACTCATTAAATATACAAAAAAACTTGTGCTAGGGGGAATGGTTTCAAGGCATTTAGAGAGCCATGAAGATGGCAGCAGAAATACCACCAGCAAGGACAAGAGAAGAGTAAGAGACAAAAGAAGCACCATTGGTGGCAACAGAAGAGGAGGCAGCAGCAGAGCCAGAAGCAGAGTGGGAAGCTGAGGCAGACTTGGAAGCAGAAGCAGAAGCTGAGGCAGACTTGGAAGCAGAAGCAGAAGCAGACTCAGAAGCAGATTCAGAGCCAGTGGCAGAAGCAGATTCAGAGCCAGAGCCAGAAGCAGACTTAGAGGCAGAGCCAGTCTTGGTAGTAGTGGCAATAGTAGAGTTGGCAAAGGAAGAGGCAATGGCAGAAGAAGTCTGTTCCTCAGAAGAAGTAGCAGCAACAGAGGTGGTTGCAATGACAGTAGAGTTGACTGCAGCGGAAGCAGAGGAAGAGACAGCGGAAGACTCAGCGGAAGACTCAGCGGAGGACTCAGCGGAAGACTCAGCGGAGGACTCAGCGGAGGACTCAGCAGAGGACTCAGCAGATGCGGAAGCAGAAGCAGAGGCGGAGGCGGAGGCAGAGGCGGAGGCAGAGGCGGAGGCGGAAGACTCAGCAGAGGACTCAGCAGAAGAAGCAGCGGAAGAAGCAGACTTGGAAGCAGAGGCAGAGGCAGAGGCAGAGGCAGAGGCAGAGGCAGACTTGGAAGCAGAAGAAGAAGAGACAACAGTAGAGGAAGCGACAGAAGAGGTAGAAGAGGGGGTCACACCATCAATGGCGAAGAAGGGAGAGTAGTTAATGTCACCAGAAGCGTCGTCAACAATTTCGAGAGCATAGTCAGAGCCAGTGACAAGGTCATCGGGGAGGTGCCATCTGACGGCACCATTGTTAGCGAGAGAGGAGGCAATGGTGAGAGCGGTTTGAAGATTGTCAGCACTTCCCTTCTTGAGGAGGAGGTCGACAGTATCACCAGCGCCAGTATTGTTCCAACGGATAATGTACTCACCGCCGGCAGTGAGGGTTTCATTGCCGAGAGGAGCGGTGAAAGAGTTAAGGGCGAAGACCGAAGAGACGGCAGTAGCGAGAGCAATGGCGAAGAACTTCATTGTGATTAATTTTATTATTATTAAAAAATAATTGTATATATATCAAGCGAGTGTATATAGTTAAATTGAATTAGATTAAATATATATATATATAGAGAAAAAAAGGAAAAAAGAGAAAAGAGAGAAAAAAAAAAAAAAAAAGAAGAAAAGAAAAGAGAGAGGAAAGGGGAAGGTTTTTATATTTTATTTATATTTTATTTATATTTATATATACACAATAATAATAAGGAGGAAGATTTGTTTATATTTTTGTAATTATTAGGAGCGTCTGGAATTGGGTAAATATTTAATAGTAGTAATATAGTAATAATAATGATATTTAGTCCCACACACACATATTTGTTTAAAAAAAATAAAAAAAAGGGCCTTTTTTGTACAAACACACAAAATAAAACTGAATTTTTTTTTTTTTTTTTTTATTTTTTATATTTTTTTTATTTTTATTATTTTTATTTTTATTTTTATTTATTTTATTTTATATTTTATTTATTTTAAGGCTGCTGGTGTTGTTGTTGTTGTTATTGTTGAAAGAGAACCGTTTTGGGATGTTTTGGTTGAGGCGGTTTGTAGGAGGAGATGGAAATTCTTTAAAAAAAAAAAAAAAAAAAAAAAAAAAATTGTGGAATGTAAAAAAAAAAAAAATAAATAAAAAATGAAATAGAAAGCTTACGTAATTACACGTGGGGAATTCTAAAAATAGAACAGGGAGAAAAATAAAAATTAAGAAAAAAAAATAGTTTGCAACAGGTTATGTTTTTTTATTTTATTTTTTTTAAAGATGCAACAAGGTCTACTTGTTGCAAAAAAATATATTTCATTACATTTTTATTTATGTAACAATGGGTTAGGGTATTAATTTTTTTTTAGGTTTACCCTAACCTCGACTTTATTTTATTTTTTAATTTATTTTTTTTTATTTTATTTTTTTTTTTTTTCTATTTTGAAATTCCTCCACAACCACCACCATAAAAATTAAAAAAATTAAAAAAAAATCACCAACTTGGCCTTTTCTATAAACTCACATCACACTTCTTCTTTTTCTTCTTCATTTTTTTTTTTTTTTTTCATTCCAAATGGCCACAGGAACATCAATCTTTTAAAAAAAAAAAAATAAATAAAAAAATAAACATATAAAATCTTTTTCATTTTTTTTTTTTTTCTTCTTTCTTTTTTATCTTTCTTTCTTCTTCTTCTTCTTCTTTTTATTTACCTTATTCATCATCATCATTAACATTTTATTTTATTTTCTCTTTCATTTAATTTGAATTCTTATTTTGTTTCAAGTTTAGTTTCTTCTTGTTTTCTACTCATTTTTCATTTATCATCATAATCATTATTGATTTAGCATTTTTAACTTATAAATCATCATCATCATTCAATCAATCAATTAATATTATTAAAGCATTTAACAATATTAATTTTTTTTTTTAAAAAAAAAAACCTTTAAAATTTAAAATTTAAAAAAAAAAAACTCACAACAAACAATATTAATATTAATCTATATTAATATATTAAAAAAAAAAACACTCTTTAAATTTTTATAAAAATGCAATCAAACCAAAATACAAACAATAATAGAACTGCAAGAGGTGGCCGCAATATTCACATTGCTCACCGTAGGTCTCCTTCAGAACTTACGCCTCTTATGGGTATGTACTTAAACTATAATAACTTATATATATCTTATTACTCCTTTCTAACATAAAATATTAAAAAAAATCCTCAAGTCGAACAATTGGCTCTTCAACAACAAATTGAAATGCTTCAAGCTCATCAACAACAAATGCTTGCACAACATCAACAATTCGCTCAAGCCGGACTCTTACCTCCTCCTCAACCAGGACTTTTACCTCCTCAACCTCCTCCATTAATGGCTCATCACCATCCTTACCTTCCTGTCCCAGCGCCACCCCCACAGTCATATTACCAACAGCATCAACAACAATCACAATCACAATCACAACAACTACAAATACAACCTCCTCAATCCCCTTCTGGCCCAAGCTCAATGGGTTCTACCTTAAATTCTTCTCCTTCCCATCGTAGAGCTCAATCCTCTACAAACTACCACCATTCTTCTTCTTCTCCTTCTTCTTCTTCTTCTCTAGGACCTCCCCTTGGCTCAAATGGTGAATCCTCCTCTCCCTCCTCCTCCTCAAATACAAGACAATCCAATCATGCTCACTCAAACAGTGGCTCGGGACATAACCGACGCCACTCACTCGCTCTATCTGAAGCTAAAAAGGCTGCCGCTGAAGCCCAAGCTAAACGTTCCGCATCTCCTTCCGAAAATACTGCTGCTGGACCTTCTTCTCCTCTTCGTGATTCTTCTTCTTCTTCTTCCTCTTCCTCCTCCACTACTGCTACCTCTGCAAATACCTCCTCTCCTCCTCAAATCCCTTCATTTAAATTCCCAAATACCCCAGAAAAGGATTCTTCTTCTTCTTCTCCTTCAATTTCTCCTCAGAAATCTCACGCTCGTTCTCAAAGTCTTCAATTCCAAAATAGATCCTCCCACTACCGCGGAAATTCTCAACAACTTCCCTTTCAATTCCCCGCAAATGGATCTCCTGAATCTTCCCTAGATTATAATAATAATAATAATAATAATAATAACCGCCGTAATCACAATAACCATAATCGCTCAAATTCTCGCAACTTTGAAGCAAACTGGCGCCAACCTTTACCTCAGCAGCAGCAACAGCAGCAGCAACAGCAGCAGCAACAACAACAAAATGACTTTCTTAGCCCTTCTTCTCCTAGTCAATTCACCCCAGGTCATCGTTCAGGTCGCTCTTTTAACAATAATTCAATTTCTTCTATCCAAGCATTTGCCCTTTACCCACCTTCAAATATGCAACCCCAAGGTGGCAATAATAATAACCAGGGTTCTCAACAACAGCAACAACGAAAATCTCTCTTTGCTCCTTACCTCCCACAAGCTTCCCTTCCTGGTCTTTTGGCCGAAGGCCGTCTAGTCTCTGGTATTTTAAGAGTTAATAAGAAAAATAGATCTGACGCCTATGTCTCCACTGATGGCCTCCTAGATGCTGATATCTTTATTTGTGGCTCAAAAGATCGTAACCGTGCTCTCGAAGGTGATCTTGTTGCCGTCGAACTTCTTGAGGTGGATGAAGTCTGGGGGTCTAAAAAGGAAAAGGAAGAAAAGAAAAAACGCAAGGATGCTGCTGTTTCTGAAGATGGAAACTCCAAGGATGACTTTACTTCATCCTCCAACACTACAACCTCCAATACCTCAAACTCAACTGGACTTCGTCGCCGTGGCTCCCTCAAACAAAGACCTACCCAAAAGAAAAATGACGACGTGGAAGTTGAGGGCCAAAGCTTATTGCTTGTTGAAGAAGAGGCTCTCAGCGATGAAATCAAACCTTTATATGCTGGTCATATTGTCGCCGTCATTGACAGATTCCCCGGCCAAATGTTTAGCGGCACTCTTGGACTCCTCCGACCTTCTTCTCAAGCCACAAAGGACAAGCAAGATGCCGAGCGTAAAGAACGTGGTAATAATAATAATAATAACCACTATGAAAATAACCACCATCACCATGTCAATAAACCTAAAATTGTCTGGTTTAAACCTACCGACAAGAGAGTCCCTCTCATTGCCATTCCTACAGAACAGGCTCCAAAAGACTTTGTGGAAAATCATGAAAATTATTCAGATAAAATCTTTGTTGCCTCCATCAAGCGTTGGCCCATCACTTCTCTTCACCCCTTTGGAACTCTCGTTGAAATGCTTGGTTCTGGCGAAGACTTTAACATTGAAATTGAGGCAATTTTGCGTGACAATAACTTCACTGCTAATGTCTTCCCAGAACAAGTTGTTTCTTCTTTGCCTCCTCCTGAAGATGATGAGCTTATTACTGAAGAAGATGTTGAAACTCGCAGAGACTTTACCTCAGAGTTTGTGGTGGCATTCTCTCCATCAGGTAGCGACGATTTGGTTGAACAAGCTGTTCATATTAAAAAACTTAGCGATTCTAAAGTCGAGCTCGGTATCCATATCACCGATCTGACCCATTATTGCTTGGAAAATTCCCCCCTTGACCGTGAGGCAAAGAAGCGTGGTACTTCGGTCTTTTTACAACAGCGTACCGTCCCCATGTTCCCTTCAGAATTTACAAAATATGTGTCTTTTAAGCAATCAAAACGTTCTGCAGCCGTTTCTGTGGTTTTCGAAATGGACCCTAAAACTTGTGAGATTCATGATACTTGGATTGGTGAATCTTTAATCACTCCCTCCAACGTTTTAACTTTTGATTCCGTTTCTAAAATCATTCAAAATGAAGATGAGGAAGAAATTGATGGAATCTCCCAAGCTGAAATGGACTATGTTAAAACCCTTCGCTTTGTCTCAATCATGTTCCGTCAACAACGTTTGGGTCTTGATAAACCTGATTTGCCTATTCTCGGATTACTTAACTATGTCGATGATGAAAACGTTGTGGTTAATTCAAACATTTTCCAAGGAAGTGAGGTCCGCCAGGTTTTGGATGAACTTTGCATCAAGGTTAATACAGCTGTTGCCCAAAAGGTTTTTGCGATTCTCGGTGATAAGGCTCTTTTACGTCGTCATTCAGATCCCATTTTACAAAAAATTGAATCCTTTATTGAAAGTGTTAAAAACCTTAACCTCGACATGGACACTACCTCATCTGCAACTATTCAAAAGAGCATTCTCAATATTGACGACGACGTTGTGCGCAAGGGTCTTGAAGCCCTTCTTTACAAGTGTATGACACGTGCCCGCTACTTTGTTGCCGGCCGTGTCGAGCCTGACAACCATGGACATTACTTTTTAAACGTTCCTCTTTACACCCACTTTACCTCCCCGCTTCGTCGCTATGCTGATTTGGTTGTTCATCGCCAACTCAAGGCTGCCATATCTGGAGCTGACTATACTACTGACATTGCAGATCTTGTCAATGTTGCTGACTCATGTACTTTTAAGAAAGACTGTGCCAAGAATGCCCAGGAACAGTCGATCCACTTGGACGTGTGCCAAAAAATTAACAAGCGTGCTGCTGCCACCGGTCAGCTTGTTATTGACTCAATTATTATCCAGGTTTATGAATCAGCCTTTGATGTGTTGATTCCAGAGTATGGCATTGAGAAGCGTGTGCATGGTGACCAGCTGCCTCTACGTAAAGCCGAGTTTGACAAGAAGACAAGATTACTTGAGCTTTACTGGGAAGGTGGTATTGATTCGGCAACTTATATCCCCGATGATGAAAAGAATGTTACATCGGGCCCCATTACACGTGGCCGTGGCCGTGCCTCGAGTGCCGCATCTGCCTTGGCTCAAGAACAGGCTATGCTTAAAGACGGCCAGATTGATTTGTCAAAGCTGTCGCTCAAGACAGAAGATGAGCTTAAGCAAGATAGTGACAAGGCCGCTGCGACGACCAAAAAGTATGAAGATTCTGGTAAGATTCTTGCACCGTTTTTTGAAAATGTCACCACTCGTATGGACAATGGTGAGCGTGTGCAAGAGATTCGTGTGTTGCAGCATGTGCCTGTTCTTTTGAGAGCCAACTTAGGAAAGAGCATTCCATGCTTGACTGTGCGTGCCCTCAACCCTTTTACTAAATGAAATTCAGGAACATGAGAATTGTATATGCTTTTTTTTTTTTATTTTCTTCTTCTTATTCTTTTTTTTTTTTATTTTTTTGGATCTTTCTTTTATTTTATGAAAACATTAAAAAACAAAAAAAAAATACATATATATAACTGAGTAAAACAAATTTAACTAAAACAAAATGTAAAAAAAAAATAAAAAAAATGTCCAATCTGGGGAAAATTTTTAATCAAATAGGTTACCTTAATTAAAGTTACTAATAACCTTTTTCTTATTTATTTACTAACAGTAACGTATACTTTAGCCACTCCAAAAATAAAAAAAAAATAGACCCCACCACCACCACCAACCACCCTTTTTTCTTCCTTACTTTCTATTTAATTTTTTATTTTTTTATTTATTTCGTCCTCCCCCACAATCATCGATAAATCTCTAAACGCACCACCACCACCATGGCCAACTTATGGAGAGACGCGGTGCCCACGACCACCACAAACTCCTATGTCGGGCCCATTGGGATCGAGACGATAGTGGGGACCTCATCTTTCTCCGGATCTGGTAACGCGGCGTCTACAATAACCACATTCCCGACATCCACGACCACAGCATCCGAGTGTGCCGAGTACTTTGTCCCAGCAGGTTCACTTCTCTTCTACAATACAGATAAACAAGCCATCATGACCATCCAAATTGCATCTAGCGGACTCTACTACCCAGCATGTCGTGCAGCCGAAGATGACAGTACCTATGAAGCTCTTATTGGGTCTTCGTACCTCGTCTATCAAGAACCCTTTTACGGGAGCGTCATCCCTATAGCCTACTCATTAGCAGCAACCACCGTCATGGCCTGGTTGCTGCTCATTCTACTATTCATAGCACAGAAAAAGAGACCATGGTTCCAGAAGTTTGCTACTCTTTTTGTGGCTGTCTCGCTCACCGTGTTTCTCGCACAAGCAACACATGTGCTTGAAAATCAATACTACAAGGGATACCATGATGCCTCCGAGCTACGCACTGCTGTTTTTGGAGGTCTTCCGTTCCGCATCTTGGAAGTCTTTATGACTCTCATTGTGTGGATGGCCCATCTTCAGGTCCTCCTGCGACTCTTTGAGCGGCCTAAAGAACGACGTATCATCCGCATCATTGGAGCCATTTTGGCCATTTGTGATACCCTTCTCTGGTGCCTTGTCAACTTCTTTGTCCCCAACCATTCTCACAATGCTACAATTAAAGATGTCATTCCAGTCCTTGCATACCTTTTCCAAATTACTCTATCGGTAGTCTACGCTCTAGCCGTTGTCATATACTCGGTACGTAAGCGTCGCTTTGCATATTCACATAAAAAACATGACCAGCCTGCAGGGCTCATTGTTGCCATCATCTCCCTTTCAGCAGTGTCTTTGCCCTTGATATTTTTTATCATGGACATTGCACAGTACTGGCTCACCGGATGGTCAGAGTTTATCCGTTGGGTTACAGACATTGCTGCGTCTATTGTGCTATGGGAGTGGGTCGACGTTATTGAAAAGCAAGAACGAGAAGAACAAAAAAATGGCGTGTTAGGTCGCCAGATATTTGAAGAAGATGACCCGGAATTTTACCAAGTACGGTTCGATACTGATGACAAGAAAATAACAGTCATGTCTAAAAAGAAAAAAGACAGTCAAAGAAAACGTTCAGGTGTCGTTAAAAGAAGTGCACCAAGATCTTGGGCACGCAAATTTTCACGCAACAGACAAGAAACAGCTCCTCTATCATCGCCGTCTTTGGATTCCAGTGATGACGATACCGACGATGACGATGGAAGTAATAATTTTGAAATGGTGAGCCTGACACATAGTGGACATAGGCGGCAGCAAAGCTCCGGCAGAAACTCAAGCCCTCATAGTGCAACAAGTAGCCGAACAGTCACTCCATCAATTACAGTCCCCGCGGGGCAGGCCTCGCACGATAATGACGAGACTGGAGAGGTTGATGGAGGGGTACAAGGAACAGCAAATGTTCCAACAGGCACAGAAACTCCTCAGGGAGTACAATCACGCAACTCCAGACCTAAAGAGACAGAAACTCCGAACAAAACAAAGTACGTTTCTGGTGGTGCAATCAATGGTGGCGGGTCGCATAGCGCTACAAGCAAATACTGGCCGTTTTCCATGTTTTTCCGAAATCCGCGCGGGTGGACATTTAGTCGCGCTTCATCAACAGCCAGCTCATCAACATCATACGGAGCACAGGTATACATTCATTCAAACAATAATACTGCTGCTGCTGCTGCTGCTGCTGGTGCTGCTGGTGCTGCTGGTGCTGCTGCTGCTGGTGCTGCTGGTGCTCATCATCATGGACAAATGCACCAGCACCCGCCGACCTTGGCCGTGACGCAGCCCCACGAAGAAGAAAATGTGGCTACACTCGCGCGCAACCATGGACCAGCAGCAGGAATAGCAGGGATGTCGCCAGCACCATCGCCAGATACTCATATGCATTCACACAACCTTCTGCAAACGCATATTGTCCAAACACATCCATACCTCAATTGGCACGATAATGGGTCGTTACCAATGTCGGCTCATGAGCACAATAGTCTTACGAGTGAGGGCGGTTCCGGTATTGCTGGAATGCCTATAGCTACTACAATGAACGCAGCTACACATGGTGGAGTACTTGGTGGAGCAGCAGCAGCAGTAGCCACGTCGTCAGTAACATCATCTGCTTCGCCAATGTCTGTCCGTGCATCACTGGCCCCCTCGCCACTCAGCATGCAATCTTCGTCACCGCTCAGCATAGATGCCGCTGGCGCAAGTGCTGGCGCCAGTATTGTAAGCAACACGGGGACGTCATGCAATGGGGCGAGCACCAGCAGTAGTGGGAATACCAATAATGGAGCAAGTTTAAGCGCAGGTGCTAATGGTCCCAAGATTGTGCAGCCGGGTACGACATCCGACACCATGACGAGGTACGTATACCCGCTGCGTCGCAATGCGAGGTCTACGAAAAGTAATAATGGGGGTGCGGCGACAGCAACAGCTACGGCTACAGCTACAACTACAATTACAACTACTACACCAGCGACAGTTGTGGCCAACACTAGTGCTAGTACGAGTTTCGCGGGGAACGGTGCCGGTGCGGCTGGCGTTGCTAATTTGGCGAACGTTCGAGCTAGTGCTGGGGGTTCACCAGCCGGCAGCGCAAACGGCAACGGCAACAGCGGGCTTGCAAGTGCCCATGAAAGCGTGCACCATTTGCAGCTTCTCCACACAGACCACGGGCCATTACCTGGAATTCGCGAGGGCCAAGTGTTGTCGTCGAGGATGTATACGGGAGCACCACCACCGTTTGAAGGTCATGGAACTATTGGAGGGGCTGCAGGAAGTTCTACAGTCATTGATGAAGCTGACTTTGATGACTACGATGACGATATGTATGTTCCTGTGGGACCTGGCGTGAATGGAAGTTTAGGTGGAGTAGCAGCATCACCATCAGCATCAGTACCTCAGGAAATGCCGCCTGGGTTTGAGCCATTGCCTGGGTTTAGTGCTGAAGATTATTGGGACGATAAAGGTGGCTTCCCGCAATCAGCTTCAATGCCCTCATCGTCGACGGGTCCTGGTAGCAATGCCGGGTCTGGGTCTGGGTCTGGGTCTGGGTCTGGGTCTGGGTCGTCGGCAGGCCGCGATCATTGAGACTAGTAAATTAATGACTGCTGTTGACCATTCATTATTATTTTTTTTAGACAGTATATCTAGTACTTTGTACTTTGTATTATTTATTTATATTCGATTGGATTCTTTCTTGTTCTTCTTGTTCTTTGTTTGATAACAAAAAAAAAATTTAAATTAAAAAAGAAATCTCCAGAATGGCCTCGAAAAATCCTCAAGTTGAGGTTTTTTTTTATTTCGCGCACACAATGTTTTTTTTGTTTTTTTGTAATTTTGCAAGCACCTCAAATCCTCAACTTGAGGTCGAGTGTGCTGGAACTCTCTAGCACTTTCTCTTCACGTGACGTGGGGTTTGGATTTTCGTCAATATAAAAACTCTCCATCCCCCCCGCGAAATTCCTTCAAAACTTTTTTTTTTTATTTGCTCTTTTATCACTTACAGAAACAAAAAAAAAAAAAAAACGCAATTCATATTTTCAACAACAATCACAATGAACAGAATAGTCTCTTCATCAAATGCGCAGAGCCTGGCGCTTAGACGCATGGCAAAGCCATCACTTGCAAGCCTTAGGGCTCCCCTATGTGGTGGCTGCTGCGGAGTCCAGCACCGAACACTGCTCACACAATCTTCTTCAACACCTCTCCAACGCAACAATTCCTCCAACAACAGTCTTCTCAAGCGCAATTCTCTTCTTAAAGCCAGTCCGAACATGCTTGGAGCTTGCCGTTCGTATGCCACTGGTGGTGGAAACAACCCTGGCAACTTTAACTTCCGCATGAACCCGAACCAACAGGGTGCAGAAGCCGAAAAACCCGCACTGGAAGAGTTTGGTGTGGACCTAACACAAATGGCACGCGAAGGTAAACTCGACGCCGTCATTGGACGTGATGAGGAAATCCGTCGAACAATCCAAATTCTCTCCCGTCGTACAAAAAATAACCCAGCACTCATTGGTAACGCCGGTACTGGTAAAACCGCAATCATGGAGGGTCTCGCACAACGCATTGTGCGCGGTGAAGTCCCCGAATCTATGAAGGAAAAGCGCGTTATTGCACTTGACTTGGGATCCCTTATTTCTGGTGCTAAGTTCCGTGGTGACTTTGAGGAGCGCCTTAAGAAGGTCCTGAAGGAAGTCAACGAGGCAGAAGGCAAGGTCATCCTCTTTGTCGACGAACTCCACATTCTCCTGGGTCTTGGTAAGGCCGAGGGTGCTGTCGATGCATCTAACCTGCTCAAGCCCGCGCTGGCCCGCGGTCAGCTCCAGTGCTGTGGTGCTACCACCATTGATGAGTACCGCAAATACATTGAAAAGGACGCCGCGCTGGCCCGCCGCTTCCAAGCCGTCCTTGTAAAGGAGCCCACTGTTCCAGACACCATTTCCATTCTCCGAGGTCTTAAGGAACGTTACGAAGTCCACCATGGTGTCCGTATCACTGATGCTGCTCTCGTTACCTCTGCTGTTTACTCAAACAGATACATTACTGACAGATTTCTTCCAGACAAGGCCATTGATCTTGTTGATGAAGCATGCTCTGCCTTGCGTCTTCAACACGAATCCAAGCCTGATGTCATCCAGCAGCTTGACCGTCAAATCATGACGATCCAGATTGAGCTCGAGTCACTTAAAAAGGAAACCGACCCCATTTCTGTTGAGCGCCGTGAAAAGCTTGAAAAGGACCTCGAACTCAAGAAGGAAGAAGTCCAACGTCTTACTGAAGTCTGGGACAAGGAACGTGAGGGCATTGAAAACATCAAAAAGGCAAAGGTGGATCTCGAGCAGGCCCGTCTTGATTTGGAAATCGCCCAAAGAACTGGTGACTTTGGCAAGGCCTCAGAACTCCAGTATTCTACCATCCCTGAGCTCATCAGCAAAATCCCCAAGGAAACTGCTCCCAATGACGCTAATGGCAACACTCTTCTCCACGACTCTGTCACTTCCGAAGACATTGCCAACGTCGTTTCCCGCATGACTGGTATCCCCACTCAATCGCTCATGAAGGGTGAAAAGGACAAGCTTCTCTACATGGAGGACTCGCTCAAGACCCGCGTTGTTGGTCAGGACGAAGCCATCCACGCCATTTCCGATGCTGTCAGACTCCAGCGTGCCGGTCTTACAAGCGAAAAGCGACCCGTCGGTAGCTTTATGTTTTTGGGTCCTACTGGTACTGGTAAGACAGAGCTCACCAAGGCACTTGCTGAGTTTTTGTTTGACGATGAAGGCGCAGTGGTCCGCTTCGACATGAGTGAGTTCCAAGAACGTCATTCGGTCTCTCGTCTTATTGGCTCACCCCCAGGTTACGTCGGTTATGAGGAATCTGGTGAGCTTACTGAGGCTGTTAAGCGCAAACCTTATGCCGTTGTCTTATTTGACGAGTTTGAAAAGGCTCATCCTGATGTTTCTAAGCTTCTTTTGCAAGTTCTTGACGAGGGTAAGCTTACAGATTCCAAGGGCCAGAAGGTCGATTTCCGCAATACCATTATTGTCATGACCTCCAACATTGGTCAGGAGATTTTGATTGCTGATGAGGAGGTTGACAAGAACGAGTCTGGCCAAGTGTCGGCTCAAACAAAGGAAAAGGTTCTCAACGTCATGAAGCAATATTACCCACCTGAGTTTATCAACCGTTTGGACGATACTATTGTCTTTAACCGTCTCTCCAAGCAGAGTCTACGCAAGATTGTGGACATTCGTCTCGAAGAAGTTCTCGAACGCTTGGCATCACGCCGCATCACCCTCGACGTTTCGCCCGAATCTAAGCAGTGGCTCGCCGATAAGGGTTACGACCCACGCTATGGTGCTCGTCCTCTTAACCGTCTGATCCAAAAGCAGGTCCTCAACCCACTAGCCATGCACCTGATCCAGGGTAAGGTTCGTGCTGGTGAGACCGTTGAGATTGTGGTCGATAAGGATGACCACCTTCAAGTTCTTCCTAACCATGAGGCTGGTCCCGAATCAGAAGGTCCCGAGACCATTGATCACTCTGAGGATTAACTTAACATTCTCTTTTAAATAATTTGTCTTCTCTTTTTTTAATTGTATATAATAATTGTTATTTTTTTTTAATTTAAATTTTATAATAAAGTATATTAAAATCATAGATATTTACAATTCAGGGAGACCCTTGGGAGCTGGAGGCTCAGGAGCACGTGGAAGTGAACTGAGCGAAGCATGAGGTAGCGACTTGTCTGCAATGAGCTCGTCGGCCCACTTGTACTTGTCGCCATATTTTTCCTGTGCCGCAATACGCAATGCCTTGGACGCCTCCATCTTCTTTCTCCAAAGGGCTTCAGCAGGGTCTTGGTCCGGTTCGATCCATTCAAACCCCTCGCCGCCACGGGCCCAGTACTCCTTAATAAGAGTTTCCTGCTCGGCTTCAATGGCCATCATGTGGCGTGCCTGCAGCATTTTCTTAACACGGAAACTAGGCTCGTTTTGGTTTTCAGGAAGTGCACGATCAACTGCAGCAATAGCAGAGGCCATCTTCATTTCCTGTGCATGAGAGTACCAGTATGTGGTCGACGTACCCGGAACCCATTTAATGTATTCACCGGACCCAGACACACGGCCAGCAAATGCAAGGCCACCGAGAATCGTCATACTGCAAAGATACGTTAACACCATGGCAAGTACGCCCGTCGTCGACGTCCACGTACCCACATACCCGGACCGCAGCAGCAAATCAACGCTCGCCAAAACTGTCGACGTCCCGAGGGCCCACCGTGTGCCGTACGCTACCCACTTCCGTCGCACAGCCTTCATGTAGTTCCCTCCAGCTACCGTCGCGTCAATCATCGCAAACGCCTTGTCCAGCTCACCATTATACACAGCTCTGCGGAAAGGAATCATGGCCACAGGTAGCGGGATATATGTGGGGACGACCGACTGGACCGTAAAGCGGCCTTGTTTTAAGCTTGGGAGAGTCTTGTCGTGTTCCAGTAGATTAGTTTCGCGCTTGATGGACACTGCGTTGCTATATTTCTTATTGTATGCCTTCATAATGTCCAGCACGAGATCCGATGTGCTAAAAATCTCTGTCACCTCCTGGGTTTCCTTCTCATCCTTTTGTTTCTGTGCTTCCCAAGTTGACGGTGCATCAACACCTGGCTTGAAGAAGCTCGAGGCCATACGGTAGTCCTTATTTACGAGATCCAAAAACACCGGGCGCAGCACCTGCGGGGCCAGAATCAGGCAATCCAGTGGGGCTGAAAATGACGGGTTCTCCGAATCAACAGCTTCTGTCGACAACACGCGGGCCAGTAACTCTCGCTGTGTCTTTAGCACCTCTGCGTCGCCGAGTCCCAGTCGCCCGGCCGCGTACGTACCGTACCCAACCGTCACTGCTCGTAGCAAGCTTACTGTTTCCACGGCTGTTAGTTGTTTCTGCGATGCCGGTGTTTCCAGGTGAGTTGCGATGCGTGCACGCAGCACTGGTTCTGACAATGGTTGTGCGCAGAAATCAATTTCTGCGGCGTCGTCATTGACAGAACCTTCACTTGGTGGCACTGATGATTCTTGTGACTGCATCAGACGCAGAGTTGTGTGCAAATGGCGCGAAGGCGAGATGGGTCTTGCAAAGATCGGGGCGCTCAGACGCTGGAATAATAACCCCCGGGTAGTAATTTGTGAAGCGGGTCGGCCGCAGATAAGTGCCGTGGCTCTGTTCATATTGAGGAATGTATTGGGAATATCTAACTTGGGTATCTTTTTTAATTGAGTATGAATGTGATATGCAAGCACAAGTGAGTTCTTTTTGGCTGCTGAATAGAAAAAAAAAAAAATAAATAAAAAATTTGGGTGGTTGATGGTTGGTCCACTAAAGATGAATAAAAAAAAATAAATGTTAATGTTAATGCGATAAGTATTTAGCTGCCATAAGGAAAATTTAAGATGTAAGAACAAAAAAAATTTTTATAATGAAAAATTTCACTAAAAAAATCGGGCTCAACCGGGAATTGAACCCGGGACCTCTCGCAAATTGCTTAGAATAACCCTAAGCGAGAATTATACCACTAAACCATCGAGCCTTAAAAATACGTCTAATAGAAGGTATATAAAGTGCCTGGGCCATTTTACAATTTTTTCTAAAATTTGTACGATGATTTGTAAAAAAAAACACGTTTTTGACTTACTGATATTTGAAAACCGGCATTAAAATTGTTTTTGAAATGTTGGAGATGCAATGTTGAAGTTAAATTAAAAGTTTATTATGAAAATGAAGAGATATATAGTAAGGGCAAAAAGGATAGCAGATGCTGATGTTATATAATTCTATAACACTTGAATAAAAACAAAAAGTTCTACTACTTTTGAACATGAACGATAGTTGAAGAATCTTGAGTAATATTTTTCAGTTTTGCACAGGCTATGGAAATTTTGGCGCATGGTTTAAAAAGTTTGGAATTGAAAAGAATAGTTACAGCTGCAAGTGTGGAGAGCTGGAAACAATTAGACACATTTTTGTTGAGAGTATTTTACTTGAAGAAGAAAGAAAATTATTAAAATGAATATCCCCAGAAATGGGCATGTTGACTCTTTTAAACAGTTTAATTGGCTTACAAGAGATTGTAAGCTTTATCTCTGCTTGGAGGGATTAAGAAATACAGTTACAACGTTGATGAAGACCAGTGGAGATGATTTGGGAAGGTTTGGGACCAACAGTTTGGTTTTTCTGTTCCTAGTAAGCTGTGATCAGGACCCATTTGCTGGGCTACCAGGGGTGCACAGATCAAAATTACATTTACTAAAAAGGTACACCAATAGATAGCAAGTAAACCAAGTTAGGAAATTAAATACCTATGTAAAAAAATTTCTTTTAGAAGTAATACCTCGCCTTGGAACAAAGGTTTTCTCTAATTTTTTTTTTTTTGAAAAATTCATTATATCCATTTAATGCAAAAAAAACTCTTATTTTTTATAGCAAGTACTGCCGAGTTACAAACTAATATAATCCACTTTATAAGGTTAGCCTGTCTTTTCTTTTTTTTTTTAATACTTTAACAAACAATATCGGATGAAAGAACAGTTGCTGAAAAATCATTAAATTTGGATGAATTGATTGTACTATTATTCTTCATGATCAGAGATCACTTGTTCTTGGGTACAGGGTACAAAGTACTTTTTACCGGCTAAAGAGATGAATGTGTAAAGATACATATGGCTATTTTTTTTGTGCATGAATATCTTCAACCTTTTAAGGCCTATGATAAAAATAAAATCAACAAACCCCGTAGCAAGCCAGTCCAAATTTAGTAAGATGTCTAAAAAATGCTTTAATTCAATATCATCAAAAATTCAAACTGATTTTTTTTTGAGAAGTTTTTCAAACAATTTTTTTTAAAAAAAAGAAAAACTAAATACGATCATAATAATAAAAATAAAACATTTTTTTTATTTTTTTTCATTACTTTTATAGACTTATATTTAGGACACATTTCATAATATTGCCTTTTAATATGAGCTTATTAAAAAAGAAACAAACATTAATACCTTTTTTTTTATTTTTTTCAAATATTGAGTATTAAAATGAATTAAACTGAATCCTGGACCCTTACCTGCACTTTTTACCGAGCATTTAGGGTACTGACCTTAACAAGAGACGACATCAGAAAATCCTGGTGTCTGATCGCAATCCGCTATGCAACAGGGCAGGAAGATATGTCCATATTACCAAGCTATAGAGGTATTTTTGTCGAGATATGCTATTTCTCAAAAAAAAAAAAAAATAAAGGTCATGATCCCGAAGGATAATTATCCTTATAAAATGTATTTTTTATTATAATAATTATTCTAAATTCATATGTACTTAATTGTCAAGTCTCAAGCTACTACTTTTTATTTTAAATACATATTAGGAAGAAGCAACAGAAACATTTACGGGGGTTTAAATATTTTCAAATATTCATGAAATGCTTTTGATTTCCTTTTTTGCTTGAATGTATGAAATTAATAAAAAAGAAAAAAAAAGTACTAAACTAGGAAACAATATCCAGATTGAAGCATTTAAATCGTACCATAATGAACTGGCAACGTAAACATATCTAAAGAAGTAAGGTACATTAATTAGAACAAAGTATTCAGGTGCATATACTAATGAATTACAAAGTTTAATCGGCTGAACCAAAAGCTTTTAAGTATTACATTTTTTTATATCATTTTATTTTTTATAAAGTCATTTTTATTTGAAAAAAGGATTGAGGTATTGTTCTTTATTGGGAAAATTGTGATAAGATATAATTCTACGAGCAATAGTAAACTTTTACAATCATTTATAATTATATTTTTGCTTAAAAACTACTGCCAATTAATTTCATTATCATATGGAAATATAGATGTTTAACCGGCTCAAAATACGGTCTAAATTTAAAAACTTGAATATGCTTACAGTGCTTATATCTTACGCAACTTTGAGACAAAATACTAATAGTTACTTATTCAGCCCAATATTTTTTTTACTTTACTTCACAAATAATCTTTTGAAATGTAAATTGAGAGTTATAAATTATCTTTAAATAGTATTATTCTTGATACCTAATTTAATATCACTACATTATCTCTTACTCAACAGTATTTGAATAAACTTATCACACTTTACAACATCAAAAAAATAACCTTCAAAATATGCTTAACTAAAAAATTTTCACCTATGTTTATGGAGAAATTAAAAAATTAGTCTGAAAACAATTGAACTCAATGTTAAGGGTTCTGTAGACTTATAAGTTGCAACAATAATCGGCATTTGAGTAGAGTTGTTGTTTTTATTCTCTTTATTTTTTTGGTTGCAACGACACCAGACGGGAGCTTTTAAATCCAGTTGATAACTCAAGTAGCTGGCAGGAATAACCGGGCCTTTAAATTGAACTTAAGAATGAAATATAATATACAGTGAAACAGTAACGGGTTAACGCTGGTATAATAGTTATTACTACAATATTCCAAAATTTTTATTGTTTTTTTTCTAATATTTGCTAATATCGATATTGATATTGATATTGATATTGATATTGATATTGATATTGTTTTACTTTTACTTTTACTTTTTTTTTTTTTTTTTTTTTGAAAAAAAGGTTTTTATTCCGAAAATTTGCCTACCTGACGTTACCTCTAAAGAAGAAGCTAAACAGACTAAGACTTGAGGGGTTATTGAATAAATAGATAAAGAAAAATTCATATTGATTATAAAAATATTAATAATAGATTACATCATCAATACAATCAAAATCTTTTGTTGTAGATGCGTTATGTGACTTGTCCATTCGCCATTCAAGCAATATATTGAAAGAATGGGCATTTTGTCAATACAGACTTAGTTGAGTAGATAAAGTGTTTTAATTTGCTTAATTCAATTTATAATTAACTTATAATAACTAAATTAACAAAATATCAATATCAATATCAATATCAACTGGAGACATTACCCGTTTTTGGTTTTTTTTAAGCAGTTATTTACATCAACAGTATATTAATACAATTATAATCTAAAATTATCTCTAAACAAATTAGATACCATTTTAAATATGCTTGCTAGAAGCGTATATTAATATCATTCTAATGCTATCACTGAACTCATCACCCCTATATATTTCTTAAACAGCAAAAAATACGTTACTAAAACATTTAAATTAATGGGAATACCAAGTACTGAGATTTTAATAATATGAATATACATGAATTAAAATGATCACTAAATGTCGCGCCATGAACTACAATTAATATCCTAATCTGTGATTAAAACAGCTACATATTTCGTCTCATAAAGCAATTTTATTCAAGAAAATTTATTTTCCTGTTTTCGAAAATTTTAAATCAATGAAAGTTAAATTTTTATATAAAAAAACAAAATTAAATTAAATCTATTACACCCATACCTTGTTTTCATGATATCTGAGGGTTTAGTATAATACTCTTTTATTTCTGATATAGTTATTGTAACATTTTTTTTTACTGGTCTTTTGCTTTTGTTTGAATCATATAAAACTACACTTAATCAATGTGTATTTTAGAAGTTTACATTCTTAATTAATGTAAATTTGTATAAGAATTTATGTATTTGCTATTCAATGATGCCTCATAGAAGCTTTAACTAATTCCAATACCTAAAACTTTTATTTTAAAAAATGACCAAAGGTACAATTAACTGCTTCCATATATATATATATATTTGAAATAGCCAGTTATACGTTGTGAAGAAGGACAGTACTGTGTCCAGGTAAAATTTGGGGAAAAGACTCCTGTTTCTAGCTCATCATAAATGACATAATGCGAGCAAGACTCAGATTTATAGATATGCCGCAAAATTCATATTTGTGATCAATTAAAACAAAAATCTATGCTTCATATCATTAAAATGAGCAAATACTCTTAAGTAAAGATATAATATACATAGTAATAACAGACATCCTTTCATCAGAATTTATGTGCAAAGGAAATTTTACATAATAATGCCAGCTGTGAGTGCAACAAGCTAGAAAAATTTGAAACCAAAGCCTACATTTAACTAAATTTAGTTAGATTTATAAATCCATTTGCTCAAGGACGACCTATAACGTAAAGATTATCTATAAGAAACTTTTTTAACAAACCTTTGCTTTTTGTAATTGTAATCACACACTGATGAATTTTATTTTTTCATTTTTTTAAGAGTGATACCATAGGAAAAACAATACAGGTATTTTAATATAGTATCGAACAATGTTATATCAATTGAAAAAATTTCAAAACTTAAGTTTTATATTTTATTTCTATGGACATAGAGAAATAAAAGCAAGATGGACTACCATAACTTTAATTAATTTTAAAGGTTTATTTTGCAGCTTGTTGAAATAAAGAATTCCGTTATATGAATCAAACATATTTAAAAATGCTTATTACATATTTTCAAATTCTCAGAATTTCTTTTTACGATTAACATTAACTTTCAAATAAAATATTCTGATATGCTCATTTGTACACTTATTAAACGATAGACTAGTATTATTTCGAAATTAGTATATTATATTGTTTTTTTTGTCTTTGTGCTTTTTAATATTATTCTTAAAAAATTGCTATCTGATTTTATTTCACTTCAATTTTTCGCATTTATTCTTTTTAATAACAGGATCAATTATATTCACAAACCTCAAATTGGAAAAGAATTCGGTTGAAATGCTAACCGAATTTGTAGGTTTTTTTTTTCAAGTATGTTTGCTATGAAAAATTTTTTCCTCTTGAAATTTTCCAGATTGGGCTGGATGTTTTTTTTTTTTTTTTTTTTTTTTTGAATGCCTGAGTCCAATATACCGTTAGCTAAGTACATTTTTGTATAAAAGCCTTGTTAAGAGTGGGCATTGGAGAACTTATGATTACCTAACACCGTTAAACTTGGGATGGAACAACATTATTCATAGAAAGCCGAGATTCAGGGGTAAACGTTGAGATGATGTTCCAAAATATGAAGGATTTGAAGTGGAACTTTTAATTGTTTGGTTTAGCCACTTTATAATTTTTTTTTGGTTCGTTTTTGATTCATTGAAGTAAAACAGATAGTATTGGGTTTCTCAAGAAATAGAAATCAATACGTAGATTCTTGGTTGCATGAGAAACCGACTAAATTAAAAATTTCAACAACTTCATCCATGAATAATAGTTTACAAGATACCCGTTTTAATGGAAATCTGAATATTGGACAGAAAATGTGGGTACATCTAAAGTCCAGGTTAGTGAGTGAATATATTGAAGTTATAGATCTAACCATATGAACTGAGAAAATAAATTGAGGAAGAATGTAAGAATCCTTTAAGTCTTATAAGTGTCACAATTCCAATGAACCAGAGTAGTAGATGTGAGTCAAGAAAGATAGGTTGAAATAATAAGATATGTAATGTAAGATTGATAGAGATCCACTTTTTGTTGCTCCTATTTCGGATCCCGAACCGCACTGAGCACTGCATGGCTAGGGCACGAGTCTTTGCCAGAGACGACACTGGAACATCCAGGAGCAATGTGGCTCCGTACTATGTGACAGAGCGGAAGGGCACACCTATAACATCAGGTTATAGCTACGTACCATTGTTGAGGAACATCACTTTTCAACAATTATTTTTCAAAGATCCTTTTAAGCCCTTTAGTTTCCTATCATTTTGAGCTATAAAATATATTATGATTCCACCGATGGACAAATTTGGAGCAACCTCATCGAACTTTTTTTCAAATAAAATAATCCACAATGATGAGTTTGAACCATTCCATAAATTTACAAAAAAAAAAAATATTTTTGACATTATTATTTTAATGTAGAATTCTATAACAGCAAACCGATGAATAAATTAATTAAAGAGAATAAAAGCTTGTCGGACTTTCCTGCAGATATATAAACCAGGAACATGAACGGGTTCTGGATTACCATAGATTTCAAAGTAACCATTGCAAAATCAAATATTTTTAAAGGGATTTGAAAAAAAAGGGAAAAAAATTACATAAGATTTACCAGTTATCCGGAATATGGACATTTTGAAAAAAATCCCCCAAAAAATTTATATAAAATTAAAAAAATATTTAAAAAACCCTTTTAGAAACAGCTTCGATAGAATCTTTTTAAATTTGCTTGCTTGCTTTCTTATTTAGTCGGGTTTATTCAAGGGTTATAAGTATATGATACCAAAATTCATGCTATCCTTATATATTTGTCTAACTTAGGTAATTTGCCGTCTTATTGGTAATTTTTTAGTAAGACTGGCTCTAATCAGTTTTGTCTTTAGTTGCCCTGAAGATGGGTCGCGATGCCAACTTATGAGGAGCAGGGAGAACCAATTTATCGGTCTCAAACCCACCTGAACTAGTTTTTTTTTTTTTATAGAGAGCCCAAGTATTTCTAATCTATTTTAACGTAAATATGTCTTTTAAACGCCTACAAACTACTTATACTAAACCTAAGAGTCAGCTTTCCTGCTAACCAAGATAGCCTGGAGGTTCAATCGAGGTATGTAATCCCTTACACCTCCTCCAAGAAAAGGAAATTATATAAAAATCATATCTAATATTATTTGCAGTTGAATGAACGGTTTATATTTTTAAACTAGCTCTGTTTGTTTGTTTGTTTGTTTTTATTCAAGGGTTATAGAATTATATAACATCAGCATCTGTGCTATCCTTCTTGTCCATACTATATATTTTTTCATTTTGATAATAAACTTTTAATTTTGGCTTCAACATTGCATCTCCAACAGCCCGAAAACAAGTCCTGATGCCAGCTTACGAGGAACAGGGGGTTAAAAATAACCAAACCTTCCCAACCTATCTCCACTTGTCTTCATCAACGCTGTAATTGTATTTCTTAATCCCTCCAAGCAGAGATAAAGCTTACAATCTCTTGTAAGCCAGTTAAACTGTTTAAGAGAGTCGACATGTCCATTTCTGGAGATATCCGTTTCAGTCCTTTTCTTTCCTCTTCAAGCAAAGGACACTCAACTAAAATGTGATGAACTGTTTCCAGCTCTCCACATTTGCAGTTGTAACTATCCTTTTCAACTCCAAACTTTTTAAACCATGCGCCAAAGTTGCCATGGCCTGTGCGAAACTGAGTAATATTACTCAAGATCCTTCGACTATCTTTCTTCATGATCACTCCCGTAACCATTTTGAAAAGATTATCAGTACATTTCAACTCCACTGTGATATAAACTAGCTTGTTTGTTTGTTTGTTTTTATTCAAATATAAACTAGCTCTGTTTGTTTGTTTGTTTTTATTCAAGGGTTATAGAACTATATAACATCAGCATCTGCGCTATCCTTTTATTGTCTGACTATGTGACTTGCCGGTTTTCATTTGTACCTTTTTAGTACGGGTGGTTTCTGTTCTGTGCGTCTCCGGTAGCCCGGAAGATGGGCCCTGATGCCAGCTTACGAGGAACAGGGAGAACCAGTCTGTCGGTCCCAAAACCTTCCCAACCCATTTCCACTTATCTTCACGGACGCCCATGTATTTCTTAATCTCTTCCGTCAGAGATACGGCCCGCAATCACCTGCAGGCTATTTAGACTGTACGGAAGAGTCGGCATTCCTGTAACCAGGGTAGCCTATGGTTTTCAGTCTAGGTGTATACTCCCGTACACATCCTCAGGAAAAGGGGGTATTCTGGGAATCGAACCCAGTATCTTCCGCTTTCGAGCGAACGTGTTATCCTTTACACCATCCAGCCCTTTCCCCTTAAAACTAGCTCTGTTCTGTTTTAAAATCTTTTTATGTAATATCAATTTTCAACTTATACTAAAGTTTTTAACTATTTTCAAGCATTGGCCTTGCTAGCTCAATCGGTAGAGCGTGAGACTCTTATTAAGTGTCATCTCAAGGTTGGGGGTTCGAGCCCCCCGTAGGGCTTTGACTTTTTGCCATTTGTCATTTTTTTTTGATAAAAAAAATGAATATTCTACCCATCAATATGCTTCAAGATTGTTTTTTTTATTTAAATTGTATATATAAGTGTTTGGATAAATTTTCCAATTTTTTTTTTCTTATCCCAAAGTTTAGTTTCATTCTTGCATTATTCGTTAGAGTGTTAATCACGTGCTAAATATAATATTTCAGCCGTAGTGAACGGCTTTTTAGCTGCTCCTTTTTTTTTTTTTTTTGTAAATTCCATTAGGTCTGAGGTTGGAAAGGAAATACAAAAATGTATTTTTTTTTAAAAAAGTTTAGCACAGAGATCTGCAAAATGACTCCAAATATAAAAGAGTACAGTATGTATATATATCTTTGAAAAGAGTCATTCTTTATTTCATTTTCAATCTGGTTTATGTCGTTCTTTTAAGATTCAAATGACTCAGCTATTTAACCATTTCAGTCATATACTCCTCAACTAAACTTTTCTAATCAAAACTTTTTACATTAATCTCTTGATTACTTAATTAACCAAAAATAAAAGGATTTAATTAACGAGTTACTCTAAATTATTAATTAATAGACCTGTTTATGAGCAGTACTCAATAATAAAAAGCAAAAATAATATGACAACTGTGGGATTTGAACCCACGCCTCTTACGAGATCCGAAAACACTGTATTCAGCGAAGCTAACACTTGAGTCGGACGCCTTAGACCAACTCGGCCAAATTGTCAAATTCTTGTAAAGTTTAACATAAGACAAATATTGAAAGTAATAGATTTAAATATATGATTAAATGTTAATTTTTTGGGCATGGAATTTATTTATTTTATTTAGTGAATGTTATAATCAAATTTTATTTTAATAATAAAGTTTGATTATTATATTTTTTGAATGGTTTCGAGGATAAAATGTGGAGGGGTTACTGATAAAATTTTAATAAGTGATCAATAAAAATATTAACATGGAATTGTGAAAATGTGAAATTGAATAACAGCTGATACCACAAACAAATTTAGGCATAAGAAAACAATTTATATACATTTTTTTCATTTATAAATAGATTACTTTAATAATAAAGTACAAAGTTTGTTAATTTTAGTAATTTAAAAAGAAAAAAAAGTATCATTTGAGAAGGTTAAGTCACAACTTTCATAACATTTACTAAAAATAATGTTTTAAACAAGACTAAAAATTTTTTGGTAAAACAATGATGTCAATTTTTAAAAATTATTTAAGATACACAATCAACTTTTATAAAATCATAAGAACTCTAAGCAGCAACTTTGTTAAAGTTTTCATACTGGGTGTTTTCTTCCGCAGTGATCTCACGGTAATATGTAGGAACACCACCGAGGTAGTTCAAAGGACCTGTAATCTTCTTGCCAGGAATGTTGGTACCGTTGTACCAAGAAGTCTTGGCCATGCCAACGAGAGTCTTATTACTGGCTTCAAGAACGTGCTGAGCCCACTCCTCTTCGGCCTCTTCAGTAGGCTGAACATACTTAAGATTGTGCTTGTCAGTGTACTGAATAAGCTTGACAATCCAGTTACTTTGGATCTGAGCGCAGGTAGGTCCGTTAGAGAATGCAGTAGGGCCCTGAGGTCCGTACATAAAGTACATGTTGGGGAAGTCATTGACAGCAACACCAAGGTAGGTGCGAAGACCACCAGTCTCCCACTTGTCGGCAAGGGTTTCGCCATGGATACCACGAATATCCATTTGAGTCAAACCACCAGTAACAGCATCGAAACCAGTGGCAAGAACAATGATGTCAAATTCCTTCTCACCGTTGGCAGTCTTGATTCCCTTTTCGGTGAACTCAAGAATGGGTTCCTGGCGGAGGTCAACAATGTCGACATTGGGCTGGTTGTAGACCTCGTAGTAGGTCTGTTCAAGACAAGGTCTCTTTGAGCAGAAGGGGTTGAGGGCCACAGCAGGTGCAAGCTTTTCAAATAACTCAGGACGAGTAAGACGCTCAAGGGTCTTACGACGCCAGAACTCGTACTGGTACTTATCAGCCTCCAGGTTGCTCCAAACATCATGGAAAGTAGCAACCCAAAAGTGGAAGCCACCGGTGGCCCAGCACTTTTCAAAGTGGGCTTCACGTTCTTCATCAGTAACCTCCAAGGCGCTACGGGGGTCAAAACCAAACTCAAAGCCGGCAGCGCAAGAGTCAGTAAGAGTATGAGCAAAGACCTTGTCATAGTTAGCACGGCGAGCTTCTTGTTCTTCGTGGGTGACTGCACGCTGGTGCATGGGGATAGCAATATTGGGGGTACGTTGGTAGACAGTCAAATCTTCGACAATAGGGCCAACTTCCTGGATGACCTGGACACCAGAAGCACCGGTACCAACGACAGCAACCTTCTTGTTCTTGAAGTCAACATCGTCACCGGGCCATTCGCAAGTGTGGTACATGATACCCTTGTACTTGTCAAGACCATTGAAATCAGGAATGTACTTTTTGGCGGCAAAGCCTGTGCAAACAACCAAGTGTTTAGCAATGAAGGTACCAGCATCTTCACCGTTAGTGGTGACGGTCCACTTGCCAGACTTTTCGTCAAAGTGGCAGGCACTGACAAATGTGTTGAAAGAGTAGTTTTTGGAGATTTGAATCTTTTCGTCGACATGGGCAAAATATTCGTTGAGCTCTTTCCAGCCAGGGAAACGCTCCTTGAAGTCCCAGTCCTTATAGATTTGTTCAAGCCAAAGTTGGTAGACAGGAACATCAGAATCGACACGAGCACCGGGGTACTTGTTCCAGTACCAAATGCCACCGATGAAGGAACCCTTTTCAAAGGAATGGACATTGTAGCCTAGTTCTCTAAGCTGGTAGGTAGTGTAGACGCCGCCGAAGCCGCCGCCGACAACAATAGCATCGTATTCAATTGGAGCCATTTTGAAGTTGAGAGTGTTTATAAAAGTTTTTTTAAAAAATTGAAATTTAATAAGAAGATAAAAAAAAAATAAAATTGATAGAATTAATTGATTAAAAGAATAGAAGAGAGAAAGAAAAAAAAAACAATTGAAAAGGGAGAAAATTGAAGATATTTATACTTTAAAAATAATTAAATAAAAGGATTTGATTCTTTTGGACCTATCTCAAGTTTTTTTTTTTTTTTTTTTTTTTTTTGATCTAGTGCTTAGATCATAGATTTGATTTTGGAGAAGGTTTTTCGTGGGCCATTGAAAATGCTTCATTTTTTTTTATTGAAATACCAGATTAGAAGAAAACATATTCCGGGGGGAATTTGCCAGTTTTCTTTTTTTAGGAAAAATTAAATGGTGGAGAAGCATCGAAACCCTCAGCCGTATGTGTTTATATATATTTTAATTTCATATATGCATTGTTATTATTATTATTATATATTATTATTATTATTATTATTATTATTATTATTATTATTATTATTATTATTATTTTTTGTCAGCCGGAGAGGGGCAGAAAGTAAATTATTAATATTATTAATAGTATTATTATTATTATGCCTTAGAAAAAAAAAAAAAAAAAAACACCCACCCCACTGTTTATTCTTTTACACTTTCATAAAGTTGATTTTTTTATTTCATGTCTTCATTCTAAAAGAATTCAATAAATAGTCAGGCTTTCAACAACCGTATATTTAGATTGTAAATACAGAAATCGTTATAGGGACTCTACATCCGGTAAAAACCACGGACAAACTGTTCACTAATCTTCCTGACTTTTATATATTTTATATAAATGTATATCAAACCCACTATGGAAGTCTGCTGCAGCGTTCCTGGATTTTTTGAAAGTCATCAAAAAAAAAAAAAAGATCCATATTGAAAGTTTAGATTTTAATTTTACAAGCCGGAGGGGTATTCAATCCATTAGAATTATTATATTTGTTATTGTTATTGTTATTATTGTACATTGTTAAAATTAAGTGTTAATAAATGTTAATAGGCTTTCCCCAATTTATGTCTCTTGAAATTGACAAAAAAAAAAAAAAAACCACTTTTGAAATTCAAGCTCCGAATAGGTTCTTTAAATGCTTTAAACCTTTCAATCAAAGCCTATTAATTGTTTTATTGATAATTAATTATAATTGATTCAAAATAATTTGTTAAAAGAATAAAAGAGGGGTGTTTCGTTTTGATATCACCACTTGGTTAGTTGGTTGATCAGTACCGTGGAATAATTGATTGAATTCTTTTTGTTTTATTCAGATCATCATTATCATTATCCTTTGAGCTTTGAAAGAACCTTCGTAATAGAGTAGCTTTAAAGAAATTTCTTGATTATTTCTAAAATAAATCCCTAACCACTACAGATATATTAAAAGTCTCCAACATTGTTTTTTTTTTTCTCCCTTTACTGATTTTTATTTGTTAGCAAATTTAAAACCCTAACCACAATATATTGCATAAAATGTGTTCCACGGCTTACAACATTTATTTTTTTTTTTTTAAATTTTTTTTTTCAGACATCAACTAACAAAACACCACACATAACAAAATCTTCCCAATTAACACAAAAACTCAAAACAAAAAATTTTAAGTGAAACACATTAATAAAAAGTTGCAAAAAATTACAAAAAGATATGATTCGACCCAGGATCGAACTGGGGACGTTCTGCGTGTTAAGCAGATGCCATGACCAACTAGACCATCGAACCCTAATCCTGAAAAAATAGATTGCGTTAACAGTTTGAAAACATACATACTCTGAAGTCACATGATTAGCTGACAGAATACTTTTACACTCCTCCAGGAGACGATGGAATTACTGGCAAAGTTTTAAAGATGGCATGGCTGAATAAAGACTTTAAGGAAAGGTTTTTCAAGCTTCTCCAAGCTTGTGTGAAGTTTGGATACCACCCAAAAGTCTGGAGACATGGCATTATTGTTGTTATACCTAAACCTAAGAAACCTGACTATTCAAAGCCAAGAGCATACCGACCAATTTCCTTACTTAAGATTCCATCTAAAGTACTGGAAAAAATTATACAAAAAAGAATGACCAAGCTTACAACACACTTACTTCCACCAGAGCAATATGGGGGAAGACAAGGTTATTGTGCTACTGATGCTGTTTTGGAACTTGTCCAAAGAATTGAAACTAGTAAAGAAAAAATTTCAGCTATGCTCATTGATATTCAAGGAGCTTTTGATAATGTTAACAGAAATATATTGGCACACACAATGGAGGATATGAAACTACCCAAAGCACTTATAAACTGGACGTACCAATTTGTAAGTGAAAGAGAAGCTAGTATGCTCATGGACCGAAGAAAGGATCAGTGCAAAAATTAGTACTGGAATTCCGCAAGGCTCACCTATTTCACCACTACTTTTTTGATATATTCCACACCAATGTATCATGCCATTAAAGAATGGGGTGGAACTCCTTTTGGCTTTATTGATGATGTGACTATTACCGTTGAAGGTAAAATTGAAGAAAATACCAAAAGCTTAAGCAACATATTAGAAAAATGTTGTAATTGGGCTAAATCAAGAATGACCAAAATTGATTTGGGTGATAAATTGGGTTTTATTCATTTTACAAAAAATGTGAAACCTAAAGATGAGAAAGTGCAACTTACTTTACCTAATGGAGAACTTCGTGAACCCCAGAAGCAAGTTAAATTGCTTGGAATTACTTTGAACAATCTGCTTGATTTTAAATCTCATATTTTGAATAAAATCAATAAAGCAAGAAAAGCTGTTGGTGCTATTTGGCATCTTGGTGGCGTGCAAAAAGGTATGCGAGGGTCTGCAGTCAGATCACTGTATATTGCTTGCGTGAGACCAATTGTCGAATATGGTTTAGAAATTTGGCATCATAAAATCTTGAAAGGAGAAATCCACAAGTTGGAAGTGATGCAGAACATGGCTTTAAGAAGAATTGTTGGTGCTTATCGCACAACTCCTATTGCGGTACTACAAAAGGAAGCTGGTATTATGCCATATAGTATTAGGCTAAAATTTATGGTGGCACGAAAAGCTATTCGTTTACACCTAAATATTAGCAAAACTAATCCTATTAATGGTCATTTGTTAACATTGATTGAGAAATCTCCAATTGCAAAGCTAACCACGCTTTACATGTTGGCGAAAGATGATAGAGACTATATGAATAAAAAGGATGAAAAACGAAAATGCAAGAGGGTTGAACCTCTTACACTGAAACAACAACAAAATCAGACGATTGGAATTTTGAAGAAACAAGCAATGGAAGAATGGCAAGAAATGTATTGGAACAGCAGTAAGGATCTGTGGTATCATAATATCACAGTGGAGTCGAAATGTACTGATAATCTTTCCAAAATGGTTACGGGAGTGATCATGAAGAAAGATAGTCGAAGGATCTTGAGTAATATTACTCAGTTTCGCACAGGCCATGGCAACTTTGGCGCATGGTTTAAAAAGTTTGGAATTGAAAAGGATAGTTACAACTGCAAATGTGGAGAGCTGGAAACAGTTCATCACATTTTAGTTGAGTGTCCTTTGCTTGAAGAGGAAAGAAAAGGACTGAAACGGATATCTCCAGAAATGGACATGTCGACTCTCTTAAACAGTTTAACTGGCTTACAAGAGATTGTAAGCTTTATCTCTGCTTGGAGGGATTAAGAAATACAATTACAGCGTTGATGAAGACAAGTGGAGATAGGTTGGGAAGGTTTGGTTATTTTTAACCCCCTGTTCCTCGTAAGCTGGCATCAGGACTTATTTTAGGGCTGTTGGAGATGCAATGCTGAGGCCAAAATTAAAAGTTTATTATGAAAATGAAAAGATATATAGTATGGACAAGAAGGATAGCGCAGATGCTGATGTTATATAATTCTATAACCCTTGAATAAAAACAAACAAAACAAACAAAACAAACGAATACTTTTACAGTTTGGAAAATTGAAACAAAAATCAAAATAAATCTAGACTCTAAATATGGATTATCTTAAAGGTCTTCAAGAAATCTAAGAACTCTACCATTGAGTCGTTACAGTCTAGATATTTGGTAGTGGGCCTTACTGAAGGAGCCCATACTTCTGTATTTTATGTCTAATTATTTTGAAGATAATTAATTGCGAAAGAGTTGAACAGTTTTAATACCTGTTAAAAAAAACTTATTATTATTGGATGATCTTAAAATGTTAAATGATTAAATAGGATTGAAAACACACTGAAAAAATGAAATTTTTATGGAGTTATGTAAAATTTTACAATTTCACAGTTGACATTTTCCATTATCTTTAATTAGTAAAGAAATAAAGGACAAAAACCCAAAATTTTGTTAATTAACAAAATTCGGGATTATTATAATAAATTTAAGATGTAATTTAGTAAATAAAAATTTTATATTAACTTGTGATATTTACACTCCTTTTAAACTTGTATTCTTTAGTTGGTTCAACAATCTGAGAATTTACATACTAGTCTATCTTCTATCTTTCTTAACAATTACCCCCTTTTTCAATTATTTTAAATTATTTTAAAATATTTAATAAATTTATGCTTAGACCATCATATTCATCTAATATATTGATATTTTGAAATACTTTTACCTTCTTATCTAGGCTTGTTTTTTCACTTTCCCATAATTTTTGTTGTTCACTAAAAAGTTTCTTCTACCCATTTGAAAAAAAAATATGATTACATAATATCACGAACTTTAATACAAAAACTCTTTTTTAGACATTTCTTGTCTACCACAATTCAACATTAAGATCTCAGAAACTTGAATAATAAAAGAATAAAAAAGTTCGTATCAAAGCAAAAACATACAAATCAGTTAAAGATGCAAAAAATGATTCGACCCAGGATCGAACTGGGGACGTTCTGCGTGTTAAGCAGATGCCATAACCGACTAGACCATCGAACCCTAACCCTGAAATGTATTCTTTAATAAGAATTAGGTAAACACCTAACAAAATCATCAAGTAACGTAACTGGTATTTTAAGTAAAGAAAACATTATGGTTCTTGTAATCTGGCATTAAAATTTATTTTTGTGTTGTTGAAAATGCAATGTTAAAGTCAAATTAAAAGTATACTGAGAATACGAAAAGATCTATATATATATGGTAAAAACAAAAAGGATAACGCAGATGCTGATGTTATATATTTCTATAGCCTTTGAATAAATAATAAATAGACAAACCAATAAAATTTGTAAAGATTATTACAAAGTAGTATATGAAAGTATGAAATGTAGGAGCTAATATTTTTAAAGTTATATTTTTTTTAAAAAAAATGAAAAAATGAAAAAAATATACTATACTTTTTGCACAGCTTTATACCAACTATTCAGGGTTAGGGTGAAGTTTTTTAGGTGATGGTAGATAAAGGAATGAGGGTACAATACTTTATTTTCAAAATATGTATTTTGAAAGATAAATCACATAAAAAGAAACACTGAGTTACCATTATCTAAAAATATTTAAAAACCACAAGGGTTAGGTGTATGATCATTTTCTTTTTTAGATTAAATTTTTTATGCCAAAAACTTTTGCATTAAAGTCGTTATTTTTTTTTTGTTTATTTTTTCTTATGCAATAAAATAACAAGACTTGAAACTTATTGTTTTAAATTTTTTTTTTTTTTTTCTTTTAAAGTCATTTGATGGAAAAGAATTATATAGAAACATACAAATTTGTTTGTAAAACATTTAAATGTTTTTGAAGGCGGTGAAAAGTTTTAGGCTTGAACCGAATTTCATACATACCGCGGTGTAGTTATTGAGTGCAAATTTAAAGCAAGATTTTAGGTGAAGTAGAAGGAAGTACAAAAAAAACGTGATCGGATATTCCGTTGGAGATACCAACGGCATTTCCGTATTTAACTCCTAGCTACAATGAACTCTAAAGAAAAAAACGTTAATACCTTTAAGCCCTCGCTTTGCTCTCGGCAAGCCCCGAGTAGAATACCTTTCTCACATAGTTGCTAAAAACATAGCAATGAATATCATTTTGAGTATCTGAGATGAAAGAATTGACTTTAGGAGTATAAATATGGTATTCATTCCATGATATATTTGATTTTTTTTTTCTCTTTTATTTCCTTTTCATCATCACAAAAACAAATAATCCAATCTACTTAATCTTCTACAAAGATAGCAATTAAGTCTAATCCAAAATTTCAACATCAATTACCACTAAAACTAAAAACAAAAACAAAAAACAAACAACAAACATTCACAATGCCTCACAAACAAGAACTTGAATTCACTCCTATCCCTGATGCCCCCCTTGGTGCCGTTGTCACTCTTCCCTCTGGTATTACCGATCCTGCTGATCTCAACGACGTGGACTTTCAGAAGCTCAAAGAGGGACTTTTGACCCATAGTGTGCTAGTTATTCCTGGCCAAGAAAACCTTTTACCCAGTTCCCAGTATCAGATTACCAAGCGCATGGATCCCACTTGCGAAGGTGGATATGGTCATTCCAAGGAGTTTCGCCACGACAAGTCAGTTCTTCGTCGTGATGGTGTTTCTGTCCCTGATCAGCCTCAGGTTCAGGTTTTGGGCCAGGGAACTTTTAAGGGCCACTATGGAATGGACTCTATTACTCTCCGTCACCCTACTCACTTTGATTTCCACCAAACTCCCCTGACTGATGAAGAAGTTGCCAAGGGTTACACTCGTTTCTATAGATGGCACATTGACTCTGCTCTTTATGGTCTTTCTCCTCCAGTATGCACCACTCTTTTGGGTATTCACGTTCCTGAGTCTACCAAGACCATGAAGATCAAGTATGAAGATACCAATGAAGAAATTGAGGTTGCTCAAGCCGGCACTGCTTTCTTTTCTGGTGCCAATGCTTTTGAAGCTCTTTCTGATGAAGACAAGGAACTTGCTCTTGGAACTACTGTTGAGTATGCTCCTCACCCTTACATTTTCATTTCACCTGCTCGGGCCACCAGTGACGGTGTGACCATGGTTTCTGAGAACAAGGAAATTCCTCTTGATGAGCTTCCTGAGTGGGAAGAGTCTAAGGTTAAGAAGCTTCCCATGGTTTGGACAAATCCAGTCACTGGTAAACATCATCTCCAAATTCATGGTGCTTGCGTGTATAGAATGCACCGCCCAGATGGCACCGTTTTAGAGCTTGAGGATGCTCGCAAGGAGGCTTATAGATTGATTCGCCCAGCCATTTCTCCAAAGAATATTTATGTTCATTCTTGGAAGAAGGGTGATCTTGCATTGTTTCATAACCAGGGAGTTTTGCACAGCGTGACTGGCCAATTTGCTGAAGATGAAACTCGTTTAATGCATCAGTGCAATATTGCCAGTGGAGTTGATCCTGTTACTGTTAAAAACTAAAAGGTTAGTTTTAAATTTCCTTTTATTTTTATTTTTTTTTATTTTTGTTATTTTTGTCACAATTCAAAAACAACAATTTATGTGTCCATGATTTTATGTTTAAATTTTTATAGTCTTTCGTTTTTAAAAAATGTATAATTAGTCTTTCTTTTAACATTGTTTTTTTAATTAAATCTCAAGTCATAATGTGCCAATGAAAATGAGTAAATTTTTGATAAATTCTTTCGTATATCTAAAAAAAAAAAGTAATCGAGGGTCACATTTTTCAACCACAGTATTATTTTTTCTATCAATATTTTTTAGCTGTTGAAAAAGATTTTTTTTTTACAAAATTCTGCACTTTTTTTTCCTGAAATCTTCACGGGTTCCCTTATTTGTAACTTTTAGCCGAGACTTTATTTCTAGCTATTTATGACTCCAAATTTTGGCTTTCTACTGAATGTGTAAAGTCTAGGATTAAGTTGTTAGATTTCTTGAGACTTTAAATAGGTAAATGTTGCTCATCATAGTTAAATAGCCAAAACTTTCAGAGTTAGAACCTGTTAACCAAAATTCTTGTTACGACTTAAGCGAGGGTGCATGACTTTGGTGGAACAAACGAGTGTTTGAGAGACTGTAAAATAAATCAGCTTTAAGGCTTCTAAGCAATCTGAATTATCATTATCGATGACAGATTTATTGGCAATGTCATAAACAAGTCTGAAGCATAAGAGCAACGAGTCCATGAAACGTGTTTTGGTACGTGTGTCCCATAATTCTCAGTAAATTGATTGATTGATTGATTGATTGATTGATTGATTGATTGATTGATTGATTGATTGATTGATTGATTGATTGATTGATTGATTGATTGATTGATTGATTGATTGATTGATTGATTGATTGATTGATTGATTGATTGATTGATTGATTGATTGATTGATTGATTGATTGATTGATTGATTGATTGATTGATTGATTGATAATTGATTGATAGTTCAGGGTATTAGGCTGATAAGGACTGTGACGGTACTCGAGTACAATGGTATTTTACTCTGTCGCTGTAAATGCATTTTTCCTTGGGTTTTTTTTTGGCAGTTCTAATGATGGTGACATTAAAGTAAAGGGCATATTGCATATAGTACCAAACTCTGGGATGTCTTAAGGGCTGGTTGACAGTCTATTCACTCATGATCAACTTAATTCAAAAGTATTAGGGGGTGAAAAAAAAACAAGATATTGAAGTTGAGAGTAACTGCTAATAAAGGAACTTAATGGGGTTTCCAATTGAGTTTTTGGTGAGACTATATATATATTTTTTTTTTTTTTAATTAAGGTTGAATTGATGGGATGGTGCAGTTTAGTCAGCAATTTGATATACTAAAGTCTTATCAGTTTCAAATTGTATCAAAGGAAAAGTAAAAAGAATACATTTTGAAATTAAAAGAACGATAAATATATCTCGCACATTCCAAACACACCAGGGCTAGGGATTAAGATATTGAGAAAGTGAAAAAAAAGTTTAGTTAAATTTAAATTTCAGGATTTAACATAATGATTAGTCATTTCTGTATGAGTAGAGATTAAGCTAGGCTGTCTATCTATAGAGTTAAGTATCGATTAGACTTGTTGGAGTAGATTACAAGATAATAATATATATATATATATATATATATATATATATATATATTTAATTGATACACCAGATTGATACAAACTTGAATGATTGAATGATTGAATGATTGAATGATTGAATGATTGAATGATTGAATGATTGAATGATTGAATGATTGAATGATTGAATGATTGAATGATTGAATGATTGAATGATTGAATGATTGAATGATTGAATGATTGAATGATTGAATGATTGAATGATTGAATGATTGAATGATTGAATGATTGAATGATTGATTGATTTATTTTTTTCTTTTCTTTTCTTTTCTTTTCTTTTCTAAAAAAAAAAAATTAATGAAAAATTTCTTTCTTTTCCGGTGCCCCACTTGTTCTCTTCTACAAAAAGCCGTCAATGTTAAGGGTTGTGTAGACTTATAAGTTGCAACAATAATCGGCATTTGAGTAGAATTGTTGTTTTTATTCTCTTTATTTTTTTTTTGGTTGCAACGACACACCAGACGGGAGCTTTTAAATTTAGTTGATAACTCAAGTAGTTGGCAGGAATAACCGGACCTTTAAATTGAACTTAAGAATGAAATATAATATATATATATATATATATTAAAAAATAGAAAAAAAACAAAGTTAGTTAAAATAACAGCTTCTAAATTGTTTTAAATTTTTAAATTTAATTAAATTGAAAAAAAAAACAAGTAAATAATTATTTTCAATTGAAGGATTTACCACAAATTTCAATTATTATTATTGTTTTTTTCGGCATCAGAAAGATTTTCATTTTCCGACCCACTTCTTTTTTTTTTGTTTGAAATATTTACAAAATAATTATTTAGACCTTATAAGGTCTATCTATTATTAAACCATTGAGTTTTCAGTGAAAAAAAAATATATATATATATATATTGCCATAATACACGTGACTTAACTAAGATTTGTTAAACTAAACGGTTGAATGTAGAGAGAGAGAAAAAAAAAAAGGAGCACAGTTCCGAGGCTTCTCTTTATTTTATTTTATTTAATTTTTTCGGGTTTTATGAAAATTTGCTCCGAAACAAAACAAAAAACACTTCGCATAGAAGGAAACGAAAAAAAAAAATGGTGATTTAAATAAATAAAGACTTTATTTTTATTTTAAATTGAAAAAGAGGTCTGTATGTGAATGGTTTGGGTCATTTTTTTTATGTTAATTATTATTTACAAAAGTTGTTTTTATTTATTTATTTATTATTATTACTATTATCTTAAAAACAGTCCTTAGAGATGAGTTTAAAAAAACCTAAATCTCTCTATATATATTAAATCAAAATATAACTCCAAAATCAAAAATATATATATATATATTTTTAAACATAAAAAAAATATCAAAAAAATGTTTTATAAATAAGTTTTTATTTAATCTACAAAAAAAAAAATCCAATTTATAAAAAAAAAAAAAAAACTTGACTGCGTTTTAGTGTGATGAAGGCTCGGCACCCAACGGCCCATTGTTTTTTTTTTTTTTTTTTTTTTTCGGATCGGATTTCTTTAAAAAGAAAATAAATAAAAAAAAAACATTCCAGTATCTGGCCACCTTTTTTTTTTTTAATTCTTTTTTATTTCCCGCCAGTAGAAACAAACGGCCTCGTCTTGACCTCAGACCCAGATTCTCGACGGCTCTGCGGTGGTGGTGGGAATGCCCCTGTACCTGTATCTGTCTCTGCTATACCTGGTGTACTTGTTATACTTGTTGTACTTGTTGTAGACGCACCACGTAAAAGCCCCCAAAGATCACCCGGCCGTCGGCTCACAGCCTGTTTCCGACGCCCGGAAACCGCCGGGGTTTGTGCCGAAGTTAAACCATGATGATTTTGGTGGCCATGTTTAAACTTATGATGATGATGATGATGATGATGACGATGATTATGATTAGGATTAGGATTATGATGGTGACTATTTATTGTTGATGTTTTAGTTATAGACCCAACTGCTGTTGAACTTGAGTTTGAACTCGAACTCGAACTTGAAGTTGATGAACAACTTGAAACTTTTGATATGGCCGTGGTAGTTTGAACATCTGGTATCGCCAGCGCACCAGATGAAAATTGTCCTGGCGAGAAACTTGTAGCTAGTGAAGGGTCTTTATTCTTTGATGAAACAGACAACGTAGGCACCGGTCGCCAATCTTCCGGGTCTCTTTGTTTGATGGCCATGGCCTCAGTTTCTGAAATGAGAGTTCCTGCGTCTTGAGAAATTTGCATCCATGAAGAGTCTCCGAGATGGTGATGATGATGATGATGATGATCTGGGTTATCTCCTAGTCCCCATTCATATAATTCTCTAGCAAGTTCATTATCATTTTCATCATTGTAAAAGCAACTACTATAGAAATCATCATCATCCTCTTCATCATTATTGTATTGGCTCACAACTGGAGATACAGATTCATTGCTGATGGTCACTGCAATGCGGCTGGAACTAAGTCGACGTAATGGAGGTCCGGAATCGTCATGGTTTTGATCTTCATCTGTTAACATGATGAGTGGTGGTTCAGGGTCGCGACCGGCTAGTAAGAGAAGCAAGTTACCATCTGAGTAGTAGTCTGTATGAAGGTAATCTTGTTTTGGAGGGGTTGTTGATGTTATTGTGGGGTTAATGGTAATAGGGGATCCTAACAGCTGAGTTGAAGGAATAGGAGTGGCCGGTGATTGATGTTCATGATTGTGATTATTTTGATTTTGATTAGAATGGTAATTAGAATGGTTATTATTGATATTATTATTATTATTATTATTATTATTGTGTTGGTGGTGGGCCATTATAGAATATAAGAGGCGATTCAGGGTGAAGTTTAAGCTTTTTAAATTTTTTTTTTTATTTTTTTTATTTTTTTTAAAAGGAGGTATCTTTTTATTTATTTACTTGTAAGTAATAGACATAAGGATTTTTCTTTGGAAGGGTATATTTAATAATGGGAAAAGATGAAAAATTTTAAAGCATTTAATAGAAAGAAAGAAGAAAAAGAAAAAAAAAATAAGAAGAAGAAGAAGAATATAAGTTAAAATGAAAAATTAAAAATTAAAATACAAAATATTTATTTTAATATTATATTTTTATATTTTTATATTTTTATATTTTAAAAAAAAAAATAAAAAAAAATATTCCGGCATTTCCTCATGGACAGTTACCGATAAGAATAAAAAAAATTAAAAAATAAAAAAATTAAAAAAATAAAAAAATTAAAAAAATTAAAAAATTAAAAAATTAAAAAAATTAAAAAAATTAAAAAATTAAAAAATTAAAAAATAAAAAAATTAAAAAATAAAAAAATTGCAACTGCCATCCATCCATCAATCTAGCCAGCCAGTCAGCCAGCCAACCAGCCAAAAAAAAAAAAAAAAAAAAAAAAAGGCCCAGAGAGCCGTGAGATACGAGTCACGTGGCCGGTAAACGGCTTTGTATGAAGGTAATTTAGAAATGATGTCACCACCACTACAAAAGTATTCAAAAGTATTCAAAAGTATTCAAAAGTATTCAAAAGTATTCAAATTATTTAAAAGTATTAAACTCCCAGGAAACTTTTAAATTTTTTTTTTTTCATTTTTTCATTTTTTGCATGAAAATTTCATTTTAATTTTTTTTTATACCACTTTCTTCGGAATAAATATAACTAAATATATTCTTCATGTGCTTAATTTTCATTTTTTATTTATAATTTTTTCACATGGCATTAAAAAAAAAATGAGAACCGAATTGAATTGAATTGAATTGAATTGAATTAATAATAATAATAATAATAATAATAATAATAATAATAATAATAATAATAATAATAATAATAATAATAATAATAATAATAATAATAATAATAATAACATATCTATATATAATATTTAATTGTGATTTATTTATGTACGTCAAAAAGTTTTTTTTTTTTGGTATCGGGATGAGTTTTTTTTTTTTTTTTTTTTTTTTTTTTTTTTTTTTTTGGATATAAAAAAACTTTCCCCCTCCCCTTTTTGTTTTTTTTTTATTCTCAGGAACAAATTTAATTTTTTCGGAATAATCTTTTCATTTGTTTCTCCCCTTCCTTATAAATTAATAATTATATAATTTTTTTTTTTTTTTTTACCATTGATATTTTTTTTTTAAAAAAAAAAACATCCCATTCATTCATTTTCTTACAAATCTTTTAATCCAATAACAATTGATATCTAATCTTATTATTATTATTATTATTATTATTATTATTATTATTATTATTATTATTATTATTATTATTATTATTATTATTATTTTGATTTTTTTTTATCATATCAATCTCAATTATAATTAGTACCAAAAAAAAATACAATCAAATCATTCATATACAAAAATATAAAAATATAAAAAGGTGTACTAACAATCGACCGCGTGTACTACCACCACTGTTAAAATTATATCCTAATTTGTATGCCATTTATATCTAATTCCACTCTTTTGAGTTTCCTTTTCCTTTTACTTTAAAGTAAGGAAATTTCCTTTTTAAAAAAAAAAAAAAAAAAAATAAAAAAAAAAATAAAAATAAAAAAAAAACCCCCTTCAAAATTTCTCTCATTTATCTTAAAAAAAACAAACAAACATTCCAATCTATAAGTCTTTTCATATGATTATATCAAACTCATTATTAAATTATACAAATGATTATTACAGATTATACACAATTTTTTTTTTCCCCCGCCAGTTTAATTACAAAAATTTACCCCCATATTCTTCATCTCTTTAGAAATCTCTCCCCCTCCCCTCTCTCAATTTTATAGTTTTACAATTATAGTTTACCACCCTCGAGCATGGTAGTTAAAATCAGCATTGCTATCCAAATCACGGCGCCAAGTCTCCTTTTCTTCTTCTTCTTCATTATGCTTACATGTAGCACACTCTCCAGGCTCATGAAACGTCCTATTCGCCGCACCACCATCTCCTCTAATGCTTCCTCCTGTCCCACTACTATCATCTCCTTCACCCCCATGCTCAACATCTTCTTCATACAGCAACGGAGCCCGCCGCTCGTAGATTCGAACATTGTTGGTGTCATGTAAGTCATGTAGGTTATGCAAATCTGACACCGCAGTCGTGCTTTGATGTAGCCGTTGCAAATTCCCAAGCGTCTGAATCTCGCTCGACGTGTGTCGTCGTAGCAAGGCCATTCTCGCAGATGCTGCAGACCCTTGGCCAGTAGTGGATCCAGTATTTGTAACATTAACGTTGGTCAATTTAGTAGTTGATGTTGAAGTAGATGCTGTTGATGCTGTTGATGCTGTTAATGCTGTCGTCGTTGATGCTGCTGCTGCCGCTGCTGCTGCTGCAACAGCTGCCGCTGCCGGACTCAATTCCGCTCCGGAATCTCTAGCAGCAGCAGCATGTGTCATGTTAGCAGAAAATGACGACGTCCGCGATGCTCCATGCTGGTGGAAATTTGTAGAGCTTCCGTGGGGTCGGGTAAGCGGGTTTAAAGCGCTGGGGTGAGTTCGTTCCCAAATCAAATGCTTGCGCACAGACTCTGATAGTTCAGGTGCAAGCAAATTGCGTCGCGCAGCCACAGATGTCCGCGGAGATACCATCACGCCGGCTGCCCGCGCCGACGCAGGGGTTGTAGGTCCCATAGAGTCTTCCCTATTAGTTTTATTGTTGCTGCTTGAAGACAAATGTGGATGCGCAGTCACATAAGTCGTGGTAGCAGGAAGTGCTGTTGCAGTAGTTGCACCACCGCTAGCTGCTAGGCTGCTTGGAGATGCAGAATCATTGAGTACCACGGTTGACTTAAGCTGCGCATTTAACAATGATGGCGATGCGTGGATCCCAGAAGATGCCATGGATTCCGTAGAACTTTTGGTTTTAGTAGGGGGTTCTGCTGAGGCCTTAGTGGAACCAGCCATGTAAGCTTTGCGAATTGCCTCTCGGCTCAACTGTTCCTGCTTCTCCCTTTCGGGGTTATTAAAAAACATAGAAGACAAAAGCGATGGCCGCACAAGAATCTTGGGCTTGTCATCATCCCGGATAAATGCCCGTTCGTCAAATGGCTCGTCATCGTCACTTTCGTCATCCACTGAATCCCATGACGAGTCATCATCGTAGTCATCATCATCATCGTCGTCGTCGTCGTCGTCATCATCTTCATCGTCATCATCATCTTCTTTTTTATCCACTTCGACTTTTTTCTTTTTCAAAATCTCAACCTCACTTTCGTCGTCATCATCATCATCGTCATCGTCATCATCATCATCATGACTTTTTCCGGAAAGTGTAAATTTCGCCTTTGGTTTCTCCTTGACTACCGAAGACACTCCAGTAGTACCCGTCAACGCGCCATTACTTGACTTTCCAAACAACGAAGGCCGCCGTAACTGTGGCGACTTCTCAGCCTTCTTTCCTAAATGTTCGGGAGTATCCGGGAACCCAGAGTGAGACGATGGACTATTTGTTCCATTTTCACTTTCCGATGGCGAAGAGTCGATAAAAAACATTTTTTCGCGCGGAACCTTATCTGGCCGCGCCTTAATCAGCGCAAAGGGAGGAGGCTGTTGAGTGTTAGTAGTTCCTGCACCAGGTTGTGTTGCGCCACCGCCACCGCCACTAGTTGCAGAACCTGTCGGGAAGCTCAGGCTGGATTTGGTGCGAGCAAAAGATACTGTGGATGGGTTGAAGCCGCGCACAATAGAGGTTGATGTATCGCTACGGTGGCGGTATGTTAGTCTAGAACCGTTTGAGTCAATTCCAATAAATTCTGGTTCATCGTCATTCTTGTTAGATGGGCTTGTGACAGCTGTTGTTGTATTTTTAGAAAGACCGCTATTATTCTGGTTGCTAGGTTGTTCCACATTATCATCGTCATTATTATCATCATTATCATTATCATCATCATCTACCTCGTCCTCGTCAGTATCAGATATGCTATCGGAATCGGATTCTTCATATTGGGGCCGCTGCTGCTTTTGCTGATTAAGTCTGAGTTTGGAGGTAGTTGATGCAAAGAGGGATTTTGTAGAAGGTTGTTTTGAAAATAGCGACACTCGTCGGTTGGCCGGAGCTATTGTGGAGGAGAAAAGAGAAGAAGTTGTGCGAGGAAGTTTATTTTGGTCTGTGGCTGCTTGAGATGCTCCATTAGCCAACGTAGTTGTTGCTGTTGCTGTTGCTGGTGCTGGTGCTGCTGGTGCTGCTGGTGCTGTTGCTGCTGTGGGGGGCTGGGCGGCTAATTGGGTGGATGACGACTTAGCAAATAATGAAGAATGGACACGGCGGTACTGGTCGCGCGACGTCGAACGTTTTACGTCTGTTGTTAGCTGAGTAGTGGAGGAGGAGGAGGAGGAAGATGAGGTGTTACGGAAGAGAGAAGAGCTAGACTTTAGATTCTGGGAACTTTTATTGCTTAGTGCAGCCGAGGCAAGTTGGGCATAATGAGGAGGTGAGATGACTTTATGTTCATTGATTGTAGAGATAGGATTGCTTGTTTGAGATATTGCAGCCAGGTTAAGACGAGATGAAGAGCCTGCAGTTTGCCCTCTTGAGATGTTATTATTATTTTGAGGGAATAAGGTTCGTTTGGAGGTGGCCAGCGAAACCGTTGAAGTATTTGGAGGAGTGGGGTTTGGGTGGGGGACTGCGGGTTGCTGGATGTTTCTTTGAGATGCCAGAGCAGAGCTAGATGCTTGTTTGGAGAATAAAGAAGAAGAAGGTTGTCTTTGGAAAAGTGATGATTTCTGTTTTGCAAGAGGTTGTTGTTGTTGTTGTTGTTGTTGTTGTTGTTGTTGTTGTTGTTGTTGTTGTTGTTGTTGTTGTTGTTGTTGTTGTTGTTGTTGTTGTTGTTGTTGCCTTTGGGTGGTAATTTGATCCTTAAGCCTTTGCTGTTGCTGTTGCTGTTGTTGTTGTTGTTGCTGCTGCTGCTGCTGTTGCTGCTGCTGTTTTTCCTTTTTACGGGTTTCATGGAGAGATTTCCAATATTCTTCTTCTTGAGAGCCTGGCTTGAATAATAAGAGCAGCTCTTTTAATTTTTCAGAAGATAGTTGTTTTGGCGGATGAAGTCTGCGGCGTGCTGGAGAGATTGCAACGGATGGCAAGGCCACAGTGGAAGAGGATGCGGTAGAGGGCTGAGCCAGTTTTTTAGAGGAGATGTTAACTTCAGAAGAAGATTTGGAAGCTGGCCGGTTAGATCGCTGGGAAAACGAGCATGACGCAAAACTATTTGTTTTGAGGTTATTGGCTGTGGAAGGTCCAGTGCTATTGGTTGTTGCAGTTGTGGTTGTGGTTGTTGTTAAAGATGGGGCATGCTTAGGAGTTGGATTATGATGGTTACTACTGAGAACAGAGTTACTTGTACTTGAACATTCTGTCCAAGAACCTGATGAATCTGAATCTAAAGAAGAAGATAGATGGGGTATACTTTCTTCAGATGGTGGTGAAGAGGAAGAAGCTGGGATAGCAGCAGTTGTGGGTATTAGAGAAGGATTAGAAGTAGAAGTAGAAGTAGAAGTAGAAGTAGAAGTAGAAGTAGAAGTAGAAGTAGAAGTAGAAGTAGAAGTAGAAGTAGAAGTAGAAGTAGAAGTAGAAGTAGAAGTAGTAGTAGTGGTAGTAGTTGCAGTAGAATCATTTGCAGTGTGAACAGAACCACCAGAAGCTGCAGCGTCCGAATCAAAGAGTAATTCACGGTTCCATAATCTCCATGAAATGTTTTCTAACCGACGACCATTTTCTAACGAGTCTGCACATTTTGAAAAAACAGACCATAAAGAGAAGACCGACTCGATATCAGAAGGATCTATGGAGCCAATGGTTTGTGGGCTTAGAGAAAGAATAGGCATCTGTGGTTTATGCAAGTTACAACAGGAGCTTTCAAGAGGCTTGTTTCTGAGGGGTTGTTGTTGTTGTTGTTGCTGTTGTTGTTGCTGCTGCTGCTGTCCAGAAGTTCCTTGAGTTGGAACAACGGCACAAGTTGGATTAGAAGCAGCCAAACTTGATTGGTGAAGTTGCTGGGGTCGCTGTTGAAGCACTGTGGTTGTAGATGGACGATGTGTAAGTTGTGAATCTGAATTTTTAAATAGCTTTTTCCTAGTCTGGTGGTTATGGTGATGGTTGTGGTGGATATGGTTGTGGCTAATTGCCGTGTTAGAGTAAGCGGGGTTGGTGGCAGTTGTATTGGTAGATTTTGAAGAGGAGGAGGAGGAAGTAGTAAAACGTTTAGGCATGAGATATTATATATATATATATAAATGAATATATATATTTATTTAGTCGTTATTATTATTAGTAGTAATAGTAGTAATATTGTTTATAATATATATATATATATAATAATAATAAAAAAAAAAAAAAGAGAGAGTGTGTGTATGGGTATGAATAGTAAGAAAGAATAATTAAATAATTAAATAATTAAATAATTAAATAATTAAAAAAATAAAAAAAAATAAAAAAAAATAAAAATTGGTTGGCGATTTGGAAAGAAAAGTTTTGAAGGTTTTTTTTTTTTTTTTTTTTTAAAAATGACAAGAAAATTTTATAGGAAACCTGGGGAATGGCGGATTTGACATGAACTGAAAGCTTTTTTTTTTTTTTTTTTTTTTGGGTGCGCCCGGGTCCTACTAAACCGTGATGTGTGTGTGTGTGTACCACAAAGCTTTTAGTTGTTGTTGTTGTTGTTGTCATGGGGATCGTCGTCTTTTTGCAATGGCGCACCTCCGTCCTCGGCACCATCACATGTGCAAAATTTTTATTTTTATTTTTATTTTTATTTTTATTTTTATTTACCCTAACCCTTTGGTAGTTAACAAAAATATTTATTTATTTTATATTCAATTTATATTCAATTTATATTCAATTTATATTCAATTTATATTCAATTTATATTCAATTTATATTCAATTTATATTCAATTTATATTCAATTTATATTCAAAATTTTTTTTTTAATTCATTTATGTTTTATGTTAAAAAAAAAAATTCAATTATATATATATATATATATATATATACAATTAATTGATTATCAAAACTTTGGAAACTTTCCAAGAAAAAATAAAAAATTTGTGTTAGTGTAAAAAATTTACTCCCCCCCCATCTCAGTGGCGTTCGGTGATGAATTTAAGCATACTAATGATGATCACTACTATTACTTATTACTGTATTGTGGAAAGATCTTTGAAAAAAAAAAAAAACTACTGTTAAAGCAACAAAGACGCTTTGTCTGGTGATCACAAATGAGCCATTCATCCATTACTAGTCACCATTCTTTGGATGAAAAAAAAAAAAAAAAAAAAATAATACCAAATGACAATGAGGGGAATTTTTTAGTGATTGATTGATCAACATTTTGCACAAAAAATATATATCCACCTTAATAATAATAATAATAATAATAATAATAATAATAATAATAATAATAATAATAATAATAATAATAATAATAATAATAATAATAATAATAATAATAATAATAATAATAATAATAATAATAATAATAATAATAATAATAATAATAATAATAATAATAATAATAATAATAATAATAATAATAATAATAATAATAATAATAATAATATATCCGACCACTGTAAATGGAAATACCCGGCATGTGGTCTAATTACCTCCGGCAATCTCGTTTGCTCTTCTGATGTTTTTTTTTTCTTTTTCTTTTTTAAATAAAATAAAAATACAAAATTCAAAATTCGAAATACAAAATGCCTTCATTTGTGGGGATAATAAAAATTACAACCCCGGATTTCGCAGATCCGCGGCAATGTTGTCAAGTAACTTATGGTGATTTTAAAATCAACCCATCAAATCTATTTTAAAAGAAATGAGAGAAAAAAAAATCAAACGATTTAATATTATTTGAAATATAAACAAAATAGAATAAAATAAAAACAATAACTAGGCATGAATATCATTAACCTTTTCACATAAAGTCTTTGAGTTTTATTTTTATTTTTATTTTTATTTTTATTTTTTCGGCTCCAAGACAAAATTATTTAGTGGCAACAAATTTCCCAATAAAATTCACATGCACACTTTTATTTTTTTTATTTTTTTTTTTCTTTTAAAAAAAAAATATATATATATATATATATATATATATATATTTAAATAATATTGTTACTAATAATTTATCAACTAATTAGTAATATTTAATTACATTCTGTATACACATTATATTGTAATAATAATAATAATCTTATAGTTGCTACAACAATAATTGGTATTACATTTTATTGTAATAACCCACATGTTTGTTTGTCACAAACACACATACACAAATACACACACATTTGTATTACATTTTTCACTCCACCACTCACGGGCCCAGAGATTGTCATCGCCATATTGCATTTTTTTTTTTTTTTTATTATTAAAACCAGACATCAAATATTCTATAATCACAACAACCAACCAACCATCACTACAATGGCTTCTAAAATACCACGCCGTTTAATGGCTTTGGCTCCATATACCCCAGCCCAAAAAACACTTCTCCAATCTCTCATTCTAATCCAAACATCATCAAGATCTACAAGAATACCCCCTCCTCCAGCTTCAAACGCTCGGACTTATGCCTCTTCCTCAGGCTTTACAGGATTCTATAAAAAACTAGTCAAAAAATCATTGGAATCTTCCAAATGGGAATTTAATGAACTCGATCCAAATGCAACTATAAATGAAGCTGCTCCTTATGTGGCAACTGCACGTAAACTCAAGGAAACTTTGGCTGCTTCCCCAAATTCAAATACCCTCGACTTTGCTCAAATCAAAGCCCTTCTTATCCAACTTCTTACAGAAATCCCAGCCTTTTCTGGAATCCCCGATGAACGACTTAGCTCTCCATTTATTAAAAATCAAAAACTTATTGAAAACTCATTCTCAGTTCTTCTTGCTGCTGATCCTTCTACAAAACTCCCAATCAACCTCACATCACAAGACATTGAGCTCCTCTATACTCTCATGGTTAGCAAAACTGGGAATATCTTTTCTAGTTTGGGCAAATCCCCAATCATCCCTAACCTTTTCTCTCTTCTTCACATTACTCGAAATCAATTAGAATCAAACAAAGATCTCGATCTTTACCTCTTATACTTCAAGTTCCTTTCTGCTCATAAAAAGGAAACTGAAGCTAAAAAATTCTTAGATTGGCTTATCCCCATTTACCACCCAGAACGCAACCAAGACTTGTTCAACCAGTTCTTGTATGCCGTCTCGCAACCTTTCATTCTTAAATCTTGCATCCCACATCTTTTCTCCCTATCAACTACTACCACCCCTTCCACTGAAGCTATTTTATTTGCATTGCGCCAGCTTTCCCTTCTGGACTCTTCTGTATCCCTCAAATTCACTAAACAACTTTTCAAGTCATACCCAGAGTTGTACTCTAATGCCCAGGTAGTCAGTCTTGTGCTAAAAACTCTCAACAAAAACATTCGACAAGCCTCGGAAATTAAGGCTTTTATCTCAAAGTTTCTGGCCCACCACAGTAAAGATGAAAACTCTTTAGCCTCTATTGACGAAGAAATAAAAGACCCTGTAGAGCGTCTTGAATTTCACAAATCTCTTGCCCTCACCCTCATCAAATACAATGACTCATCTGTACAAACCCAAAAATATCTTGAAACTGATGTGGGTATCCCGGATATTGAACTTTACAAGACTCTGGCCGCTACAGAAGGTTTATCAGCAGAATCTATTCGCACCATTTTTAAAGATGCAACCGCAAAGGGCTTGGAAATTAATAACGATATTATGCACAATGCCCTTGATATTCTCATTATTCACAAGTTTAACGTTGCAGAAAACTTTGATGCCCTTCACGATTTCTTCACCACTGAATTAAACTTTGAAAGTGACATTGGTACATTTGAAAGCCTAATTCTTGGTTCTCTTAACAACTCTCAAAAACGTCAAGGTACTGAAGCAGCCATCATTTTATTTGAAAAAAGTATCGAAAACGGTATACAATGGAACATTGGCACTGAAGATCAACTTGAAACTCTCGACAAGCTCATTCTTGCACTTTGTCAAACCATGCCAGACGATGTGTTTAAGGTTTTCAAATCTTACCAAAAAGTGCGCATGTTTGTGTCTTCGGTCGGGTACCAGGCACAAGTTGCTCTCCTTAAACTTTTCCTTTCTTATAACTATGTGGGTGACTGCGAGCGGTTTCTCGAAGATGAACTTGGCAAGGAAACACGCGATATTGCATGGGATGCCGAACCAGAGCTTTACCAAACGCTTTTGGAGTATGCCTTAAAAAGTGATAACTACAAAGACGCTTGGTTGATTTATGGCTTGAGTGAAAAATACTATGATGCTCCATATGCATCTTATGAAGCAGTATTGCGCCGCTTCTGTGCACTCGAAAGACCAGACGCCGCCTTGCTGATTTTCAAAAACCTCCGCAACAAGGCTAAAGTCTCAGGCAGCGAGCCTCCCTCTGCTGAAATGTACCGCTTGCTGTTCCACGAGTTTGGTGCTGTTGGCTATGAAGACGGTATTAGAGAACTTTACATTTTCCTTAAAATGGATATTAGCGTTGATCCCTCTGTTCCTTTACTCAACTCGGCTCTAAACGCATTCACAGAGCTTGAGGATTTTAGTCAAGCCGTTGAACTTTGGTCCCAAATTCAACAGTTCCCAGGAGGTCCAGACAGTGAGTCATATACCACTGTGCTCAAGCTCTGTACCCATGCATCTATCCAAGATGTCGAGCACATGTGGGAAACTTTACAAGCTGATAACCGCATTACACCGAGCGAGGAAAACTATCGCCAATACATTGTGGCCAATTGTTACCATGGGTTCTATGCGCGTGCTCTTGAAATCGCCCGCAACATGCCCATGCCTCCTGCCAAAGAAACAATTGCTGGTCTTTACAACTGGACCATGTTACAGGCTCGTAAAGATGATGTCCGTGAATGGGCCCGTGAAGCATTCCCACGTAAATGGGCTGCCCTTGAAACTGAGGACGGAGCTCTTAAGACTTACTTGCTAGATGAGGAAAATAAAAATAACGACAGCGAGGCTAATCTACGGCGACAGGCCATTCGCGATATGCTTGAGGAAAAGGAGCGCGAGCAGATTGAACGTGAGGGTCGGATTGTGCGTGAAGCCCTGGCTGCCCCCAAAGCTGCATAAAAAAAAAACAACCCCTGTATATAATGTGCTTAATTAGAATTTTCTTTTTCTTTTTCTTTTTTCTTATATTTTAAATTCATAAACGTCATTACATGTAAAACTATCTTATACAGATGAGAGAGGGGGGGAGGAAAAAAATAAAAAAAAAAAGATTGTTCATCGGCGCAGTCTAGTGTGGTTCACCTTGGTAGCAAACCGCAGTGAGTTTAGTGTCTCGTTTTCGTGCTGCTTGTTAGACGACACGTTGACCAGCATCAGTGTCTTTGAAGTCCCCGAGAGCGAGTACTGCAGCAGGTGTGTAAGTTTCGAGTTTCTAAATGGAATGTGTTGTTGTTGTTGTTGTTGCCCAGACCCCAGTGCAGTAACCACATCTACTAGCGAGCTTAAGCTTTTGTTAATTGCTTGAGTTTCTTTGAGTCGTTCGCCTGATGTTTGCGAGCTTGACAACCGTTCACTTCCTGCCAAATCAATTAAGTTTAATACTCCTGCTCGAGTTTCCCCCGTAATGCTGTTGCGTCCTGCCAGTCGCAACACAAACACAGAGTGAGATCGCGATGACCGCTCGTTGGCATTGGTTGCTGCTGTCGCTCGGGTTCGTGCAGCTTGCCGCAGTACCCCGTGCACTTGTCCCGGGTTATTCAAGCTGACTTGAGTAAGACCTTCCACCAATGTTTTTTGTTCTTCCGGGAAATGTTTGATATGTAGTTTGGGTGGTTGGGTGGTAGCAAGTAAATCATGGATTGTTTCATTGTAAATTTCTAAAAACTCTCCTGAAAACTCGTACGACCATCCGGTTTTTTTCATCAAATCTGCAGTCTTAAAAATCTGGTCAATTGTTAACGGAATCATACCATCTTCAGGAGAAAGCATTGTGTAAGTTTTGCCAGAACCTGTTTGTCCGTAGGCAAAAATGCATACATTATATCCGTCAAGTGCAGACTGCACCAGCTCAGAGATCTCTAAAAATACATTGTGATTGGATGCATTGGGAGTAAATACCTTGTCAAACTCAAAATGCTGCGTGCGGGGTGTTTGCACACCTGTAAAGGTATCCTGGTATGTGCACGTCACATCTAGTTGCTGCCCTTCTGATGCTTGGTCTGGGAATGCCAGTTCCATGGCACTACATGCAGATGCTATTTCCTGTGGTCCCAGTGGTCGCGGTCGGCAGTACACTCTAATGTTTCCTTTAAGATCTTGCAGTTTGTTGTGTAATCGCCGTCGTAGCGATTCCTCATTAATGAGTCGAGAACGCAGTTCTTGAGTTTCTGCATTTCGCATGGCGAGTTGTTTTTGCAAACCTTCGACTGAAGATTCGTATTGCGAAATGTTATTTTGGAGAGCACCGCTTTGTCTTTCATATTGATCTGCTGTTTTTTGGAGATGTTCACATCTGAGTGTTGTTTCCGATAATTTATGCTGGGTGGTATTCAATTGCTCAAGAGTAGAAGAATGCTCTTTCTTAAGGTTTGTGAGATCATTGGCTAAGTTATCCTTTTCTTCAATCAACTGAGTCATTTGTTTGGCATGCTGAGCCTTTGTTTCGGAAACTCGGATTTCCATTTTAAGAGAGAATTCTTCAATAATATTAGCCATTTCAGTAGCATGGTGAGATTCTTCTTCGGCTAGTTGATTCTTAGCATCTTGAGCTTCCTTTTTGAGTGTCATTTCAGTGGTTTGAAACTGTTCTCGTTGCTGAGCAAGTGCAGCCTCAAGTTCTTTACGATGTTGTTCTTTGAGAGCTTCAATTTCGTCTCTTTTTTGGATATCCATCTTATGGCGCTCCATCTCAAGTTCATGCGTGTGATTGTTTTTGACAAGCCGCAGCTCATGATCCAACTTGGTATTGACTTCTTTGTAGTCGCTAATGGTATCTACCGATTGCTGTTTAGCCAACTCAAGCTCTTTAATCAGAGTTTTGAGTTCCTGTGACTCATTGGTGAGCTGCGTGATGCGTTCTTTCTGGTACTCAAGAAGCTCGCTGCGCTCCGTAGGGTTGTGTGTGCTAGTTGCTCGTCGAGCAGAGGGCACAATGTAAGGTTCAGAGCTCAGTGTTTTACGAGCAGCGTAAATGCGATGGGATCTAAAAGGTGTAGATGTTGTTGGGTTATGTGCGCGTGCAAGAAATGCAGTTGTAGGCTGTGGTAGAGCCGAAGAATCACTGTGTAAATTTGTTGTTGACATTGTATTTCCCGAAGACAAGGAAGAAGAAGAATTAGAAGATGATGATGCAAAAGAATGTTTTGGAGGATGGAGCGAGGAACCTGTTGCAAGGTTTTCCTTGTGAAGCAGAGGGGGGCCAGGTTTTGGTTTTACTGGAATTTTTGACGGTCCATCTCTAGCGAGTCCCCTGATGCCTTTTTGTTGCTGAGCATTCATGGCGATTTGCAGTAAGATTGTTTTTACAGGTAGAGATATGGTTTGTTGATGGTGGTTTGGAAGGGAAAGAAATGAAAGGGGACTGGCGGTTTGTTTTGTTTTTTTTTTTTTTGTTAATGAACAAATCTGTTGTCATGGTGATTGTTTATGTACGGCTGTAAATGTGACAAGTTGTTGTAATATCTTCAGCCGTACAAAGATTTTTGCCAAAATTAAAAAAAAAATTCTTTCAGTTTCTTGTTAAATTTTCACTCTTAAAAAAGAAGGACTAGAAATTTGACAAGATCCAAAAAAAAAAAAAAAAACAATATATATATATATTTATTTACACATATCACATATCACATATCACATACAACAATGCCACCAAAAGCTCAGTTAAAATCAGCAATGAAGAAAAGTGCGTTGAAGGCTAAGTCTGTTACAAAGAAGCCTCAACAAGCTCCTCGGAAGTCTCTGAAACGAACAGCCTCTGAAGTTGAAAAGGAAGAAGAAGAAGAAGATAGTGAAGACGAGGAGAAGGACAATGACGATGAAAAAAAAGAGAATAGCGATGAAGAAGAAGAAGAAGATGATGATGATAGTGATAATGATAATGATAATGATAATGATAATGATAATGAGGAAGACGAAGACGAAGATGAAGGAGATGACGAACAAGATGACGAAGATCAAGATGACGACTCCTCAGACGAGTCTTCACCCTCAGATTACGAAGATATTACGGAAATCGGGGGGCCTGTGCAAAAGAAACGCAAGAAAGATAGTGAAGCATTTTCCAAGGCTATTACTGCAATTCTGGGGTCCAAGATCAAGGCCCATGATGTTAAGGATCCGATTTTAGTGCGTTCGAAAAAGACAGAAAAGCAACTTGAAGAAAAGAAGCTGGAAGCTAAGGCCAAACATGCTCTGGCAGTCGAGAGACGCACAGCACAAGACAAGGATCGTGTACGTAGCTTGATGCCCAAAGATGAAGCCAAGCTGCATGCATATCTGGAGCATGAAAAGGTTCTGCGCAAGACAGCGCAACGCGGTGTGGTGAAACTATTTAACGCGATTTTGGGAGCACAAAAGAATACACAGGCGACGCTGGGAGCAGCCAAGCAAGGTAAGCTTGTCAAGACTGTGGAGAAGGAAGCAGCGACAGATCTCTCCAAGGAACAATTTTTGGACCTGATACGGTCTGGTTAAAAAAAAAAAAATAAACTATATACACACTATATTATTAATTATAAACACCATCAACAAGAAAAGAGGAAGAAAAAAAAAAAAAAAAAAAACGAGGAGAATATTTCTATTTGTCTATCGCTTCTCAAAGTCTCTGGCTTGAAGATTGCGGGTCATAGCAGGGAGAGCAACACGCAGACCGTCGAGCTCTTTAGACATTACAATCTGGCATCCGAGACGGGATGTTTCAGTGAGGCCGAATGCGAGATCAAGCATATCGTTTTCATCATCATCAGGTTCTTCCATAATATCGTAATAATCTGGGTCGACAATTACGTGGCAAGTGGAGCACGCGCAGGAGCCACCACAAGCACCTTCCATATCGAGGTTGTTTGCCTGTGCAATGTCGAGCAGGTTATCACCAGCAGCTACCTCGTATGTATTCTGAGTGCCGTCTTTGGTAATGAAGGTAACATGGAGCTCCTCACCGGGCTTGGGTTTATGAAGATGGCCATGGAATCGGATAGTTGTAAGTGGTGTCAGAGCGGCCCGTGGCTGGGTAGTGGGGTATCGGGCCACAGCAAAACGCGTTGGTTTTGCATGGGAGAATGTGGCGGTGCTTGAGAGAGCACGGGTGATCTGGCGCACAGTTAAGGCTGCAGAAGAAACAGTAGAGAATCTTGGTGGCATTCTAGAATGGATAGATTGGATATTTTATGTTGGATGGATGGGTGAAGAAGAAGAAGAAGAATACTTCTCTGGAGGCAACAACAGGTCGTCGGAAGGGGAAGGGGAGACCTGAGTTAGGAGGATGGTATTTTTTTTTTTTTTTTTTTTTAATGGTGGAGATTTTCAAAAGAAAATAAAAATTGGCGGCAGAAGTAATTGTGATTACACACGGGCCGATTGGGGGCTTTTTGTGTGTTTATGTATGTGTAAGTGTATGTGACATTGCAGTTTGTGTTGTAATAAAATTTATTTGGATTTGTGCACCCGACCAAAGCGATCTTTGCCACCACCCAAACTTTTAGATAACCGTTCATTAGACCTAAAACCACACACACACACATACATATATATATATATAAATATAAATTAATATACAAGCTGCAATATGGCTAATCTCATGGATAACGATCTCATTTCCAAGTATGAGTCCGAGTTTGGACTTACATCGACAGAGATTACCCAAAAGTTAGATGCCCTGACCACGGAGGTCGACAAAGGTGTGTGAAATTTATATATAATAATAAATACCTAATGTGTTTTGTTTTCCCCCACCACCAGTATACCTAACTCTATATTGCAGACCAGCGAAAAAAACTCTTGTCGAGTGTTGAACGTGCCATTGAAGAAGCCTATGAGATTGTAAGTGAAAGAGAAAGACAAGTTTTTTTTTTTTTAAAAGAAGATAAAATAGCTAATATTTTAAATTAAAGCTCGATCAACTGGCAGTTGAAATTCAAAACATTCCATCTGCAGCGCGTGGTCCATATAATGGAAGGCTGCGAGATTATCGAGCATCACTTGATAAGGCCAAGCGAGATGTTAAGCGTGCAGGAGAGGAATCTGCTCGTGTTGAATTATTTGGGTCTCGGGCTTTAAATAGTGGTATTCCTGGGGCTTCTTCAGATGACATTGCATTAGATCAGCGCCAGCAGCTTTTGCAAGGAACAGCCAGTTTGGAGAGATCAAGTCAACGGTTGCGGGACAGCCAGCGGCTGGCAAACGAAACAGAACAGATTGGAGCAAACATTTTGTCAGACTTGAGGGGTCAACGAGAGCAAATTTCAAATGCTCGGAACACACTTATGGAAGCAGATGGACACGTGGACAAGAGTATTCGTACATTGCGGAGTATGGCTCGAAGGTGAGTAAGAAGAAGAAGAAGAAGATGTTTGGAAGGGATATAGAGAGCGTTGTTGATTAAAAATTATTGTACTAACATTTAATTTTTTTTATTTAGAATGGCTACAAATCGAATTATTACTGTAGCCATTATTGTTGTTTTAGTATTACTTATTCTGCTAGTGATTGCCAGCAAGTTTTGGTAACGGTCTTTATTATTATTATTATTATTATTAATATTAATTATTAGTTAAAGATATGTTTTTTTCTTTCCTATTAACAATAACAAAGATTGTATTAATGGAATTAGATATGAAGTTTAAAGTATTAGTGAGAATAATTTTTTTTTCTATTTTGTTAAAGAGAATATATATATATATATATATATATATATAGAATGGTATCAGAATAATAATGCAAATAACGTTAATGAGAGATGATAATAACAATACCTTTGATTAAAATAAAAGTCAATCTAACTAATAATTAACTAAACTACCAGCCCATCTTTTTTTTTTTTTTTTTCAAAATGAGAAATATAAAAAAAAAATTAAAGATTTTATTTTCTTCTTCTTCTTTTTTCATTTTTGATCATATGATAGAAGGATTTGGATAAAAAAAAGAGAAAAAAAAAAAAACAGCTGATGACAGGTGGATGAGACCTGGGGAAGATTAAAAAAAAAAATAAAAAAAAAAGGATTCCAAATGGGATAATAATTATTACCAATTTGATTTCATACAGGAATGATATATAAACGGATATTTCATGAATATCGAAAAAAGAAGAATATGAAGAATATATGAAGAAGTAAAAAAAAAAAAAAAATTAAATAAATAAATAAATAAATAAAAATGAAAGCCGCTTAATTTTATAAAATAAAAATCAAAAATAAATAAATAAAAAACTTGTGATATTTTTTTTTAAATGAAATAAAAAAAAAAAAAAAAAGCAGCAGCAGCAGCAGCAGCAGCAGCAGCAGCAGAAAGTTTTAATAAAGAAATACCTTCTTCAGCAAAATCTCCTAATTAAGGGAATTACTTGATAAAAAAAAAATGAAGAAGGGACAGGAAAATGGAGGAATGGAAGGAGGGGAAAGAAAAAGCTCTGCATAAACACAAATTAGGACAATTTGAAGGAGATTGACAAGTAGTAAATTACGAATGTTGGTCGACATTAGTTGGGCAGTTTGTTGTTGTAACAGTATATATATATATATATATCGTGATATCTGAAAAAAAAAAAAAAAAAAAAAATAAGTTTGAAGAAACAAAAAAAGTTCAAAATACAAATATCGTACACACATATGGGCAAGTGAGTACGTTTTTGGAATTAGGCGCGCTTCGTCATCATGCCTCGTTAAACATCAAATAGACCCGTAATCATGGATTACAGGACACGGTAACCAATTACGCATAGACGATGCAAACCAGTTTAGTGATTATATATATATATAGAGATAGCAATACAAAATATTTTTAGGGGGGGGGGGGGGTGAGAAAGAGAAAGAGAAAGATGAAAAAAAAAAAAAAAAAAAAAAAAAAAAAAGAAGAAGAAGGGGAGAAAAGATTTTTTGTATGGATGAAAATGGTACAAAATAGTTGTAAAATCCAGAAAATGGGTATTATAAATATATATTTTAAGGGAATTCACAACTTTGGGAAATAGAAAATAGAAAATAGAAATTAGGATATTATTATTATTATTATTATTATTATTATTATTATTATTATTATTATTATTATTATTATTATTAGGAAAATAAAAAATGAATAAAAACATTTTTTTTTTCTTTTTTAATAACAAAAAAAAAATAATAATAAATAAATAGAAGAGGTGGGCAAAGAAAAGAAAAATATCAAAGAAAGTGAATATTGAAGCCCACAGAAAATATAAAATAAAAATTAAAAATTAAAAATCAATTAAATAAATAAAATTAAAAATTAAAAATTAAAAATTAAAAATAAAAAATAAAAAATAAAAAAAGCGCATACTAAAACAATCTTGAATAAGAAACTTGCATAGAACTTTTTCCTTTGTTAAGAAATTGGTTATTTTTTTTCATTTTTTTATTTTTATTTTCATTTTTAAAAATGAAAGAAAGACAGAAAGAAAAAATAATTTTTCTCTTTCAACTTGCTTTTTCTTTTCATATTTTAATGTTACCAAATGTTTTTTTTTATTTATTTTATTTTTATTTTTATTTATTTTTATTTATTTTTTCAAATACAGTATTATCAAAGAAAAACTTAAAAAAAAGGTAATATTGAAATAAGATATTAATTTATAAAAAAAAAAATGAGAGAAAAAAAAATAGTATACTGTGGTCTTTATTTTTATTTATTTTTTTTTATATAGTTGAGACAAAAATGAAAAGAAAATTGTTCTTTCCATTAAAAGAAGAAAAAAAAAAAAGAATGAATGAATAAAGTATTTTATTTGAAAAAAAAAAAAAAAAAAAAAAAAAAAAAAGGTTAAAGAGAAAGAAAAAAAAAAGACTTTAGCAATCAAATAGAATAGAACCTCGTATTTTTTTTTTCCATTATTAATTCCATTTAAAATACAAAGACATAGTAACTAAGCATAAATCAGATACATTTAATACATTTAAACCTTCGGCATATCTGTATATCCGAAAGGTAAAGTATATAGGAAACTGGGAACAGAAAGAAAGAATGAATGAATAGAAGATTAAACAAAACAAAAAAAAAAAAAAAAAAAAAAAAAAAAAAAGAAGAAGAAGAAAAAAAAAAGGTAAACGATTGCTTTCGGAGATAACTTTTTCGTTTGACTAAACTTGAAAGAAAAAAAGAAAGCAACCGAAAGGATTTTACAATAACAGCAGCAGCAGCAGTAGCAGTATGAAAAAAAAAATTGTATATAATAAAATAAAACATCAGTGGCGCAAGCGATGGTAAAAAAAAAAAAAAAAAAAAGTTGGGAAATATATACCACTCCGATGTGTATGCAATTGGTGCAGTTAGTGTAACATTAATTTTCTTCTTTTTTTTTATTTTATTTTATTTTTTTCCATTTATTCAAACTTCAAATAATTTTTCTGGTTGGTTGGAATACAATTAAATAACTCTAATTTGTAAAATGTAGATATCAAGGATTGAATAAAGTAATTAAGATAGTACGGAAACATTAAAAAAAAAATAATTTTGACTAATGGCATTAGTAGAAATTTTGTTATTTAAAGTCTATTAAAGAAAAAAAAAAAAAAAAAGTATTGTAAAGCATAATATGGATCGTTTCTTTCATTTGTTTTTTTTTTTTTAGTGTGAATAAGAAGGTTTGTTCGGAATATTTTTGCAACTTTGGGATCAAAGGTGTTTAAAATAAAATAAATTTTTCATTTTTTTAATTTTTTTAATTTTTTTAATTTTGAATTTTAAATTTTGAATTTTAAATTTTCTAATTTCTAATTTCTAATACAAATACAAATACAAAATTTCCATGGTCTAGTCTCTCCAAAAGATCCAATCTTTTCCAAAATACAAATGAAATTTTTCCACAGTTACTTTTTTTTTTTTTCAACGACAACGACAACGATTAAAAACAATATTTTTAGAAATCAGTTACTACAACGTAGAAATATTTATTTTTATTTAATTATATTTTTTTCAATTAAAAAGAAATTCTTGGTAATCCTTTTTTTTTTTTTTTTTTTTTTGATTTAGAGAGTGAGAGTAAGTGTGAGTGAAAGTAAGAAAAAAAAAAAAAAAAGATCTTTGAAAAAAATACTTGGATTCAACCAAAATACAACTTTTCTTTTTTTCTTTTCTTTTTTTTTCTTTTTTTTTTTTTTTTTTTTTTTTTTTGGTGGGTCAGTCATGAGTACATTCCATTTTAGTTTTCTTGCTTCAATTTAAAAGTAAAAAAAAAAATAAAAATTTGTTTGAACAGTAAAAGAAATTTTAAATAATACATCTAACGTAAACGTTTGAAAGGGTGATAATAAAATCTCTAAAGAGGGGAAATTGGGGATAACGGAGTCCTAAATAAAAAAAAAATTTTTGATAATAATAATAAAAATAATTATAATTATAAAACGTTAACGTTAACGTTAACGTTAACGTTTTTTTTTTCAATTTCATTTTCATTTTTATTTTCATTTTCATTTTTAAATACAATTTGATTCTGCTAAGACCAAAGCTTTGGACTCTGAAAAAAAAAAAAAAAAAAATTTTTTTGTGACTAAAATCCTAAACAGACTTTAAAGTCCCACTTTTGAAATATTTCTTGTGTATTATATATATATATATATTTATTTATTTTATTAATCAACTTTAGAAGAAAGAAAAAAAAAAAAATTTTAAAAAAGTTCTGTTGACTCTCTCTCTCTCTCATTCGTCAAGAAGAAATTGAAAAAAAAAAAAAAAAAAAGATTTTTCTTTATACAATATGTCACGATTGAAGAACCAATCTTAATTTTGAGTTAATATCAAACCAACCAACCAACCAACCAAAAAAAAAATTTACATATATATTCGCTTATCTTTATTCAAAGGTATTTTTATTTTTTTTTTTATTTTCCATACCGAATGTAGAGTTAAAAAAAAAAAAGAAAATATTAAATTCATTAATTATTCCTTTTTTTAGTAAATTTATCTAATTATCTAATTTTAAATTTTTAAATTAAAAATAGATAATAACCATATATATATACTCTATTACCATCTTTATCTCTTTCAAAAATAAAAACGTTTGTAATTACATAGCTATGTAATTAAAACTATTCTTAAAAGAAGTTTTTTGTTTCTCTTTTAAGAGAAAAAAAAAAAAAAAAACACAAATTGAATTGAATCTTGTATTCTTTTTTTAAAAATATATTTAAATTTCTTTCTTCTTTTTTTTCTTCTTGGTTAAACAAGTATCTTAGTCGATAATAATTTTTTTTTTCTCGATGCGGTACTTTATTATCTACCGATATACACCGTCGGAATCGTTAAAATAAATATAAATAAATAAAAAAAAAAAAAAAAACCTCGAAACAAGAATACGTTAACCCACAAATACCAAAGTATATTCGGTTACTCAGATATATTTTAGTTTTATAAGTTGGTTATGTTTCTTTTGTTTCTTTTTTTTTTTTTTTCATTCTTACAAAAATAACTGGTTTGATTTTAAAAGAATGGCCACTAAAAAGAGCTCTTTTTTTTTTTCTTTCTCGCTTCTATGTCATCTATACTAAATTAGATGAATCTAGAAATATATATATACTCTTACAAAAAAAAAAAAAAAAAAAAAGAGAAAATAATTATTATAAGAATAAATTGAAATCCATTGAATGGAAAAACTAGTTATGTTAAAGAGTTGAACAATTAAGATTATATATATACTATTATTGGAATCAATCAAAATTATTATTAATTAATATCACTGTTTAATCAAAATTAAAAACAAACAACAAAGGTTTATATGCAAACTAGGCAAATATATATATATATATATATATATATATATAATGATTTTTTTTTTTCATTCTATTCAAAAATTTATTTTTTTTTAGTAGTAGAAGTAGTAGTAGCAGTAGTAGCAGTAGTAGCAGTAGCAGAAGTAGCAGAAGTAGTAGTAGCATGATAATATACTTACTTGTATATATATTATTCTTCAACCCCTTTTTTTATTTTATTTCTATTCGTTTATGAGTAAAAATATTTCAGGAGAATTAAATAATTCAATAAAGAAATAAAGAAATAAAGAATTTTGTTATGTTTGAAGAACCAATATTTATCTAACTTTCCAATGAATTTATTGATATTTTCCTATAGTCACAGTTTTTTTTTTTTTGAATGAATCATCATGAGTCCTATTAAAAAAATTCACTCTTTTACAAAACTACTTAGTTATCCCAATATACTAATTAGTTTAATATACTACACATTGTATATTTCCATTATTTTGGAAATCTTTTGAAATATTCAAATATATAATTTTTTTTTTTTTTTCTTTTTTTAAAAAAAAAAACAACAACAACAACAACAAACCCCTTTTGCACACTTTTATTTCAAATATCAATTTTTCTAAAAAAGAAAAAGTCTCAAATTCTTAAATTCTTAAATAAAAAAAAGTTGTTGTTGTTGTTGTTGTTGTTTTTTCATCTTATAAAATGCACTCACACACATTATCTCCAGGAACATTCACAAATCACATTTTTTCTTTTAGCATGCACTAATTATTTCACAATCATCATCATCATCACTAATGTAAATCTTTGTTTCCCCTCAAAATAAAAATAAATAAATAAAAATAAAAATAAATCCTCGCTTCTCCTTTCTTGACCAAACTAAAAAATAACTTTGTTAATCTTTTTTTTTTTCATCATCATCATGTTTCTCATTTAGAGTCTCTCTCTCTCTCTCTCTCTCTCTCTATCTCTCTCCCGCCTTATTACTAAATATCAACAATGCCTTTTGCTTTTTTTCTTTCTTTCTTTTTTCTTTTTTCATTTTTTTTTTCAACCCACCATTCAGGTAATATGGCTCCACTTACCTTTAGACGTTTTAGGTCTTTTGTGTATTTTACCTAAATATTCTTAATATACTTATATTAATTCCCAAATCTGTCCTTTTTAGACTCTCCTTTTTAATTGATGGAAAATCTTACTTTTTTTTTTTTTTTTTTTTTCCTTTAACTCCTGAAAATTTTCTTTTATTTTCTATTATTTAATTTTCTTTCTTTCTTTCTTTCTTTCTTTTTTGATCAAATACTTTCCTGGTTTATTATTATTGTAAAATGTGTTGTGCCAACAACCTATTTATTTAAAAAATTATACCCCTAATTTTTTTTTTTTTTTTTTTTTCAAAATATATAAATTCAATAATCATCAAAACCTCGTTAAAAAAAAAAAAAACATGGGCTAATTCATACATGCACAGTTCTTTTTTTTGCTTTTTTTTTTTTTTTTGGCCTCCCTCCACCCCTCCCCCAAATTCATCAATCTACATTTTTCTTAAAAAAAAAAAAAAGAAAAAATTTAAATTCTATATCTCCGTTTAAAAATACTATGTAATCACCAGTTACTACCAAAAATTCAGTCACACTAACTTCTTTAACGAGCCTTGTTATATATATATATATATATATATATATATATATGTGTGTGTATATGTTTGTTAGCGTGATGTTGTGTTGTGCCTCTCTGCTTCCGTCACTTAAGACTGCTGCTGCGTTTTAAATATTGTTCATCTTAAATCTTAAACCTCCTCTCATGAGATCACAACATAAAAAATTTACAAGTCTATTTAAATTAATTTAGTCAAACCGTGCCTTAATCATCCCAATCTGGTCATTTATATATATATTTAAAATTCTTCTTTTTCTTCTTTTTCTTTTATATAAATAGAAAAAAAAAAGAAAAAAAAAAAAAAAAAAAAAAAAACAGTGATTTCTTTTAAACTAAAAACAAATTGTATATAGATAATACTTTCTCTAAAAAAAAAAAAAATAAAACAAAAAATTACAAAAAATTACAAATAAAAATTATACATATTAAACTTTTCTTCTTTTCCTTTTTTTTTTTTTTTCATCACCCATCTTTTTCCATAAAAGGCGCTTTTCAAGACTTAATTTCTTTTTTTGTTTTTTTTAATCTCTCAATAAGTCTTTTTCATCATTGTGCAAGACCAAGAGCCGCACATACCTCGGCCACGACCCGAGCTTCTCCTCCCGAACAGCACTGTACAACTGCCACTCTAGCCCCGTTCCGTAGCCCAGTCATCCGAACCTCAATGCACTTCTCGTCTGATGTACTGCTATTGTTACTGCTGTTGTTGAGACAATCATTATTTAGCGGCTCCACATACACAACAATGTCCGCACTAGGAAGCCCCCGTAACATGTGTACGCTGGATGTCCACCGCTCACGTCGTCGAGCATTCTTCTGCGCTGTATGGCTCTTGCGCTGGGTAAGCACTCGATTGACCTCACGCCGAACAAGCGATCCATCACGGCGCTCAATCGGATCAACTGGAGGAGGAGATGCCGTACGCGCAGGCGAAACAGTGTGGTCACGAGCATCGCGTGACTCAGGCTCAGGTTCAGGGTTCGTCAAGTCAGACACAGAAATGGGCCGCCGAGTGATTGTTGGCGTTGGAGTTCGGCGCAAATCAGTAATGCTGGCAGAAGCAGAAGCGGAAGCAGGAGACTTGTCTATATCTATCAAAGGTTCTGCATTGTCCCCAGTCTTGCCGCTACTGCTGCTGTCTCCATTCTCCTGCTTTACTTCGTCCTCATGGCCTTCTTCCTCCATCTCTTCATCTTCATCATCAGTGCTGTCAGCTGCAAGATCATTGGCCGCACTCAAAAGATAATCACTAAGCACCAGAATTTTATCATCACCGTGGTTATGGTCATTATTATTATTATTATTATTATTATTATTATTATTATTATTATTATTATTATTATTATTATTATTATTACTGTCATTATCGTTATTATCATTAGTTTGTTGTTTATCATCAGTGTTTTTATTGTCATTTTTATCATTGTCGTTGTCGTTGTCGTTGTTGTTATCATTATTAGAACCGTTGCTATTGTTTCTTTCATCCTTCTTTGTTTTGCTCCGTTGGCGCTTAATAAGGCTAGACATTTGTTGGTGCAAACATGCAATACGCCAAATCCGAACAGCCTCAACATCAGTCAGGTACAAGGGCTTGGCATCGCCGTCCAACCGCACAGATTGTGCACCCAGTTTTTGGGTCAACTCAGCAGCCACACGCTGGTTCAACTCAGAGTCCTGGCCCTCGACAGCAATCAAAGTTGGTTGCTTTTGGTCTCCAGAAACAACCTTGGGTGGGATTTTGCACAAACCAGCAATCATCTCAAACTTGTCATAAATGCTAAGTTCTGGAAGCAGCCCTTGAAATGCTGTAGAAGCAACAGATGCACACGATACTGAGCGTAGCGATGCACCAGAAAAGGAAGAAGAAGAAACAATGCTGCTGCCGCGCGAGTCCGACTGCTCGTTGATTGACACAAGCGGCGTCTCGTAAAACCCATGTGTGCTGTTAAACGCGTTATAGTGAGTTGGCGCGGCACCTCCCGCATGCTCGCCACGGTGCGAATTAGCCAGTGAAAATGCAGACTTGTAACGCTCAGTGCGCGATGGCACCACAGTCCCAGAAAGCAACGGGTCGTGGTATGACGACGTGCGCCGGCGCTTAAATGCAATCTCCTCTTCCATAAGCGACGTTGTCATTGAAACGGCAGCTGTTGCAGTGGTAGTTGTTGTTGTAGTTGTAGTAGTAGCATTGGTGACATTAGTAACGCTATTTACAGCTTGAGATCCTCCTGGACTAGAAGGAAATGCACGCTGTCTAGGTGAAGAAAATACAGATCGTAACTTTGTAGTGACTGTTGGAGCGTGCGAGTGCGAATTAGGGGGAGGAGGTGGTCCAGCTGTTACTGTTGCTGCCGATGAAGGTGCAGATGATGCTGCTACTAGAGTTGCCGTAGCTGAGGTGGCAGGAGACGAGCTGTTGTTGTTGTTACTATTGTTGCTATTGTTGCTAGCGGTAGTCCCATCCAAAGGCTCCACCGGTTTGGAATCACGCTTAAATGTAAAGGGCCGCAAAGGAGAGTCAGCTGGAGAAGATGCAGACGTACGTGTCGAAGAAGACTCTGATCGACTGTAATAATAATTGTATGGATCCGAACCAAGCTTTTCCAATCTGGGTAAAGGTCCTTGAGGGCCTTGAAACCCATGATGGGAAGGGTGGCCAGGAGGCGGCGGTGGTCCCTGGTGGTAGTTTGGCATAGAATATAAAGACGTTGATGATGCAGAAGCTGAAAGAGACCCTGAGGACACGGAGCTAAAGCTGGATGAAGATGAAAAGGAAGACGCGCTGTACGCGTCTGAAGTAGTGGAGGATGATGAAGACGACAAAGACCCGTTGTGCGGGTGGTAGCCTGGACCAGAACCAGAGCCTCCACTGTTAAAATGTGATGCAGAAGATGCAGCAGGTGGAGTATTTGCTGGAGGATAATAACTACCAGTAGTTGAATGAGAGATTTCAGGGGCCGATTGGTGGCGATAGGACAAGTCATACTTGTTGCTTGAAACATCAGTTTCGATAGAAGCAGCAGGAGCCGAGTTTTTATGATAGTTGCGGGGGTATTGATTGCTTAGAGAAGAAGGCAAAGGAAGAACAGAAGATTGGGAGTTTTGGGAAGATTGGGTAGAAGACTGAGAAGAAGTTTGAGAAAGAGGAGGTAAAGATGGAAGCCCAACACGTGAATCCATTGAATGAAAGCTGGGAGTGTTGGGTAGAGAGGGTAGGGCTGGGGCTGGAGATGGAGCTGTAGCTGGTGTAGAAGGTTGGCTATAAGAAGATCCATTAGGAGGAGCTGTAGAAATCGGATTTTGTCCTTGGGTATGTATTGGGGCAGGGGCAGATGCAGCTGTAGAAGGACTTTTGTCGCGAGATGCGGGCGTTGATACTGCAGCTGAAGATGAAGATGAAGCCGCGGCAGCAGAAGAAGTAATACCCTTGCATACTGGACATATTCCTGGGATTGAGTCTGCTGAGGCGGCTCGCTTTGAACTTCTGCGAGGCTGGTATCTATAATCAGGGAAGCGTTCCGAATGGGATTTTTTCTCTTCGTCTCCGAGCTGGACCCAAAAGTCCTTTTCAGCCTGACCAAGCGAGCGCCAGCGCTCGCCAATGATTTTGGAGATTTCCGGGTTAGTTTTTCCAGGGTTGGTGGCAACGACCTTGGCATGATGGTGTTGCCGGTATAGAATAAAAGCGTTGCGAGGCCGTGGGACTCGAGTAGTATTTGGACAGATGCAAATGTGCGACGAAAGAGCAATAGTAGATGTTCCTGGTGTTGGTGCTGAAGCTGTAGAAGGAGGTTGTGGAGGTGACCGAGTAGGGGGGGCTGTTGAGGAAGAAGAAGACGAGGAGGAGGAGGAGGAGGAGGAGGAAGAAGCTGAAGCTGCTGCTGCTGCTACGGCAGAAGAAGCGCGTCGCGAAAGAGCAAATTGTTGCTGCTGGGAGGGCATGGACGCCAAATTTGGGTGGGAATGGGGGTAGGGGTAGTGGTGGGATGAGGTGTTTATGCTGGTGGTATTATTTGCAGAAGAGGAAGAAGATGACTGTGGAGATGAGGAAGATGAGGGTGTCGATGAGGAAGTGGAAGATGATGAAGGTGGTGGGAGATGGTGATGATGTAGATGATTAATAGATGACTGCGGTGGTGGATGTCCCGGGATATGACCCGAGTGATGAGATTGCGGGTGACCAGCTCCGCCGTTTAAAAGTGGCGGTGGAGGTGGTGGTGTATAATGGCCCGGAAGAGCCGACGGGTGTAGTGGAGGTGGAGGTGGTCCTTGGTAGTGATTTTGCGAAGGATGATGATGATGTTGCTGTTGTTGTTGTTGTTGTAGCTGTTGCTGTAGTTGTTGCTGTTGCTGCTGTAGTTGTTGCTGTTGCTGTTGCTGTTGCTGTTGCTGCTGTTGTCGTTGTTGATGGTGTGGTGGAGGAGGGGGAGGTGGTGGTGGTAGTGGTAAATGTTGTTGTTGCTGTTGATGATGAGGAAACCCGGGTCCTGGGGGTTGGCCTGGAGGCTGTCCCGGAGCTTGTCCTTGCGTAGGTTGCGCATATTGCTGGTTAAACGGTGGTGGGTATGTTGGAAGAGCCATGGAAAGAGACTATAAGGCGAAAGGACAGAACCAAATAGAGATTAAAGGGGATAACTGATAGAGTTGTATATACCAATTTTGAAAAGTATATCTAGGAGTTTTAAGGGATTCTAAAAAATGAAGATTTGAATGAATGAAGAAGACTTTCTGAAAGGTTTATAAGAGATAGAAGAGTACTGTTTATAAAATTAAAATAAAGATATTTGTGAAGAGTATGATATTTTGAGTTTTTTTATATATATATATGGATATATATATATATATATATTTGATATTATTATAGATGGTAATAATTTTTTAATAAAAAAATAAAAATAGCTGGGTGGTTGGGAATATTTATAAGATTTTTTTTTGTTTAGGGAAAAAAAAAAAAAAAAAAATGGCAGTTGGGCCGCAAATTAGAAAATTGACAAGCAGACAAGCAGTGATGAAAAAACTAATCAATAGACAGGGGCTATTAAATTGTTATTAAGATAATAATTATAATAACAAAAGAAGATTACATAAGATTTTAAAAGAAAAATAATAAAATATTTATTTATTTATTTAATTTATTTAATTTATTTAATCATTTATTTATATTTATATTTATTTACTATGTACATCACACAAAAAAAAAAAAAAAGAACCAACGAAAAAAAAATGTTATTTCAAAAGAGAATTGTCTCTATTTAATTCCGAGAAATAACACTGTAACCACTTGCAGACTTGCGAGCTGCAAACTCAGCAGTTTGGTACTCGAGTGATGGCACCAGATCAACTTTAACAAGGTCCTTGATCTTGACCACTTGACCGGCGATCTGCGGGCTCACTTTCTTGTAAACCACACGGCCTCTCTTTGACAAGCCAAGTGCACGGCAGGTTTCAGCAGTAGTTTTCGAGAGTCCAATGAAGGAGCGGTAGAGGTGGATTCTGTAGTACATTTTAAGAAATGTATATAAAATAAGGTTGTTGATTAATGATTTGGCTGGCACGTTGATTCTTGAAGAAACAAACGGTGATGGAGTTGTTTTTTTTTTTTTTGGTGGTGGTGGTGATGAAAATTTTCTCACCAAGAATTTTTTTTTTTTTTTTTCTCTTGGTAAAAGGGTAATCAGTAGAAAAAATTAACCGCCAATGGGGTTAGGGTTTTAATAGGTTTAGGGTTTTTAATTTATTTTTCAACTAACAGTTTACACATAAGTGTGTGTGTGTTTGTGTGTTTGTGTTTGTGTGTTTGATTCTCACTCTAGAGTTTATATTATTATGAATTTTTTTTTTATTTATTCACTTTTCATTTGAAAAAAAAAAAAAAAAAAAAACTAAACTAAATTAAACCAAAATATTCCAACCAACCAGCTTGCTAAAGAATAAACTAACTAATTAACTAGCCTAGTCATCTCCACTTTAGACAATCTCTCTTTAAATTTTATTCACTCTAGAGACATTATTATTATTACTATTGTTATTATATATCTGTAAAATAATGCGTAAATCTACAGATTCATATCACGATATCCAAACAAGACTTAATAATGAATTTGGTCCATCCTATATCACCCGTTTTTTTATTTATTTATTTATTTTTATCTTGCTCTAAAATTCTTGTTAGTTCTCCTTATTTGGTCCAAGATATATATATATATATCTTTCAGTTTTTTTTTTGGCCTAAAATATCCATCTTGTCCTTTTGGTCCAATATATATATATATCAACTTCATCATGATCTAAGATTCCCCCTACAATGATCTAAAGTAAATCAATCAAGATATAACTAATTGTGCCTTTTGCTAAATGAAAAAAAAAAATTAAAATACCAGTTTATAAAACTAAATCTCCTTTATTCCTAGTTCAATCTAAACTTGCTCAATCGTATCTTTTTTTTTTTTTTTTTTTTTTTTTTTTTGTCTTGAATTGATGTAGTCTTTTTCTTCATATTCATCTTCATCTTCTTTTTCATCTTCATCAAGGTTGTCATCATCGTCGTTGTTAATCCAACTATTATTTACCCCTGAATTTAGTATATCGCCATTATATACCAATGCTGACTCTCTTTTTTCCTTTTTATTTTTTTTCATCTTCATCTAAATCTTCTTTGTAAGCTTCTTCTTCTTCTTTTTATTTTTATTTTTTTTTCTTTTTTATGCTTAGTCCTTATCGACTTTCTGCAGACCCAAAAATACAAAACCTTTGTCTCGTTAAAAATTTCATATTAATTAAACAAATAATGTAAAAAAAAAAAATAAATTTTATTCAACAAAATAAAAACCTATTAGCTGGTTAAACTATTTTTTTCTTTTTTCACCATACTAAAATACCAAAAATAAAAAAAAAATAAAAATAACAAGACCTAAACGTATTTTATTTGCGTGCCTTTTCCGGAGTCTCCACTAATGACTGGTCCACCATACGCAACACTGTTTCGGCTGCAACCGTATGCTCACCGCTTCCATAAAAGTCATCTTCATCCTCACTTTTGACCTTTACTTGATTATTATTTTTATCCATAGCAATACGATTCAATGAATTAGTTTTCGCACTAGTCTCATCGGTGCCGTTGTTTTCGCCTTGGCCTCTACTTTTTGGGCCATTGTTGCTATTGCTTCCATTGCTGTTGTTGTTGTTGTCGTCGTAGTTGTACCTGGTATTGCTGCTGCCCCTGGAGCTAGAATCGGCACCAGTTGCCCCGAATGAACCTCGATCGCCATCCTCTCTTTCGTCTCCACTACTGCTTCCACGAGGTCCTAGCCGAGCCTTCTTCTTGTCTCCATCCGTATCGCCATTTCCATCATCATCATCATCACCGCTACCGCCTTTGCGCTTTAAAATCTTGTCCAAGTACACCCGGTTGGTCGCAAGACTGCTTTCTTCTGTTAAAACAGTCTTGCCCAACATAAGAGTAGTGCGTCGAGCACGCATTTCACGGACAACCCGTGATATAGGATCGCTCTTGGAGGATGCGGAAGCTGAATCATCCCGCAAAACAGGCCGCCGTGATAACCGCGAGTCATCTGGCTTTTCTGATTCCGTGTCTACAAAAGTAGCACCAAGGGGTTTAGATACTCTTAATGGGTGCCGAGTTTCTGGGTTTATAGAGTTAGTTAATTAGAGTCTTTTTTTTTTTTGTTTCTTTTTGAGAAACGTTTTTATTCTCTCGTTTAAAATAGCCATTTGAGGGAAATGATTAATCAATAATAAATGGATTTATTATTGCTTTTTCATAGTGAAAAAAAAACAACAGTATAATAGATCTAAGTATAATACATACCATATGATGGGAGCTGCATATCATTCTTGAAGTCCTCAGGCCGTACAACCGAAGGTTCGGTGAGTGTGCCATATCCTAGGGGAGCATAAGCCTTAGGTGAATCTTTGGAAAAGATATCGCCGTCAAGTACCCAGTTGCTAATTTAGTGTGTTAGGATCATCTAAGATCTTTCTTTCTTTTTTTTTTTAATCTTTGTTTAAAACTATTATTACTTACTTCGCCTTGTTGTTTCCCCAGCCCTTGGGTTTTGAAGCAAATGAAGATGCCATTTGAGTGATGTTGTTTTTTGGTGGTAATAATAATAACAAAAAATAATGATGTTGATTTAATTTAATTTAATTTAATTTAATTTTTAGGTGGTTGTGGTTGTGGTGGTGGTGGTGGTGGTGTTAATTAAAAAAATTTAACGTTTGTTAATTTTTGTTAATTTTAATTTTAATTTTTTGTTTTTTGTTTTTTAGAAAAAATGTGTTGCCCTAGCTCTTTCTTTATACTTGACCAATCTACCCTTTTTTTTTATCCTGCCCATAAACCAACAACAAAAACAATTGGCGCACTTTGTCTAATCCGGTTATAAACTAAATTGAAAAAAAAAAGAAGAAGAAGAAGAAGAAGATTTTTTATTTTTTTTTTTATTTTTTTTTTCTTGCTTCCATTCACTTGGTTAACAACTGTTTCCTTCCTGTAGTTTGGCAGTAAAAATTTATCTGTTTTCTATTAGCACCACCAGATGATGATTGTTTGGTGCCCTTTCAGGGGTATTGTCTTTTTCGTTTCCAGCTTCTCACCTTCTAGACCTAATTGGCAGTTAGTTTGTAATATTCAATGGATCATCAATGTACCAATAGCCACGGTAACTGCCAACAAATAATAGTTTTCCCCTTACTAGTAGTTTGAGAAAGAAAAAATAAAAATAATAATAAAAAAAAGGTACTTCTACTTCCTAAAACATAAAAATCTATGTAAATTTTTGTTCTAATTATAATTTAAAATTCTTGCCGTCATCCAGCGCCGACTACTAAGCTCCAATACTCTGCTACTAAGTTGTACCTTTGATACTTGCAACAACCCGCTCATTTGGTCCTGTTGGGTACCAACTGCCCCCCCTTGCAGTAATTGTGGGCCTTGTTACGTTATCATCACTGGTTTAAAAAAAAAATAATAATAATAAAATAACATATTTACCTGGTAACTAATAAATAATAAACAACATACCTAGTAACAAAATTGATTTTAAATCTATCATCATTAATCCCATCCCCTCCACCAACTATTAAGGGACCCACAAAGAAATGTCTGTCAAAGAATCGTCTAAGCTCTTCGACACAATCGCAAGCTTTCAAGAATCCTCCCCACCAGATGCCTTTCAATTAGACAAAGTTCTCCTTGACCTAGATGCATTCCAGGAAACTCCCCAACTTCTGGACTCAAGACTCCCTGGTTCCGTGGAGCGTCTTGCGCGCGAGTACGATTGTGTTGCAACGGGTGACCGGTCCTGGGCTGCACACTTGCTCTACGCACTTGCGAAAACTCGTGGTGCAAAAGTCATTGCTAGATTCTTCCCAAGTGATGTCAAATATCTTTTGAAAATATTAAAGGCTTTGGAAACTACCCAAAATACCTGGCAGGACCGTTACGTGCTACTGTTATGGCTCGCAGTGACTATCCTAGCGCCATTCCCATTGACGAGTTTTGGACAAGAAACTGCACAGCGCGTCATGGATGTGGCCAACAAATACCTCGGATCACCAGGCAAAGAGCGCGATGCCGCAGCGCTGGTGGCCGCAAGATTCCTCGCAAGACCTGATGCAGGTCCTTGGCTAGAAGCGTTTGCAAAATCCTGGGAATCAGCAACTGATTATTCCACACGGCTTCTAGGGACACTAGCTACGGCCGCACGGCTCTTCAAATTGCTCGACCCACACACCGTTTATAATCTCTTTTGCAAGTCAGGTCTCACGCTGCTCCTTGATACGGACCCGCCAAAGGACCTGGCTGGCGGCACCGTCTATGAACGAGTTGTTGTCAAGTGCCTTTCACGGATTGGAGTGGCTCTTATTTCCATTGATGACGACGGAGAATCTCCAGCAGAGTTACTTGACCGCTTGGTCGAGGCTTTATTTATGCGTCTTTCCAACCCTAATGTTCTTGTTCGCCACGCTGCAGCCAAATCAATTGCAGTAATCTCCACAGCACTTCCTCAAGATCTCCAGCCTGATATGGTGATAGCTGCACTTGACTACTTTGTCATTCCACAAACAGAAGCCCAGATGGATGCGGTAGACACTGCGGCATGGCACGGACACTTGCTACTACTTGCCGAGCTTGTGCGCCGCCGAATAGAGGTCCCCGATTGGCCTCGGGTGCAAGAGGTTGTCGAATTCTCACTCCGGTTCACACAACTACGCCTAACGCGTGTCGAAGGTGCCGGGGTCCGAGATGCAGCTTGCTTTGTAGCTTGGTCTCTTTTCAGATCCCAGCAATTCGTTCCACAAGCGCAAAACCTTGCAGGGTGTCTTGTGTATGCTGCATGTACCGATTCAGAGATTGGGATTCGTCGCGCGGCATCGGCCGCGTTACAGGAAGGTGTAGGACGTTTGGCTGCCGGTGCAATTGTTGGTGGGCTGGAGGTGGTTCAAACAGTTGACTTTTTCGCACTGGCAAGTGTGGAGCGTGCATACCTTGAGGTTCTACCCAAAGCGTACGATCTCGGATACCCACAACTATTGGATTACCTTTTAGAGCACGGGATTGCGAGCCATGCAATTCATTTGAGACGCCTGGCAGCCCGTGCCATTGCAATTCTGGCGAAAACCTACGCATCAGGTCGGCTGGAAGAAACGGTGCAAAAGCTACTTGCACAAGCACCTAGTCCTAGCAGATACCCGGCCCGGTTTCACGGTGTGTACTATGCGCTTGCGGAACTGTGTGCTAGTGGGTGTCTTACTGATGCGCAGTGGGATCGCACTGCATCCTTGTCACTTGCAGTACTGGGGCGCGACAATTTTGTGTCAGCTCCGGAAACTGCCGAAGCGTTTGTACATTTAGCATGGGCACAAGCTTTGGCTGGCCGCACACCATTCTCACCGCATACACTTGACATGCTGCTGTGCAGCTTGGCAACCAGTGTTCCTGCTGCGCAAGTGGAAATACCCGAGACAAGCCAAGAGTGGTCTGTTATTGCAAGGGCAATGAAGGGTGGAGCACCACAGGAATGGACCGAGGCTGCAAGAGAGGAATTGGAGGCAGCCCGCGTGAGTGCAGGTGCCGGGTCTCGCACGGTGGTTCCACTCAACACGGTGCTTGTGCTAGGATGGACGGTGCCGCTTTCTGATGCGACGTTCAATGTTCTGTACGAGGCTGCAACACGTGCGCGTGTATTTGAGGCCCGCCGGGTGGCTATTAAGAGTCTAAGCAATTCACTTTTCAGCCAGCACAATAAAGCCCCAGATGCCACAGATGCCACAGATGCTACAGATTTCACAGACGCTTCAAACACTGCAGATGCACCTGATGCGCGAGTCGTGCGGCTCTTACTCATGGGCATGACCGACTTTACGCGGCGGCCAGGCCAGGGTGACGTTGGGTGGACGTTACGCCGCGACTCGCTTGCAGCTTGTGCGCAGTTGTGCAAAGAGTCTTTGCTGACAGCTGTGCAGCGGCGCGCGTACGTGCTTGGGCTACTGCGGCTGGCTGGTGAGGTTCGCGCAGACTTGCGGCTTACTGCAATGCTGCGATTGGCGCAAACAGAGCTGGGAAATGCACCTGTATTTGAAGCAGCAGCAAGCTTGGTTCCCGAGTTTACGCGCGATGAGCAGGTGTACGAGTACTATACTGCGCACGCTACAGAGTTGGTGGTTGCGCTAGAGGCCTACGATGAGCAGCCGGGCCAAAACAAGTCCCCTCGCTTCGCAGTCTGTGCATTTCTCAAGGGTTTAGTTTGTGCTGCCGGAGCTCAGTATGCTGCTGCAGATACTCTTGCGTCTTCTTTCAGTGCATTTGCTGCCATACTTCGTTTACGGCCCAGATTGTGGGAATCTGTTATATTTCCTCTTCTCGGTGCGCCTACTGCTTCCGGTACTACAGTCCGTGTTGACGAGCGCGTTGTACTTGCGGCACTGCGGGTTTTTGCGCGTGCCGTAGACGCCAATCTTCCCGGGTTGCCGGCCCCGTTGCTGTACCGTGTTGCGATAGCTGGGACAAGTGCACGTTCAGGTGCGCATGCGGGAGATAGTTCTGCAGCAGGGATTACTGAGATTGCTGGAATGAGTCCGGTGAGGGCACCATTTGTGGCGACGGTGTTGGCTGGTGCTGCACGGGGTGGAGATGCGCGTGGGCTGCGCGGGCTGCTGGATGTGTGTGGTGGGGCTGCGTCTGGTGGGGTGCGGCAGAGTGTGGGGGATCTTTTGTATGAGGTTGTTTCTGAGATCATGGATGAAAATGAGGAGGAAGACGAAGTTGAAGATGAAAATGAAGATGAAAATGAAGTGCTAGAGAAAGAACTAGATCAAGATTGGAAAAAACAAATTAATGAGGAAATGTTAGAGAGCCTTGGTGAAATTGATTGGACTTTAGAACCATCCATTGTGAAAAGTAAATTACAATCCATGTACTCCATTCTACCTTTATCATGTCCATGATTTGTAGTTTGTTTTGTTTGATGTAAATCTTCTTCTATTCCAAATAATAAGAAATAAATAGATAGATAAAAATGCATAAATATAATCATCATATTTCCATAAAAATAAAAATAAAAAAAAAACAATTAAAGTGTATATATATATGAATCCAAAAAAAAAAAAAAAAAAAAAAAATGAATAAATAATATGCTGTGCTATGCTATGCTATGCTATGCTGTGCTATGCTATGCTGTGCTATGCTATGCTATGCTTAAGGGGAAAAGAAAAAAAAACAAATCCCATGTTGAAATCTCTCCTACTCTTCATCCGAACTCGACAACAGCTCTTCTTCTTGTATCCGCGCACGGTTCGATGACAAAAAGCCCTTGAGTGAGATTGGGCCAGAGGAGTATGCGCGTTGTACTCCGTCAAGTGCATGGCGTGCTGGAGCCACGGGTGGTGTGCTTGCTGTTTCAACAATGGTAACAGCCGAAGGCATTTCCTCGTCGTCATCATCGTTTATTCTTCCTAATTGGACACTCTGGCGTCCCAATGTATCGTCATCATCGTCATCATCGTCAGACCCATGGTCCATACTTGAAGTTGGAGCGAGAGGTGGTGCAGATGAAGAAGAAGAAGAAGAAACAGAAACAGAAACAGGTGCAGGTGCAGGTGCAGGTGCAAGAACAGATTCTGCAGAAGGTGCAAGACGAGGCTCAGTATCTGAGTCTTCTTCCAGTGAATCTTCTAGAGCGTTTGCGAGCTCGTCAAGTCCCTCAATGTCACTCTCGTCATCGTCATCTGGAATATGGATTACCTGGGCAGATGGTGGAAGTGTATTGGTAGTGGGTTTAGGGGTATTTAAATTAGGAGAAGTTGAAGAAAGAGAAGAGGGAGATGGTAAACGGGGGGCTGTAGGAGTAACTGTTGTAGGCTGGGTATCTGGAAGCACGAGATGTGGCAGGCCGGGTTCTGATTTTTGTAATTGTTGTTCGTTTGTTTCCGTTGATTTTGATTTCGATTTTGACTTTGATTTTGATTTTTTGTCCTTTGTAGCAGGAGTTTTTTTCTTTTTTGTAGTTTCTCGTGGCTTTTTTTTGGATTCTGTTGTGAGAGGAGTAGTTTCTACTGGGGGTTGATCCAGAATAATTTGTTGTGGAACAACAACGGGTGTAGGTTCTTCTGGTAGAGTTTCCTTAGAATCTCGCGAGACTGATAACCGCAAGACTGCAGATAGCTGGTGGACAGTGAAGGATTGAGTTGCTGGGTCAAATAATAGGACACATTCTTGTTCATGTACGTGAGCAGGTTGAGCTTTGAATGCTCTATTTGGTTGTTTTTTATTATTGTTTGACTTGGATGATGAAGAGGATGAAGAGGATGAAGAGGATGAAGATGAAGTAGATGGTGGGGAGATATCTTCGACAATGTAGGATGCGGAAGATGAGCGGGTCATTTTCAAAGCATGGGAATCATCCAAGAGATCCGATCGAAGGTTATCTAATTAGTTATTTAGTCAGTTAGGTTAAGAATGTTGGTTTGAATGAGAATGCATATTTGTATATATGTATAGATAGTTATTTATTTATTTATTTACTTACACCTTAGAGAGATATAAGAGTCTGATTTTTGGTCTTTGGAGGCGAAGTTGGAGTTGACTTTGACTGGATATGAGGAGCCTACAAGGGCCTGGAGAGGCGAATTTTGGTCCATCATATTTAGATATTATGAATGGATAGTTTGAGGTATGAAAGAAGGGATATTTGTTTTGTTTTTTTTTTTGTTTATGTTATATTTATATATATATATATGAATTGGTAATGTAAAGAGGATATTTGTAAGATAGAGAGGAGGTAGTTTTAGGTGGGGAGTTTTTATTTTTATTTTTATTTTTTATTTTTATTTTTGTTGTGTTAACCTTTTAAACCCAAAAGAACCAAATTATTTATGGAAGTTATTTAAGAGTTGCATAATGCATTATATAATGTTTATATAATAGTGACTAATTATAATTACATAATGAACGGCTGAGTGAAAAATTTCCAAGTTTTGGTTTTTCTAAGAAAAAAAAAAAAAAAAGAAAAAAAAATCGCCAGCAGCAGCAGCAACAACAGCAGAAGAAGCCTGTGTGGTAAATGCATAGCCATTGATTGGGCAGGAACGATAAACAACACAGAGACAAAACAATTGACAATAGAATAGTTAGGATTGGTTTATAAAAAAAAATATATATATATATATATACAACGAGACAAAAAAAAAAAAAACAAATTAAATAATAAAAAAAAAAAGACAATCTATAAGGTATAAGTAAATGAAAGACAGACAGGCAGACAGGCAGACAGGCAGACAATACTCGGGGACTTATCCTAAGTACAGGACCGGAAGCACGGGTAAAAAAAAAACAACAACAGATATGCATGAAAAAGGATAGATGAAGGGAATGAAAGTTTTTTTTTTTTTGGGTTTTAGAAATTATTTCCGGTCAACGACGACGATTGATCGCTGAGCCCAAGATTCCTTCAAAGAAGAAGAATCATCATTATCATTGTTGTTCAAATTTTGATTTGATTTTTTAGAGGAAGAAGAAGATGAGCCATCAGCTCCTAGATGAGCAGGTTTTGCGGGGCATCCTACTAGTTGAGGAGCAGCGACTGTGAGGATTGCAATGAGGAAAGTTGTTGAGAAAAGGGAGGTTGTTAATCTTGTTCTTGTTGCAGCTTTGAAGTACATTTTTGAGAGAGATATAGATATATATATGATGTTGGATGAAAGTTTTGGTTTGATGTTTAAGGCGGGGAATAGAGTAAAGATCAGATAGAATTGAATAGGTAAAGAAGGTAAATATAAATATATATAAATGAAAAAAAAAAAATAAAATAAAAAAAAAAAAATTGTTATGATGATGTGTGGGCAGATTTTTTTTTTTTTTTTAAAAGATGTAAGGCTGGGTTGATATATTTATATTTATATACAATATATCTTTATATATGGATTTGAAAAGGAGAAGCATGGAATCTTTTTGAAGGAATCGTGCCGGAGAAAGGAAAAGGGTAGTTTTGGTAGTTTTTGGTGGGATGGGGGTTTGGCAGAAGCCGTAAAGTGTAACACAAATGTTACAAAAGTAAGTGTAACATAAGTGTAACAAAAGTAATAATGATGATAATAATGATGATAATAATGATGGAGAAAATTGTAATAATATCAATAATAAAGTGTAACAAGAGTGTCACAAATGTCGTCATGTAAATACCCTTACCCTTTAAAAACAACATTTAATAAAGATATTCATTTCGAATTTCCCTTCATTCCTTCATTTTGTCCATCTATTATAAATTTTGTATATATATAAATATAAATATAAATATAAATATAAATATAAATATAAAAAATTTATTTATTTCCATCAGAGACATGTATATACGCACAAAGGGAAAATGTTCTTTGTAATAATAATGATAATGTTACCGATACTTCAGTTTCTGCTTCTGCTTCAGCTTCAGCTTCAGCTTCTCTTCAGCTTTAGTTGTTGATGTTGCTGATGCTGCTGATGCTGCTGATGCTGCTGATATCTGTTTTTGCTTTTGTTTTTTACATGGATTTACAAGTTTTTACAGGTTTCTGCATATTTTTTTGCATATATTTTTTTTTTTTTTGTTTGTTTAATAAAAATTTCAAATAAACACTTTAAAAGATTGTTCATATTAAGCGATTCTATCATCAGTTTCTCCCTTTCATTCTTCCTTCCTCCCCCCCTTTTTTTTTTTTATTTTTTTTATTTCTTTATTTCAGGCAATTTTTGTTGTTATTGCTGTTGTTTGTTTTTTTATGTTGTTGTTATTGTTGTTATTGTTGCCATTTTGTCTTGATGTTTATTCCATGTTTCTTTCATGTGCCTTTTTTTTTTTTTTTTTTTTTTTTTTCCGATCGGAACAGGGCCCCACTAATTCCGCTTGTACTTTATTATTATTATTAGGTTTAAGTACATTGAAAAAAAAAAAGTCTTTTAATCTTTTAATATTAACGATGGATAACGATGATTAAGAAGATGATGATCAGCGATGGAATGTAATTAAAGTATATTTATATAATTTGTATAAATAAATAAATAAATTTATTTCAATTTTTTTTTTTTTTTCAAGACTGTAAAAAAAGTTTGTTGAAAGAGTTTTTTTTTTTTAAGCGGGGAAGGTTTATTAAGGACCCTTTTGTTAATGTTAATGCTAATGCTGTTGTTATTTCTATTTATTTCTATTTATTTTATTTTATTTAATAATTTTATTTAATAATTTTATTGTTATTGTTAATTTAAAGTTGTTTTTTCTTTACATATCTTTAATTCAATCATCATTATTATTATTTTCTTATCCATTCACATAACGTTCGATCCATTAAAAAAAAAATTAATCAACCAACCAACCAACTGATAATATAATAATAGTAATAATAATATTATTACAGACTTTTTTTTTATTTTCATTTTATATTAAAATTTTTTTTTGTGGTGATATATTCTATTTAACTTACATAAAGATAGTTATGTTGATTGATTGTGCAAGAAAACTATAGAAATTTTGAATTTGAATTTGAATTTGAATTTGAATTACATATTCTATGATAAAAAACCAAGAAAAAAAAAAAGAAACCGCTTTTAACAAGGACTTTTTTTATTTTTTTTTATTTTTTTGTTTTGAGTAAAACAAACAGTTCGGAATGTGCAATACCATTTATTTTTTATTTTTTTTCTTGAACGGTTGTAGATTGTCAGAAAAAGGAAAGTTTTCTAAAGAGTTTATTATTATTCACTTCTGAAGAAGAAATAGAAGAAGAAAAACAAAAAGAAGAAGAAGAAGAAGAAGACCAGCTGGTTTACTGATGATTATTTAAATGGAGAGGTTTTCCCATTTTATTTATTTTTTTTTAAAATTATTTTAATTTTTTAAATTACTTTAATTTAATTATGATTTAGTAATTTAGTATTAACAACATCCAACTAACTAACTAACTAACTAACTAACTAACCAACTAACTAACTAACTAACCAACTAACCAACCAATCGTTTCTTTATTCTCTAAGCTTTATTTTTTAATTTTTTTTTTAAACGAATTTAATTCTTATCATATCTATTAGAATAACTTAGTAACTTAGATTATCATCATAATCATCATAATCATCATAATCATTATCTTCATCTTTAACAGTTCTTTCTTTATTTATTTCTTTTAAACTTCTCGCTTAACTTTATGAATTTTTTTTTTTTTTTGCTCTTCCCAACAAAAACAAAACTTTTTTTTTTCTTTCTTTCTTTTCTAATTTTTGTTTTTTTTTCATGGGCTGACACATGTATACTTCTTAATCCGGATTCACGTGACTTTGTTCCAGTTACTATTTTGAGCATTTTGCCAAATGGCTTTTTTTTTTTTTTTTTTTCCCTTGTGTTCAGATTAATAAATAAATAAATATAAAATAGATAAAAATTTCAATTTAAATGTTTAAATATATATTTAAATATTTTTATAAATTAATTATTAAATAAAATAAAATAAAATAAATATAAAAAAAACATCTCCTTATATATATCCCGAATTTTATGACAAAAATCTTAAATAACTTTTTTTTTTTTTTTATTCCTGCCTCACTGCGGCTCATGTGGCGATTTCGTTAAAAATAACCTTTTCTCCACAGACACAGATAATTTCCATACTCAAATATACGCACATAAACAAACACACAAACAAACCCTCTTTCTCAAAAAAATTTTTTTTTTTCCCTCCTTAAATCCCTCTTTAACACTCTCGCTCCCCCTCCCTACCCCAATTCTAATTGTGTGCGCTTAACCTATTTGGGAATCATGCAGCTGAAAGTGTAACAGTGTAAAATATATACATATATACACTGTTCATGAATAAGCAACAACAACAATACACAGTGTAGAGAAAAAGAGATAAAAAAAAACAACACAAAACAAAACAGCACAACAACTGCACAACTTATCATCATCATCATCATCATCATTATAAGCTATTAAATCAATTTATATATATCTATATATTTATACACAGTGTATTTTACATAGGGGATGAGGAAGAGAAAAAAAAAAGGGAACTGAAAAAAAAAATTAAAAAAAGTACCTAATTAACTTTTATAAGTATAGCTTTAATAAATGAGACTAATGAGGTTTATTTTTTAATGTTTTATCTTTTAATTTTTTTTTTATGAATAAATAAATAATATACATTTATTATTATTATTATTTCGAGGAATTTTTATTTTCTTAAAAATATAAACATTTCATTTTTTTTTTACGAGACTTTGAAGAGAGGAGAAATAAAAAAAGAAAAAGGAAATATTGGCAAGGAGTTAAAAAAAATCCTCACAAATATTAGAGAGGGCCGTGCGCACGGAGAAATTTGAGGCAAGAAAAGATAGAGAGAAATAGAGGGAGAAAAAAAAAATAAAGAAAAGAATAAATAATAATTATTAATAATTATAATTAATAATAATTGTAACAAATAATAATAAATTGTAATAAATAATAATAAATAATAATAAATAATAATAAATAATAATAAATAATAATAAATAATTATATTAATAAATTGTAATAATTATTATTATAATAGATGATAGCAATAACAATAATAATTAATAATTATTATAATTATATAGTAATAAACATAAATTATAATTTTATACAACCAAATTATTAAACCCACTGGGCCTTTTTTTTTTTTTAAAAAAAAAGGGCTTAAAGCGAGATCTTTTATTTTTTATTTTTATTTATTTATTTATTTATTTTATTTATTTATTTTTATTTTATTTTTATTTTATTTTATTTATATTTTATATGTTTATTTATTTATTATATTTTATTTATTATTATTATTTTTGCCCTCCTTCCTCATGGGTATAAATAAGCGTGCCATTCCCGCCCATCATTTAAAATATTATCATCATCTTTTCAACTGAAGATATTCAAATATTTTATTTACTAATATTTATATATATATTCAAATACCCAAATATTTATCGTGGCTTTGGACTTTTTATTTTTCTTTCTCTCTCTCTTTTTTCTCTCTTATATATATATATATATAAATCAATATCTTTAATTTTTTCTATCATATGGACATTCCTATTTTTTCTCAAACATCCATTTAATTTCAAATCCACGTTAACTTTTTTTTTCATTTTTTATTTTTTATTATTTATTATTATTTAAATAATTTGTTTATATTTTAAAAAAATTTAAAATATCACCACTTTCCTCCCTCTAATCCCTCCATGTCTTTGCAAACTCCTCCAGTAGCTTACTCTTACGCTCTGCCTTCACCGCCATCCTTTGAAAATATGGCTGCTGATCAAAATAAAAATAACTTTGCATCCCCAAACCACAACCAACAGCAGCAGCAGCACCAGCACCAAGGCGAGGTCTATCCTTTTGCCACAGCAGCAGCTGCTGCTGCCGCAGCTGCAGCAGTAAATCCTGCATCCCAAGAGTCCCATCTCTTGAATAATCCTTCTCCTTCAATTCATGGCCATCATCAACAGTACCAGCAAGTCTCATCGTCTTCTGCGTACACTCACTCAGCTTCTCCTGTCCTTAATACTACAATCTTCCCTCCTACTCAATACTATTCACCTCATTATCTCTCTCAACAACCTCAGCCCCAATTGCCTCCCCCCCAAAACGTTGTCTATGACCCTTACTCACAACACAATATCCAATACTACCAACATCATCAACTACCATCTAATGCTACAACACCATCATCCCATGAAATGGCCAGACCAGCAAACTCCTCTTCCTTTTCAATGCCTCCCCCAATGATCTCTCCAAGCATGTCCATTTCTTCAAGCAATTCTAGCATAAAGAGTTCAGTCTCTGCTACTTCTCCAGACTTGAATTCAAAACCTATTTCTCCATCCTCCCCCAATTCTTGTTCTTCTTCTGCCTCTTCTGCTTCATCAAAAAATACAATTTACTTTACAGTGGTCCCAGGAACTCACCAACACAAAAGACCCCGAAGACGCTATGAAGAAATTGAACGTCTATACAAGTGCTCATTTGAGGATTGCACAAAGGCTTATGGCACATTAAACCATTTGAATGCTCACGTCACGATGCAAAAACATGGTCCTAAGAGAACTCCAGACGAGTTTAAAGAAACTCGGAGACTCCACAAGCTTAAAAAGAAAGAAGAGGAAGAAGCAAGGAAAAGACAACAGGCAATGGCAGCTGTCTCTGCAGTTTCTGGAGTAACGGTGGTTTCAAATAATGCTCAACTTGTACAAAATATCCCTGCGGATCCTCACCAATTACATCATCACCACCATCATCAGCCACCATCACATTTGGCTCCAAATGTGATTTCCCCAACTCTTGCTCAACACCCTCAAGCATTAGCTCCTCAATTGGCTCCTCCAATTAAGCAAGAAGAGTTTCAAGAATATTCTGCAATGCCAGCCTCGGCTTATAATTATTCCCACCAACAGCAGCACCATCAGCAGCAGCAGCAGCAGCAGCAGCAGCAGCAGCAGCAGCAGCAGCAGCAGCAGCAACAACAACATCAACAACATCAACAGCAGATTCCACAACACCAACAAAACCAACAACACCAGCAACACCAACAACCTCCACCTCAACAACAGCCTCAACAACAAGCCTATCTTTACACTAGTGCACCAGTGGCTGTTCTTCCAGCCACTGCACCATACTCTATGAATGCAACAACCACATCCTCATATGCTCCGGCAGGCCCGGCGGCGTACCTTCCTGCTCCCATGTATGGAGGAACCTCTTCTATGCACCACGCTGGGCCTTCGGTGGATGACTTGCATAATAAATAATCTTTTTTTTGATTTTTTTATTTTTTTATTTTTTTCTTTTTCTTTTTTTTTTTTTTTTTTGAAATAATGAATTGAAATAACAAAGTTTTGAAAATGTCGTAAATGTCTATCCCAGCTCGGATAATAAACCTTGTAAGATTGTGTAATAATCCTACACAGTTTCATGCTAGAAATGCAAAGCTGGCGCTCGTATATATAAGGTCCTTGAATCTTGAATCTTAAAAAGATTTAAAAAAATGGATTTTTTTTTTAGAAATTCATCAAAGAAATATTCATACATATATAAATATAATACTCATGGACGACGACTCAACCCCATCACTTGCTTCGCAGCATGCCCAAAGCCCTCCTCCAACTCCTCAGCTCGGAATCCATGCCAGCTTAAGAGCGTCTCTCCAGTCGCTCACTACAACGGCCCTACAAGCTAATAACGAGAGTCTGCAACCGGCTCAAGAGCTTAACTCACAGAAAAGTATTTGTGAGGGACCTCATAACCAACAGCTAACAGAATCGAGATCTGAGGAAGACTCGGGACCAGAGGATGACTTGAGACCTGAGGTAGACTCAAGACCTGAGGAAGACTTGAGACCTGAGGTTGACTTGA